GAACAGGCCGAACTCGAACGTTGCATGCCTAGTCTGCCACGTGAAGCAAGCTCCATAGAAACCTCAGCCGACTTGGCCGACTGGGATGCTGAGCTTGAGGAGTTCTTGGGTGACGAGCTCGATAGCGAAAGCGAAGCAGGTAACAACCAGTCAGATACGGATGATACCGAATCACAGCCATCCAGTGCTAAGAAGAGGAAGAGAGGCGAGGAAGGGCAGTCTACAGACGATGAGAGTGACTCGAGCCAGATGGGCACGAGTAGACTCGAACGAAGGAAGAGAAAGGCGCTCGCCAGAACAACGAGTCTTGCTAGCGTCTCTGCAGTCGACGACGCATCGAGGGTCAAGGCCGAAGCCCAGACCAGTGCGCCTCAGCAAGACACTCCCGCAGGCACCAAAGTCGATATTGTTGACGAGGAAGAAGACGATCTTGAGGCTCAAATGGAAGCAGAAATGTTGAGACAAGCCGAAGAGGAAGGATACGCATGATTTGGGGTTCTCTCTTCTAGGGTTGCTCAAACACTATAGGCATAGCAAGGCGTTTTGGGCGAATATCCTGGAGATGCATAGGGGAAAGTAAAGGATTTGGCGCATGTAGGACTATCTCCTCAGCAGAATATCAGTCCACGCATACACTGTTATATGCCTATTTGATGACATGGTCAGCGGATGGGTTACAAATCACAAGGTCTCACTCCATATTCGTCCGCTGTGGGAATTCCCTCACAGTCAAGAAAAACTTGTTGAGACACTCCAAACTGTCGAAACAGTCATTTGTACTTCCGGCCTTAGCTGTCATGTATAAATCAACTGAAGCTGACTTGTTGCTAGAATTAGAAATATAAATATAAGTTAAGCTATCGTAAAGCATGTCTGTGTTTGAGCCATGTCTCCCTCAATTACCAGTAATCATTCGACCCTATTCAGCCGCAGTCTCAGCATCTGTCAGCGCAAATCAATTCGGCCAGATCGGGATGGTCTCCAGCAAGATTGTCAGCGAGGACTTGATCGTCTCCTCCGTGGGTCTCATACCATGTCGTCATCCTCATCCTCGTCCATGTAGCTTGCGTAGTCTCTGATCGGCATCTTTGGTCGTCTGCTCAGCTCATAGTCCAGAACATCACTTCTGGGCTCGATGTACTGCCTTGGGGCCCAGCTGACCGGCACTGCTGTTGCTTCTTCTCTGCCGTCGGCGTTGAGCAGGGTTGAGCGGAGGAAGATGAGCTGGTTGTTGCTATCCTGGCGACTGGGTATCTTGTCTGAGACGCCGAATGCGACAAGTTTCAGGCAGGGAATTGTGAAGGGGGCGTAGACGAATAGCTGGCTGGCCTGCCAACGAAGCATCTCGGTGTACAATGATTTCTCCAGATTGGCTTTGAGTGGTGAAGAGGTGGGAAACGTGCTTATGTGCAGAGTGACAAGACGAGGTAGCGAACGGATGCTGAACTGGTACGTGTCCCAAGAAGGACTGTTAGTCCTCAGGATACTTGAAGTAGGCCAGGCGCAGCTGATTTGACGTAGTTTGGTCACACTCGAGCAGAGACGCTGAAAGTCGTCACTGGCCCAGACGAGCTCATCGATCATGTTTTCTGAAGCGTGTACGAGAAGTACGTCTAGCGTTTTGCCATGTTTGATAATTCCGTCCACATTTGGCATAGATTTTACGCTCGTCAGATCGATGTATAGGTCCTCAATTCCCTCAACAAGACACAAGAAGTCGTCAACGGCTGTCAGAGCGTCGTTATCCGAATTGTCATTGTGCTGAAGTTCCAAGCAGCGTAGCTTGCGAGGAAGATGGGCGCTCTTACAGAGCAGCGACAGCAGTGCATCTGCTCCGGAGCACTTGGCGATCCTTAATGCTTCGATTTGAGTGAAGTCGATAAAGCGGCCATATGTTTCTGCGCAGTGTCGGAGACCAACATCTACCAGACGTAGAGAGCGGAGATGGGCGAAAGGTGGATTGGTGATCTTGTCGAACGGGAGGAGATGACGAAACATAGTCCTGTTTACCAGTCCCGGACCTGTAGGGCTATCGTTGAGTTCTCTTGTGGTATAATGAGTAGGGCCGTGCGCGAAGTTGGTGTGCACAATTAGTTCTGTCAAATTCGATATCTTGGAGAGTAGAAACTGGCCGAGTTCCAGAGTTGGCAGAGAATCGGGATAGATGGCAAGCTTTTGACAGTTGTTGTAGAGATCCGCATGCTCACTTGACTTGGCCTCAAGTTTCTCAACGGCGTCTACTCCGTCGAGTCTGAATGCAGTAAGCCACTGCAGTCGCTTCTGGCGATCCAGGAGGATGAGAAAGGTTTCTTGATCGAAGGCAAGCCACGGGGACCACTCAAAGTCTTCAAGAACGTTCTCAGGTAAGAAGTCGATGAGCATACGAACGACGGTTTGGACACGCGAGTTATCGGCTTCGGAAAGGTCGGCATGCTGGGGAGTGAATTGGATATTGAGGATTCTGATTTGCTTCAATCCGGCATTTCCAGGATGCAGCATAGCGCTTAGTCTTAGATCTGATCGTTTACCAATTTCGAGGCTCATAGTACGGTAGAACTCCTTGACGGCGACATCATAAAGTCGCTTCGATGTGCGGCAGAGCGCTTTCAGATCTGATGGTCGAGAGATCTTGGATCGGTCAGGACTNTGTTTAATTTGGGAGTTCGCAAACAATGAACTTACATGTTTGACAATGCTGGCTTGTAATTCTGGCACCAGCTCATTGAGGTTTGGAATTCGGGGATGGTCCTCGTTTCTATGATCAGAGTGACCATTTTCGATCGGCTTTGTGACTTCCGCTTTTGGTGGCAGCGGTGCTTCATCCTGACCGGCCATGTTGCCGTGTGAAGANGAAAGTTGTGTATGAGTGGTGAAGGTAATTAGAGGAGAGTTCGTCGTTAAANNATGGTTCCGAGAGCCAGGTCGAGAACCGGATAGGTTGTGTTTCTCGAGGACCGAGGCGCGCGCTTTGGTTAGGTCGGTGATCAGTTATTGCAGCCTTGTGTATGCAAGAGGCGCAAGCTGCATAGAGTCGATCGGCTCAGCGGTACTTTGCGTATGGAGACCGAGTGACCAACGACGACCACTCAATTTGATTGGAGCAGCAAACAGTGAACCAAGGTCTTTCAGCCGTGTCTTTAGTCAGTTGAAGAATAGGTAGCTATTGTGACAGCCCCATACTTGGGCCGATTTTCACTTCTGAGCCCTCTGTATCACGACTAAAAAGTGGCACGCTCCAACATTTTATAGTTCCTTGAACTGAAACTACGATAGGCGCAATCTAGAACTCAGTGAGAGATCAAAGAATGGTTTTGACCTTTGGCCCGCTTGGGACACTTGACCAGCGTCGATGGCTTGCCTTTCCGTTGCCACAGCCTTCAGATGCCCAAAACAAGAGACTCTATAGTCCGACTGACCAACTGACCAAGCTGATCTCTCGTCTATATGTCTTTGTGCTAGGAAGAAGGTTGGGTTGTTTTGACGAACTTGCTGTAAGAGACATGTCAATACTCGAGGGAATATGAGATGGGCAAAAGGATAGATTATGGTAGTAGATTCCTTGGACGAATGCAGTAACTGTGCGAATTCTTTCCGCAACACGAGAGCTCGGCATGACGACAAATGGCTGAATGCTCCCTGCACAGGCTTCCCAGCTCTGAAAGTGGCACTCCTCCATTAAAGGAAACACCCAGGTATGCTCTCTTTCAGGACAGTGGCAGAAACCGTCTTTGAACGTGTCGACCAGCTTCCAGACATACTGGAGCTGGTTTGAAGACACACTCAACCACGACTGGTATGAGCCATAACTGATCCAAAATCTGGAATGTTGGTCTGAGGCCTGCGAGAAGAGTAGAAGGTATGGAGACAAAGAGGTCACCAATGATCGTAGCAAATACTCAGAAATCGAACAGGTCCAGTGTGTGTCAGGTGGATACAGTGTATGATATAGATAGAGCCAGTCCATTGGTAAGACGAAAAAGGGAAGGCAAACAGCCCATCGCACGAGCGGATGCTGAGATTAGTCGGCTAGTCGTGAGGCCAGAGGAGGCCGCACCTGCGCAAACATCCATGTAGTTATCTCACAACTTCAAGCCTTCAACTCGATATCCTGGTCCGAAAGTGCTGAACGAGGTACCCCAGAGACATACATTCAGGTAGCCAGATTGTGATCAGAGAGCGTGTAGATCAGCCACTCCTCAATGGATAGGCGCCATTGCTGACTGTGGCTGTTCATAGGATTGTCCCCATGGGGACTCTCCTGGATGTGACAGCTGGAAATATACCAGAGAATGCGATGACAGCGTTTCTGATTGGCTGCGCTTCCGAGTGTTCCGAAGCTAGCTGGCTAGTGCAAGATCAGTGTGACCTTTGCTTGTTTCCTTGTGTGCTTTCTGTTCATCTTTTCTTTCCTCTTGTACTCCAATTGAGAATCCGCCAAGAGGTAAACTTGACTTGCTTGACATGTTGTGATGTCGTCGATACTGATGATGTAGGGAGGCTTCAGAGGCAGAGCCAAGATTGCCGCCACGCCTTGAGTGTGTCATCGTCCGAGCATGCAGCACTCCTGTGGCTGGCAGGACTGTGCTGAGTCAAGGTGAGATTGGCCTATGAGGCCAGGCAGTTGGCGCTGTAGTTTCAGCCGTCATCTTCCAGGGGGAAATTAGATGTGGTGCAATCTAACAAACCTCACGTACTGGTCGTGTTCAACGGTACCAGAAACGGCCAACTACATGTCGCCAAACCCTCATCAAAGCCAAGTCACCCTGCGCCTAAGTCAAACAACTGAGGTACAGGTTCTATTTTCATCTCCTGGTTCGTTTCGTTCGTCGTTGGCGTTCAAAATACCCCAGACAACTGTGTTTGTCTCCCGGCACCTTCTTTTACGTCCACTGTCCCTTGCATCCACGGTTTCTTGAATTCTCTCAAATCCACGCAAACTCTCTCACGCGCATTTAATACCCACACTCTCTACCTTCGATTCTCCTACTACCAGTTTCATCATGCCTTCCTTCATCAAGACTGTTGCCGCCATTGCTGTGCTGGCCACTGCTGTGACCGCTCAGTCCGACACCACACCTGTTACAGGCAAGCTGGGCAACGCTACTATTCAGAAGAACAACCCTGCCGGTGTCGCCTACATCGCCAGCTTCAGCTCCACCAGCAAGAGCGACATCTCGGGCAATGTGCTCGCTCTCACCAGCTCCGACATGGTCGGTGTTAACTTCAGATCGCACTGACCGGTCTGCCCTCCGAGGGTGGTCCTTTCTGTATGTGGCAGACTCCACGCCAACGTATATGCCTATTGCTAATCGGAGATCTCAGTGTACCACATCCATGACTACCCCGTCCCTAGCGATGGCAACTGCACTAGTACAGGCGCTCATGTCGACCCGTTCGTGCGCGGAGAGGCTCCTCCCTGTGATGCTTCTTCTCCTGCTACCTGCCAGGTCGGCGATCTGTCCGGCAAGCACGGAAAGCCTACGAACATGACCTTCTCTGCCACGTAAGATTCTCACGTCAACACTAGCAATTGACGTATCGCTGACACGAATGACAGCTACGTTGACCAGTACGTCTCGACTGTCCCCGGCGATGGCGCCTTCATGGGCAACCGCAGCATTGTGATCCACTTTGCCAACAAGACCCGCATTGCTTGCGCCAACTTCATGGACTACACCAACGGCACCGCCGGCGCCAACGTCTCGACCTCGACCAACGGATCCTCAATTGCCTCTGGTTCCTCCACTCGCTCCAGCTCTTCCCAGACCGGCTCTGCTACAGGCAGCAGCGGTTCCAAGACTAGTGGTGCTGCCAGCTCGACCTCAAGCGCTGCTGTTAGCACTGGCGCCGCTTCTCAGATCATGAGCAACGGCGCTCTCGCTGCTGTTCTCGGTGGTATTGCTGTCTTCGCCCTCTAAGGGAGGATCGACTTCTTCGAACCAAATGGCGTTTTGAATGGCCTGCGTCTTTTTGTAATCTTAACTCCTACTGAGCGACAGGCTCCTTAGCTACTTCTATGGCTCTTATATCCATCCAATGGCGTTTCTGGCTCATCGTTGATCGAGAATGAAAATTGCTCCTTTCTATCACTTCACGCATAAAGTGCTCTTGTTCAGAGTTGTTGTTCTTCACATCTCGTCTCCGACGTGCTTAGACTCTCTGTAGCATGTGTCTTCCTTGACTCCCTTGCGCAACGTAAATTACAATATAAAGGGTTAGGGCAACGATTAAATCTTCCAATGACACTTCTCACAGTAACTGTACAACACCTACATGTGGTAATTCTTTCTTGGTCATTAGATGTCACTTCCCTAAGAAATCCTGACCAATTCCACGAATCTCTCCAGCACCCGATTGCACATTAAACACAAACTCAATCCATACGTTTCAGAGCGTTTTGATTAGCAAACAGCGCTGGTTCATCTATCAACATCGATACCACGATTCACGTTCTTAATACCGCGACAAACTTACAGAATTGGACCGACCGATTATTGTTTTATCTTTTTGGCATCCAAAATCCTGCCATTGCGCGTACCACTACGCCATGCATTTGTCCAAGTTATATAAGTTCATCCTTCTTCTTACCCAGTATCTTTTTCCGGAGAAACACGGTACTGGTATGTATATCTACATCTCCCTTGTCCCGACAATATCATATCATTTCGTTCTTCTCTTCTTGCCAATTTTTCTACTACTTTGTTCTTACCTATCGCTTTAGTCTCTAGCGGCTGATTTTTAGCCTCTGTTTGCTCTTTCTCCATCTCCAGCTAGAGAATATATCATGACCACCTTGGTCTACAAAATCTCCTTGTATTTTCGTAAGGTTACAATCCACAAAATAGAGATATAATCACCGTGGCACCTCACTCGATGGCTCACCCTAGCGCGCAAGCCCCTCTCAGGTGAAACAAATCCGTTTTGACGGACAAGACGGCAGAAGTGACCGCTCCACGAAGCTTTGGGTATTATTGACTTGAACTAGCCTGGGACTTATTCTAACAGTGCCTTCACCTTGATACGGCCAGGGATCAGCCTAAGTCGGAGTTGATCACTCCTAAGTCGTCTATAATTCTCGGATCTTTGGCGTATCACAACAGCCCGTGGCACAGCGACCGTAGCCCATGGCTACTGGAGACGTTTTGTACGTCTCACCTCTGTATGCGAGGCTATCAAAAACGATTCTGGGTTTTGAGGTGGAATGATCAAAATGACCGTACGCGCACTTGTGCATACGAGAGGTCTATCGAGACGAGATCCTAGAACGGCTAGTGGGAGCTTCTACACGTGACCAGGTGACTTGTGAAAATTTATGTTCATTGGTATCGGCATCATAAAATCGCTGCTCTATTGCACGTTCTCTACCTTCCAGACCTTGACTGCTGCGTCAGCCCCAGAGCTGATGACCTTCGATGGTTCGGTCCATGCGATACCGCCCACGCCATCCTTGTGGGCGTTCATGGCCTTTACACGCTTGCCTGGGTCTGCGAGACTCCAGACGAAGATGTTTGTGTCGAGACCACCACTGGCGGCCTTTTCGCCATCGGGAGACCAGGTGATGCAAGTGACGCGGGCAGTGTGGGCAGACCAGCGGTTAGTGGTCAATGTCCATTCTGACGGCGAGGAGGAGGTGTATGCATAAATCTTGCCATTGCTGAGACCGACGGCGAGACGGCACGTTGAAGCAGAGGAGAAGGCAAGAGTCGAAATGGCAGCTGTGGCATCCTTGATCTCGGCAGCAGCAGAGAGCGAGTTGCCCGAAAGAGTGTAGATGCGGACGATCTTGTCCTCTGCGCCGACTGCGACGATTTCGCCCTTGGCAGCAATGCTGGTGGGTGTGAACGAGACTGGCAGAGATCCGATCTGTTCACCATCATTGTAGAGGGTAATGGCAGAGTTGGTGGCCACCAATGTCACAGGCTTCGAAACCGAGGAAGCGACGGCAACGCTCTTGGGCTGACCGTCGGTCTTGCTAGAAGAGCCGGTGAATGAACGTGTAGAGGCGTCAATGGTTCTCAGAGTGTCATCCCAAGAGACTGAGTAAATGCGGCCATCGCTTTGTGATGGTGCGAAAGCGCTGACATAGTTCTTGGGCGCCTCGCCATCGACGTTCTTGGCCTCTGCGCTAGACAAGTCCCAAGCACGTACACGGCCATCATAACTTCCGGTCCAAAGGGTCTTGTCTCCGGGTGTGTACCCAGCAGCAGTGATTGCCTTTTGGTGACCGTGAACGACACGGACAGGCTTGTCGTTGCCTTCTTGCAAGTAATTGAGGTTGCCATCCAGATCAACACTAATGACAAGACCATCACTACGTCCACTGGGCCAGGTGACACCAACTTGTTGGTTGGCAATGCTTACGGAACCCTCTTCACCCATGCGCCATGTTTGGACACATTTCGCAGCCTCGACGTCCCAGATCTTGACAGTCTGATCGGCACTAGCGGTAACGAGCTTTTTCGAGTCCTTGGCCCATGACACGCCAAAGATGCTGCCCTTATGCTCGCCTTCGCCAATCTGGTTCTTGGCCTCGCCAGTCTTGCCATCATACAACCAGATGCGCCTGTCGCTACCGACACTGACCAGAGAAGCACCGTCCGGGCTGAATGCAGTTCCGTAGATGAACTTGTCGTGCTTTCCGCGAAGACTGGTGTTGAACTTGAAGGGGGCACCGTGGTAAAAGACCAGGCTGGTGTCGTCGGAGCCAGTGGCAGCACGCAGAGGGCGTTGCTGACGGATGGATACAGAGTTGATCTGAGAGCTGTGTCCCGAGATCTCTCCCACACTGTTACCGCTATCGGCCGTGATGCAGTGTCCGAAGCGTTCTTTGCCGTCTCCAACAGCAATGATGCGCTGCGAATCGCCGTCCCAGGCAATGTCGTTGATACGGCCAGCAATGATGTGGTATTCGCCCTTGGTGGCGCCCTCGCCCTTGCAGTCCCACACACGTACAGTACCGGAGACATCACCACTGGCTACGTAGAAGCCACTAGGGGAGAAACGAGCGACGGTGGTTTGAGTGACATGGTCGGTGTACTGTCTTGCGATACTCGGGTCGTCGATGTTGCGGACAAAGATGGATTTGTTGGCGGCGTATGCTATCGACTGGCCATCGGAGCTTGAACTAAGGGGAGTCGATTGACCTCGAGTGGTCGACGGCGAGGCCGCCCAGATGCCGTCTGTTGGCTTCTTTGTTAGCTACTTGTCTCAAGAAAGTGACTACAGCGCCACGCTCACCTGCTGTAATCGACATGGTGTCTATGTGACGAGAGTGTTCCTGGAAAGTTCTGTTTACACCAGAGCTCCCAGTTGCTGTCCATCGTCCCGCCGAAACACACCGTCATCGCTTGGCGTTTACCCGTGGGGTACTTTAGCCTCAGGTGCTCAGGGGACTCGCCAACTCGGACGAGACCGACTGTTGGGTCTCGAAACACACCTACAAGTATCGAGTAGCTATTCGCCTAATAAAGCGCATAGTGACTGCTGAGCTCTCGACGTCTACGGATATGCCTCTATGGAAGTTATACATCTAATCGAGAAAGTAATTAAATCGACGTACAGTCAAGCGCAGGCTATACATAGACGTGTGGACAAACGAGCTTCTTAAACACGATTAGAACAGCACAGTAACCTCCATCTACGACATACAGCCCTCCACAAGACGTTAATCTCTACAATGAGTATTCAGTGTATCCCGACAGCTCTGAAACCTCGACTGCGACACCTTGGTGGCTTTACTGATCGGTTGTCAGATGTTGAACAGGGTCATACCAGAAGCATCCAAGCCTTGAACGTGAAGAGAGCACCTGCCGCTAACGATCGGCTCCGACACCCATCGCACAATTATCGAGTACATTGTCAGCCTTTGGTTTCGTGTCACCAACGTCTTTGTACGGTAGCTCGTGGACCTTGTTACAATCACATGAACGGTGATTGCGAGTCGCCAACGTACTCGAGCGCGCGGAGGATTGCGCGGAGTTTCTCCAAGTTTGGCAGGCAGCTCCGCTTTGTGCTCACATCGAGGTTCAACACTACTCTCAGCCAGCAGCTCCAGCACCTCGCAGGCCAAGGCGCATAGAGTGGCAAAAGCAGGTACTGTACCTGCACGTCGATTCGAAGCTCGCGAGTTCAACCAGCACCACCGCCCGCCGCCGTCGACGTCAAACTCTAAAAAGCAGCGCCGCCCAACGCGCGTCCCCCTTGCCCAGACCAGTCTCGATATTCAGCGCTGCTGTTCCTGGATCCCGCCAGTGCCATGCTGTCATTAGCGCGATCCTGTTGCATGGGGGAAGAAGGTGGTGCCTTTTTCGCTGCCAAAACAGGCATGGCCACCGATGGCTGTGCTGATCAAAACACGAGAGCAACGGGATCTTTTTTTTTTCGTTGTGTGGTTGTGGATGCATGTTCAGATCGGTGGGAAAGTAGTGGCAGGATCGTTCCTTCTTGTCGTGCAGCATATTTATTAATCCAGTCCCGTACATCTCGTCTCATCGCATTCGCTCCATCCTGCTATCTGTGCATCTTTCCTACAGTACAAAGATTCGTCTCCCATCAAACCACAATCACAGCCAAAATGCAGTTCAAGTCCCTCGCCGTCTTCGCCCTCTCTGCTGGAGCCCTCGCTGCTCCCGAGAAGAGACAGGCCACTGATGCCAACCTGTAAGACTCGCAAATCTAACGTGCCTTCAACTCGTATACTGACATGCGCAGTGCCTCCATCTACCAGGTCCTTCAGACTGCTGTCCCTACCTCGATCGCCCTTGAGTTCCTGACCAACTCTGCTGGTGTCTTTTCTTCCGTCTCGTCTGAACTGGCCGCCAGCTCGACTCCCTCCTGGATCGCTGCCCTTCCCACCGACGTTCAGTCATACCTTATCGGTGTTGCTCAGACTCCCGCTGTAGCCAGCTCGGCCATTGCAAACGCCACTTCCGCTGCCGCGTCCGCCGTCACAACTGCACCAGTCGTTATTGCAAGCAATGGCACAGCCGTCGCCAACCAGACTGCTCCCGCTGTCATCGCAAACAACGGCACGGCCTTCATCAACGGCACTGTCCCTGCTACCATTGCACAGAATGGAACCGCCATCATCAACGGTACTACTCTCTCAAACGGCACCGTCATTGTCAATGGCACTGCTATCGCCAACGGCTCGGCCATCGTGACCGGATCCCCATCTCGCTCTGCCGGTTCGTCTTCCTCTACCAGCGGTTCTGGCTCTCGTTCTTCGGGATCCAGCTCTCGCGGTTCTTCTGGTTCGGCTTCTGGCTCGGGCGCTGGTGCTTCTGGCGCCTCTGCTACCTCTACTGGTGGTGCATCTCTCCCTACCGCTCTTGGTATGGGTCTTGCTGGTGCCGTCGGCCTCGTCGGTGTCTTCGTCCTCTAAGTCAACCCGGCTTCTTGTATCTGAGCATATGATTCGAATGGTCCCCGTTAATGGCGCAAGGCGTAGATTAGGGCCTTCGCACGGGAGATTGTATCAAAAGTTTAGACTAAGCTCCTTGTAATGTCACATATCACACGTTATCATCCCTATTCTAAGACGGATAATCACCTTCGAGCTTTGTTGACGCCTGTGACGATATACGTATGTAGCTCGGTCCAGAGTTGTTTGGTTGTCCAAGACGTTCTCAGTATCGGTTGAGAGGGGATGCGCTGAATTGATGTCGTGTCCATGATTGTCGTGACAGCGGTACTGTCAATCTAAGAAGACGGGATGTGTAGTCGTATGCAGTTGAGCAAGTGGTGTTAGCCGAGGTTATTGACGTCACCAACCTTCCCGCACATGACAACCTTGATGAAACACCACTACTCTTTGACTCCATACACAATTATCCTCTAAAGCCATCATGATGTCGAAGCTGCCCAAGAGTGTCTCTACTGCCACATCGCGCTTGGCGCAGGTGTCTCAACAGTTCTCGTCTCAAGCTCCACTCAGACAACAGCAAGCAAGAATGATCCATAAAGGTACCATGCACAAGTTGAACACTGGGTAAGTGTTTGCTCCAGATCGAGAGATCATACCTTGACTGTGACAATGCTCAAACATCATGCATTGGGCTGTAAACCGTGCATTGAGAAGACTTGGTCGCTGACAGCTATCGTAGAGCAAGCATTCCGGCACTCGGATTCGGAACTTGGCAAGATAAAGAAGCACAAGAGCCAGCAGTGGTTGCTGCCCTTCAGGCTGGTGTGAGACACATCGATACAGCAGCCGTATATGGTACTGAGCCCGCGGTTGGCTCTGCGATCAAGAAGTCCGGTGTTCCCCGTTCTGAGATCTTCCTCGTCACCAAAATTTGGAACAATTCGCATGCCCCTGAAGATGTCGAGGCTGCTCTCGACACGTCTCTTTCAAACCTTGGAACCGACTATGTGGATCTCTGGTACGTATACGAGAGTATAGCTAGCACGATTCAACAGCCATCAGATGACGTTTCGACCTCTGTATCCCGATATCACGCTGTAGAGTTCTGTTCGAGCAAAACTCGATGGTATTCCGCAACATGACAAGACATATATTGGTGTTTGCTGTGGCTTGTGATAGCATACCACACTCACACAGAAAACATGCTGATTGTACCCTTACATTTAGGTTGATGCATTGGCCGTCCGCATTTGCCAGTGGTTCGTCGCTCTTCCCAAAAGACTCGAATGGAAAGGTAAAGGCTGGAAGCTCGGATTATGTCGAGACTTACAAGGCAATGGAAAAGCTTTACAAGTCTGGCAAAGCCAAAGCTATTGGCGTCTCGAATTTCAGCAAGGCTGAGATGGAAAGACTGATCAAGGAGACCAGCGTCGTTCCAGCAGTCCACCAGCTTGAACTCCATCCTTACTTGCAACAGCACGACTTTGCTGAATGGCACAAGTCTCAGGGTATCCACGTTACCCAATACTCGCCTTTTGGCAACAGCAATGAAGTTGTGAGTACATTGATTGCTCGAGTACCATAATCCGAAGTTATTCGAACGTTGGTGGTGCTTCCTACAACGGAATCGAGCTAACCACATCTTGGTGTTAGTACTCCAAAGGCCAGAACTTGAGCAAGCTGATTGAAGATCCAACTCTGGCCGAAGTGGGAAAGAAATATGGCAAGTCTGGAGCGCAAGTAGCGTTGGCTTGGGGGATTGCTCATGGCCGCAGTGTCATTCCCAAGAGTAAGACTCCTTCGAGAATCCAACAGAACGTTGAAGGAGACTTCGAATTGTCTGCAGAAGATGTCAAAAAGGTGGACGCAATCGACAGGAAGCTGCGCTTCAACGATCCAAGTGCGAACTTTGGGTGGAACTTCTACCAGGATCTGGATGGAAAGGAGGCTTAAGTCATGGATGTTGGAGAGGGTACTCGTAGGCTCGAAGAAACTGTTATTGTGGACGGGCCATGCAGTATATTGCGAGTTACAATCGCTACTGAATACAGGCGGACCCTTACATCCTCGAGTCGTGCTGGCGTACTGGCTGTGAATTGGTCAACTTATTGCCGGGTTATGTTCCAGCATGTAACGAACTTCATATAAACTGTCCAACGTGGCTGCTGCGAACCAGATATAACGAGTAATGGATCGCTTATTGCTGTTTATACTCAAATTTGAAGCAAGAATGTATGGCTGTGCCGCAAAGGGCTTGCCCTGCAGAGCTCGATGCAAGGACAAATGTGTACGTAGAACGTCTGGCTCGCAGCATAGTTCGCGAGAGGAACAGTCAAGAAGCTCGTTGTCTACAATGAGATCGGATCGGGAATGGCTACACGTTCTTTCGGACGCGTTGTCTCGAAGTCCCCGGTCTCGAAGGCCTGCTAGTCAGGGGTAGAAAGAAACAGGGTGGCACAAGGGTCGGCCAATGACGAGTGGCGTCCCTGGCGCGGCCCGGAAATCATGGCGGCTCCATTGGGGGGATCATGGGTGAACGCGCTCATGATGATCACTGCACAGCAGCTCTTGATGTCGAAATTGCTTGTGCCATTTGGCGCTCGAGAAGCAATGGGTCGGACAGAGAAAAAACCATCTTTTGCTTGCATTGTAGAAAACCGACGATAGAGGCAGTTGTTGAAAGCTCCTTCTTCCAACCTCGTTCAGCCCTTGCCGAAACCTAAATCACCATCTTACCCCTGGAACCGTTGACGACACGCTTGACGACCAGAGTCTCGCATTTTCTCAATCAGCCGGCTGGCTCCCTTGCAATGCGATTTGGAGGAGGCTAACCTGAGCACACAATGGCAGACGATGGTTGGCATTCCCCGGACGGCGCAAATGAGACTGTGCAATCTCACGGTCGGTCAAAGCTGGCTTTGATTGAGCCTGTCAGCGCGCCCTCCTTTTCATCATTCAGGAAGCGAACCTCGCAGATCCCACTGGCGATAGCCTCGTCGCCTGTAAGGAGGAAGCCCGTGCCAGATAAACCTTCACCTAGAGCCGTTTCCTTCTCCTACATAGCCTCTCCGTCCCAGCCCCACGATGCTGCTCTGCGAACGAGGCATTCATCTGTAGACCAGTCGTTGCTGCTGCAGGAAACGGCTTTAACGGACGTTAACGTGCCCCCTCGCGCGTCAGAACAACAGAGCCACCAAGACCAAGCTCCGTCTCCGGTCTTGCCANAAGTATGTTGACGCCCCGTTGGATAGGGGATGCCGTCTACCTTAATGTCGCGTGCATGGCTGACTCTGTGTTAAAGGGATACCTCGAGTCCTGGACATCTCCCACCCGTTTCGTCTTTCGCTCTCTCTCCTCCCGGTGCACAACGTCGCAGCATAATCGACAGTCGTTTGCCGCTGCCGTTAAGATATGATAAGACAACCGCTCCCGGCCACCACCCAAATTCTAGCCTGTCGAGTCAGACGTCAGTCCCAGCCTCTCCTCGCAGAGGTCGCTCTTCTACCATGAGTGTCCCCATCCACGCCCCTGCCATGACCGTCCAGCTCGACGGCATACCCAGGTCATTTACCGACGACTCCACCGAGTCGTTCACCTCGTCGTCACCTCAAAGGAGATCCAAATCTCCTGGCCGCAAGCTGGGCTCCTTCTTCGGCTGGAAGTCGTCTTCTCCCAACCTCGAAGCACACTCACCAGCAACATCCTTCTCCGACGTGTCTGCCTCACCAGCCCACTCTCGCAACACTAGCCACATCGATGCTACGCCCACAAACATGGGCCTCACACCACCAGCACTCGATTTCCACAGCCACCACCGCGGCGGCTCCCAATCGCAATACTTCGATCTCGCCAATGGCCATCCCATGTCCGGCTCGTCAACCATGAACGCTCATGTAGAGGAGCTGGAACGCGAGCTCCAGCAAGTGAGTTCGGAACTTGCTGGTTCCATTCGTCGGGAAATGGAGCTCGAGGACGAGATTGATCGCTTCCGCAGCGAGATGCCTGCTGGCACCAGCGAGCTTGGCCGAAGAACAAGCGACTACTTCTCCGATTCTGGTACCAGCTCTCTCAGATATCCCCTCGTCGACAGTGAAGCCAAAATTGATGAATTAGAACGTCTCAAGAGAAAGGCAGAACAGGAGAAAGCACAGATGCAGGTCGACTATGCTCAGAAGCTTTCCGACGAGTTGAAACTAAGGAAGAGCTTGGAGACACAAATTCAACAGCTTGAAGAGCAATTACATCACAACCAGGATGGTCCACCTCTGGAAGGAGGCCACAAAGACGAACGCGTTCGTGAACTTGAGGTCTTCCTCGACGAGACTCGTCGTCGTCTAAGTCAAGAGCGCCAGTCGAAGGACAATTTCGAGGATCTTTTCGCCGCTCTCAAGGATGAGAGCGAGAAGCATCGCAACGAGCGCGACAACCTTCGCGACGAAGTCGTTCCTGAGCTCAAGGCCAGAGTCGAGGGTCTTGAAGCTGAAGCCGCCGAGATGCAGTCACTTCGTTATGAGAATGCTGGCATGCAACAACAGCTTCAGGCTCTTCGTGCCGAAGTTCAAATGCTTCAGGAAGCACAAGACAGAGACTCTGGATTCAACGACGATGTTTTCGCCCCGCCGCGATTCCCCAAAGCAGGCTTGTCACGATCCAACTCCCTGGCTAGACCCTCTTCGAACGGCAATCTTCGCCGAAGCAATTCCCTGGCAAGATCTGGCTCGGTCAGAGAGCGCAGCGAGACTCGTCCACGATCCGACTCGACTTCTGGCGACCGCCATAAAGATATCGAGGACCAACGTGATGCGCTGCACCAGGCTCTCAAGAACCTCCTACGGAGATACGACAACGAGAAGCGCGAGCACGCAAAGGTCATGCGCAAGCTGACCACTGATCGCGATCGTGCTAGAACTGAGATCACTGGCAGGACTCCCTTCACACGTGAAGTGAATCTTGTTCGTTACGAGATTGGTGAGCTCAGAAAGCGTGCCGACGATGCTCTCGAACAAAAGTGGCAATGCGAAAGCAACATTGGCGGTGTCAAGATGGCTCTTGACAGAGCGCAGCAAGAGACGCAGTCTATGCGTGAATATCTCAACGGCCGAACTGTGAGCGGATCTTCTCGCAAGTCCACTTTCGAGGGACTTGGCATTGAGATTGCCGACGAGAACATCGAGCTTGGGGAGGAAGATCGCAAGACCATGATCAAGGTTCTTAGGCAGAGTATCGCTCTGGCTGAAACGGAACGGGATGCTGCTCTCCGCGAGGCAGAAGAGTACCGCCATAAGGCCTACATGCTTCAACAGTCCGAGGATGAGCACATCGACACACAGAACGATCTCGCACATCAATTGCTTGAAGCCGCAACACGGATGGAACGACTGGCATCGCAGGTCCAGGAACATTTGCAAGCTAATATGCAGCTTAGAGAACGTCTCAGCATGGCGGTCGGTGCAGGACAAAAGACGCAGGAAGAGAGTACGGCATTGATTGTAGGCATGCAATCCCGCCTCAAGCTGATGGAGGACAATGTTGTTGCAGCTCAGCAAATGTCAGAGTTGGCACTGGTCAACCATGAAGAGGAAGCAAAACAGATTGACGATGCAAACTCTCCAAAACTCCAACGTCTCAACGTGGCAGGAAAGACGACAGCGTCCTCGCTGCAAGCGTCACCTCTGTTCGGAGTCAAGAGTCCCAGAATCGGTACGAGCAGCGGAAGTATGGCCGAGAACCTCTTCGAAGCCAGCAAAACTGCCACGCTCGAACGTAGGGTCAAGGAACTCGAAGCAGCTCTGGTCGATGCAGACTCGGAAATGCAGTCGGTGGTGCAGAGAATCAATAGTTCCCAGTTCGAGATCGCCGAACTTCAGGGCGAAAGGTATGTACCCGCACAGCGATATGCACAAACCACAAGCTAACTCTACCAACNNAGGGACGAAGCAAACAGACAGATGCGCCGCCTACAAGCCTCGATTTCAGCCGAGAAGCAAAAGGCACAGGCACTATTGATGGCATAGAAGGCCACCAGGGTGATGATGCACTTCGAGAGGTGTCTTGACACCGAGTTTCCTTGTTCACATTCTTCGTACGAGTCCAGGATTTTGGCATAATTCTTTGATTGGTTTATTCTTGGATGTTTATACCCTTTTGGCGTGGAGAAGTGTTTGTCGGAATGTGGTCATGATGGTATGGATTCTAGTATGCATAGCGTTGGACTTAGACAGAGTAGAAGCAATGGCATAGTAGTGCAAGCATGCGGAATGCTGGTGTTGTGTATCGTGGGTGTAACGTGGTGGTGCTGTTTACAAAGTTTGGGCACGGGAAAAGTACCCGATGGTGTTTCACGATCCCCGGACTCTGTCTTAGCGCAGGGGGCGGCGGCCTCAAGCTGTGAATATCGTGAGGATCGGCCAGCTTTTCTCAACTCCATTCCGCTGGCATTCAACTTCGGGCAGTCTGCAGCTACGGGGCTGTGTTTGTAATTGAGTCGATTGACCGCTCTCGCCCCAGTTGCTGTGCGTGCTTTCATCTAGACAGCACACCGACTCGGACTTTCTCCTGCAGCTTCCCCTCTATTCTCTGTTGTCCCCTACCACCCTTCGACGTCCCCTCTACAGGCCGGATCCTCTCGACATCCTCCTCGACGTCGGCCACACCCCTGCCGCCCGCTGCACACATTCGAGGGCCATCTGCCGCTGCGCAGTCGACAGTGCGTGTCTCCCCAGCTCGACAGCAGAGCCGCACCTCTCGGCCTCTTGACCACGACTAACGGCTCGCGTCAATAGCAGCAAGCATGAACCCCAACAACCAGCAGCAGTCCAACCGACTGCAACTCAACTTTGGATTCCAAGGAGCTCAGAACTTTGGCGGCGCTGAGCAGGGCCGCGCCTATCCCACCACCNCCTCGACCTTCCCACAGCCCTTTCCCAATCCTCAGGGACAACAGGAGGTCTGGGGCACTGCCCAGCCGGGTATGAACACCGGCTTCACCAACCAAGGCTATTTTGCAAACAACCCCTACACCTCGGCCGTCCAGCAACAACAGGCCAACCTGCACGCCCAGCAAGGCTACCGACCTCAGCCCAATCAAGCACAGCAACAACCACAACAGCAGCAGCAGCAGCAGCAGCAGCAGCAGCAACAATACCACGATGCCGCTACCAATGGCCTGGTGCACCAATTCTCCAGCCAGAATCTTGGCGGGCCACCTCGCTCCCAGAGTCCTTATGGTCGTCAAGTTTCACCCAACCCAAACCCCAACCGTCCGCGTACCGCCAACTCAACCCACCAGCAACAGCAGCACTACTCAGGCCCGTCTCTGTCGGACGAAGAACCTCCACCAAAAAACCCTGAGCGCTTCTCTACCAGCATTGGCAACCGTGCGAAGCTGCAGACGGAGCTGGTCAGCACTTTCTTCCGTGACAGTGTAGAGCGAGCTCGCGACCGAAACGCTCGGTAGGCTTCTAGACCACGAATCCTCTGTTTGTTTCCACCGCTGACCCGTTCTTCAGTGNCCCAAGAGCTCGAGACCATCATGAAGGATGCCACAGTATCAGACTCCCGCAAACAGCAAAAGACGACTAGCATGCGTCGCTCCGAAGCAAACTTCCTCCGTTTCCTTCGAACCAGCGAGAGACCTCAGAACTACACAACACTCAAGATTATCGGAAAGGGAGCATTTGGTGAAGTCAAGCTCGTGCAGCGCAAGCATGATGGCAAGATCTATGCCCTCAAGTCTCTCGTCAAGGCTGAAATGGTATGCTGAAACACGAGCCGGTTTCCTACACATGACTGACACGGTTGGCGCAGTNTCAAAAAGGACCAACTCGCTCACGTGCGTGCCGAACGCGACATTCTTGCAAATGCCGACAGTCCCTGGCTCGTCAAGCTGCATACCTCGTTCCAAGACTCGACCTTCCTCTACATGCTCATGGAGTTCTTGCCAGGTGGCGATCTCATGACCATGCTGATCAAATACGAAATCTTCTCCGAGGACATTACTCGTTTCTACATGGCCGAGATAACACTGGCTCTGGAAGCTGTGCACAAACTCGGCTTTATCCATCGGTATGCGTGCCTGCTCAGCTCGCTATACGACACACAACTGACAATGCCTTAGTNNGATATCAAGCCCGACAACATCTTGCTCGACCGAGGCGGCCACATCAAGCTTACTGACTTCGGTCTCTCGACCGGTTTCCACAAGGAACACAACGCCTCATACTACCAACAACTCATGTCAAACGCACGCTCACGTGCTACCGCCGCAAACCGCCAGTCAGTCTCACTCGACCAGATTCAATTGACTGTCAGCAATCGTCATCAAGTAAACACTTGGCGCAAGTCTCGTCGCCAACTCGCATACTCGACCGTCGGTACTCCTGATTACATCGCCCCCGAGATCTTCAGCGGCAAGGGATACGACTACCGCTGTGATTGGTGGAGTGTTGGTACAATCATGTTTGAGTGTCTTATCGGATGGCCTCCATTCTGCGCAGAAGAACCCCACGATACCTACCGCAAGATTGTCGACTGGCCAAGAAACTTGCACTTCCCTCCTGACCAACAGATCGGCCCCGAGGCAGAGCACTTCATCCGCAGGTAAGTCGAAACTGCTCTTAGACCATTGGACAAGTTTGCTGACATTGAAAGTCTGATTTGTGATGCCGATAACCGTCTTGGTCGCCTTGGAGGTGGTACCGAAATCAAGCAGCACCCCTTCTTCCGTGGTGTTGTCTGGGATCAACTTCGTCGCATCCGCGCACCTTTCGAGCCCAAGCTCTCGTCGGCAGTTGACACGCAGAACTTCCCCATCGACGAGATTCCGCAGACGGACAACAGCGCCGCCCTGCGGGCTCAGAACGAGGCGATGGGCGGAGAGGAAGCCAGTATGAGCTTACCCTTCATTGGCTACACTTACAAGCGCTTCGATGCTTTCCGTGGTAGCTGAGCAATCCCTAGAAGGTCTTCTGCTCTTGCTCATTTGTCATTACATCTGTCTTGGTTGTTGACAGTCCGGTGGAGTTACGTGGAGTGCAAAGAGTAACACAGCATAGTGCATCAGAGCCGTCATGAGCGCGGCCATCAGTACTTCGTCACTTTTCTTTTTTCTTTCCATCATATCAGTATTTTTGGTCATGACATGTGGGCAGATGGCATCTTTCTGCATTTTCCAAGAACAAGGCCAGTTGGCGGGCTGGAACCGCGAGATGGGGTTTTAGAAGAAAATGCTCGTTTGAAGTTACTACCATATTCCTGCCCTAGTGCGCCGTGAACCAATGCCAGATCACGCCTGTCCCCAAAGATACGTTGCGGTGAATTTCGTGATTTCGACTGTGCTTGAGAGATTTCACTTCTTGCCAGTGTTGTGTGGTGAGTTTGCATTCAACACTGTGTGAAGAGAGTGTCAGTGACATGGCAAAGGGAATATGGAGTTTCGGCTTGATATCATGTACATACAGCTTACAATTCTGACCTTTTCGACCTCGATCGTCTGCGAGTTGTCGAGTTTGAACTTGATGTCCTTGAGGATAAAGGTCCACACGTCGTCACAGAAGCGGTAAGTGTCGAGGTGGCCCTTGAAGCTCATCCTCGCCTTGACCTTGTCGCCGAGCACTTGAGCGATGACTTGGTCAAAGTTTGTCATGATCTTGATGGCGAGTTGGGGCTCGATGCGGCGACTGCTGATCAGATCGTCGAGTGTGTCTGCAAGTGTTCCGCCAATGCTGNNTAGACGTTTAGTGGCGATATAAGCGTGAGTGTATTCGGGCTGTTGGACTTGCCTTGCATTGCGGTACATCTCATAGTACTTGGCCTGCTCAGCCATGTTGAAGGTTGGCTGCTGTGCGTTGGGCNNGAGAGACAGTGGTGAGGTTGCAAGCAAATGGGAAAGTGAGAGAATGGGAAAGTGAAAACAATGGCTCTTTCTCGATGAATGTTGATGTCTAGTGATGGAAGGGGCGGTGGTCAAGGTCTCGGAAGTGATGGAATGAAAGTCGCTTGTGATTGGCGGCCCCCTCGAAGCGTCTCCGCGTCAGGGCACAGGCAAGGGTCCGAACTCCGAGGCCTGTTGCTCTCTGCCATGCAAAGACCATTCAAAGACATACGAGCGATTGCGCGAGTGACAGACCGACCCACCTTCCGAGGTCCACCGGTGCTGCTGCGATGCCGCCGATACTGCTGATGAAACGGACACTGGATGACTTGGAAGACCTGGACGACTTTGACGACTTTGACGAGACTGATGACGAGGAAGAGCTACTGGAACCTCACCCAAAGCGCCTACGAGACAAGAGTCCTCTGGCAGAAGAGCAAGACGAGAGGGAGGACGAGTCAAAAGATCAAGACAACCAAACAGAGGAGAAAGATGTGGCAGACAGAGTCGTCGAGCTTATGATGCCGCGGATGGAAGCTCAGATGCAGCAGCTGGTGAACAGCTCGGCCTTACGCATGCTGGATGTCCTTGGTCAGAAACTCGCTCGACTGGAGTCGTGCATGGATGAGATGCACAACGAGTGGAAGAAAGGCTCTGGCATAACCGACCTGAAGCGACAACCAGCAGTCCCGCAGTACCAATTCGGAACCCGCCATCAATCCGCAGTCCAGCAATACTTTGGACGCACACAAGCACCGCCTATTACCGCTCTCAAGTAAGACACGAATGGCAATGGCTCCTCCCGTCCCGAAGATCCCTTGCAATCCTTCTTCCAAGAGGCCGCCCAAGCAGCAGACAGTCCCACAATCGTGGGTCCGACCGACAATCGCCGTGTCCCGTTCATGGCTCGCCGTTCCCGACAACTGCCAACTCCCGGTTTTGCGCCCAATACCCAATTGACGTCTCACGACACCGCCGAAATCAATCCAGAAGATGCTCCACAATACCGCTTGCAGCGAGGCTCAGAAAGCGTAATGTAGTTATGGCACGAATTCTTCGTCGGCTCTGCTGAAAAGCCCGCCATCAACGAACTGGACCACAAGTACGGCAGTGCCTGGCGTTGGAAGGACAACAAGGAAGGCGTCTACTACAGCATGCGCCGTGTCGTCATCGACGAGATACAAGCGCGCGTCGAAGCCCGGTGTCCTAATGCTACAGGTGCGACCGGCGACGTCTGGATTGCCGTATGCGAGGAAATGGACGCTGAAAGATCAAATCTACAATTCACCCTCAATCAATACATCTTTGAACTCAAGCGCCGAGATAAACCGGTGCCTGTTCCTGGCACCAAGAAATGGGACCCCGAAGATCCGCACCCGCCTCCTGCTCCAGTATTATCGCGATCAACACCTTCAGTACAAAAATTATGGACCGAGTGGTTCTCTGGAAAGATGAATCACAACGGCTATGCCACTTTTCCATCAATCATCCAGTTGAACCACAAATTCGGAAACACATGGCGTCATTCACACACGCCAGAGTACAACATATACCTCAAACGTCGCTGCATCATTGATATCGCACTACGCCGCATCGTCGAGATTGGCGGAGACAGGACTGAAACAACCAAAAAGGTTCTAAAGATGATGGATGCTGAGCGATTAGCGCACAATCTGAGTCTGGTGCAATATCATGCCTGGGCACGAGAAAAATACGGTCATCATGCTTCGACACGGACGCATCTCCCCAAGTTTGTTGCCGACTTGGGAGAGGGACCCGAGGAGGCCATCGAGCTCGAGGCAAGGACTAGATCCCAACAGGACGAGGAAGATGGCATCGTCAGAGATCATAGCACGGACATAGACAAAGCCATCTTGGGTCACGAGCGGCAAAGCGAAAGTAGAAGTGGTCAAGGTCAAGAGAGCTCTGTACCACCCTCGCCAGCGTCACTTGGTTAGTCAAAGTGATATTGTTGAGGTACTGTATAATTACGTGCGAGCCCAGTGCTCGCTTACGACGGATTCAACCTTTATCCTGTCTGCTTGCAGATGAGCTCTCAGGCAGCTCCACCTCCCATGAGATTCTTGCCCTTGATACTTTTCCACTCAACGAACAAGCTGATGACAAAGGCCAGACCGCTGGTCGCAATGGGCAAAACAAACGCAGATGTCACAGCATGACTGTATGCTTGCAAAACTCCTGGCAGTTGTGCCCCCGAAACCACATCTCTGACATGCGTGGCACCAGCAGCTATGACAGCGGCCGGGTTCACTCCAGGTGCATTCCTGATAATGTCCTTGACCAGCGTGTTGGCAAAGATGTTCTGTGCAATCGAGATGGAGATAGCACCTCCCAAGCTGTTGAAGAAGATCGCAATGGCGTTTCCTGAGGGCATGTCTTTCTCGTCCAAGACAACCTGTACAGCAATGAACGGAATTTGGATCGCAGAACCGGCACCAATACCAGCAAGCAGTTGGTATCCGATCCATTTGGCGGCAGGAGAAGCGACTTCCAGAGTGTATAGCATGCCAGCACCGACAGTGAAGATGGCGGCTCCAAACCACATGAAAGGTGCGTAGTAGCCGATAACGGTAATGGTACCTCCAACGACAACGGATGCAATCGTGTTGGAAACGAGGTACGCAATACATCTGATGCCAGAACCTTCTGCAGAAGTATTTTTCACTGCCTGGAAGTAGAAGGGTAGGTAGAATATGTGCNNCTACAGTACCAGATTAGCATGTTTTGATTGCACCGAGGCTTGACGATGGACGTACGTGTACAATCCCATGGCGAAGAAAGTCGAGTAAAGTGCAGAAACCAAGACGGTGCGGTTCTTGACCAAGATGCGAGGCGGAAGAGTGGCTCGATCTCCTAGCTTGATCTGAAGAGCGATAAAGACCGAGATCAACAAGCCAAATCCGAGTAAGCATCCCCAAACCTTGCTGTTGCTCCAAGGGTATTTAGTACCGCCCCATTGCAGGGCGAGGAGAAGGCAGACGATGGCACAGATCAGTAGGAAGGCGCCCAGGAGGTCAATCTGTTTGATCTTTTCCTTGGTAGTCATGTTGGTGTGTCTTCTCTCGGGATTCTCAAAGAAGAAGAACACTGCTACAAGTCCTATTCCACCGAATGGAAGATTGATCCAGAAGCACTGCAGAAAAGTTAGCAGGTCACGAGAGACCTCCGTTGAAGATGTCGTACCCATCTCCATGTTGCTGGGAGCTGTTAGCATGATACATCAAACGGCTTGCATGATTAACATACCATGGTCAGTGAAGACTCCACCCAGCAGAGGTCCGACCACACTGGCAATGCCAAACATACTGGACAACGACGCAATATAGATCGCACGCTTCCGCAAAGGAGCGATAAATCCGATAATGGTCATGCCTCCCGAAAAGAGAGCGGCAGCTCCAACACCAGCAACTGCTCTGCCTACAATGAGCATTGTGGAGCTAGTGGCTGCTGCACAGATGACCGAACCGATTTCGAATATGATCAAGGCCGATAGATAGGTCCATTTGACATCAAAGTAGGTGTAAACCTTGCCGAAGGAGGGCTGGAGCGATGTGGTAGTGAGCAAGTAGGCAGATCCGATCCAACCGACATCGTTCAGCGCGTCGGGCCATTGGGTTGTGATTTTCGGGACTGCTNNCAAGTTAGTTGGCGGACACGCGCAGATACTGGCTGCCTTACTAGCTGTTGCGATGACTGGAAGAAGAAACAAACAGGGTCAGCACAAAGTCCGTTGATCAAGGTCGTGTTGCGTTGGCGACTCGTCACAGATGAGTTGTTGGCAAAAGAATGGAGGAAACAACGTACTTGAGTTGTCCAAAGCGATCACCCAGATCGCAAGGCAGAGACCGAGTACAAGTAGCCACAGTTTCGGGCCAGTGGGATACTTTGATTCATCTTCGGCTTGTTGGGAAGCAGCACTGGTATCCTTTTCTGATTTTGAAAGCGCATCCTTGTCGACCGAAGCTTCCCTAACAGCAGTCGTTGCCTCGGCCTTGCTTATCGACTCGTCTCCATGTTCATCAACCTCGAGTGGTGTCGTGCGAGGCTCTTCCACAGTCTTGTTCTTCTTCAACGAGGAAAACAGACCCATGATGAACCTCGATAATTTTGTCGCAACGAATGCGCGGCTGCGACGGTGGGAACAAGTAGCAACTGCCTCCCACCTTCCATTATGTATGTTCCCGGCTCCTCAATTTCGTTGCGTAGGAGCCGATCAACGCTCGTTCGTGGAAAGATCTCGACTCGGGCCAATCGATATACACGCAACGGTACTATACGATGTACGGAAGTATATCTAATTCCTACCATAAGCGAGCCAATCCCATGATACTTACTAGCTGAACCTCCGCACTTCGTTAAATCATTTGATAGATGGTATAATATACTGTAGATCTCGTGTTGTCTCTGTAGAAGTGCATGGTCACACCGGTCGCGATGTCTCATGCGCCAAGCCAAGAGCATATGCAGCTGACAGGAAGATGTCGCAAAACGTCGTGATTGGGTAATCGAAGATGGGAGCATCCCTCATAAAAGGCTAGAGATAAGGATCTAGATGATAGTGTGTGATTGAGAGTCAATTAAAATGTAAGATCATAGGTATAACGCAGAATATGAACAACCTGCTCCTGACGCTATGCTTCGAAATCCAGCTCCAAGAAAACAGAAGAATAAGGAACAAAACTCATAACAGGACAAGAATATTAGGCCTGTTTCTCGAGGTCTTTGGCAGCATCGGAACCACTGCTAGGCGACACAGGCTCGTCATCCGGGTTAGCTGATGCCTTGTTGGCGATGGGGAATGTAGGGGCGAATTGACTCTTGCTTCGGATCTGAGCTCCCTTCAGGTAGAAGAAAATGGGTAGCGGAACAAGCAAGAAAGCAAAGCAGCCCAGCAGAGTGCCCGCCCACTGGATGCCCATGCCCTCAATCATGTAGGTTGCGAAAAGAGGGAATCCAGCACCGCAGAGCGAACGCAGGAAGGTGTTGGCAGCGATGGCGGAAGCAGCAAACATCAGGTAACTGTCGATAAGGTAGTTGAGACACTGAAGGAAGATAGACATGATGCCGAATCCGGTAAACAGTCCACTCAAGGTTGGAGCGATCCAGTGAATGTCTGCACGATAACCAGTCCAGCCGAACCAGAGGAGACCAACACCGAATAGAACACCACCAATAATGACTGGGGGAAGGCGCCACTCCGGGATAGGGATGTTGTTGTTCGCCTTGAGCTTGCGGTTGTACGATGGGACGTCGATAACGATGTAAAGACCAGCGAAAACTTCACCCATAATCATACCGAAGTATGGCAATCCACCGACACCAGGAGACATTCCGTGGACTTGTTGAAAAACGATGGGGTAGAAGGTCAGGAAGAGATATAGCAAGCCGTATACAAAAGCCTAAACTGGTTAGCACGGCTGATATGCAACAGACAGAAAGACAAAGCTTACCATGTAGATGGACAATAGTAGCACGATAGGTTCTGTGAACAGCATACGCATAGGTCGAGCCAAGTTTTTCTCAACCAGTTCGCGAAGGTTGATCTCAATCTCTTCTTGCTTTGCGTGGATACCCCAGTTCTTGGTTCTGCGTCTGAGCTCGGCAGCTTTGTTGACAAGGATGACCGGCGGATATGTCTCCTCGAGCAGGAAGAGCAGGAGGGCAAGGCCAGTGAATCCCATGATAGCGGTAATGTACTCGCACCATCGCCACCCGAGGTATGAAGTCGTGATGAAGCCTCCGATGAAGGGAGCGAGCAGGGGTCCAGAAAAGACGGCAATACTGAAGACGGTGACAGCGACACCTCTTTGAGCATTGTTGAACATGTCGGCAAACACGGCTCCAACAACGGTGAGTGGACAAGCACCCATGAAACCGCCGAAGAATCTGCAGATGAGAATGGTCTGGAGATCTTTTCCAACGGCCACAGCGATAGAGAATATAGAGAAACCGAACGAGGCGATAAGAAGGGGAAGGCGACGTCCATACAACTCAGACATAGGGGCCCACAAANNCTGGTATACGTTAGCGCAATGTGTTTAGTTTTGACAAACGAAGACTTACATAGGGCCAGTAGCAAAACCGAGAACGTAAAGCGAGATACCAAGAATACCAACCTCCCTTGAGACATCGTATTCGTTGGCAACAGCACCAGTGGCAGACGAGAATATCGAAGAGCCAAAAGCAGCCGTCAAGGTAACAAAGCCCAGCGAAGCAGCAACGGGAAGCNNCTGGAGGACAGGTCAACACACTGCTATCACATGTGATGGAGATGGTACTCACTTCTTCTTGAAAGGCCAGTTCTGGGCATGCATTGGGTCATTCGGGCCATCGAATTCTACTACATATTCTTCTCTTTCGGGCAGTGGTGGAGGATAAGGCTTGCCACCGCCAAAGGAAGGCAGAGGTTTGCTAGCCTTCGAAGATCTCGTGCGGAAGACTCCAAGACCTCTGCTCTCTGCACCACCTGCGCCGACGGTGGCGCTGTGTTGACTTCTGCCAGTCTGGATTCTGCTCAATGCAGTAGGGTGTCTTTCAAGGTCCGCCTCGTTCTCATGTTGTGTCTCGACTCTGGAAATGCTTCTGCCCATTTCTTGAAACCTGACTGCCGAGTGGGATGACGCAGAAGAGCGGCGTCTCTTGGCTATGGGTGATTCGTGGGACTCGAGACGTTCAATGGGACCAAATCTCTCGGGCGAAGCATCGCGCTCGTTGTCGGCCATGAACCTGTCTTGCGCATTCATTATGGCGGCGTGACCAGTCTCGTGGGTCAGTAGACGCGTGACTTAGGTGTACAGGGATGGATAGGAAGAAAGTCGCGAGCAACAATAAGCAGCGGCGTCTAATCAATAAATGAGATGAATGCTTGAGCACAGGGCAAAAGACCAACAAGAGTGGAGCCACAAACGGTCCAAAGAAGCGGCTGTCACGGCAATCCTCGACTGCCTGGCCTCGTACAATTCGTGATTACGAAGACCTCGTCAAATTTTGCTGCTTTCTGATCAATCGAAAGGGACCGAATCCTTTGCTCTCTGCCCATTCGTATCTTTTTTGCTTTTTGGCTCAGTGAAGCTTGCCTTGTCAGACGAGGGGTGACAGCAGCTCATCCGCCGTGTTTGTCTAGGATACCTAACCAGCCGAGCAACCACCTACGTCAAATTTGCTCAAGAGCTCCCTTTTCTGAACCCTGACGCCGCCCCGACGCCCTGCAAAGCCTTGGTGGACCGTGGTAAGCTAAAGGTTCGAATTACGGCGCCTTTCTCAACGGCCTGGATTCTTCTTGTTCGGCAGTTGTTTGCCTCGTCTGCGAAGATCTAGATAATCAAGGTAATCACGCAGATTACCAAGGCAAGAAACTACTGCGAAGCTTCATACTGAAACACACCATGACAGAAGCAACGCGGCAGCCCTGCGCCGCCGCGATCGACAAGCTTTTTGCTCTGTTCAGATAAGAACCTGGGGTAACACTCTCCCGAGTCAGGCCTCAGCCTTACTGAAGAACTTTCTGAGTGAAGCTGTATAGAGAGTGTCCATCTAAGCTCGAGCGTATACTCTATAGAGTATGCAGGTAGATCAAGGCAGATGAAGACGTTCTCCGAAGACAGATTGTATCCTAGTGACGACGATTGCTCCAGATTGAGGAGGTGGTATGTGAATCGAACCAGGCAAGAGAAGGTGTTGAAGTAACAAGCAGCCAACATGTCGATCGAAGCGACAGCAGAGTCTGTCTGGAGCGTCTGGTTAATAGACAGTCACAGTCGCCAACAGATATCGCAAGAACACAGAAAGAAGACAATGGAAGGAGATACCACCGCACGTGACAGCCAAAGCCATGCACCGCCACCGCCACACAACTCGTCATGCTCCATCTGATAAAACCAAGGCAACACACTTCTAACCACAAACCACGCGCACAACAAATACTCCAAGCTCTCAGCACTCAATCAAACAACACAACAATGGGTCTTCCTCAACAAACAAACACTCCCGTCGAGAAGCCCTCGACCTCCGAGACGGCAGAGACCACCACCGACTCCATCCCTGCCGCCGACGTCAGCACACAAAACAGCTCTCTGGGCGCTATGAATAGCTCAGAATTGGCTGGAGGTGCCATGGGCGGTACCCAGGGTGATGCCGAAAGAGCGGCCGAGAAGCTCTACGAGGAGAGAATGGAAGTAAGTAACCACCGCGATGAGCCTCTGCCGGACATAAGATGCTAACATACTCTCAAGGAGGAGTACGCTAAGCGTGAGGGAGGTGCTTAAACGACATGATGTTACGAAGTGACAGGCGGTCTGATGGTCATAATGACTGCGAAAGTCACAAATCCGGGGGCTCTGCATCTAATTCTATCTAATGTATCACCACTTTCTGACCATTCCCCTTGCTCGTAAAGCGACGGACACGATCCAATTTCTTTTCATCTCAAAGCCCATATCTATCTAATAGCTACTAGTACTCGTTCAAGCAGAGCCAATATCTTTCTGTTACCGTAACGTCTGTCGCCAGCCACGCCAACTGCCTTGACAACCAGCGGAAATAGCAATTTCAATTGTGCTTTGTAATCTTTCCTGCCAGCGCCATCNGATCTTTTCACAGCATCTGACAGGCCACTGAGCTTTTCAATCTCAGTCAAGCAGAAAAGCAACTCTTCGACTTGCGAAAGTGGCTGCGGTAGTGAACCACGAAGAGGCTGGTCGACAATATACGCCTTGAGAGGAAGTGCAAATCGCAATACCAAGGGGGATGCTGCAGCTTCTGAAAGTTTGACTTGACTTTCGCTATGGTCACCAACCAAGGAGACCAGCTCTTTGAAGCACAAGTACGCCATATCCTCCCTTAAGCTGGGCTCTGGATCACGAACTCGACCAATCCGCAATGCATCTAGATTGCCAAGTCGATTGTCGTACTGAGGAATATCTCCGCGCTCCACGGCATGGACGAGCGACGCATCGAAGAGCGAGGACATGTACGTTTGCCGGATTGCATCAGGGATACCTGAGGAACCTAGGACCGGCGTCACCATTACCTTGAGTCGTTGCATGATCTCACAATCAAAGACCTCGTCTTTCTCAACGGTCTCAGGCGTAGGCTGTGGTGATGCTTCGTTGATGTCGGCATGCATAACGGCATGAGCAATGTTAATGATTGCTGTCCAGATGCGAGTTTTCATCTCATTCTCAACAATGAGCGCTTCCATTTGGGCCAGCGTCTTCTCGATGATAGACAACGATGCAGAGCTTGCTTTCTGCCACAAAGCTGGTGCTTTACCAGATTGCATCCATCGATATTTGAGCCCCATTGGCGTCACCAAGTTCTCCAAGGCTTTCGCGACTGCGCCCGAGTGGAACATCTCTGGTTTTGACAGATCTGTAGCGACCAACTCGACCGTCCAATCCATGCTTGCTTTTGATAAAGCAACAAATGTAAGATTCGTTTTGGGCTTGCTATTTGACGCAAATGGCAACGACACGAGTTGTGAGGCGGCATTGACCAGTGTCGAGGAAACAAGCAAAACATTGCTATGCATCGCTTGCAGATGCTCAAGGACCTTCTGCTGGAGCACAGTGAGGTTGTTGACATCAGAGCTGTAGGCCGCTCCACTTGAAGACTTGACACAATCAATCATGTTCTGCACTAACTTGTCAAGTCGGTCTTTTGTGGTGTTCTTCTCAGTCAGGCTGTAGATGTTTCTTCCACAATTGACGTATGCAATATGTTGCTCTTGTTCTGCAGTCTGACCTTTGACGTCTGCAGAACAGTCGGGTACGGCGGACGACCACAAAATTTCTGTACGAGAGACTGCTTGGCCTAGCTTCTGGTCGTCGGGTCGGATTGCACTTAGCAAAGTACTAAGACCGTTGTATACAGCTGCGTTGACGACCGAGGAGTGAAAAGCCAGAAGAGATTCGAATATATCCATTAGATCTGACCACAATCGGTTGAAGGAACTGAATGAGGCCATCTGATCAAATTGTCCGACAAGAAGGCCGGTAATGTCGCCAATAATTTCACTCGAAGTGGAGTCGAGCCCAACAATAACATCAGAAGATGCTTTGCCCGAACGAAGGGTCCTCTGCTTATCCGCATTCTCCCGAAAGACTTTGAATAAGAGTGTCTCGATGGCTAATTGCCAAGCTGGATTAGAAAAGTCGACACTATGGTTCTTGAAAATTCTCAACAGGGTCTGGAAAGCGCTATTCCTGACCTCTGAGCGTTCGTCGGCAATGACATCTGTAAGTCGATACATGAGAAGTACCCATTGTGCAGGCCGAGATTCTTTGCTTCTAGTCACGATACGCTCGTGTCCTAGAACCAAACGCTCTTCAGCAATACCACTGGTGAGTTCATTGAGTCCGGAGACCACCTCCTGCTTCACGAGGAAGTCGGACACGTCCCAGAATAGTGTGATAGCCNNTGGAAATTGTCAGTATAGATATCTGCTAACGTGCAATCAACTACTTACAGTGAGGGAAATGTTAAGGTCAGAATTCTGAGAAGCAAAACGGAACAGAATTTCTACCAACGGACTAAGACACGTCTGTGGAAGTGGTGCAAGGAAATCCGAGCAGACCAACTGCATCACACCGAACGCTGATCGGCCTAGATACGGAGCGATGAAGTGGCTTGACAACATCAACCAACCTTCTTTGTGGTCTTGGTCGTCACGTTCTTTTTCCTCGGCATCATTTGTATCGAAAACACTACCTATTAGGGCCAGAATGGTTTCCCAGCCGGCTGTGAGTGCCTCTCCAGACTTCTCAAGCACAGCTTTAACAGAGTCGAGGACTCTGTTGTGAATATCGATATCGACATTGGTGAGGTCGTCACCTTCTTCGTAAAGTCGACGTATAAGCAGATTCAAAGATGACAGAACCATATTCTGAGCCAGTGCTGCGTCTTCTGCCTCCTCAGATGTACTTGCCTCGGCAACGGCGATGGAGCATCGAGCCAATATATCAGCAGCAAGACGGCGAGCATCATCTGGTATGCTTGTAGCAATGCTCAAATCCACAAGGCGATCGACCAGGACAGTCCATCCACTTTCCGAAGACGCATAACTTGCGAATCTCGAAACATTATGTTCTGCAAGATCGTTGATTCTTGTTAACACAAACATGTAATCCTGAGTAGAGAGTGCAATGTCTGTTGTGATGCCAGGTAGACTGGATATCCTACGCGCAGCAGTCGAGGGTTTTGTATGGGTTGGAGACGATGGCACGCCCTCGGTCCTTCCGTTGAGCAGTCTGCAGAGAGTTGTGAGTACATGAAGGAAAGCATCATTCGGATAGTCCGCCGTGCTCTCCAGAAGACGTAAAACTGCGCCCTCTACAGCTGCAATCTCTGGACCGATTGCTGTAGACTTTGCTTGAGAAGCATTAAGAACAACTCCAGCTTGTAGAAGCGTTTCAAAAACAATGTTGAACGAAGATTCCAAAGTCGGACCTATTGCGATAGCGACATTAAGAAGTGCTCTCAGACACAGCAGATTGCGTGTGGACAATGTAGGCCTCGATGCCGGATCATAGGACGTTCGTCTTGATCTTTCATTTCCTGATGTCTGAGTTGAAAAGCTCTCCACACTCAGTAAACCTTTGCCGTTAGAGTATATTCCAGGAGTCTCAACCGTTGGTGACGAGACGCTTGATATACTGGATGTCACGATGCTGGGAGGAACCGCAGCTTTACCTAAAGTGGTCAAAAATGCATCTCGCGAGGTGGACAATCTCAGAAGACCAGAGACCTGTACGAATCTTTGATATGACCTGATCAGCGCTCGGTAGTAGTCGTTGTCAAGAGACGCGTTGAGGAAAGTCGAATACGTTGCAAGCAATGCAGGCCAACACTGCTCCACGAGCTTTGCAATAGCTCTAATACGGATAGCTTGGACACTTCCATCTGTAGAAAGCGGGTTAAGCGGTACAGTGCGCGATCGGTAAGATTGGGACCTCTTCTTTCGGGACCTCGTCTTTTGCGGACTTGTGATCTGCTCCTCGGCTTCGACTTCCCCCTCTGAATCTTGTTCTTGTTCGTTCGTGTGTTGCTGGACGGTCAAGGGAAGTACAACCTTGGCCAAGTTCTCAGAAAGACTATTGAGACACTCTAGTACAAGACTGTAGATGTAGGTTTCTGGTAGAGCGGGAGGCTCTGTCTTGTCAAGTTGATCCATGCATTGAGTTTTGGGCACGCTCCATCGTGTACTGATGCCCGGGACATTGATATCACCTAAGTTCGATGTCGGAGCAATTACACCAGCAACACCGCCAGCAGCTTCCATAGCAACCTGCTCAGCGATGGTCTCTCTTGCCTGATCGGTAGGAACGCTTGAGTGTTGGCCCAATCCAATGACAGACGGCTTCTCTGTGGAGATCTTGACGAAGGATGCGATGTTGTCTCGAACGATCGATTTTTTGCCGTCTTTGGCGTCGTACTGTAGGTAGATCTGCACAGCCAGACCAGGTTCAGTATAGACAAGACGGAAGACCTCCATACACATGGCGCGTTTCCAGGCCGTTGCTTCTGAGTCTATCATATACGTCAACAAGCCCAGAACAACCTCGCACTCGTCGGGCATGGCCTGGAGGTGACGACGGATTATGAAAGATGCAACTCGAAGAGCCCGGAGAGTTACGCCAAAGGCTTGACGCTCTGAGATGACTNNCCGGATTAGATGTGGCATGACGACTGTTCGAAGAATGTTCGTTTGCTCGGGGTGCGAGGAGAATATCTTGGGATGGCTGCCGAGGCATGCTCCCATGAGTTCGAGACCAGAAGCTGCTGAAAGTCCGGAAAAGCGTACAAATCTTGTATTTTGACCTTCGGTAGCGAAACAGATATCCAGGAATACGCGATATGCATCATAAGCTGCTTCTCTCAGCGGAATAGGGCCATCTCCGCCAGATATCCGAGTGACAATGGGGATTTTGTCAGCAGCTTCGTCCTCAGCGGCTACCCTGTCAAACACCGAAACGACAAGTTGCTGGAGAGTGGCAGCAGCTACACCACTGACGGTTGCAGCCTTGACATTCTGAAGAGCTGCGCAAACTTGCAAGGCAGCAGCAAGATGATCTCCCTTGAGGTCATCGGCATAATTCTGAGCAAGAGCTGGAAGAGCTTGCAGAACTTTGAGTTGGATGTCAAGGCCGAGCGAGGTGCATGCGTTGAAAGCGTTCAGGACATCTTTCAGTCGAGACTTTGGTAGACCTCGAATGATAACGAGACGCTGCAGACACACAGTAGCGCTACCGGCATACTTGGCATTCTGAGTATTGCAAGCAAGCAGAAAAGGATCAATGAAGGTTGGTCGTCTACTCAGATCNTTTGTACGTTAGCGAAGGTGATGCGGACAAGGAAGGTGCATCTCACCAGCAGCTAGTTGTTGTTCGGATGTAGAAGGTAGGGATTTGAGATCTTGTAATGATTTTTCTGCAGCCNNTATATCACATCAAAACGGATACATGACAGTACACATTCAGAATCAACATACAGTGCGGATCTCTGGATTCTTGCGTTTAGCCTCTTGGGCCAGGCTCGTCAATTCGGCCTGGAGAGCTTGACCGCTCATAACTCTCTATGCTGGATTGACGACAACGAGCATGCTAGTCTTACACAAGTTCGTGGCCCAAAATCGCGACCAATATAGTCAGGCAATCGAGCCAAACGAAGAAGTTTGATTGAAGTGGTAAATGGACCATTCAAAGGGATGCCGAGGGACGGAGGACAACTGGAGCTTGCCAAGACGAGAAACATGTGGCATGCGACGTTGGTCGAGCTCAGGCCTGTGACGCTGACGATTGCCGTGTTTATGTCCATCTTGTAAATACATTCACGTCTTTTGTACGTTTGATCCAACCTTCGACTTGTTCAAACTTGTCCTTCTTACGCCTCCTGATCACCCACCACAACATTCAAGCCAGGAAGCAGCATGGCCAAGGTTCCCCGTAACTTCCGCCTGTTGGAGGAGCTCGAGAAGGGCGAGAAGGGCCTCGGTGCTGGTACCAAGAAGGCAGGCCGAATGTGTGAAGAGACAGATGACTGACAGAGTCNNGCAGAGGCATGCTCATACGGTCTCGACGACGGCGATGATCTCCTTATGACCAACTGGAACGGCACCATCCTCGGACCTCCTCATGTACACCTCCCACCTACACTCTCCGCAAACAGACTCAGGCATTAACTCAGTATCCAACAGAGTGTGCACGAGAACCGCATCTACAGTCTCAGCATCCGCTGCGGCGAGAACTACCCCGACGTTCCCCCAGAGGTCACCTTCATCTCAAAGGTCAACCTGCCCTGTGTGGACCAGAGAAACGGCANNAGGTATGTCTTGCTAGGACATGGACACCTGTGACACGCTTGCTGAGACACAATCAACCAGGTCGATCTTTCCAAGCTCCCCAGTCTGAGCCAATGGAAGCGCGACTTCACCATGGAGACGATTCTGATCGAAATAAGAAGGCAAGCAAGCCACTACAACCGGATACGCCGCTCTCCCTTCTGACACTGTTACAGATTCATGGCCGCACCCGCACACAAGAAGCTGCCGCAGCCTCCGGAGGGTACCAACTTCTAGGTGGCCTTGTTGCACAGCTCTTGACGAAGAATGAATATCCCTTCACCCACCAACGACATGACGCTCAACATGATCCACTCTTTCGTCCCATACTTCTACCGGCATAGCATGGCGCTTGGCGCAACAAGAGAACGAAATCCATATACATATCCAACTCTACATCTATGTCCGCGTCTTCAGCAAGTGAAGTCGACTCTAGAACCATCGTCTGCTGATCGACCACATGAAACAAATGCCTCCCAATGCTCTTAAACGCATCCCAGAACTCCAAGCTCCAAACTCTGTATTGTCTAGTCGTAGAAGCATGCATCACTCGTCGCTCGAGTAGAGTCTGGCCATGTTCTTTGCACCCCTGGGCTCGATGAACAAGGCTTCGGCCTCGACCAAATGCTCGCCCTCTTCGACACCGTCGCCCAAGATCTCGATCCAACCCTTGACCCATGCCTTTCTACCATCAACCTTTGTGGTCTCTGCTCTGAGCACAACGAAGCTATTCGCCGGGCAGGGCTTCTTGTATGTGATGTTCAAGCTCGCCGTGACGCCCACCTTGTTGGGCAGGGCAGGGAAGCAGGCGCGAGCAAGTCCCTCGTCCAGAAGAGTTGCGAGCAAGCCTCCGTGAATAATTGTAGGGTGACCACACAGCTTCTCGCCGAGATGAGCAATCTGCACAATCGAGGGCAGATCGGCCTTTGTGTTTGCAAAGGTGAGGGGCGGAGAAGCAATCTTGTCGTCTCCTTGCAACGTGCCCGCCGTCAGGTTGTGCGACCTCATGTTCTGGGGAATTTTCATGTGCGGCCTGGACTCGATCCATTGGGGATTTGCGCGCAGAGACTCGGCGAGGGGGTTCGAGACAATGCGTTTGTTGATTTCTTCAGCCTCGGGGCTGGCTGGCACCCACAGAGAAAGTGTCTCGGCATTGGTGGGAGGTTGGAGGAAGCCATTGGCTGTCTCGATGGCGGGAGCGACAGACATTGCTAGACCGGCGGCTGTTGCGACTATGAAGAGAGCGGTTGCGCCGAGGACACGGGAGGTACGGGAGCGAGGAGGAGGGGGTGTCGGGTCTGAAGGGTTAATGAGAGGAGGTGTGGTANNGTGGGTGCTTCAAAGACAATGTCAGTAAAACAGAGATGCAAGATCCGAAGTCACTCGACACGCACCAGATTGAATGGTCTGGAAACGCTTCTGGATCGCGGGCTGGCGGGCTCTATATATACAACGATTGCCGGCACCCCAGAGGGCCCTCCGAACTAGAGCCGGTCCTGAAACCGTGGCCATTGTTAGTCGGACTTGTGACAACTGTCAACAGATTCGTTTGCCAACCAGTGCCGAGTCGAGATATCCTTTGCGCAATCGCCTATTGCTTTGAAATTGTTCGAGGCCAAGCCGACTTGTCCGAGGTTCAACACCGTCCCGCTGCCGCAAGTTGGAGACTCCGATGTCCCGACCCTTCCCGATGCAGTAATCTTTGCGAAAGCGAAGCGAACGAGGAAAGCTTCTCGAAACATCACGTCTTGAAGTGGACGATAGGAGGCAGCAGTGTAGAAAAATGATACCGAACGATGGCTAACATCCAAAACTGCAGTGGCTCGGAACGACTTCCCCCTTCGTTGGAGACAACTCCCAAGCCAGCCTTCGACATCTCTCAAACTGCTCGAGCGGCCTACACTGACTGACGAGATCTGGCGGTCCATAACGTATCGTGACTGGTCTGGTTGTAATGATTTGATCGAACACTTGCGAGGCGATTTGGACCTTCTCGTCCTCAGGAAGATTTGCTGAATCGAGAATGACTGGACTATGCCCACCACAAGCAAAAGTACTTTAGTTGTCAGCCTCTCCCAAAGCCGAAGAAAACGCTTCAAGCAATTGGTGTTCAGACAACGTGATGACTGTTTGATGACAGATTTTCCTGAGGATTAAGCATCGAGACTCATACCATCTGTCACATCTTGCAGAGCTCTGAGAGTTACAGCTACTGCTGCCTTGGCTTCATCACCGGGGTCTGTTTCCAGGCAGCATGTCGCACAAACACGACGCTTGGAGCCAGGGAACGCATATCGGTTCTATTTTCCAGGCAGAGATCATCAAAATGTCTGCACAATACTAGCAAGTCAAGCAGAAGCTGATAGTATGTTTCATGACGGCGTCGCGCTGAGTTTGTGTAGCCAATGACAGAGAAGGGTCGCCCTCTGTGTGCTTCGCTGGTAGTATGGATCAAGTTCAAAGGCCGAAATGCACATGTCGAAAAGCAAGAGGAGCAGTATGTCGAAAAGCAAGACGAGCAGTTCGTAGAGGGAAAGGGCAAAGACTGCCAAACGTTCCATTTCTTCCCCGCACCAACACCTCCGGATCCACGCCACGTCAACAGCTGTCACAGCAAAGGATTGTATCACGATGCATTGCAAGGCTCGCAAACAAAACAAAAGCTTGTCCTATCTAAATTCCTTTTACCCAGCGATGTTCAGGAGTCATTTTCGTTGCTTGCCTATCAATTCCTACACGAATGCAGGTCAGCTTGCGAAAGATGTGAGATCATACCTACGTATAATCACACGTGCTGCTGTGGTTTTGCTACCAAAGGATAGGCGTCGAGTCACAATGCGGTTAACCTGACGAAGGTGACTCCACATGTTTGCTCAGACCGGAAACTGCTTTGAGGGGTCGCAAAGTAAATAGTTTCCCATATAGAGTCGATCCCCAGAGCCTCATTTCCCTATACCTACTTAACACCTACCTTTGAAATCAAAGCATTGCGTATCTTAGAGTATACCCCTCCACATCAACCATCTACATTGAAGTCTACACCAGTCAAGATGGATGTACTCAAGACTTCCAACAGCAACCCCAAGTCAACAATGGGCAACCTAACCTTCTCGTACGCACATCTCGCAGCCATCACAATCCTTGTACCGACGATACGACACCTCTATCTCGATTACCGAAACTTCATTGCACTAGGTCCAGGAGGAACACCAANNAAGACGATCGTAGGCTACTGCAAGGTCAAGACACTGGGGATGTTCGCTCTCCGGGACCCATATGCACCACCGAAAATTCCATGGTCCATGACACAGAAGGAAGGCTGCTTGTCAACCCTGCCACAACGAGAAGGCTCTCGTCCTTCGACTCTTGGAATCGCGCCTCACCGTCAGACCAACCAGAAACCACCGCGAGAGATGTACGAGAAGCTAGCCAGCGCAATCCACACTATTGCGGGCGATAACACGCATCTTCATGAAGGAACATCGTGTTTTGAAAAGCACGGCACTGGTCTCTTCAGTGACAACCCACAACGACGCACCTGCGGAGGAGAAATTTGCCATGCCCACCCCTCGGACGGATCTTTGCATCTGACGCTACACCCTGCGGATACCAAACTCATGCTCGAGGGTTGTTGGGGTGAGAGACATCCTCTGGCAAGAGGTGGATGGCTGGAAAGGTTCGTCCCTGGAGGATTCGTCATGATTTATGCGCCGCGCAATGATAGCGAGCTCGAAGTGGTGCTGGAGATAGTGCGTGCCGCAGCATGGTATGTCGGAGGCGAAGAGATCAAGAGCGAGCACGACAAGCGCAGAGACAGTACTCAGGCAGAGGACGTCGCATGTTGAGGACTGTTGTTTGTCAAGAGAAGAAGAACTCGAAACTAGGATGGGCGGAGGGCACCGAAGGGCCGATCATATCGATAGTGGGGTCGCGGGCACAACGGCATTGACCAGAGAGGGCATTGATACGGACACGGACACGGACACGGCTTGGATTGGATACACGATGACATGGCGGTAGCGAGGTGAACGGAGTTTGCAGGTTCCTCCTGATGTCTTTGTATTTGCGGGCGTGGTATGAACGTACTCGATGATGAATCTCACACGGCTTGTTAGAGCTTCGAACATGACATCAAACCGCATCTACGTCAAAGTACTCAGCCCTTGGACGAACCGTCTCTCCACTGTCCAGACTTGACACCAAATGAGCCAAAGGTTCCAGCCGGCAGGCGACTCCACGGCCAGATCGACCTGCAGGCGGCTGCAGGGCAAAAGCAGTAGAAGCGTTTCCAGCCAATTGCCAGACAATCTGGAGATTACGTGCTTGCCGGGTTCCACTCTTTGTTTTTGCGGCCGCGCAAGGAAGGATTCGACAGTTTGATGAGGTATTGAGCGGACACTTCAAAGCTTGCACGGTGAGAAGGTTGAATCGACATGGGCCAATCTGAGTCGCAGAGCGGCTTCCACGACCTAATGATACACCCGTTCTTACGATAAACCGACTCTTTTCCGGTTGCTGGAGTCCAGAGTTGGAAATCGTTGAAAGATGACCGTGTGGAGAGGGTTCCCGCACGAACAAGCTCAGAGGCTGGAGATGGCGGACGCCAACGGGCACGCCTGACGCCACATCTCGGCGTACGACATTTGTAAATGCTTTCAACCTTTCCTCTGACCACATCCTTCGCCTTAGCCGCGGCCGCCACGATTGCTTACTTGATTTGTCTTTGCAACTAAGCTCTGATCCTCCCAGACTGTTCCCGTCATTTATAAACTGCTGGTCTGCCGCACGCACATCCCTCCTTCTCTCAATCTCAGTACACCGATTCGACTCGACTGTCTATCTACCTTTCGAAACCTGGTGGTTAATGCTGCCTGAATTCAACCGACGCGACCTTTTTACCTATTTCACGCTCGTCCGGAGCATTCGTTCGATAAAATGGCGTTAGGAAATCTCTTCAAGCAGAAGCCTACTATCGTTGCTGATGCACCACCTCTCCCGAACGCGCCCGAACTTGAGAAACCAATGGTTGGCAATGAGGGATACGGCGGTCAAGCTCCTGGATACGATCCCGAGAAGACTGGTCCCAAGGGCATGAAGATGAACAGAATCGACGGCCCTATAAACAAATCCATCGGCCAATCAGGCGATCTCAGCGACGACAGCTCCGGCATGACTGTGGGAAAGCAGATGGAGATGGAGGCCGGAAATGCCATCAAGTACAGGACTTGCAGTTGGCCAAAGGTGTGACCCTAAATCGCGTGTTTTGTTTCCCTTACACTCCCAATCGCGACATGGAGCGAGCCGACTCTCTGCCCACTGCGACAAACCCTTGTCCTTCCAATTTCCTCATGCAGCAAGCCCTTGCACCATTTTCTCGTTCTTCATCCTCTTGATCCTTTTGAAATATCGAAGAACAGCTTTCTCATCAAGCGAACAAGAACCGACCTAACCTGTCTCATAGACTGCCGCATTGTTGTTCTCTGAGTACATCTGCCTGGCTATCATGTCGTTTCCATACTCGTACGCCACATTGGGCTTGGTTCCTGGTCTCATCTTGACCGTGGTCGTTGCCGGACTGGTCCTGTACACTTCTCTGGTTCTCTGGTACGTAAAACGCAGATATTGGTTTTGAACGGCGCTTCTAACAAAAATGTAGGNNGAATTCTGCCTGCGTCACCCTGAAGTCAAGGACGTCTGTGATATTGGTCAAATGCTCTTCTGGGGTCAAAGGTGGGCATGGTGGGCTACCGCTTTCATGTTCATCTTGAACAACACCTTCATCCAGGGTCTGCATTGCTTGACTGGAGCCAAGTACCTCAACACCATGACCGGCCATGGTCTCTGCACAATCGGCTTCAGCGCCATCGTTGCCGCTGTTTCCTTCTTCGCATCTCTCNCCCGTACTTTCAACACCCTTGCTGTGTTGGGTACAGCTTCTGCGTTCTTCACCTTCATCTCGGTGATCTTGGCTACTATCTTCTCCGGCATCGAGGATCACCCTGCTAAATACCCCAAGTTTGGAGAGCCTCGCGTGCTCGCGATTCCCGAGTCAGGAACCACTTTCGTTGCTGGAATGTCTGCATTCATGAACATCAGCTACACATTCATTGGACAGATTACTCTGCCCTCGTTCATTGCCGAGATGAAGAACCCTCGCGATTTCCCCAAGGCCCTTTGGGCTGTCACTATCGCGGAAGTCATTCTTTTCTCGCTTGTTGGTGCTATCATTTACGCATACACCGGTACCCAATACTACACTGCACCCGCTTTTGGATCTCTGAGCAACGAGGTGTACAAGAAAGTCAGCTTCTCGTTTATGATTCCCACCATCATTTTCCTGGGCGTGCTATACGCTTCGGTGTCGGCTCGTTTCGTCTTCTTCAGAATCTTCGCTGGCACCAGACATATGGGCGAACACACTGTCATCGGCTGGGCGAGTTGGGCTGGTATCCTGCTTTGCACCTGGATCCTGGCCTTCATCATTGCTGAGGTCATTCCCTTCTTCAGTGATTTGCTGTCGCTCATGAGTTCGCTGTTTGACAGTTTCTTCGGATTCATCTTCTGGGGCATGGCATACCTTCGTATGCGCGAAGCAGACTACGGACCGGACTACTGGAAGAACAGAGGATTCAGAGGAACTTTCGGGTTCGTCTTCAACCTGATTCTTATTGCCATTGGATTGCTGTTCCTGAGCGGAGGCACATATGCATCAGTTCAGAGTATTGTGGACGGATACAACTCGTCAACATACGGTACAGCCTTCTCGTGCGCCGACAATGGTCTCTAGAGACCAAGAGACATTGACTGCTCAAGAATGAGAGTTAGTCGGACGTTAGAATGACCATCATGACGGCCTGGATGTATACTAGTAATGGGCCCATGTTGTTCTTATTTTGTTCTTTTGCTTTTAACTAAATTGATAGCCACTCAGTACTTGTAATTGATCTTTCTTATCCTACTGATGCACGCGCATATCCATCACGCTTCATGTCAGTTCGTCAAGGCGGTTGCCAATTTGCATGTGATAGATGCCAAGAGAAGTGACGAGGTGGTGCCGTTGAGCCGCGCGAGCTTGTGCCATGTGTTCTTCTCGCAAGAGCACCTCTACAAGTCGCTCCAACTTGTGTTTTCTTTGGACAACAAACCACTATCGGTCACTTTTGTACACGACTCTTTGAATCTACCTATTGCTGCCATGTCTACAATTTCCGACTACGTTGATCTTGGACAGCCTTTGTTCTGGTGTGAGTGGTGAAAGCTACAAAGACCTCACTGGTCTTGAACATGGCAAGCTGATTCGAGACGTGGTACAGTGTCTGCAGCCAGCATCTGTTTTAATCCTACCTTTTGGAAGTGAGCAAATCTCATATCGAGTTTTGTCTCGGGAGAACGATACTGACAACCTCTCAGCACAGCCGCAAGGTCAGGTAAGGCTCACTATTCGAAAGTCTATGAACACGACGAAAGAAGATGCAAAAATCACTGTGATATCAACCAAGAAGAAGAGACAAAGAGATCAAAGAACAAAGAAATTGACAAGTTTTGCACACCATCCANNGAGTACCACAACAAGACCATCACCAAGCTATTTGGCGGCAACTCGCTGTACGGCTGCTATGCGCTCGCCGTGACAATCTTCACCCTTGGAATTGTTCGAGACAGCATGTACGAGTCCTTTTTCTATCGTCTTGATTGAGAAGCAACCACCCAATATGCGACTACCTCGTCCCACAAAGCACCAACCTGCCCAAAGCGACACGCGATACTGAAGGCAACCCCGCTGTGATGATTTGCTAACTGGACCAAAGCTNACGAACGCGCACTCCGAACTCAGCCCACCCACCCACTCCTGCTGGGCCCGGTCTCTGAGGCCATAGCCATTGCCTTGTTCGTATCCGGCAACGTCCTCGTTCTCACCTCCATGTACGCTCTCGGCATCACAGGTACCTACCTCGGCGACTACTTTGGCATTCTCATGGACGACATGGTGACGGGCTTCCCATTCAACGTTTGCTCGGCGCCCATGTACTACGGCTCTACTCTCAGCTTTCTAGGATCGGCACTGTGGTTCGGCAAGCCTGCAGGATTGATCCTGACAGGACTGGTGTTCTTGGTCTACAAGGTCGCTTTGACATACGAGGATCCATTCACTGGCGGTATCTATGCCGAAAGAGAGAGGAAGCAGAAGGCCGAGGGCAAGAAGGTGCGCTGAGCATCTCGGGATCATGGTCCGGGTGAAAAAGGAAGACGTGAGGGGAGGAGAGCTGGGGCAAGAACGGGGTGGAAGGGAGAAAGAGAATAGAACACACCTGCTCGTCGCGGGACTATATTTGGTAGAAGGGGTTTCAACATGGAGTGATTTGGTATCAGACGACGAGGGGAGAGGCTGAACACGAGACACGATTTCAACACGGATCCGCAGATAATATGTACATGTCATTACAAAAGTTGTCGTTGCAGTTCTCGGGCTTGTGCGTCATCCAAGCCGTATGCCCAGAGTGTGTTCCAGCATCCTCACTTGGTCGTCGAACTTCTCATAGGCAGCATCTCTCAGTCTCATGTCCTTTCTGTCACGTTTNCCTATGCTCTTCCATCAACCTCTGTGCCCTTGGCTCTTACCTTGGTATCCCACTACTTACAGGACAGTGGGCACATCCCTATGTCTACAGCCCCAGACGTGCATCAGGTTCTTCACCACCTTGTCCTCGAGTCCTTTGTACTTTGCAGCATTGTTCAGAAACTCTAGAGTCTGCGATATCTGTTGCGAGTTGAAGGGGGATGTGGGGCTGCGGAACGAGGAGCGGAGGTGGGATTGCAGAGTGAAGCGAGCGGGTTTTGCGTAGCGAATTGCTTGGAGGGATGTTCGGAGGAGATGGCGATATGCGTGGATTATCTCTTGTGACATTTGGATCGTCTTGTACTGTGTTGTGATGCTGAATGATGGGAAAGTTGAGAATGACGCTGGTGGAGAGAAAGGGTTGTGTTTGGTTTGTTTGTTTTCTAGCGTCCATGGATGCGATGGATGGATACAAACTTGTGTCCTAGAAGCTGTTCACAGTATTGGCGCTGCTGATCATGACGATAACAGACTTACTAGCTCATCCTATAGTCATTGGTCTCGTTACCATACTTGTCGCAAGTGCCGCAATGGGCTTGTTCTCGTCCAACAAGCATTTCCCCGTCGAGGGAAGGGTAAGTTTGTCGCAAACACTCGGGTTCGATGTACAGGTGCTGATACGATTTGACACAGNNACGGTACTGATTACAGGAGGCTCGAGTGGTATGGGCAAGGCTCTCGCGACGAAGCTGGCTCAACAGGGTGCAAACGTGTGCATTGTCGCAAGAACCCAAGCCAAACTCGACCAAGCAATCGAGCACATCAAGGTACTTTCTTCTACGTATCTCGTCTCCCTGATCTATGTGTATACCAACTGAATCATCTACCTAGNNGCACATGCCAAAAGCCCTACCCAACGTTTCTTAGCCATCAGCGCCGACTGCACCTCTCCCGAAGACAACACCCGCATCCTTGCTGAAACTACATCATGGAACGGCTCCCAAGCACCAGACATCGTGTGGGCAAACGCCGGCTCATCATCCCCTGGCCTCTTCATCGACACTCCCCTCGAGACCCATCGCTCCCAGATGGACACAAACTACTGGGCTTCCTTCTACCTCGCCCACGCAACCCTGAAACTCTGGCTCGCACCGCAGCGAAAGAAGGAACATAACAAGACAAGACACTTCATCATCACATCCAGCAGTGTCGCTTTTGTAGGTGTTGCAGGATATACACCTTATGCTCCCGCCAAAGCCGCCCTCAAATCTCTAGCCGATTCGCTGCGCATGGAGCTGAATCTCTACAACGGCAGCATCAAGTCTTCTTTGCCTTCTCCTGCTGCTGCTACACACATCCATCTGGTCTGCCCTGGCACTATTCTGACTCCTGGCTATGATGCAGAAAACGCTACCAAACACCCCGTGACCAAGATTTTGGAATCTGGCGACCCAAAACAGACAGGGGATGAGGTGGTAGACGCTGCATTGAAAGGATTGCAGAGAGGTGACTATGTCATCACAACCCAGTGGCTGGGCCATGCCATGAGAGTGTCTGCCCTGGGCGGCTCCCCTAGAAATGGCTGGGGTATCGTCGATGTCCTCTTCGGCTGGGTGACGGCCATCGCTTGGCTATTCATTGCACCCGATATGGAAGCCAAGGTGTGGAAATGGGGCAAAGAGCACGGCTGCTCATGACGACCTTATAAAGTTTTGACGATCTTCGTATGATACCCCTCCACCTCGAATATACGACTCTTGTCTTCTTCTAGCATATGTCCATGCATTTCAACACCTTCTCACGATACAATCAACCAATAGTATCAGCTATCGATATGCACAAAGTAGAGATGTGTCCGTAGAGAGCCTATGAGACGGGAACTCTCACTTGAAGCGCAATCACCCGCGACTTCCCTGCCTGGTAAGCAAGAGTTGTAAAAATGAAATTATCATTCGAATCTGCTACAGGAAAGAACGAGATGACCTTCAACTTCCTTGGAATCTCTCAATCGTTTTCCTCATCACTTGCTCCACAATCTTGATACTCTCGACATCCACCCATTCATCCTTTCCGTGCAGACCTTCACCCACAGGCCCAAACACCAAAGATGGAATACCAGCTTCACTCAGCAACGCAGCATCAGTCCAGAATTTGGCTGCTGTGAATTGCACTTGCGTCTCTCCTTGCACATCAGTAATTGCTTTTCTTGTCACAACGAGCAAAGGATGGGTCTCGATCATCGGCAGCAAAGGCCTACGCTCGAAAAGCACCTTGGGCATCTCGAATTTGAACTTTTTGTCTGCGGCAGCAAGTCTATCGAGGACAATTGTGATATCCTTGACAATCGCATCAGAAGACTGAGAGCTGCTGCTGTCATCCACAGTGCGGAACTCGAGGGTCAGTGTGCAAGAACCAGCATAACTGCTGTTCTCCTCTCCACCTCTGATGGTACCGCAATGCATTGTCGCTTGTCCCAACACATCGTCTTCAGGCAAGGTTTCGGCGTATGTTTTGACTGCGTTCAGGAAATTGGCAGTGGACATTATGGCATCTACGCCTGTCTTGGCATCTGAGCCATGTGCAGCAACTCCAAGGACGGTGACTTCAACCCACACGAAACCTTTGTGTGCATGGTGGAGTTGCAGAGAAGTGGGTTCGGGGATCAACGCAGCATCTGCTTTCCATCCTGCTGCAAGAACAGCAGCAGTACCGGTGCTTTTGTCCTCTTCGTCTGCTACAGCTGTAAAGATGACATCGCCTTTGCTGCCGTGCGTGGAAAAATGCAGAAGTGTGGTCATGGCAGCTGCAACCCCAGCTTTCATGTCTAGCACTCCTCTGCCATAGATCTTCCCATCGCTCAGAGTGCCGCCGAGAGGATCGGAGCCGTAGGTAGATAGAGATACCGTGTCAATGTGTCCATTCAACATGAGAGATTTGGCTTTGGGGTTGCTGCCACGAACCACGCCCACGACGGACGGGCGACCTGGTATTGACTCGATGACATGAGTCTCGATACCGCGATGGTGTAGCCATTGCGTAATGAATGCTGCAATCTTTGCTTCTCCTGGCGCGGAGCCCGTCATATCCAGTGAAGGACTCGAACTATCGATCTGAACAAGTTGTTGGGTCAGAGCCACGACATCGTCGTTACTGACATCAAGAGGTATATCGTAAGGTCTCTTGGCTTCAGTGTTGATCAAGATTACTGAAGATCCTCTTGCGATGTGACCCTCAGCGACAAGTCTCTTCAAAGCCGCGAGACCAGACGCACCACAAGGGCCCGCATTGACATTATGGCGATGCATATCTTGCACCGCGACATGAGTCTCAAAGTCGGATACTGTGGTGCTCAGATCGACGTAATCGCGAAGATATGGCCAAGAAATGGAACTCAACGTGCCGCAGTTGCAGCCAGCATTGATCGTGTTGGAAGTGACGATGGACGTGGCTTCCCCAGCAGCGAGAGATGCGTGCAGACAAGCGGCTGTATCTGGCTCCGCAGCTACAGTCTTGAAGTTTCGTTGTCCTTTGGCGTATGTGATTACTGCTTGAGCCAAGGAGCCTACGCCAACAGGTGTTATGATGGTGGTTGGTTGTACATTCAGTCCTTGCAACTGCTCTTCCATTTCGGCAAAGATGGTCGCATATCCATCGATAATCCAGGTTGGGATATCTTCGTAGCCATCAAAGGCTGTATCTTGCACAAGGATATTGTTCTTCGTTGCTGCCGCGGCAGAAGCAGCACTGGAGACAGCAAAATCATAATCTCCTTGGACCACAACAACTTCTGCTCCCTCAGCAGTGATCAAACGCAGGAAGTTAGGATGCAAATCGTGAGGTACATAGATTGAGGACTCAATGCCAAAAGATCGAGCCATCCAAGCGATCGCTCTTCCATGATTACCATCTGTAGCCGCCAACAGCCTGCATCTCCGATCTCTAGCAATGGAAGTCACTTGTTCCAGAGTAGCAGACTCGAGATCCAAACCCAGGTGTGAGATGAGAGCACGGTAGCAACCCCAAGATGCCCCGGAGGCTTTGAAGGAAGGTAGACCGAAACGTGATGATTCGTCCTTGACATAGATGCCACCAAGACCTAATTCTGCGGCGAGGTCATTCAAACAAAGCAGAGCTGTAGGTTCATATCCGATAAGTGCCTTGTGGAAGCCGTGTTGGATGGTAGAGTCAGCTATAGAAATGGATGGACTCGGTGACGTTTGGCGAACCCATGTGGGTCTACGGGACGAAGGTCTTTCTGGGGACTTGAAACGAAGAGGCATCTTGGCGAGCAGAAAACAGAAGATGCGTAGCAGATACAGGACTAGGACAATGGTGCAGGTAGAGACAACACATAAGCTCTGTACACCTACTTTATATGTTCCCTCGAACCACCGGATATCCTCGAATCTCCGTCGGCGATACGGCGGGGGTCCAAAGGTTCTCTGCAAGACACCCCACATCAGTCCGGAATTTCTTCGCGAAAATTGTCGGAAAAGCTGTCGGAAAACTTCTCGGGAAACCGTATCATCAAACACCACCTTCTGCACACAATTTTCCTACGACTCTTATCCGGTCAGCATCATGCTCAGAAAATATCATGAAACGATGAGTGAGAAGTGATTCGTGGCTCCGATTTGCCTTTTGTTGCAATCATGTCCCTCCTCCTACCTTACCCATAGACCCTAGAGGAGTGGAGGATATGGACAGGAGGATGTAGTTGGGAATCATAAGTATCTGTTTTTGTCTTTTGTGTCTTCATGGCCGTGTGTTTTGTATAGGAAGGTGAAGCAAATAAACAACTTACAGAGTGTGTCTGTCATCACAGCAGACTTTCAACCGTGAAGTACTCGCCAAAGATGTCGAAGCCAGCCAAGGCATCGAAGTCGCCCATTCCCATGACTTGAGAAGGCAACGGCGTCTCAGTAGTATGAGGCGGTACCTCTTGAACACCATTTGTGCTATCTTCTCCGCTTGGTTCTGCATGCCTTGATCTTTCCAATGCACGCTGTACAATGAATGCATGCTTGAATGCAATGTGCGACTCACCGCACGCGACTTGGAAAAGATATGCTCGTAGGTTTTCTACCAGGTGATGGTCGATTGCGCTTTCACAAAGCACTAGTGCAGCGTACGATGCGATAAAGAATGCGAAGTCGGGTAGGTCAGGCGCTTGGTCTGCGGAGTGACGCACAAATTGCGAGACAATATTCGCACTTTCTCGCCAAGCCGGTATGTTTTTCTCCTGCATGCCTTGCGGTGATAAGTCCTGGTGAGAAGAGGCATTGCGACGGTGAAGCAATAAATGGCCAAACCAATGAGACAACTCGAGAGTCCTTGGCGGGCCCGAGCTAGTGAGGAAGCGGCTCCATGCAACGTCCCAGGGCGTGAACGCGGAGTCTGCAGTCGCTGTAGGATTCTGTAAAGCTGTGTGAAGGCAGATATAGAACTGTAGCTCGGCTATCAACGGTGTGTCGAACGGCATGATCGTAGGCTGTTCCAGTAGACGACGACAGCCGTCCATGAGTCGAATTGAGATACCCAGAGGTCGACCATTGCCAATAGAGTATCTGTGTTGTTAGTAAATCTCCGGCAAATATCCCCGTACGTAAACTCTCGTACAAGCATAGCTGTAGAAACGCAGAGTCGTTTGTAGAATAGGCACCCATCCAGAGAGAGCTGGTGAAACCATCTCTTTCAGTGGACGTGGTTCAATACCTCAAAGTACTGTGCATTTCTACAGCTAGGCTAAGCAAGCATACATGCGGCCAAGATCGACTTACTGTAAATGAGTCAGACACAGCCCACTCCAGACGCGCAACTGCTCAATGGTCCGCTCTTCGGTTACACCTGGTTGTTTGACGTTGCTTGGCCCGAAAGCGACAACTGCATGGTTCGCTGTGCTAGCACTCAAGTGCCAGCTGTCCAGGGGCTTATCAGTTTGTACAGCAGGGCTGAATAAACAGAGCAAGGTCAGTGCTTGGATGACACTGCTTGCAACAGGAGGTGTCGCTACGACTGCATCCGCAACGAGGCGCTTCACGTGCTTGTACATATCTTGTACTGTTTGAGAAGAGATCTCGGGGTGGTAACGTGTTGCCAGTAAGCAGAGCACACTCATCAGGAGAGGTGAGCTGCGGGAGAGACTCCGTGACACGTTACTGACGAACTTCACAATATCAGCTACAGGGATCCATTTGCTGTACCTGTCGATGGACCTGTCTAGTGGTTAGCCCCTATTTAGCCCCTCTGCGAGGACCTCCTCCCCATGTGCTGGGTGCGCCACGCTTACCCCTGACTGACATCTCACAATCGCGAGACAGCGTTCGATGGAGCTGTATAAACACACAGTCGCTTCCGAACGAGAGATGATGCCAGAGAGAGTTGGGAGATCACGACTCTCAGTGGATGCTACTCCTTTCTGAAATGTATTGTGCATTTTTACAGTAACATTGTGACGGTTTCCAGCACAGGGGAAGACGAAAGTTTAGTGCGGTACTCACGTTCGAAGTAGCTGAACCGCAGTTCCGAGAGGCAGGATACCCAGAGAGACTACATCAAGACCGTTGACATCATCCGAAGCAGATTGGCCTGACTGAGCATACAACTCTGACTGCAGGTCTTGAAGGATCTCTACTGGTTTGGGGTAGTTGTGTGCGATGGCTGCATCTGTCGTATGTTCCTCCGCGGGGCCATCAGGACTTTTCGAGTCATCGACATTGATTCCACTCAGGTTCGATTCGGAATGTGGAAAGACTGCTTCAGAGAGCTTGGCAACCATCTGTTCCACGCGTTTGAGACGATTCTCGACATTGTTGCTGCCATTGACACCAGTTGAAAAGGTTGGCGCTGGAATTCGAGCCAAGCTACGCTTCGGGAGCTCACACTCAAGACTTGAATTGATGTTAGAGAAGATGACATAACAGTCGAGTGCCTTCCAGAATGCCAAATTGCGTGGACATGTGTAGCTGTAGAAACGCACAATGGTGTTGAGCAACAGAGTGTTGTCCATTGAGAGTGCGATTCTGATCGGCTCTCTAGCTACATCTCTGGACCAGAAACAATTGTGTCTCAGAGCAAAGTCACACCTCGCTCCAAGATGGGAGTTACAGGTTTTAGCAGCTCAGGGGTGGGAGACGAACTCGAGTACTTGACAGCGGTGGCATGCGTCAGCGTCCTGCGGGACTTCGCAGCGTGCTTTGGATGTGCGGCATGAAGTGCATGCTTTTCCAATACGTTGACGCTTTGCCGGTCGATTCTGCTCGTCCATGTCGACGCGATGGTTTCGATACACGATGTTGACAAGAAAGGGAGTTTGGTGAAAAATTGGTCGCCCAAAGTCAGGCTTGCGCGACATAACACGTAGGGTTAGCAACGCGCTGTTATCACGATGTCAACGATGTTGGCAAAACCACCTACTTTTGTAGTGGAGCTTGTTCGCTCCTTCCGTCGGGGTCTCGCGGAAGCGACTCAAGGGCCGACTTGCTTCTCATCAATCAACACATGAGTACGCCACGATAACATTGATGTCTTCCCGACTCCATTACAACCCGCAATAATAATACTATCGAGTGCCCCGACCTTTGGAAACAAAACAAAAGCAACTCAAACATATCGACGAGATCGACAAGCCAGGGCAATCATGGACAAACACAATGAGACTGTGAAACATATCTCGGATCGCCTGAAGGACTTGTACTCGCGGAAGGAGCACTTCCGAATTTTCCATGGCTCCACCAATTCGACAAGGAGCTATTCGGTGGATCAGAGCAGGATGATTGATACCAGCTCTCTGAATCATGTTCTCTCTGTGGACAAGTCAACCAGAACTGCATTGGTAGAGCCAAACGTGCCAATGGACAAGCTGGTTGAAGCGACCTTGCCCCTTGGCCTGGTACCACCAGTGGTCATGGAGTTCAAGGGCATAACTGCTGGCGGAGGGTTCAGTGGAACTGGAGGTGAAAGTTCAAGCTTTAAGCATGGCTCCTTCGATTGTACTGTCAATTGGATTGAGATTGTGCTAGCTGATGGAGAGATAACAAAGGCTTCTCCTAAATCGAAAGCGGACCTGTTCTATGGTGCAACCAGCTCGCTGGGTACGTTGGGAGTAACAACATTGATGGAAATTCAGCTCGTCGATGCGGAGAGATATGTTGAAACCACATACACTCCATGCAAGTCACTGGAGGAGACCCTGGAGAAGACAAAGACTGCTAGCAGCGATCTTGAGAACGACTACGTGGACGGCTTTCTGGTCTCCCTGCACAGAGGCATAGTCGTCACCGGTCGTTTGACATCTTCCATATCCCGTGAAACCCGCATACAGAGATTCCAAGGCCCTCGGGATCCTTGGTTCTATATACATGCGGATCGGACGACACAACAAGTCGGTGGACCAGTCACGGAAGCTGTGCCTTTGGCCGACTACCTCTTCCGTTATGATCGTGGTGCTNTTTGGATGGGCAAATACGCCTTCAGTTATTTCATGGTTCCTTTCAACCGCATAACTCGATGGGCCCTGGACGACTTTATGCAAACAAGCACAATGTATCATGCTCTGCATGCCAGTGGACACATGCAGCAGTATATCATTCAGGATCTGGCCATTCCTGCTGCAAGTGTTAAGGGTTTTATCGTTGCAGTCGACAAGACATTTGGATTCTATCCTCTATGGCTGTGTCCAATGAAGCCATGGAAACAACAATCTTCTTTCCATCCGCAAGCCATTAAGACTGATCTTCTGATTAACGTTGGTGTTTGGGGTCCGAATGGAGCGAACGGTCCGGCAGAAGTGGTGCAGCGCAACCGTCAGCTGGAAAATATTGTTCGGCAGCACGGAGGCAGAAAATGGTTATATGCTCAAGCATTCTATTCTGAGTCAGAATTCTGGGACATCTACGATGAGAAGTCCTATCGTGACCTAAGGAGCAAGTACAAGGCCGAGCATTTGCCTAGTGCTTTCGACAAGGCTTGCGTGAACAGTAGTGGTGGAAGTCTCCAGGGATGGGGTGATTGGACCAAGCAGAAGGTATGGTCTGTTTGGCCTATATCTGGCGTGTACGGAGTTCTACAGACATTGGTCAGCAAAGACTATCTACTCAAAAAGTGATGATAATACTAGTTGTGCATTGTTGGTGGAGAAGGTCTGAGCATGAAGATAACATACTGTACCTACTTATAATCAAGCTCCCACTCTACTCAAGTACAGCAGCAGTGAACAGTAGATTACCTTCAGACAGAATCTCCAAGCGTCCAAGCTCATACGTGAAGAGGTCATTTGATCAACTTTTGTTCAGCCTATCTCCAGCCTTTTGTGTTGTCAAAACCGACGTCATAGGGCAGGCCGTTTTGGTGGCAGGAACTGGAATCCAAGGCAACACCTTTGTGGCTTCCTGCCCCTCATCTCTCACAAACTTCATAAAGCTCTCACGACTCTCTTCACCTGCGTTCAAGACACCTGCACCAAACCACAACCTACCAATCACACACTCAAACATGCCTCTCGTAATCCCCGGAATGCAGTCCAGCGGCGGCGACGACAAGAACTCCAAGTGGATGGAACAGCTCATGGGCAAGAAGCTTGGCGACAGCAGCGATAACATGGTATGTGTCGGCTCTATATCCATGATGATCTGGAGGATAGTTGTTGACATGAATGGTACAGNNACTTTCGCAAAGAAGGACCTTCCCCAGCAACACCGCGTCGTCAAGGGCGACTCGATGATGACCATGGACCACAACCCCGATCGGTAAGCATAAAGAAGAGATACAAGACGACCAGAAGGAGACTGACTCAAGCCACAGTNNCTCAACATCCACGTCGGCGATGACGGTACCGTTCACAAGGTCACCCACGGTTAAGCTATCCTGAAGCTTGCTCGCACGATCAATAACCCAATCATGAAGACCACGAGAACAACAACGGCATACGACAAACGGGCATGGGGGTACATGGATCAGGAAACAGACAGTTATGACGATAAATGAAACAAATCACATATTCTCACCAACATATCAGAGCTTCACAAGGTTGACGTGTTTTCGACATTAGTGTTGCTGTAGCAAGCCGAGTATGCGAGTGAGGGTAATGCTCCTCTGCTGTTGGGAGCCGATATACGAAGCCATGCGTGATAGCGATGGAGACGGCAATGCACATGTTGCTCTTTCTGCAAGTTTTCACACCGCCATGTGCGACCGTCTAGGCTTCTGAAAATGCCGGTATACATTTGGGTATGCAGGGTCTCGCTCATGCGCGTATTTGTTCGCATCGCCCTGCAGTTTTCGTCAGCCCTTTCGCCGTTTGACTTTTGAGGCTCGGAAAAATCTTGCATCAAACTGTCTTGCAAGAACAAAAGCACGTGAAGAAAGAACCTGTCAGATATGAGAGCAGCTGTCAAGACGGCCGCTATACAAGTGACACCCACTCTGGGGGTGTCTCCGGCGAGAATGGTGCAGCCCCACACCCTCTGCCACGGCCGAATTGGCGGTCAGTCGGCTCCGGCGACTCACAACGAGTTGATTGCATTTTTGCCCCTCTCCATGCAGCGGGGCGGGCGGCAGCCATGGCGCATAGCATACGAACGAATATTCCCGGCTAGATGTGACTGATCGCAGTAAGTACAAGTGTGGCATTTGAGACGCGTTGGTGAGGCGTCTCTCCCCTTTCTTCTGTTCCCTTGAGCAAGTCGACGGCAAGGGGATTTTGAACAGAACCCTTGCTGCCTCTTTACATTGGTGTACTGCATATCAAGAGGGGAATACAGAGGTCTTTGAACAGTTGTTTGCATCACATCTCGATATACCTAGTCTTGTGACTGCTCCTTGATTCGCAGCGAATTATCAGCTTCCCTGCTNNTTGGTTTGGTGTCTTTTGATTGCACCTTCCCAGCCGCCGCAATTATTTCCCTGCTCGAAGGTACGAGGTAACCTAACACGCTCCTTTTACACTTCAGATCATCTTCGAGAGGCCCNNAGATCTGGAACGCAACCGTCGCATTTGCTACTCTTTTGGATCCTCTGGNCAAAAGAAGAAGCATCTGATGCAGTAGATTGAGATCAAANNATGGCGGTTCCTGTCGCGCGCGCGTTGTCGGCGCGTCTTCCGCAGTCCCTCGATCTGAAGCTTCCACCAACCAGCAACTTGACCCAACAATTGCTGCAGAAATGCGTTGGCCACGCATACAACGACCGCCACGATGAAACGTTTACGAAGACCCTCAAACTACCGGTCCTACCATCCCTCGACCTCGAAAAAGCACCACCAAATTACAACGACTGCGTAAACGACTGCCCACCAGATTATACGGATACCGATACCCTTGCGACATTGGATCTCGACCCGCCCGCTTATGCGCCATGCACATGTACATCACAAGAACATATGGACGAGACATCCCGCCCGACTGAACCAAAGGTCGACTTCGGATACCGCGACAACTTGCGCGAGCACAAGAAGAAGAAAAAGGCGCAGCAGCAGCAAAGAACAAATGGGACAGCGACAACGAAGAGGAGAAGAAGCCTGAAGGCGACAACACTGCTGATCAGCCAGGCGATGCTGGTGGCAATGGAGGAGCAGACGGTGCTGGAGAGGGCGGAGAAGGAGGAGGTAATGATGATGACGATCGGGACGACGGCAAGAAGAAGGGTAAAAAGGACAAGAAGAAGAGCGCTTTTAGCTGGGACGCCCTAGATGATGACGGGAACAATGACGAGGACGAGAAGAAGGATGATCCACCTGTTGAGGAAGCTCCTGCAGAGGAAGACGAGTGGGCAGGCTTCACGACCGCTGCCAGCAAGAAGAAGAAAAAGAAGGGCAAGGACACCGAACTCGATCCTCCACCCGACGATGGACCACCTCAAGNTTGATGTCGACTTTGGCAATAGCAATAGTTTCAGCTTCGGCAGTAATGGGGCCTGGGGAGCTAAGTCGGCAGAGGATCACGGATGGGCTACATTTGGCACCAGCAATAAGGACAAGAAAAAGACAAACGCTTTCGACTTTGGTTTCGGAGATGCTGATGGAGGCGAAATGCCTGGGGAATCTGCGCCTCCACCAGCAGAAGAAGAGGCAAAGACAGATGACAATCCTTGGGCTACGTTTGGTTCGGGAAAGAAGAAAAAGAAGGGCGGTGCTGTTGAAGAATCTCCACCTCCAGAACCCGAGCCCGAGATTATCGTTGTTCAGAGCCCAGACGAGCCTGCTGACGACTTCTCCTGGGGCATGAGTGCCAAAGACAAGAAGAAGGCGAAGAAAGCCGCCAAAGCCGCCGCAATCGCTGAGCCCGAAGCTGAACCTGAGCCTATTGTTGTCGTCGAGGAACCACTGCCTGAGCCCGAAGCTCCTGCCGAGCCCGAACCAGCTCCAGTAGAAGACTTTACCTGGGGTATGAGTGCAAAGGACAAAAAAAGGCAAAGAAGGCTGCGAAAAAGGGAGGTAATGCTTTCGAATTCATCGCTGAGCCAGNAAGCTGAGCCTACTCCTGTTCCAGAGCCTGACCTCGAGCCGCCAGTCGTCGAAGTCATCGAAGACCTTGCTCCACCCGCTACTGAGACGGAACCTGTGGATGACTTTTCTTGGGGAATGAGCGCAAAGGACAAGAAAAAGGCAAAGAAAGCAGCCAAGAAGAGCGCATTTGACTGGTCAGAGCCCGATGTTCCTGCAGCGCCAGACCCGCCTCCCGCTGAAGAAGCACCACCTGCTGACGATTCTACCGCCCTTGCTATCCCAGAGCCCCCACAAAATGACTGGCTCGGCTGGGGCACTGCCGGCAAGAAGAAGGATAAGAAGATCGCCGAAGAGGTTCCACCAGAAGTACCTCCACCTCCGCCCGCTGCTCTCAAGCCTGCTGTCGAAGAGAGCAGTAGCTCATGGTCATTTGGTTGGGGTTCATCTTCGAAGAAAGACAAGAAGAAGAGCAAGTCCCCTGAACCCGATCCTGTTCCTGTGCCCGAGGCTGTGCTTGAAAAAGACCCTGTCGTTATGGTTCCCGAATCTGTCGACGAGCCAAAAGTCGAAGAAGACGACTGGGCGGGCTGGGCTACTGGANAAAAGTCAAAGAAAAAGGGTAGTAAGAATACACCTGTCGAGGTCGTAGAGCCCGTGTACGATGTTCCTGTTCAGCAACCTGATCCTGTGCCTGCTGAAGAAGATGCATGGACTGGATGGAGCGTGGGTAAAAAGGAGAAGAAGAAGAGTAAGAAGGGTGATGACATCCTACCACCTCCATTGCCTGCGATCGAGCCACCACCTATGGGTATTATTGAGTCTATTCCTCCTCCTCCTCCACCACCAGAATTCGAGCCTGTTCTCGAACAAGCACCCGCCGATGATCCTTGGGCTTCGTTTTCGACTAAGAAGAGCAAAAAGGATAAGAAGAAGAAGGGCTCAAGCGTCGAAGAGCCGAAGGCGGTTCTCGAAGTACCGCCCCCACCTCCTGAACCTGAGCAACTCCTCGACCTACAAGAACCTGGAATCGAGCCCGAACCTATCTTTGTGATCGAGTCTCTACCTGCTGAAGAGCATGTCAAAGAGGTCAAGAAGAAAGAAGTCAAGACATCTTCTGGCTGGGGTAGCAGTTTGTGGGGTAGCTCGAGCAAGTCCAAATCCTCGTCCAAGGACAAGGAGAAAGAGAGGGAAAAGGAGAAAGAGAGAGAAAAGAAGGACAAGGAGGAAAAGGAACGCCAAGAACTTGAAGCAGAAGAACAGCGCAGAGCAGATGAGGAAGCAGCATTTGCAGCAGCTCTGGCTGACGAGCCTGTTGACTTACTTCTCGATTCTCAACCTCTGGTTCAGGAACCCGCCACGACAGGCTATTGGGGTACGTTTCTGAAGCCAACCACAACCAGCAAGACCGTGGAGGACCCCATCGTTCCCAAAGGTAAGGTTGACACTGGTGCCAAGGAGTCCGTCAAGGACAGAATCAAGCGATTACAAGGCGAGGCTACCAAGGAAAAAGTGGTTGTGGTACCACCCNCTCCTCTGCAACCAGAGCTGCTCCCTGAACCTGAGGTTTTCGTGGTGCCCGAACCTGAAGTCATCATCGCGCCTGAACCGCCCGCGGCTGAAGAAGTACCTGCTAAGAGATCATCAAAGGATAAGAAGAAGAAGAAAGGCAAGGAGAAGGAACTATCACCTCCACCTACACCAGCTGCTATCGAGATCCCTCCGGCTGTTGTTGGAGTGCCTCCTTCTTTGAGCCCTATTCCGGGTGGCTTCCCTGAGGATGACGTTGAAATTGATGCGTTGGCTGATGTACCTGCTGTACCACCAACCATTGTCGTTGGTACCTCGGCTGGCGCACACGTCAAGCCACCTCGGACTCACGTAGTGATACCACCTCCGATCGNNAGGCCGTCATACCATCGGAGGAAGTGATGCCCAAGTCTTCCTCTGACAAGAAAGCCGTCAAGGACAAAAAATCTTCTGTCAAGAAGGAAGTCAAGANAGCCCACGAAATCTTCGCGCCCGACAATCATTGATCTTGCTGCGCCAAGTACACCTGCTGCTGAAACCAAGTCTGAGAAGAAGGAACGACCGAAAGTTGTTCGTGACCCGACTGGAAGCTCACATTGGGGTCTGTGGGGAACAACACCCAAGGCAGAGCCAAGGAAGGAACACAGGCACAGCAAAGACACGACAACTCCGACCACCAAACAACCAGCCGCTCCCGGACTCACGCGATCAAAATCAGCACGCAAGCCCAACGAACGGGATTTTATGGACAAAGCCGACAAAACTTCTAGCGACGACAAACAACCAAGAAAAGCCAGCAGAGATCCTTCAACCCCAGCTAAAGCCATGGGATTCAGTCTGTTCGGACCTACACCCACAAGATCACGGTCGATGCGACAATCAACCTCTGCGCAACAGCCTGCTCAGGTCAGAGAGTCGCGCCGTTCTCTCGATGTGTCATCTCCGCCTGGCGACATTGCGAGCAAAGCAGCGAAGTTGATGGGTCTTGGACCTCGACCATCACTCAGTCGCAGTCAATCTACGCGCGAAAAGCGCAAGTCACGCATTGTCCCAGATCCTTACGCTATTGATCCCGACAACACACCCGATGATGCCACTCATTCCGCGTCTGTAGACAGGTCCAGCAGTCATCGCACGAAAAGATCCAGCCGAAGTGATCACAAGCACAACAAACGCGATTCAGCCATGATGTCCGGCGGATTAGGACCTTCTGATGGCGATGGAGCAGATCCCATGACGGCACCTGAAGACACACCATTTGTAACACCTTCCCGGCCAATGCTCAAACGCTCAGCGACCACCAGCACCAGAAAGCCAGCAGGCGGCCTCTTCAGCAACATCATTGACTCACTCAAACCAAAGCCTTTGGAGGAATTGTCGCGCCGTCATCGTAGCAGTCGTGCATATGATAGCGAGGATGGTTCCACACGTCACCACAAACACCGCACACCACACTCTTCGCACCGCGCCGAGGATGAGGACGATAAGCGCCATCTCCGCCGCGAACACAGACGAGTTCATCGACCTGAAGATGCCCCGGCCACTCCAGTAGACGAAGACCCGCAAACACCAGCAGCGGACAACACGCAGTTTGAAGACCGCGAACGCCGGCGTGCAGAGCGTCGGGCCAAGCGTGCAGCATTGGAAGCGGCGGAGGAGGACCTGCGTACGCGCGAGAAAGCCACCAGACGCCGAGAGCGCGAAGACGCTGAACGCGCCAGACAAGACGAGGAAGACCAACTTAGACGTCAACGACGAGCAGAACGTCATGCCTCACGCCGCTCGAGTGCCGTTGATACGGACCGGAAACCACATCTGCATCGCTCTTCTACAGCACCTGTACAATCTTACTTTGACTCGCGTGCATCTAATCGCGATGCGAATGGTCGAGACCTTCGCAGTCCTCCCAAAGACAAGACATCTTCTTGGGTCCACAGCGTTACTTCATCACCTCCACTACCTCCGCCTCTCCAACCCACAATACTGGATTTCCCTCCCACCGATCCAGCTGCTGAAGATGCCGAATTACGCGACGACGAAAGCACGGCTCGCGAACTCCGCCGTCGTCATCGCCGCGAACGCGAGTCACGCGGTGTTGAAACAGAGGAGGATCGTAAGAGACGCAAGCGCAAGGAATTGCGTCGACGAGAGGAGGAGCTCGCCTTCCGCAATCACGAGGGTGGGACCAGAAGGGATGGAGAAAGTAACAAAGCCTACAATAGCCTTGGGTATGAAGGGTTTGAGACACAACGAACATGGGATGGAAGAGTTGTCGGGACCGACGCAAGAGGAGGAGTCAAAGAAGAGATTGCTAGACGTACTCAGGGGTGGTTCAAGAAAGTTGCTGGGTTGTGAAGTTGATAACGAAACGTTGGCAAGGAACCGTGGAAGGAGGCATAGCTTTCGGGATACACGATGCACGATTGTTATGAGTTGGATGATTTAGGAGATTGATGCAGGAACGAATAGCATAGACGGAAGCAGGAAGCCAGGATGCAAGAGTGTAATGCATATTCATATTGCATAACATTTGTGCAGATGTGCATATCTGTGCACCTACCGAATCAGGCAGGTTGAAGAGATACCCAAAGAAGCAAGTCCAACCTGCACTCCCAGTGATATCGAGTATAAGTACTTTCAGCGACCTCAATCATGCCTTTCCCTTCTCTGCTCGTCTACTCTGCATCCGTCATATCATGCGTACCATAGCAGCAGCCTCCCTGCTCCTTGCAGCAACATCTCCGTTGGTCTCAGCACATGGCGACCACCATCACCACGCCCAACGAGATTTCACTCCTGCTGAATTGAAAGAGCTCCAGGATAAATGGGGCACTGATTTCGGCTTTGGTGGCATCAGCACGTTTGCGCATCTACCTCACCATAAATGCTTGACGAACCCGCAAACGCCATTCGACATCGGCATCATCGGAGCACCATTCGATACTGCTGTTTCCTATCGTCCTGGCGCGAGGTTTGGTCCCCGCGCCATTCGCGCGGCCTCCGCGAGACAGACTGCTCTGCGTGGATATAACCCGCGAGCAAGTCTCAACCCGTACACTTCGTGGGCTAACGTGGTCGATTGTGGTGACATTCCCATCACGCCTTTCGACAATGGATTGGCTTTGCGACAGATGAGCGAAGGATATAATGAGCTCGCGACCAGGGTAGCTGTTCCTGAGAATGTGGACTCAGCAGCGACCTATCTGCAGACCGCAAAGATTGTCACTTTGGGCGGTGATCACAGTATTGCTCTTCCGGCATTGAGGGCTCTAAACAAGAAGTACGGCAAGCCCGTTGCAGTTGTGCATTTTGACGCTCATTTGGACACCTGGCACCCTTCTAAATACCCTTCCTACTGGCTCGACCTCGATGACCCCTCAACTCAATCCTTCTTCACCCATGGAAACATGTTCTGGATGGCTGCAACGGAGGGCTTGATCGCTAACGGCTCCTCCATTCATGCCGGTCTCCGTACCAGATTGTCAGACGAAGACGACTACACAAACGACACGGAGCAAGGCTTTGTACGCATCTCTGCAGACGACATTGACGACATCGGCACGAAAGGAGTCATCTCAAAGATTCTATCTACGGTTCCCGCGGACTATCCTGTTTATCTCTCTATTGATATCGATGTCATTGATCCTGGTCTTGCGCCTGGTACCGGTACTCCCGAGCCCGGCGGTTGGACTACCAGAGAATTGATCCGTATCCTCAGGGGTATTGAGGGACTCAACGTGGTCGGCGCTGATGTTGTGGAAGTTTCTCCAGCATACGATTCTCAGGCTGAAACTACCGCACTTGCTGCCGCTCAGGTTGTGTATGAGATTGTTACTTCTATGGTTAGAAGAGGCTTGATGGAGTTGGCAAGGACAAAGCAGGATGTCGTCAAGGACGAGCTGTAGACGAGTAATGTCCTATGCTTGAAACCCAAAATTGGACCATCTTGGAAGCGTTATGATGCGTGTTCTCCTGGCAAGACGCAAGATACTATGCAAACTATAAGAATGCAGAATCATGAATGTTCAAAATACATGTAAAGTACAATGACCGAGAGCAGACATACAGAGAACATCAGCAAACTCAACTTCTCCACTTCATAACCATGCAACCAGGACAGCAAATGACTCTACCTTGGCAAGTTGAAGGATAAGATATGGATTGGATGCAGAAGGAACAGGGTGACCCTTGCCATTCAGATCACGACGTCATTGTCAACCACGCGCGCATCACCATTTGACACACCTCACCTCCGTCCATGCTGTTTCCCTCAAATTTTCTACTGAAATCACAAGACGAATCCATCAATCCATCGTCCATCATGCCTGAAGTACATGCCTTTTTGCACAACATCGTCCCGTTCAAGACCTAACGCGTCTCGCAGATCGGAGAAGTAGCGCGCATCGTCCACTTTCTACGCAAACACTGCGCAAACAAAGTCATCTCGGCTGTCCAAGTTCAAGAAGATAACATTGTGTATGGCAAAGTCGGAACCTCGGCCACAGCTTTTCAAAAGCCATGACCGGCAAGAAAATCCTGGACGCCAAACAACAGGGCAAGTATTTCTGGCTGGAGATGGAGGGGAAAACGCATCCTGTGATGCATCTGGGCATGACTGGCTGGATCAAGTTCAAGAATGATGATACGAGTCATTATTACCGCAAACCGGATGACGAAAACAAACCTCAGGAGTGGCCGCCGAGGTTCTGGAAGTTCATCTTGCAGCTGGAGAATGACAGTAACGAGATTGCGTTTGTTGATCCAAGGAGACTGGCTCGTATCAGAGTTGTGGAAGCAGAAGCAAAAGAATTGCGCAACACCACGCCGCTAAAGGAAAACGGACCTGATCCAGTCATCGACAAGGATATCCTGACGGAAGCTTGGCTGGAGGAGAAGTTGAAGAGCAAGAAAGTGCCTGTCAAAGCACTGATGCTTGATCAAGCCAACATCTCTGGCATAGGCAACTGGGTTGCTGATGAAATCCTGTATCAGGCGAGAATTCACCCTGAGCAGTACAGCTATACCTTCTCCTCTGCTCAGATTGCAGCATTGCACAAAGCGATGATGGACGTTTGTGGTACTGCGGTTGGTGTATTGGCAGACAGCAGTCAATTCCCGGAGTCTTGGCTAATGAGATATCGCTGGGACAAAGGCAAGAAGGACAAGAACGTATTGCCCAATGGCGATAAGATTGTGCATCTGAAGGTTGGAGGCAGGACTTCGGCTATCGTACCAAGGCTGCAGAAGAAGACTGGCAAAGTGGCTGGAGATGTGGGATCTGCGGACGAAGTGTCGGAAGATGCGGCGGACTCGCAAGAAGACTCGACATCAGACGTGCCAAGGATGATACCTCATCCCAAGATGTCGAAAGCTAAGGCAAAGAAGCTACTGATCGCCGACGAAATCGCTGTGGCTGAGGAAGCTAAATCCAAGCGCACTCGAACAACAAAGCGAAAGGCCAATTCTGATAACGTCGATGCAGATGCAGGTGTCAAGGAGGAGGAGCAAGAATACGTCATGCCGACCAAGAAGAGACAGACCAAGACAATCCAAGCAAACGGTAGCAAGACGACAAAACCCAAGGCCGCGAAGAAGGAAGTCAAGACCGAAGACGCTGTTGCTGAAGAAGGAACAAGAAGAAGATCAGGCCGCCTATCAGGAAAGGTCGTCTGAAGCTGTGTCTATCTTCGATGCCATAATATACAGTTAAACAGAGGACAGAGCATTGGAAACCGTCATTATCATCATATCCTGAGGTCTCAGTCTACATTACTCTTCCATAACCTTGACCAGCCACTCTAATCCTTCCTTGCCCTCCTTGATTCCATAGGTCCATGCCAACACAAAACAATGCATCAAGCCCTCCCAATGCAGCCATCTACCCACAACACCCTGCTCCTTACAAAGCTCTGCAAGATGTCTCGCTGGTGGTGCCAGCACATCCGCGCCTGCAGTAATGCCATAAATAGCAACTCCCCTCTCCCTGAACACATTCACATCGGCCAGCACAGGCGAGATCCAAGACGTCTCAGGATCAGCCCCACGACTCCAGTTCTCCGCCGTACCATTCGTAAAATCGATACCCAAAAGTGGATCCTTTTTGTCCGCTGCAACCAACTGCTTCTCAAATGGTGACGAAGGCACAGGCTGCTTCCTCAGGTCGACCGCTGGAGATATCAAGACCAGTTTTTGAGGGACTGGTGCCGATGGTGTGGACGAAAGAACCTTGACTATCAGGCCCAAAGCTACGTTTCCTCCTGCAGAGTCACCGGCAAAGATGGTTTCTGACATCTCCTTCTCCGCTTCAGTGACTGGTAACAGATATGGGTATAGTCTTTCCAGCATGACCATTGAATCTTTAGCAGGCGAGTTGGGCGCCAAAGGGTAAGATACAATCGTCACAACTGTGTTCGGCACCCGATAGCATAGCTCAGCGCAGAGTTTCCAGTGCTCGGGACTTGGCGGCATCTGCCAACCTCCGCCTGCAAAGTATATTATGTTCCTCCTTTTCATCCCAGATCCCTCTTTCGTCGATGAGAGTATCTTGGGCTTCATGTCGTAGAGCCATATCCCTTCTATTTGTCTTTCGGTCACATTGCAACGTTTCTTTGCAGTCTTGTGGACGTCGAGGTATGGTGATCCGGCTGGTAACTCCTTCTTAGGTTTGATTAGATGGGGGCGGAATGGTTTGATGATTGTCTGGAGAAGTGAGATTGGTGTTGACTTGTCGGATCGTGTTGATATTTCCATTGTGCTGGTGTGCTGTGGTATTGTCGCCATGTCTTATTTTGTGACTGTTGTGAACGAGAAGAGCCCAAAATTCTTTCCAATGGACGTGTTGTTTGTCCAGGGCCAGATTTATATACGTATGTTGCTTTGTTATGATAGAGAGATGAACAGAGTACGAGAAGGGAGAGAAACATAGATATATGTTATGACGTATTGATTTCATTTTTTATGGTTTCAGACCTCCGACTGCGCAATCGAGTAACCAAATAGGTTGTCTATCTCTTAGACCCGAGTCAGAGCCTGAAATCAGCATTTAGTCCCATGACATATTGATATACTGCCAGCATCTCGAGCAATGCGATCCAAACAAGGTATATAACTTTTGGACTGAGATTGACGTCATCCTGGGATTGCGGCTGGGACAACCCTGGTCTTACCTCGACAGACAGACACCAAAGCTATCACGCATCAGCGTCAATATTCGTTTTGTAGACCCTGTTCCCAGAAACTATTCAAGGAGGAACACGAACATGACCTTAGCCGAGGGCATCTCGAGGAGTACGAGTACGGCATCACAAAAGGTGCTGCGCCGCAAATGTGTGGACGAGCATCGTTTTCCCTGAACACAGACACACCTGAGAAGACATTCAATCCCTGCAGAAGGATCGGGATGGTACCGTTGTTCTCAAGGATATCCAGACGATCGCCGACGCTCGCAAAGCTGCAGAGCTCGATTTGGCAGGAATTGTTGTTAGCAATCTTGGTGGCCGTCAACAAGAGGGACTATCGCTTCTATGACAATGCTACCCCATATACTTGTTGCCGTTGGTGACAAGCTCGACATCTCCTTCGACAGCGGTATCCGTTGTGGATAACATCAAGGCAATTACATTGGGTACGAAGTGTGTTCTTGTTTACGGTGTTGCTATCGGAGGGCAGGGCGAAGTTTGAGTTCGCTATTTAATGCACCGGAGTCACCCGACGGCCTGGAATCTGCCCCCGTTGCTCGGCCGTCATTTGTCCTCTTTGGCGCGGACATGCTCATCTCTAAGTTCAGTCATCAGCTGTAGCGCGCAGATGAGCAAGCGATCTCTTGGAGGGCATCAGAATTTGCCCTTGCTGAAGAGGAACCGCAAGACTCTGTCATGCAACAATTGTCGTCGCCAAAAACTCAAATGCGACCGTGAAACTCCTACGTGTAGCAGATGCGGCTCAACAGGCAATGCCGAATCGTGTACTTATGGCCGCCTAGAAACAGATCTTTCGCGGTCTTCCAATGGCGGCGACGATGAAGTCAATCTTAACTCTTTGGTATGATGCAGTTCAAGTCGAAGTCCCTTGCCGCGTCCCTGTTGGCTAATCATCGCCAGCATGCGGCGGAAGAACCAGCGACCATCCTAAACAATGCTTTCTCCCCCGTGGCGAATACTGACAAACAACCATTACATGCGACGCACTGTGAGAATATTCCCGAGACTCTGGAGAACAGGCAACCATCAATAATGTGGCGCGGCCAGGAACCGCAATCCACTACGGCGGACACGACTGCTTCTACGAGAACCAAGAAGGAGAAGAAGGAGACTATGATTTACCGTGGCAAGCTATTCGAGACTCAGTATTTTGGGCCGACCCATCCCATTAGTTGGGGCGCTCGCGTATGTCTTATTCTTCCACTAGCCTCTGGTCCAAGACTGATCGCATTAGTTCCCTGAATTACAGACGTTCATGGTGGAGTCTATAAGTCGAGATACGACGCTTGCACAAGTCCAGAGGTCATTGAAATCATTGCAGCTGCAATGGAAGCAGGCCAAATCGACTTTAGTTACCTCGGGGGAGATCGACGTTCAACGCTTGGTCAGTCTTCTTCCTGATCGGACGACAACAGATCGCCTAGTACAAGTTTACTGGAGAACCTTCGAAACCATTCACCGCATACTATATAAGCCTGACTTTTGGGCTGACTACTATGCTCTCTGGGAGAACCCCTTGGCTGCCTCGGCCGAGTTTCTTGTTACGGTGCTTCTCGTTGTGGCCACGGTAAGTTGCATTTGCTCTGAAGAGCACATGTCATACATCGGCGACAGCTCTAGTCTACGCGAACGAGCTATCGCCTTGGTGGAAGTATGCGAGTTTTGGCTCGAACGTCAAAGTCAAAAGAACATCTCGCTAGCCCACTGGCAATGTCGCTGTCTTCTTTTACTTGCAAAGATCTCCAATACAATCAAGAAGAAACAGACGTGGAACATTGCTGGAAACCTCCTTCGGCAAGCAATGTCTGCTGGTTTTCACAGAGATCCCAGTCTATTGGGAACACCAATGAGACAGATCGACCAGGAGATGAGGCGTCGCTTATGGGCGACGATCGTCGAATTGGAGCTCCAGATTTCTATCGAGAGGGGAATGCCTTCTATGTTAACCAGTGTGACCTGGGATACCGCGAACGCGCTTGATGTGCTCGATGAAGAGCTCGATCAGAGTGGCAAGGGGAGGCATAGCCCGCATTCCACTGTATCGTCCTTGCATTCTAGCAGAGCAAGCCTCTCTCTACGTTTGTCCTTGACTGCTGCGATTAACGATACGCATTCGCCTCTTACGCATGACGACGTACTGAAGTACGACGAGCAATTAATTTCCCATCTCCAACAGCTTAATTCTAGAAAATCGTCTTCCGAGGAACATGAGTCCAGCGCCCGAGACGCTCTCAGTGAAACGGTTCTTGACCTTCAGCTTCGACAGTTTCTGCTGTTGCTACATACACCCTTCGCCATAGAACGACAGCCGAGTTCTCGATCCTCGGTTTCCAGACTAGCCTGTCTCAATGCCGCAAGCATCGTCATCGAATCATGCTTGAAACTTTCGAGGACTGACTACAATTTCATCTCATTGACGCGAACAGATCTTTTCCGTTCGGCTTTTGTTACATGTCAGGTCATTGAGGCAATGAGAGGTCTTCAACGTAAGTGATCGATTGTGATCATGCGCGTTGTGGTGTCGACTGACAGATCTCAGATGAGATGCTCCTTCAGCGCCTGGGTAATTCTTTGCAGGGAAACGTGGAAGTAGTGCTTGCAAGACTTGGTGAAAACATAACACAACTAGGCACTGGATTTACTCACTACTGGTACATATCAGCTGCTAATGGATTATTGAGGTCCAGATCACCCTTGGCAAACGTCCAGGTTGAACAGAAGATCGCCGTGGATCAGGTGATCAAGCAATACTATAAAGTACTGGCCACGCAGGAAGACGTATCCCCTTCACTGGCCATCACTAAATATCGGCAGATATATGGGGTTCGTGAGGCACCTTACAGGACTAAGTATCATACTAACGAACATGTAGGTGACGGAGAACCGATCGAGCATTGTGAATCAAGACATGAATATGTTCATGGCCAATGTTGGAATCCCTCAGGTGAGAACCAGATGAAGAATTTGTGGAACGAGATCTTGACTAAGCCGATTCCTCTGCAGGATTATAACATGCTTCAACCTATCGACCCGCATGTAGACGAGTTCTTCTTCGGCGATCCGGCGGCTTGGACATTCGAGAACATATAGTCCTGAGATCGACACAGGTCCTGACAGAACAAGCGATGAGTTTCTCTGTCCGAGAACAGAGCTCTCTTGATGGAAAATAGAGCTGTGTTACCCAAGAACATTCTCAGCGAATCGTCTGAGTGTACGATCGACGGCTTGGTTCGAAGTTGTTCTCTGGTCAGCCATGGACTCGACTATCTTAGTACCGTTCAACACTGGCCATCTGTCGTGGTGAGGTTCATCTGCTCCGCGCGAGACTTTGAGCAAAACAGACCATCTCCTTCACGATAAAGCCGAAACCTATCGCCTCATGACCATGCGCCTATGGAAATTCGCTTGTGGTAACTCCGATTGGTTCTATTCTCGGAGATAGCAACACTGAAGCCCTGATATCTCGGAGTTGTAGAAAGTGTTCGGCTTTACGTTCTTAGACAGCTACACCCTCAAATATCGTTCTGCTTGACCTGCATCACCTTCGTCTTACCACTCGTCGCCCAGCGGACACCCTCGCCTTGTACCATCCCACCCACGAGTTTGCGCCAACTTCTTCTCACATCGGCGTTTCGTCTTAAAAAAATCCACGTGATCTAACTTACGGAGTTTTGATAGGGTCATCAACATGACACAGATGTACGTGGAGTTCAATTCGATCTCTGCAGCTCCGCTTCTAACCAAAGTTCCACCCAGTACCCCATCTGGACATCCGATAACCAAGGAAGTCAACTTGGCCCAATTGGAATGCACGGATGACAAGCCAGACGAGGTATCGAATCATGTCTCAGACGATGAGGACCACTCAAAACTTCGCCGAGTTGCTGGAAAGATGCCCATGGCTGTATGGCTGTTGTCTGTTGCCTCGATGTGCGAACGCTTTGCATACTATGCATTCCTTGGACCTCTGCGTATGAAGGTCCCCTACATGTATGCAAAAACTGCAACTACTGATACGCGCTTTGCCAGAAAACTATGTGCAAAATCCGCCAAAAGACTCGTTGAGACCAGGTGCTCTAGGATTGGGCGAATCCAGAGCATCTTTGTTCGTCACACTGTTCCTGCTCATTAGCTATTTGACACCTACTCTGGCCGCCGTGGTGTCCGACAACTACCTCGGCAAGTTTAGAACGATAACCATCTCATTGGTGTATGTGTTTCATTGGACCTAGAAATTTTCAGCAAGCTGTACTAATAGAGTAACAGGCTGTATGCGATTGGCCTCATGATTATGACCGTCACATCTGTTCCTACTCTACTCGAACGAGGCTCTGGTCTACCAGGGTTGATCGTCGCTATCATAGTCATCAGCCTGGGTACCTCCGGTGTAAAGGCATCTCTGCCGCCTTTTTTGGGTAAACAAGATACCTGTCTGCCTCTCTAAACATTGATGTCTAATTCATCACCAGCTGAGCAGTGTGGCGCCTCGGAGAATCACATCGAAGAGACCAAGAACGGTGAAAGAGTCGTTGTGGATGCTGACGCCACACGTGAATATGCTTTCAACATATATTACTGGTACGCTGTTGGCCCTGACACGCCAATCCGAGGTTTGAGCTGACCTCGACCACTCAGGTGTGTGAATATCGGAGCCCAATCCCGCATTCCTGCGACCTTCATAGAAAAAAGTGCGGGATTTTGGCTGGCATACCTCATGTCCACGATATCACTGTGTATCTCCTTGTCGATCTTCGTCGCTTGTAGAAATCTATTCAGTAAGGTGCTTGTGTCGGGATTTTCATCACAAAGGTGCTAAAAATCTTCAGTCCAGGAAGAAAGGCAAGCCAGCGTATTACCACAGGCACGCCGCGCTCTTACTATTGCATCCAAGCACGGCTTCAAGATGGATGCCGCGTTGCCCGGCACTGTTCTAGAGCGTGACAACGAAGTTGTCTCCTGGACTGACTCTTTCATCGGAGAGTTGAAGACGGGTCTCGTCGCTTGCCGTGTCTTGTAAGTCGCAGCATAGTGGCTCGCATATTGTTACCCGTATGCTCATCCCTAACCAGCATTGCATTCATGATATTCATACTATGTCAGAATCAGATGTCCACGAACACCGTCTCTCAAGCAGGAGAGATGAGGACTCACGGCGTACCCAACGACCTTCTACCCAATGTCAACTCGATCGCTGTCATCCTGCTGATGCCAGTCCTGACCCACTTTTTGTATCCTTCGCTTCGACGATGGAACATCGCTTTCCCTCCAATTACTCGCATGGCGGTGGGGTTCGGGTTTGAAGCATTCGGCATGGGGTATGCCGCGGGCATTCAAGGCTGGATCTACAGCTCTGGACCATGCTATGACCATCCGCTCGCTTGTCCCGACTCGAACAATGGCATGATTCCAAACGACGTCCACATCGCAACACAAATCCCCGTCTACATCCTCCAGGGTCTGAGCGAATCCTTTGCCTTTCCTGCTTGCTACGAGTACGCATACACCAAGGCGCCGAAAAGTATGAAGTCCATTGTACAATCGATCCTTTCGCTGTCATTCGCCGGCGCTGCCATCATTGGGTTGGCTTTGAGTCCGACTTATCACGACCCGCATCTCCTCGTCATGTACGCAAGTCTCGCTGGAGTCATGTTTCTTACTACGGTCATATTCGTTCTGGTCTTCTGGAAGTACAACAGGACGGAAAATGAGATGAACGCCAAACTCAGAGCTTGAACCATTCGATGTCCACTAATGTCTGATAAGTAGACATGCCGAATCAGAGGTTGTTCGATCAGTATACATGCACGCAACATCTCGTAATACTGGTTGTCTTGGATGAGCCTGCCCTTGTATGATGAACGTCAAAAGTCACGGATCAGATGGGAAGATTGAGATCAGAGTCAAAGCCTCCAACGAGCGTTGCCGGAGAGAGCTTGTGATCTTTTCAGGCTGCAGTGATTCACAAAAGACCTCAGTCATTCGGTGCCGAGCAAACGTTGAGTTTGTATTCGTATTGACTGGCAAAAGGCCTTCAACCGTTCAATGCAAGACAAGCGTCGACTGCAGACCCGACCCGCCCTTCCTTCATTCTCACAACATCACTAATTACCTCGCGATCCAAGTCTGGGAACATGCCTTGTAATGTNTCTGTCATCGTGTTAGCAATGTTGTTGTCACTCTTGACAACACGTTCAACTTACTCAACAACGACCTGATGTTCCTGCGCTTGCACCCTCTGAGCCTCTGCCATATCCGTGCTCGCCTGTCTTGCTGCCGAGTCCTGAGAATTACGGCCACGACTAGACTCGAAACTCCTCGCTCTATCAACATCCGGTCGTTCGGGACTGCGTAATCTGCGAGTGTCTTCGGCACTCTTGCGGTGTTGCGGTAGTGCTGGCAGACCAGGTGAGAGTCTGGGCGTAGAGATGGGTTGAGGCGTAGGGAGCTGTCGAGGGGATGAAGACGAGGGTTGGCTATCGTCGCTGAACATGCGGCCGATAGTGGACAAGGGCTTCTGGATTGTGCGAAGCAGTCCTGTCACAGCCGCGTTCTCATCTTCGGGTTCACCAGCAGAGTTCTTGGAGCGTACACTGCCTCCTCTATGTAACGGTGTTCGCTCACCCTCGGTGCTGTTCCTTGTGTTTACTTCGGGCCTGCTCAGACTGCTCTTCTCGTTCAACTGAGGATGTGTGGGGTGTGACGAGCTTGCGGTGGCCTTGTCATGCGTTGTGGCTTCGTACTCGTCTGCTTTATGACCTTCGGCGATTTGGCTGACTGCAGCCTCGACATTCTTCTCGAACTCCTCATCCGTGATGGTCAGATTGGTACGGTCGAGATTCTCGATGAACGTCACGACACCCATCAAGGAGGAAATGTAATATCCAGCCTCTCCTCCCAGCTTATCCTGATTCCGGAAGCGTAAGATGTACTGCACGTTGCTGACCAGATGGTCGGGGTTGGCGCGGAGGACGGTGTAGATGAGAAGTGGTACGAAGGCATCGGCCGATTGGTCGCTTTTGTTGTTCTTGAGGTAGCCGAAAATGACCTTGCACGTGTTCAGAATGCAGATGACCTTGTCGCGAGGGGCGCGATACGAGCCAATCTTGAGCAATTCTTGCTGTGCCAGGACGAGGAAGCGACGACCTTTGTCGGTGATGGGGGCAATGTCAAGATGTTCCTCTCGGATCCAGCCGTAGATTCTAATCTTCTGAGCAATCACCTCGTCTCTTTCCACGTCTTCCTGGTGCTGGCCCCTCCTGCCTGGACCGTGGGGTGAATGTGTTTGATGGCGGAAGCGTTTCTTTGTGGGAGAGCTGACTTCTTGAGCAGGAATGGCGGGCGAAAAGGTCTGCGAGTAGAGTCTGTTCATGACCAGCTTCTCCATGCCCTCTCTAGCATTGTCAAACTCGGCATCGCTGACAGTCCTCCACACCTCGCATTGTGCCATCTTTTTGGAGATAAACTCGAGGAAGTCGGAAATGATCTTGACCTGCTCGTGGACGGCCCACTGTTTCTTGCCAAACTCATTAAGAAAGGATCTGAGGAAGCGGGCGACGGGGTCGGCTGTGCGATGACGGAGTTGCTCGAGGAAGCGGTGGAAGTCGAAAGGAAGAGCGGGCTCGGGATCTGGAGAGGGCGGCGGTGGCTGGAAGATGGAGGATGCAGGGCGTGGAGAGTCGGTGCGGTCGGGCTGTTGGATGCTGACACCAGAGATGGAACCTGGACGAGCAGCGGCGGGGCTGAAGATGTAGCTGTCGCGAGATTGTGTACGCTGCAGTTTCGGGCTTGTCATTGCGCTCGGCGAGGGTGAGGGATCTAGACTCGAGGTGCGCATGGGGAGGTTCGACATGTCGAGGCGAGGTGACATGATCTTCTGCAAGGCCGGGTCTGCGACATCGTCGTCCATTTCGTCCATGATGTTGGCAAGCTCGTCGTCCGGAGCATTAGGATACTGCTGGCGCAGAAACTTGTCATCTTTCGGCGGCGGTGGTGGAGGTGTTGGCGAGCGCACTCTTTCCTTCTCTTTCTCCTTGTCTTCTCGCTTCTCTGGTTGCTTCTCGTTCAGGTCCAGCTCTTGCGTCTTGTCTGCCAAGTCATGATTTGCTGTTGTCGGTTGTAAAGTGGGTTGGGCATCCTCTGAAGGGATACCAAGGTCAACCAAGACGTTTTGCTCCTTCTCTGAGTCCATGTTATAGGATTATCTTCAGCTGCCTTGTTGCATTCCAGTGCTGACGGCGGGCCAACAACTTAAGTCCGCAGCTTACGGATGCAACAATGCCGGATATTTGTCCAAATGTCAAGCTCGGTAGATATGGTGTGCGTGCAGTGGACGCGTAAGTGGGCGGAGTATGAGAAGAGTATTAGATATTAGGCGTGTTCGTTGCAGATCAAAAAGTCCGAGTCCTTGAGCTCCCTGAGGCCGGCGAGCGAGGCCAGTGACATGCACCTGCCGCATGACGCCTGGCTTGGCACTTTCCTTCTGCCAACCTGCAACCCTCCCTCCCTTCGACCCTTTTCAAGACCATGTGTGGTATCTTCTGCTCGATTAGTGCTGCCGGCCACGTAGTTCCCGAGAAGAGACATCGCTTACTCCTGGAAAATCGAGGCCCCGACTCTTCTCAAGAGCTAAGACAGCAGTCTAGAAATGTCTACCTGACCTGTTTCAGCACTGTCCTCGCTCTCAGAGGCGACCATACTGTTGTCCAGCCTGTACAGCATTCAGATTATCCAAGTGCCTTCCTCTGTTGGAATGGCGAAGCTTGGAAGCATGCTACTGAACCCATCAACGGCAACGATTCGGAACTTGTCTTTGCAGACATCTCAAGCCTCCTGAAAGCTGAAGATTCTGACACATCCGCTTCCTCGGCCAAACTCATGCAGCATGCAATGAGCCTTATCACTGGTCCCTATGCTTTCGTCTACTATGATCCCCGATCAGACACTCTGTTCTTTGGTAGAGATCCTCTTGGACGCCGTTCCTTGATGTCTCGCGTTGATGAAAGTGGTAACTTTATTCTCTCTACCATTTCTGGTCAACCAGATCAAGGCTGGGAGGAAGTAGAAGCTGATGGTATTTACTCGCTCAATCTCAAGGCTTTCCACGAGTCTGTTCAGAAGCACGAACGGTGCATACCAACATGTCTTCCCTACACCTTCTCCCCGAATACCATTACCTCCACAGCTTCCCCACTTGACTCATCTGCTTCTCCGCTTAGTATCTCATCTCCTGCTGTTGCAAAAATTGAGGCCTTGCTGCGTGACTCTCTGCATCTACGCATCTCCAATATTCCTGCTCTTTCGAATTCTGAGCCATCTTTTCCTGCAGCAAGCCTGGCTATCCTCTTTTCCGGTGGCCTGGATTGCACTCTTCTGGCGCGACTCTCACACGACATTCTTGACCACGCACAGCCAATCGACCTTCTCAACGTCGCCTTCGAGAACCCTCGCGTACATCGTCGACCTGCAGATGCAGACCCTGATACACCCTGGTCACCTTACGAGCTCTGTCCAGACAGAATCACTGGACGTGCTTCTTTCGCCGAACTTCAAGCCATCTGCCCTGGCCGACTCTGGCGATTTGTCGCCATCGACATTCCGTACAAGGAGTTTCTTGCTCACAAACCCGAGGTCATCAGCTTGATATATCCTCACAACACCGAAATGGATCTGAGCATTGCTTCTGCTCTCTATTTTGCTTCACGAGGACAAGGATCAATATCGACAAAGTCTGGAGAATCAAATCGGTACACCTCTGAAGCAAAAGTGTTGCTTTCTGGACTGGGCGCTGATGAATTGTTTGGTGGCTATACTCGACACGATACTGCTTTCCGTCGTCATGGTTTCGCTGGACTCAAGGATGAGCTCGATCTTGATGTCGACAGGCTGGGAAAGCGTAATCTTGGTCGTGACGATCGCGTGCTTTCTAATTGGGCAAGGGAGACACGATTCCCATTTCTCGACGAAGATCTTGTGAAGTGGGCAGTCAATGCTCCTGTTTGGGAGAGGTGCGGATTTGGCGAGAACAAGGAAGACCTGGACTGTGAGACTGGCTCTCTGGAGCCTGCGAAGAAGGTGCTGAGGTGTCTTGCTTGGAAACTCGGAATGAAAAAGGTGGCTGCGGAGAAGAAGCGAGCAGTAAGTAGAACTCTGGTGTTTTCATCTTGCAAGCGCTAACCACAGAAACAGATCCAATTCGGCGCTCGCACAGCCAAGATGGAGGCCGGACGCTCGAAAGGAACCCAAGCCATTGCTTAGAAGTCCTCCACTTTATTTGCTCTTCCTGGTCTCGTTGAGCTCAGGGTTGTAGTACTCGGGATACGATGCCTTGTACCCCAACAGGCCTCCGCCAATCCAGCGACCAACCACAACACCCAAACCATAACTCATATACTGCATCAACCACGCTGGACCGACATCCCAGGCCAAACTCACTTCGGCAGAATCCAGGAACAACAATAGTTGCGGAAGACTAGGAGAGACATTCTGTCGACTGCAGTCTTCGAGATAAGAGTACAGGTTTCGGAAGAAACGCTCGCTGACACCAAGATCGGTGGCTGTAGTCTCTGATGATAGAGGAGAGGTTTCGGCCGAGATCTCAATGACACAAGGACCTTTGTGTGCTGGGTCCGGAGCAAAGGTGTGAGGAGCACCGGGTGTGATAGAGACACGAGGGTTGGGGTCTGTGGCAGACACTTTGGTCTCTTTGCCGTTGAGTGTGAAGATAAAGGTNTCTATTCGTAAGTCAGCTTCACATACCAAGGAGCAGGCCGAGGTTCCTTGTATGCCAGAATCCACAGGCAGAATGGATTCCAGCACGAAAGCAAGAGATCATACAACACACCCTTGAGTAACGGTGAAATGCTCTTCTTGATGCCAGTGATAATGGTATGGCNNGGGTCTTCAGAAGTTGATGTTAGTCGCAATAACAGGTAAATTAAGGACTGATTTACCCAGTTGATCATGTTGGGATTTTGTGATCTTTGAGGAGTCTGGATATGTCTGGATCTCCAAGACGCTGTTGCCAGAGCGAGGGGTATGCCATTTTGTAGTTCTGGCACCGTCGCAGCTGACTAGCGAGTCCGACTCGGCGGTTTTCGTACGGACAAAAGACATTCTGTTAGACTTGATTTTGAATTGACTTGGGTGTAAGATGTTGAGAAAGTATCGGATAGGGAATGTCTATGATGGCGGCGGGCTCTCTTGAAGCTATGACCATGTTGCACATGTTTGAGGGGATCCGTTTTGAGCATGACGCAGGCGTTTGTTTGTAGACGGACTGAGGACAGAGCAGAGACAGAAGTGCAAGAACACGCACTGCACATTCTTCAGTATTATCAGAAATCAGCATGGACCAGAGCCACGAAGACCTCATCGCTCAATTCAGCGGCATCACAGGAGCATCGCCTGCAACCGTAAGTCTGGAACCAGCCCTGCCTACCCCACATCCGTCACCTTTCCATACCTTCGACACCTTTCTGTCTTGCACCAACTCTTGCAGTCATCGCCATCTAACCCACACATCATCTCAGGCACAAACCGCCCTCACTTCATCGGACTGGGACATCGAACAAGCCGTCACTCTCTACTTCGCCTCCCAAGACGCTCCTGCCGAAGACAGCGACGACGAACTAGAAGAAGAAGCCGCCGCTCCATCCCTGCCTTCGACTACCGCTGCCCACAACCCACCCTCGTCCTCAACCAACCGTCCCCCACCCAACAACCGTAACAACATGGTGCGCACCTTCCGCGACCTCCAGAACGACGAAGACCGTGGCGACGATGACCACAGCGACCACGATCCTCAGCAGGACTTTTTCGCTGGAGGCGAGAAGTCCGGTCTCGCTGTTCAGGACCCTAACAGACGCCCTCAAGACCACTTCAGCAACATCTTGAACCAAGCTAGAGAGTATGTTGTACCCGACTCTCACTCACTCACAACTCGGCTAATCCATGACCAGGNNAACCGCGATCGCCCCATTGACGACGACGAGGACGACCAAGCACCTGCCCAGTCCAGCGCCTTCCAAGGCCGCGCCCAAACTCTTGGAGGCGACGAAGCCCCTTCACGTGTCATCGAAGACCCCAACGCCGTTGCCGCTCCTACAAATGCCAGACCCTCGCTACCTCGCGTGAGCCGCACACTCCACCTCTGGCAGGATGGCTTCAGTATCGATGACGGCGAGTTGCACCGCTTTGACGACCCAAGAAATGCTCCTGTCCTTGCTCTCATCAACCAAGGCCGTGCCCCGCTTGCCTTGCTTGATGTCCAACCAGGCCAGGAAGTCGACCTTCAGCTAGACCCTCACAAGGACGAGAAATACGTCCAGCCAAAGAAGAAGTACAAGCCTTTCGGCGGTTCTGGTCAGCGTCTAGGTTCTCCCACTCCTGGCCCATCTGGCTCTACACCCGCACCTGCCGCTGCAGCTTCATCATCCACATCTTCAGCACCCGCTTCGTCAGCACCAAAGGTTGACATTGACGAGGCACAACCCACCGTGCAGCTTCAGATCCGTCTTGGTGACGGTACGCGCCTGGTCTCACGCTTCAACACCTCGCACACGGTTGGTGACATCTACAACTTCGTCACAGCCAGCAGTACCGCTAGCCAGAGCAGAGCTTTCACTCTCATGACCACCTTCCCCAACAAGGATCTGGAAGACAAGAGCGCCAGGTTGGAGGATCTGCCCGAACTCAAGCGTGGTGGCGTTGTCGTCCAAAAGTGGAACTAGACGTATCCCTCGGAGTGGGGCTGTCCATTCGACTGGGACAATAGCAAAGTTGCAAAAGTAAGAAGTCTGAAAGAACTTGCTATTTTCGGTCGAAACACAGCAGAGACCTGGGCTATTCAAGACCGTCTGATGTTTGGGGAACTGAGTCTCAGCTCTTTACACTCCATTCACTCATCAAGAAATAGACTTTCGGCCTTTAGATAGGTGAAATGACAGAAACAATCATTCCATTATCATTTGATTATTATTCCTTGTCTCAGTTTATAGTGTATCCGCCATCAGCGACCAAGGCAGCACCCTGGACGAAGGAGGCCTTGGGCGAGCAGAGAAACAGGATGCAGTCGGCTATCTCTTCGGGCGTGCCGGCTCTGTTCATGGGGGCAATGGAGATTGCTTTCCTGACCTCGTCATTGATGAGGGGTGTTTCGATGACACCAGGACATACACAGTTGACTCTGATGTTGTGAGCCGAGTAGTCCAAAGCGTCTGATTTGGTCAGACCGATGATAGCAGCCTTGGCCGAACAGTATGCCGCTNNGTGATATCTCATTAGTATCTCTTCCTCAATATGGGAAGCAAAGTATTAGAGTCAAGCAAACTTACGCGCTTGAGGTCTAGCCACAATACCCAATTGAGACGCCACGTTGACTATCACACCTCTGTTTCCTTGCCGTCCACTTTGTGTCGATAAGGGTTCTTGGTTCACCATAATCTTCAACTCTTCTCTTGAACATAACCAACTGCCTCTATAGTCTACATTGACCACATGATCAAACTCCTCCAAAGTCATTTCGTGGGACTTTTTTNNTGCTGCGCCGAGGACACCGGCACAGTTTACCGCGTAGTCTAGACGTTGGAAGACATCCAGTGTTTTGCGGAATAGGTTTCTGACAGAGTCGGGGGAGGATATGTCGGTGACGATGGCGTGGAATTGGACGGATGGAAAGGATGAAGAGAGGGAGGATGAGGTTGTGGAGAGAGACGCTGTGGATATGTCGGCTAGGACTATGCGGGTGCAGCCTTCTTGGGCGAATGCTGTGGCTGTTGCTTTGCCGATGCCTGTTTTGGGGGTTTATGTGTTGATATATGCATAGGATTAATCAGATAGATGATGGTGAAGCTTACCAGAGGATGCACCGGTGATTAGAGCAACACCAGGGAAGAGGGTGGTAGACATGGTTGGAATGCTGTGGCTGATGGTTCACAGAAGATGAACTTTTCAGGATGATAAAAGGGAATGTTGCAGTTCTAAACCGAGTGGGATAGTTGGGTATATCTGTTGGTTACCTATGTAATGAGCTTATCGATAGCTGCATGATATTTGGGGTCAAACGAGTGGGGAAAAGTGTCATGACCCCAAAAGATGGAGGCACCGAGGCATGGATGAGCTGTTGGAGTTGATCGTTTCACCTCATGCGTCTCATAGAAACAGTCTGTTGAAGAGGGTTTGATGGAAACCAAAAACCAATGACGACTGTTAAGAGCCGCACAGCCTCAGGAGGGGAGAAGATGATGAGCATGATGAGCGTCTTCTGAAACAGCAGCGACGAGGTACCTGGTCGTTCATCACACGTGAAAGAGCAACGAGCGACGAGAGCCACGTAAACAGCAAGAGAACAGGAGGGCGAGTGTTCTCGGAGACGAGCTATCATATAAAAGAAAAAGACGAAATAGAGGACAGAGGCTTCGTGGGTTAGGTGTATACAAGCTCTCCAAAGGAAAGAGGGATGAGTGGGGACTTGGCAAGCGCTGAGAAACGTCGCGGGCATGGATTCAGGAGAAGGGTTGGAAAAGAATGGCAAACGGCAGACGTGATCAGGGGGCGGCGACTTGTTCATGTAGCTCGCTCTGTCGTGTTTCAACAGTCGAGCATCTCTCTTTATGGATTTACGAAAACTATCTTGTCGCGTGTAACCTTGATAATTCCAAGCTCGTCAGCGACTGAGCACTTTCTATCCCAACTACAGTCAGGCAGAGCAGGCCCCTCTGCTCACATCTCCCCTACGAATATGCTGCTTTCACCCTTTGGCTCGCCACGGCGGCTGGTGGTGCTGACAGTATTCGTCTTCCTGGCCATCGTCGTCCTCGTGCGTAACTCGACATATTCCGAATACCTCCCCAAGTACGATCTGCCATCATTTGGCAACGCCAACGTCCCGCAAGACACATCGACCGGCAGTAATAGCTTCAAGGAAGACTCGTCACAGAGCGAGCTATGGCAAGAGTACAAGTCGGATGAGGCCAAGGTCATTGCAGCGCCACCCCCACCGCCAAAGGAGGAAGAATACGAAGAGAAGATTGAAGTCACGAGCATTCCCACCTCAACCTCGCATTCGACCAGCGCATCTTCGTCCAAATCTGCCAGCACATCCGCTTCAAACACAGCCAGTACATCTGGTTCAAAGACGACGTCTTCTGCCAAAGTCACACCCTTCGTGCATGCATCGTACAAGGACTTGCAAGCAAAGATCAAGGAGTTCATCCAGTGGGACCGTCCGGACAAGGGCGACCATTGGCCTGGCTACGGCACTTATGTCGACAAGGACTATGACCCGAACCGCTGGGAAGGTCTTCCCATGTACGCACAACAAGCCATTACCACATCATGGCCACGCTAATTCTGTATTAGGAACATCGGATACTACGCATCCAACGGCATTAAGCAGCTCAAGAACATGGGCCTCGAAGCTACCGTATACAATCCCTATCCCGATTACAACTCATCCGCATACAAGAAGCAGTGGACAGGCGACTACGTTTCCTGCAAGGGCCCTCGCGATCAGACACTAGACAAGAGCCCGGAGGACTTGATCAAGGCCTGGCCACAACTCCCTCAAAACTTCCCTAACATCAGCGTTGGTTCTGATCTGGGCATCGACACTCACTCTTGCTTCGACCGCGAGTCGCGCTACTCTCCTTACGACAGCACCGCCCAAAATGCTCCAGACTGGGGATCCGTCGACTGGGGCAAGCTTCAAAATGAGTGCCTGAGCAAGAACAAGGAGAGATACGCCGAGCACCAACGTAAGTCTATGCAGCTCAGGCCCAGCAGGATCGTGCCCAAGGAGGACAATTCCGAGAAGAAGGCCGAGTCTACAACCGGCCCTAAACCACACCATCGTACTGCCATCCTGATCCGTACTTGGGAAGGCTACACCTACACCGAGAATGACCTCCAAGCCATTCGCTCCCTGGTCACCGAAACCTCGCTTTTGAGTGGTGGAGAATATCAAGTCTATCTCTTTGTCAATGTCAAGCAACGCGACGCCGACATTTACGACAACGAAGAGACTTACAAAAGCGTCCTCCATCAGGTCGTTCCGGCTGAACTGCGTGACATCTCAGTCCTCTGGACCGAAAAAGTATGCGAAGAGTGGTATCCCAAGGTCGGCGACTGGCAAGTCTACTGGATGCAGTTCATGCCTCTGCAATGGTTCTCGAAGACCCACCCCGAGTTTGACTATGTCTGGAACTGGGAAACGGATGCTAGATACACCGGCAACCCTTACCACTTCCTTGAACAGGTCAGCTACTTTGCTAAGAAGATGCCGAGAAAGCACCTGTGGGAGAGAAATGCTCGTTTCTTCCTGCCCGAATCTCATGGAGATTACCAGTCTTACCTTGCCGACACTGATGCAGCCATCGCCAACGCAACACAGCAAGGAATCATGACTCCTGTCTGGGGCGCTCAGCCTTATTCTGCCACTCAGACTCCTCTTGGTCCAAAACCGCCGCGAAAACAAGAAGACGACGACTTTTCTTGGGGCGTGGACGAGCAGGCCGACCTCATCACCCTCCAGCCGATCTGGGATCCAAACGAAACACAATGGTCCTTCCGTCACAAGATCTGGAACTTTGTCCCCGGCGTTCGTCCAATTTTTACCGCCGACAACGGCATAGCCGAGGGCTTCTATCACGAAGATTTCGAAAAGATCCCCAGACGCACTTTCATCAACACACTGGCCCGCTTCAGCAAGAAGATGCTGCACGCCATGCACACAGAAAACCTCGAGGGCCGCTCCATGCAAGCCGAAATGTGGCCTGCGACCGTCGCCCTCCAACACGGTCTCAAAGCCGTTTATGCGCCTCACCCGATCTGGTCCTCGCATCATTGGCCTGCGTGGTATGCCGATGCTGTCTTCAACGCAGATGCTGGTATTCCTGCTCGCTGGTCTCAGCAGTTTGATTCGGCATATGCTCACGACCGCGAAGTCAACTTCAAGACATGGTCTTGGTACTACGCTACCGACTTCCCAAAGACGCTGTTCTGGCGCTGGTTGGGCTGGGAAGCTGAAGATGCGGGTCTGGGTGGTTGGGGAGGCAAGCAGGACGAGGAAGAAGGCAAGGATATCAGAGGAATTGGCATGGTGGGCGGAAATGGCAAAATGTGTCTGCCTGGTATGCTGTTGCATCCTGTCAAGAAAGTGTCGAGGCCTCAGGGACAGAATTAGACTATGGAGTCAAAGCATGAAGGATCTGGCGTTTTTTGTTTTTCTCTCTGTGGTTATCCCGGTACATGGCTTTGTTTCGTATATACCACCACAATATGTTTGCATTCTTCTTCTTCTTCTTCTTCTCTCAAGAAATACATCAAGTCTTTTGCAAGACGGCATAAGCATTCTCCATCGCATTATTCTGCTCCAACCTCGAACTCGCCAACATCTTTTGCCTATACCTCTGCCAGACCCACCACAGCGCAAACAAGCTCAATGTCAAGACGATGGAAATGACAAAGTAAATCCACAAGTCGTGGGAATATGTCATGTGTCCTCCATGCTCGTCTGGGTTGAAGTTGAAGAAGTTCATGCCCAGCAATGCGGACACGAAAGTGGCGGGAAGAAATACCATTGTTACTATGGCGATTGTCTTCATGGCTGCGCCGTCGTCTTTTGTGGACATTGCGATGTCGACGTTTGTCTTTGCGTCGAGTTGGGTCATGAGGTTTGAGGTCNNTGGTATCGGTTGTTAGTTTCTCATGATGCTTGTTATCCGTTGGGAGGGTGGTAAATGTCTTACCAGGTTCTGCTCGTTGCCCATGCGTCTGTCGTTCGACACTGCTCTAGCGAGAAATCCTTGCATCATGGTGTGGTGAAACTTTAGCATGTCGGCTCGTGATGAGAGAAGTTCTTGATGTGCAGATGGTCGTAGAGCCAAGAGCTGACATTGCTGAGCGATACACTCGATCACTTTGGTTGCTTCTTGTGTTGCTTCGATCGAGTGAACGGTATGTCTGGAGTCTTCGTAGAGCTTGATGAAATAGTGCAAATCTGTGTTTCCCATAGGCTTTGTCGTGCCAGACCGGTCAGTTAGAAGTCAAGGAATACCTTTTCGGGATGTGTTGCATACCCCTTTGCTCTTCTCGTTGTTTCGCATGATCCTTGCAATGTCCCAGACGCTTTCGTCGTACATAACCATCAGTTGTTCGAGCAGCAGTTGGTGCAAGCCATACGGTCCAGTAGCGATATCCTTGTTCTCGCCATCCGAGAGCACATTGAGCATATTCCAAGCCAAAGATCCAGGCGTATCAAGACATAACATGATGTTTCGATCATCGCTCAAGGTAGATATGAAAGACATCTCATACCATTGATACTGCGTAAAGTCGACATTCTTCGGTGTCGCCTTTATCGACTTGACAATCATGCGAAACCAAGTTTCCACTCTAAAGCCAGCAGCTTCGGAAGGTGGGATCTCTGCGTTTGAAGTGTGTGCCGATGTTTTTGACCCGAAGAAGCCGTTGTGTTGGACACATGTCTTTGACCAGAACATGCGAGGAACATTTGGAAAGTGCTTACATAGCTCTTTCCGCAGCGGAATATGGTCGAGAAAATGCTGTATGCTTGAGAAGCTTTGTCTTGTCAGTTTTGGATATATGATTCGAGAAACTATGATTCTCACATCATGCACGTAGAAACCTCCTTATTCTGTTTTTTCGGTCAGCTTGGAAGTCACGTATATCAATTCTGTAACTACCTCTAGCAGATCAAGTATGGGCAAGCCAACAGTTTGCCATGTATTCCTTGCAAAATCTACAAACACAAACACACGTCAGTGCATGTACACGGGCAGATGACAATCATTGGAATTTGGCAATACCGTATATCAGAGCCTCGACATTAGGATTGTATAGTTCTCGACCTACCAAAACTTGAGCAGAAGGACTCGACATTATGATGTGGTGAGAAAGTTTCGTAGTAGATAAAGGTTGCTTGTCTGGGTCTTTTTGTAGATTAATATATGCAAGTCAGCCATGGTGGCTGGGGTCCAACATGGCGCTCCATAGCCCGGTTTCCTGCATGCACACCGTAAAAGCAGTGGGGCCAAGTCATCCTTCTATCGTTCAGAAATCGAATTCGACTCATCGTCCTGCGAGCTCGGGATACAAGTCTGTTGTTCAGACGAGCAGATGCAACAAGAGGTCGTCGCAAGCAGACTGCCCCATACGTTTCGGAAAGGCAAGAGGAATTACGCTTTCGGTTGACCAAATATATTACTGATTTTTTGGGAACATAGACTCAGACTATTGATGACCGTGATCCTGAAGAATACTCAGATCATCCTCATAGTGGTAGGTCGAAAGAAGCAGAAGAGAGGAGTGATCGAGGCCATGAAAAGAACGGCTGGTCTGTGCGACCTCGACAAAAACACGCCTTCTTCATCAACTTCCATCATTCTTCCATGCAACAACAATCTTTTAAGAGTGACAGAGAGATGCATGTTGAATTTGGAAAGAAATTATACGGATGAAGATGCGATGTCCATCCGAATCTTCCGCTCGTCATACAACTTTTATCTCCTGTTTTCTCTTGCTCCTCTCTCTAGCCCTCATCAAACACTTTCCTAACAGATTCGTACCCCACTCGTCCCTTCTTGATAATGCTGATTTAGCATTGAACCCGACACCCCAGACACGGTCACTAGCACTGGCTTCCACTGACTCCCTGTCTCCGATCATCAATAACCTATTCCTCGACTCCTTATTCTGCGAAGATAACTTCCTTCCTCGACGACTTTCTCGTGAAACGGATCTTCTGATAGTCTCGAAGCGGTTCCTAACGGGTCGTTGTTCTTGGACTGTTGTGTTTCTGTCGAGGGGGTTGCTGTCCTCGAGCGCTCCTTGTTTCTCTTGACCATGATGAGGTGAGATGGTAGGATGTTTTTGTTGTTGATCGTTTGGAGTCGAGAAGTAGTAGTCAACGCTGTTGTTAAATAACCGCGTTGCGATGATATGGTAAGAGACAAATGGCTAGATACGGTAGCAGAGGGTCGAAGTTTCCTTCCGAGTTACCGCACGTGGCAAGGTCAGTCATACCATCGCACCTTCCAACACTGGGTGGTTTTTCTCCTCCCGACCATCAAGATATTGTCATGCCCACCGTGTACCCAAATGTTCTATCATGAAGATCCAGAAAGCTAAATCACCGTCACAAGACATCCCTTTAAGCTCAGCTCATGCAAATCTCAAGAATGCACCCATGACCCCAGAGGAAGAAGAGGAACCCTGGCCCGACCTCAAAGCATGTCCTACCTCGCTAAACTCCATATTTGCCCTCACCCAAGCTGGTCTCTAGCTGAACTCAGCATCACTCATCTATGAAGCTTACAACACAATACCTCACCCATGTTTATGCCTCAAAACCTACGCGATCAACCATATCGCACCACTGGCTAGACAAATCGATACAGGTGATATCGAGAATGACTGGATAGGAGTGCTGGTGACACTGGGTGCGAACGTGCAATTGATTCACGCGATCGTGCAGCCGGGGATGGAAGATGTAATGGAGTGCAACACAGCTTGGGGGTGGGTTAAGGAGGCTGTGAACGAGCGATGGTATTCTTACGAAACCATGATCAAGTGGGGATCCATTAAGGAAGTCGGTGGAAGAGGGCCAGGAGAACAGCCCGAGGAGAGTGGTGGTGTGAGCTGAAGCATGTTCAAATAATCGTTAAACCATCTCTAGGAATTCAGAATGCTGCATTCTGTCTCCAACATAACCAGGCATTCGGAACAGCTTTCTCCTTCCATTCCCCAACATCTCCATCCCAATCTTCTCTCTTTCTCCCCTTCATGATCCCCTGCTCGAACCTCTCGTATCTCTCATCCCCGTCCAAAGTCTCTGCATCCTTCTCCTGCTCAGTCATCCAACTTCTCGACCTCCTCAGACTTCGGCTTGATCTCTTCGATAGCTGCTGGGCCGCAGATGGCAACCAGATTATCCTTTGGCCCGGTCATGGTTTCTCCAAAGTAAAAGCCGAAACCACAGTCCAAAGGTGCGAGTATGGGGTGAGGATTGTGATAGTTTCGAGCAAAGTGCTTCACATCTCCATAGGTTTGGCAGAGGTGGTATTTGGTTGTGTCAACGGAAGGATAGAGTCTTTGTAGAGAAGAGGGATTCATGATTGTCAAGCTGCACAGAAGATGCGAGATCAAGATGGACGAGAAGCCATATGTTACTGGAAGCTACGAAGTCATGTCAGGAGATGGTCTGGAAATTGAGATGTGGATATCGAAGGATTTGTGTGGCAAGGCTTGGTTCTATATATACGAATACGGCCGTAAAAGAGATGTATCCATCATAACTGTACTGGACGTCTTCTCAGGAGTGTCGTCCAGACTATGCCCCGTGATCGGATTAGGGGTGATTGCAAGAAGAAAGGAAGAATAAAGAAGAATTGCCCCAGACTTTGTGACAGGGGGTCTGTGCATGGCGCATCCCTGAAGCGTGTCCTGCAAGCTCACGGGAGCAACATTTGAACAACAACATCTTTCTTGTCGCAAATCACATCGACTCGTCGCGGTCTTGTTCGACATGGCTCCTCTATTCGCCCTGCTCGGCCTGCTGGGCTTCTTGACTTCTTTCGTGTCAGCAACGGCTCTGACATACAAGCTCCCGCCCAATGGAAAGGAGTGCTTCTACTCGCACATTGAGCAAAAGGGCGCAAAGGTTGCCTTTTACTTTGCTGTACGTTTCCTTTGCTGCTTGGAATCTGCTCATACTAATGCGACTCTTAGGTCCAATCAGGCGGCTCCTTCGATGGTACATGAACTCCCTACTTCTCCCAACATTACCCAAGTTTAACACGCCGTCACAGTCGACTACGCAGTCCACGGACCCAGCTCAGAGCCCGGCAGAGAAAGAACCATCCTCGATGGCACCAAGGAACGCCAGGGTGACTTCGTCTTCACAGCCAACGAGGCCGGCGAGTACCGCTTCTGCTTCGACAACAGCATCAGCACCTTTGCCGACAAGATGATCGACTTTGAAATCTCCATCGAGAACGAGCCCCGCGCCGCCAGCATCCNNCCCTCCAAGCAGGGTGCCAACATTGAGCAGACTTCGGCCCTCGAGAACTCGGTCCTCAAGCTCAGCGGCCAGCTCAGCACAATCACGCGCCAGCAAAAGTACTTTAGAACTCGCGAGAACAGAAACTTCTCCACCGTCAGGAGCACCGAGCAGAGAATCTTCAACTTCTCCATCATCGAGAGCTTGATGATGGTTGGTATGGCCGGTCTGCAGGTCTTTATCGTCAGAATGTTCTTCCAGACTGGTCGCAAGGGTGAGACGCCACTCCAACACTCTCCTAGCACTGCCGCAACGCTGACATGGTTATCACAGGTTACCTTTAAAGACTTCGCAGTCAAGTACAGAGTTCGCGAACACTATACACAAAAAGAAGAAACGCTTTATATGCTTGTCATGCCCCATCATGCTGTATCCCATTTCCAGTCAACCTCACGAGACCATCTTTCCGTCCTCGATGACCATGTATTCGTCCCCAATCATCATCTTCATCTCCTCTTCGACCATGAAGTTATCATGATCGCCCGTCAAAGCCTTGCTAGCCGGATCATACATGAAGCGTGCAAAGGCCATGTAATCGGCAAACACAAACGTGCAGATGGCATCATAAGGTAATAGATTGGCTTTTCCTTTTAGCATGTCTTGCATGATGTTTCTGTCTCGTTGAAGATGGTATGTCTATTATAGCCTGATTCAGTCTTGATGGTTCGGTATGGATCACGGCCATGTGCTTACGAGACTGTATGTTATACACCCGTGCTTGATCAAGACCCCTTTGGCCATCTCTGCGTGCTTGGTGTTGTAGTGCGATATAAAGTCTGCATCACTCAGGCCTGGCTTCTTCTTTACTAGTATCGTTGCTTTGACCACTTTGCGGAAGCCTGTTGTGCTTGGGTAGCCGGCTTCCAGGACCATGATGGTGTAGGAGATACGATGCGATGTGATCTGCCAGAGAGATTCGTGAGAGTGATCAGAGCGTCAAGGACATGATCCAGAAGTGTTTTCGGAGAATTCAACATCCTGAGCTCAAGTCTGGTTGCTGTCGTCCTCGGATAGAGGGGTGCTCCGGTGGTGAGAGCGGCATTAACCGGCGTTTACTTTCAAGCTGGCTTGAACACTTTCACATGCGACAACAGCGAAACACCACAACCACCCGAACGTCAATACTCTCGACGATGTTGCCCACCATGGACCGCAGACCCTCGCCATTGCCCGAGTCTTCTTCCTCTATTCCTGTAACAACCGACGAACATTACCGTATCCCGCTCTTCACCTATGTGACACGCACATCTTCTACCTCGTACACGACAGACATCCGTCTCTTCTTCGCGATCACCGTCCTGAGCTCACTCATCTTGTATGCGAGAGGCTTCAGGTGGGAGTTTNTGGTGTTTCTCCTGGTAGGCGGAAGTGTTGTCTGGAAGACTGCGAGACGGAGAGATGGCATGGAGTTCAAGAGGGTGAGGAGGGCGCTAAGAGGATGAACTAAGAGTTGAACATACAATTCGTGCTTGGAGGAATCCTCAGGGTTCGAGCGGTCATCTCAATACTCTAGGCCAGAGAGAGGCTGCTTCAAGGCACGAGGAAGAGGTATTGATCTCCTGCACGAGCTCAGTAGACACTACCTGCTCTGTAGATTGTCATCTACTGCTGTAAGAGGAAGATTTGGCACAAAGAGCATCCACGCACATGATCGCTTCTTACGCATAGAAGGCATGAAGCTTGAGATGTTCAACAAAGCCACATTCAAGCTAGGTTTATTTGATCGTAATCGTCACCTGGGGATTCCATCCCTGGAACCGGCCATCTATATACATATCTCCAACCACCCTCCCATTACAGACGGCTCGCTCCAGATTCTCATCGCCTCTGGACCCCCCAGACTGGAGCAGCGGAAGCAAGTCCTCCCAGTTCGAGTACTGCATCGTGCAGTCGATGACTGGTGGTATATAAAAGCAAATCTCCTTGTTCCTCTCAATCTGCTCTTTCGCCCTTGTGCAACCAAGTACTCTCATCCTGTTGGAATTCTCGCTTTTGGTATGGCATCTTTTATGATGCTTCTGGGCTTGACTTGGAGAGATGCCGTAGTCTTCATAACAAGCATTCAGAAACTCGAGTTCCAATTTTCCGGACTCGAACTCTACAGCGTGCTGTGAACAAGCATATACCAATTCAAGCTCGCAAACACCTGACTCTGGATGCAGCCTCGCTATACGCGTCGAGCATGGGGATTCACCCAGCAAGACTGCTAGCTCGGGCATGGTTGTAATAATGTATTCGTCAAAGAGCATGGGTAGAAAGTATGGTGAGTCCCACGGCAAAATAAAGCCAATGTTGGCGTCCAGAGTTTCCTTCAACGTGTTGACAGCCACGCCCATGATCGTTCCAATGGCAACATTGACTGATGTCGATAAGGGGNNGAGTTTGTCGAGCTTCAAACATAACCAGGCGAAGAAGGATTGAAGGAGGAGTATTCGTACACTGGTGCGGAGGAAGTAGTTGGGAATTAATAGCATCGTGGTAAAATAAGTAGAAGCGCCAAAATCAAGAGAATGTCCCATCAAGCAGACTGACCTTTGTCTTATTCTCAGTTGATGCAGGATTCCAAGAATTGCCTTGCGATCGGCAACTCCTCGTCTGGGCGATATTCACAATCCTTCTCGGAAATGAGGCGGTTGACCGGCTTATGGCTCTTGGCCCATACATAAGTGTAGAAACATGTGTTCAGAAGGCTCTCGAGTAAGTTAAGGCCTGAACGAAAAGACAAGCATGTTGCTCAAGACTTGCCCGACAGCATGTGAGATCTGAGCACCAGAACAAAAGGATGTGCTCTCCATCAGGGAATCGAACCCTGGTCTCCCGCGCTTGACGAGATGTGACTCTTGACAAGCGGAAATCATGACCACTAGACCAATGAAGATGAGCCAGCTGTGCTGGTATTGGTTGATGGAGCATAACTCAATCTTGTACAATATATTGTATTTTAGTTTCTTGCACTCGACATCAGAAGCTGCAACAACTGGTAAACCTTTGGGAGGCGGGATAGGCCTGCTTGCGCATAATTTCAGGGCTAACAACACCCGAAACACGAGACCCAAGAACAAAATCTTGTCTCACTCGCAAACCACAAATAAAGTCGTGACTGAAAGTGCTGATGAAACACAAATATTTGGGAGGACTTCGTCATCCTCCCTGCCGTTCGTATCAACGTGCGATTTGACTTTGAAGAAGGCGGCTGGTTTCAACGACAGAAAGGAGATCTTAAACTAAACGCCGTTCCCATGATCTCTTGAGACCGTCTCGGCCCTAACTTTGCTTCTCTCAACACCTGCCGCCACGACTCACGACACGAGTTCGTCGCATTTCGACCACCCGGTACTTCTCTCGACTTCGCACCGCCAAATCTGCTTTGCCGCTCCTCTCGCCATCTACTCGGCTGAGTTCTCCAGTCGCGACGCCATAATAACGCGACTAGATACCGACACTTCTTGTAATCATAAGCCATTCTGGACTCGAGTGATCAACTAAAGGTCGAATTCGACTTTCGCGGGGAGGGACAACCTCGCCTCCACTCGACGCGCGCGAGCGCCGTGACCGCTCTGTCCACAGCCATCAATGCGCCGGTCGCTGTCGCTGTCGCCTTTGCTGGTGTTGCCGAGTCTGTTAGGCTTCACTGGCGCCAACAGTCCTACGTTTCCTAATAGCACCGAGAGGGACGATAACGGTACAGACGTCGACGCCGATGCAGCGAAGAGTAAATCATCAGTGTCCCTCGAAAGCTACTGCTCGGCGCAATTGTCAAGTTTCACTGCGACATATCAAAGTACTGAGATTGCTACCAGCAGATGGACTTGGTATGAAGGATTTGGACCAACTGATTCTCTGGGCGGCCTGACTGGATCTGTCACTTCTCAAACATATTGGACCAGTACTTTCTTGTGTAAGTCTTGTAACATTAGAATGCCTGTTCTGCTTCCTTCCAACCTCTCCTCATCCAGTATTTATCACTGTTCTTTTCAGCCCCCTCAATTTCATTCTTGCTCTTTGGTTTCAAGCACGCCGCCCGGCCTTGCCCAAAGATAAGATGGTTCCTCTTCAATCCATAGCACTACCTTTCTCGTGTATTGCGTAGTCAAAGCACGCGACATCTTGATCCAACGTATACCGCATAGTGCTGACTCTCGTCAGATACACAATATGCCATCCGCGCATACACACCAAAACCGCCGTGCTGTAGTTCATGTTACATGACGGCAGGAACGATCGATTTTTACTTCTGGCCAGACCAAGCAACGCCAACTACACCGGCGCCAGGGCAGCCTAGCACGAGCGTTAACGCAGAAGGATTCACCTTTACATCGCCGAGTGTATACATGGCCTTCAGTTCGTTGGTCGCGAGTAACGCATGCGGCCAAGTAGGAGATGCCTGGACCAATACGACAATAGCTTTCGACGCCTCAGAGATCACGACTGCACGACCCGTCACCACTTTGACGCAATACGAATCCGATTATGTGTCTGACGGCTCGACTTACAGAGATATGGGATCAGCCGTGACAACACAGCCTCCACCAAAGTCTGTGGACTTCAACGACGTGGGGCAAAACTGCTCCACGATTTCTGGATACGTTTACTGGCCTGACAATCCCATCAACGCAGCGAATGCAATGTATCATGACGATCCTTGTCACCCTGTTATATTGTTGCCGCCAAGGCTGATCAGTATGCAACAGCCCTGGGTCTATGCAAACTGTGGAGCAGACCCAAACATGAGTGGAGCCTACGACCCGCCAAGGGTATTGACACCAATGCTTACTGGTACCGAACTTGCTACTCCAACACCGCAGTGGGGTGGTCGCGTTAACGGAGACGGAGATGCCAGTCCAGCGTCCAGTGCTGAGGCTGGTGCACCTAGTACGACAACTACAAGACCGGTTTCCACTGGTGTGACTGCGGTCTACGAATCAGCCAAGCCTTCAGCGACAGCAGAGGATGTTTCGACCGTGACGTTGACTGCAAATGCTGTGACAACAGCGATTGTGGTTTCTGGTCAGCATGTTGGCCCCGATTCGGTCACAGGTATAGCTGGCGCAATTCTAAGTGGCCTTGGAGGTACTGACACTGGGTCCGGATCTAAATCGAATGCTGGAGAAAGTGCATCGAGATGGAACCCCACTCAAGCTGTTGCTGTATCTGATGTTACTGCTTCTCGTGCTGTCAAGCCTTCGAGCAGCTCAAGTGACAAGAAGACTTCCAGCAGCACTAGTGACACCAGCGGCTCGTCCTCTGGTTCTGGCAGTGGTACTCAGAGTGTCGCTGCGGCGGCTGCTACGCAAAGCGGTGCTGCGCCATCCAAGACGCTGGGCAACCTAGCTATCTGGACATTCCTTGCGCCGATATTCCTCCTTTGGATATAACATCTGACAACTGCAGTTCGGATATCTTTTTCTCCCTTGCTCATACCTCACACTGTTAATACGTTTCATTTGTTCTCTTGGTCGGGGTTTGTCTGGTTTTTAGATGTCCACTGTTCGGTTACTCGGCGTTCTTATGGTAAAAAATGGTTATGAACATATAGATTTGTATTTAGTTATCGTTGTCTTGCCGATGCATCATGTTTTTAACACAGTGCATCAGTCACCGGCCTAAAGCTCTGGGAGTAAGATGCTAGTTTGCCGCACTATAGTCACATCACCATTCATTGTTAGGGTAACTTATCTATCAAATTTAGAACTCTCGATCATGGTGCGATTCACAATGTGTTGATATGATTAGAAGATGGCCGTCGACGACAAAACTTATCGGTAGCCAGGGTCGCGGTGTGTACAAAGTTTGCTGAGTAAGCAAAATATGTCGTCATGGAGTCAACTCCGAGACGCGAGATCCGCGAGACCATGACCGTTCGCGTCTGTATCGCATCTATCTCTCCACTGTTTCTTTCGCTGTNNTCAATTGACACAGACACGATGGCACAATCGACGCAAATTTCCGTCTCGGAGCCGGCCATCGAGAACGCCATGCCCCACTCACCCGTGCTCGCAGCAAAGCGGTCACACGATCAAATCGAACCCATCGCCGACGTCGCTCCCACGCTGAAGAAAGTCAAGACCAACGATGACACGCTCGAAGCCAATGGGCTTCAGGATACTCAGATGAAGGGTGTCCAAGAGGTGGAAGACAGCAAGCAAACGCAAGAGATGGAAAACAGTGCTGCATTGGTTGTGCTGGATGATGGAGTCAAAGAGTCTGATGCTGCTAGTGGCAGGAGCGCGTGGTGCATGGCACTGGGAGAGCTTTGAGGTCGTCGAGTGTCACCACTGGACATCGGTTGAAGTTCAGCGAATGAAGAAGAAGATGTTGCACTACACGACGCTCTTGTAGAAAGTCACAGCTCCGTGCGAATCACAAGCCTACAATGGTTTGACCCCGACGCGGACACAGCGTACGTTTGCTGCGCAATCCACCCATCGATCGCTGAGAGGAACGGCTTCAGTAGCGACACGATGGCTGGAGACAACGAGCTGACCGATATATCTGCTGGTATCCCCGTAGCTGTGTCAGACAGAAGCGTGAAGATGAAGATGAGAGCTCTGGTCAGTAGAAGAGGAAGACAGGGCATGGGATTCTGCACTGCTGCTCCTGACAGAAGAGAGATGAATGAGCTTCAAGAAAGGAAACCGAGGCATCGATATGCATGGCCTTCAATCCAAAACTCCTCTCAATTCTCACAACCTCCATGACGGTAGCTATATTGAAGCCGTGATATGTCCTCCTACCTATACCAGAACCACAAGTTCACCAGTTAATGAGGTATGAATAGTGGGGTGAACACTGTATGATGACCGAACACTTTGAACCCCACCAGTTTTGAGAAAGGATCGTCACCACAGCGTCATATACGACTTCCTTAAACAGATCATCCTATTAAATACTTTCTCGCCTGTTTGTTTCCACAAGACACAACACTCATCAAAATCCAATCAACATGTCCAACAGCAACTACCAACTCAGCGAGGTCTTTGATGTCAAGGGCAAGGTCGCTCTTGTCACCGGTGGCGGCTCCGGCATCGGTTTGATGGTAATTCTTGCACCTGACGCAATCATCAAAAGACATTGGACTGACTCCTGAAGGNCCACTCAAGCTCTGGCTACCAACGGAGCAAAGGTCTACATTGTCGGCCGTACCGAGGAGAAGCTCAAGACTGTTCAGCAGACCTACGGAAAGGACATCTCTGGCGAAATTATTCCCATCGTTGGCGACGTTACCAAGAAGAGTGAGATCGAGAAGCTCGTCAAGGAGATCGAGACCAAGGAGGGCTTCCTTGACATTCTTGTCAACAGTAGGCCAGCACTTGCTTCCCTGTATAGATCACAGCTGACCATGCAACAGNACGCTGGCATCGACGCTGGTAAACTCACTCCCGATGGCAAGAATGCCGAGGAGATGAAGAAGAACCTCTTCGACGAGGACACGTGAGTTCGAGCGATATTGACTTCTTGACTCTGCGACTAACTCTTGTATCAGCNNTTCGAGGACTGGAGCAACCTCTACACTACAAACGTGATTGCGCCTTTCTTCCTTAGCACTGCCTTCCTGCCCCTCATCCAGAAGGCCACTGAGCGCACACACGGTTGGTCTGGTACCATCATCAATATCTCTTCCATCTCTGGTCTCGTACGCATCTCTCAGGGTCACTTCAACTACAATGCCTCTAAGGGTGCTGTCGTTCATCTCAACAAAATGCTCTCGTCCGAGATTCAGAGCAGCGGCCTCAAGATCCGAGTCAACGCTATCGCTCCCGGCGTCTTCCCCTCAGAAATGACCACTGGTGAGAGCAAGGATGACCAGAAGAGTGAGCTTCCCAAGGAACACAAGGGAGACTTGCCTTCGCAGAGACCAGGCAAGGACAAGGATATGGCCGCTGCTATCCTGTTTGCTGCTTCTTGCCAGTAAGTTGAACCGTCTGATCCTCCGACTATGTACATAATGCTAACTGTGCCCTTCCCTACAGGTNACCTCAACGGTCAGAACATTCCTGTTGATGGTGGCTACCTCATCCAGACTGGCACCTGAGCTATGAAAGCATGACATCGATACGAAATTTGATGAAGGTCCATGACATACAACAGCATGCAAACCCTCAGCGAGAATATGAAAGTCTTGCTTTGTTACGTTCCAAGAAATCTCGCATTCGTGAGAACATTGCTGACCAATGGACAATGAAGATGATGCAAACCATACTGTGATGTGATTGTTGGAGTGTAAACGCTACCTGATCCTTCGGCTCGCCCGCACCTGCCCAAATGCCCCTCGCCTTGGCACTGTTGATCATCCCAAATGACACCTCTTTACTTTCCTATCACAGCATATCGTAACCTTCAAGAACGATAAAGGTCTCTAGGGAAGCTTACTATGTCAAATGTCCAGATGGCGGATCCCAATCCGGATGCAAGCGCTCTCTTCTATAGTGAGCCTGAACATACGACCGTACGTTTGTCAGTCTAGTAACTTGTAAAGACAGTACGACACGCCAATGGTCTTCGATAGAGACGCGACCCATCAGAGAATTATTGGAGGTAAAGTGCCTCTTAATGTCAAAACCTAAACCCTGACTGAATCTCTACAGCGATCCACAAGCCGAAAAGCATGCATCATGTAAGTCTGCAATGCTCTCATAAGTGATCATGTCTGACAGCAAACTCCGCCAGCTTTACTGAAATTGAGTACTTCCAAGCCTATCAGCGCAACAAGCTGCGAGACATAATGATGATGCGATTTCCATGCACACCACAGATGTTTTGGTCAAGGACGTGTTCGCTTCACAACGGCTTCTTCGGCTGTGAATACTCTGCTGCACCGGCGACCATACCATACTCGACCTACTTCCGTATGGCCGTCAACTCACCAAAGAATCAGGGATTGCCAGATTACAACTCCCCGCATGGCACTCTTTCCTACGAATGGTCGGATATGGGCTTTCTATCTTCGTCATCTACCAGCTGGAATATCTTGATCTGCTTTGATGTGCCCGAGAGTGTCATCATTGGATTACAGGACTCTCTGCCTACAGCGGTGCAGGACTTGCAAGGACCGTACGAATTGCACATACCGTTATTGGAGCAGCTGACTGTGTTATACGATATGAGCAACTCGCACATTCAAGGCACAGTTGCAAGTCTAGAGAAGGTGATTAACACTTCGCAGCTACTACTCTCCTCGAAGCAGATATGCTGATATCAACCAGGAACTTCTGACACCTGTAAGGATANNAGCAGCAGGATCGTGGATCTGGACGATTCACCCACCGAGAGACGGAAAGAACAGCTTGCAACCATCTTCGAGATTTCGCGTCACGCGATACAACTCGTCGAGACAACACAGATCGCCGCCGAGACAACGGATCGTATGAGAATTGAATGCGAGAACTTTTCTGCAGTGCAAAAGACTGCTGATCTCGCTCAGAGGATTCGTAGACTTGGGTTTGTACACAGCATGCTTCGAGGATTGCATACGCGTGCTGTGTCTAATGAGAAGAGGCTAGCTAATGAGCAGAGCTTGGTATGTCCGATCGTTTCTTTGTCATGCTTTGTATAGGACCAGAGAGCTAATGTAGTTGTTATGGTAGNNTTATCGAACATGATCGCTGAAGAGAACAATGGCGCTCTACGGCGATTAGCTGCCTCGAATAGCGATATGTCGTAGACTAGAGCGATTGAAGCTGCGGCGGCGAGCATGAGGGAAAATGTTGTCTAACTATGCAGGCACGTCTCGTATCGGTTGTATACACGCGTTTCCTGGGCGTGCAACATGTTCGTCATCTCAATCCGTTCTGGTCGAATTTTGAAACAGTTCAGATCGTGATATTTTATGCTATCTATGGTATTGCTGTTGCGTGGTCAAACAAGACGGCGCTCCGGACGGCAGAAAGCCAGACATGGCTGCGCGTGCGGCTGAATTGCATATACTAAACCACGCCTCCATGCAGATCGATATGCAGCCTCGGGGCTGAGGTCAAATAAGAGAACGATCCTCAACTTTTCCTTCTATGGTCGCATTCCGGCGTTCCTCTATTTTTGGTTAACATAGTGTCAAGTTTAGGAACAAAACCGTGAAGAAGGAATTATGTCTGTGCTATCTGTCCAGGCTTCACCCCTCCAAGCATCACCCTCTCCAACCCCACCAGATCCGTTACTTGGACCGACGGTGCAAGCACTCGTGTGTAGTAAGTGTCTCGATAAAGTTGTTTTTCCAAGAATGTTACGCTGATCATTGCTCAGGTACCAGTGAACAGACCACTGTATGGAACCTAGACACGCAGTCGCTCTTTGATCTTTGACGAGTATGCTGTTGATCTGTCTAGGAGTTCAGGCAGGTTGACCAGAATTCTGAGAACAAAGCTTGTGTGTTGTGAGGAACTTCCTTGCAGTAATTTCCAGTCTAAGCACAAGTGCTAATCTGAGTGTTAGCTTCGCACGCACAGATGAGTTCAGATTGTAAGACGAGCGAAATAGAGCACTGGAGCAGTGGTTCCCACACACGCCAGCAGTATTCTGGTCCGATACATGCGTGGAACACAACGGCTTCTTCGGCAAACCCTACCTCTAGTCCTCATAGCTCCAGTCCCACGAGCTCATCCACCGACCAGGCANNGCAACTTTAGTAATTACAGACGATCAAAAAATCGTATCGACATATTTCCGTCTCATTGTCAAGATTCTGGAATCTCCTGACCGTGGGAGTCAAAGCTCGGCATCGAGTACATCCAGCAAAGCCGACTACAGATGGCATGAGATGGGATTCATGTCCTGCTCATCAGGGACGAAGAGCATGATTATCTGTTTCAATGTACCGGACAGTGTTATTGGCGATCTACACAAAACACTGCCTACAAACTCCGAGCAGAGCAAAGATCCATATGGATTGCACATACCGTTGTTGGAAGAATTGATCAAGTTGTATGATCGAAGCATTTGGGCCATGGCAAAGAAAGTCCGAGAGATTGAANAAGGTTAGTTGGGTCGAGCCCTCTGGGAATCGCGAGACAAGGTTTATTTCTCTCACAGTCCACATGACTGACAAAAGATATCATAGCAACGTCTCGCAGAACCAGGAAGGCGCAGCTCCACAACTCCTTCCCTCCCATCGAGTTTACCTCTTCCCAGTGAACCTGCCAAACCAACAGGTCTCGCAAGAACGACCGAGAACTTTGAGTATCTCTTCGAAATCTCGCGACACCTGGCCCACAGTGTCGAAACAACACAGATAGCCACTGAAGTTGTGGAGCGCATGAAAGATGCCTGCGACTCGCTCCTTCTCGCCCATAGAACTCCGATACTTGTTTCAAGGGTGCAGAGGTTGAGTTTCTTGCATAGTTTGCTCAGAGGACTTTCGGCGAGGTCGGTGTCCAATGAGAAGAGATTGACCAGCGAGCAAGTCTTGGTGAGTTTTCAGGGCCGAATAGGGATCAAGCGAATACTGATACAGCAAGNNCTCTCCAACATGATATCTCAGCGCGATAGCAAGGTCAACAAAGATATGTCATTCTTCAGCTCCGAGATAGCGCTCGCCACCAGAGCAGATGGTGCAGCCATGAAGACTATCGCCCTCGTCACTCTGACCTTCTTGCCTGCTACTTTCGTTGCTGTACGTCTGCTCTTTTGATACCTTTCTCCTCGGCAAGTTAACGTGCTAACATTCGATCTAGNNGCACTCCTCGGCATGAACTTCTTCACGGTCGATCTGAAGACGCCGGGCGGACGATTGACTTCGACAAAAGACTTGTGGATTTATTTTGTCATCGGGGTGCCGTTGACGAGTATCGTGCTTTGTTTCTGATGGTGGTGGCAGACCAAAGAGGAAAAGAAAGCGGAACTCCGCAATAAGCGAATGGGGAGGGAGGGTGATGTTGAGAAAGCTGGGTCCTAAGGATGAGTATGCAGGACCGCAATATGACGAGCATGTTCGCGTATGTAGCCAGATTTACATCCTGAGGAAGTCGCAAGACACAGTCCCTTGACGGTCGCTCTTTCTTCCTCCCCGTGCGTTGAACGTGGCAACATCACAAATTTCCTCCCCCAATGACGCATGGCGATATTACAAGCTAGAGAATGTACGGTGACTTACTGTACATAAGTCAAGCCATGGAGATCTCAGAAGATAACGTTTTTCTCATGGACACCACTCCCTTCAACAAGGTATTATGAATTCCTGTCGCTATATTGTGACACCTTTTTGCTCACGAGAGAGAGTCGTGTCTCGCTATCGCCATTCAGCAAGGAGTCCCGAAAAGATGCACTAAAATGACATAGGGGCCAGTCCGTCAAAGAGGTCCTGGAGGAATGTATCAGTGTTCATGTCCCCCGTCCAAAGACCTGTGTTAGGGTCTGACATCTGGTCGAAAGACGAGGGGAGAAAATCGAGTCCCGGTGTCCAGTTCCTACTGTACTGTTGCATCAGAGCTTCAAGCTCATGAGCTTGCGTCTGTCCTGCGGTAATGCCAGTTTCGGACTGATTGTTGACGAAAGTTTCATTGGATTCTCTCGAACCGGTATCGAGTGCTGGACTTGAGTTCGTGCGCCCGTGATTGTTACGACTCTTGGGGTCCATCATCCAGCTGATGGTGCGGTGCGACAACTCGTCCAAAATGTCGCGACTGTGTTTAGCTCCTGGCCAATGCTCACCAGTGGCGCTAAGGATGTTTGATGCTGCGCGTAGATCAGAGACTAGCTCATCGATCACGGCGCCTTGTGCAACGGACTGACAGGTCCATATACAGAAGAATGCCGTGACCGAGCTCATCATTATCGAATGATAAGATGCCCAGCTAAAGACCAGCGAGTTTTCGACGTATAGCTGATGATAGAGCTTGATGGCTGCTATGGCACTTGCATAACATGCTTGTAAATTATCCGAGCTCGGTTGTGGTATGCCAGGACTAGGTCGGAGAAGAAGTGTCTTCAAAACATGATAGCGGATGTGACAGAGCTTTACCACGTAATCTTTGGGACCCGTGATTTGTGGTATATCAGCAGCCCATTGGTCGAGACGATCTACCATATCTCTTTGCCAAGTCTTCATGCAGCGAACTGCTGGGTAGGCATAAGCTGGCGTATCTCGCGAAATGCTGTGAAGGATATACTTCATCTCCGAATTGAGCCTGGCAAGCTTGAATAGGTGTATAGCATAACTCATGTGATTTGGAGGTTGTTCTTGTGTTCTGGAACTAACATTTGTCTGTTGTAAATCTTTGTCGTCAGTATCTGCGGGAAGCNNTGGAAATTCAGATGGTTAGTTCTTTGTAGTTATTGACTATACGCTCAAACTGCTTACCCTTAAATCACATGCCTCGTCTCTCAGACCTATCGGTCGGCCCATCATTGTACAAAGAGATCTGTCCAAGCTGTATACAACCCAGAAAAGCCTGGTTCGCATCTCCTGATCGAACGGCGAGATTGACAAGGCCGAAGTAATATCTCTCTGCAGACCAAGGTCTACAACCATCGCGATACATTGGTAGTTGAGATACCAAATGTTCAATTTTGTTGTTGGACTGTGCATACCCCAGACATGAAGCAACAAAAGGCACTGCAGCCCTCGAATCGAGCTCTCGAGCGGCTTCTTCTCAAAGAATGACATAGCCATGGCGGCCCAACCTTCACTGGGCAGCACAACTTTGTCTCGGCGCGACAGCATAATGGAAGAGATTGCAAGCACCATATAGACCTGAAAAGCGACGACCGGATCAGGTTCATCAGTAGCGTACATCACTTCCATCAGACTCAGATGTGTTGGCTCATGCAAGAATGGAAGGTGTTGGTGAATAGTCCTGAAGTAAGTCAGAGTCAGCTCCTGTGTCAAGTCCTTGCTTGATGGAAGCGGAGTTTGGATATCGCGGAGCAGCTGTTCTGTAAGAGCAGTATCTCGCTGCAAGCTAGCATGTCCCAAGTTGATACGAGTCGGATTTGTAGCTTTAGACAATGCACTGGCTGTGCAAACAAGCTGGGTAAANAAGTGGCCACTCGATGGTCCGATGTAGCGTGGATCATCGCCATTGGGAAGTGATACAAGGCCAATTTGATGAGCCAGGCTCGAGTCTGCATGTGGTGAATCGTTCAGAGGAGCTTCAGTATTACTTGCAGTTGTCTCGGTCGTGATCATCGGCGCATCGTGCACAGCGTATGAGACGTCTGTTTCCATCGACGGATCATGATGATCGCCAGGTGCAAGAGCTGATGCAGTATTGAACGTCGAGCTTGAGGCATCATTGACACTATCGACGTGTTCTATATCGATCTCATTCGTCAGGTCAACATCAGGACATCTGGATCTGACGATGTCTTCGAGCCAACGGACGCGATGTTCAAGACGCTGTGTGTACCGCCTAGAGTACCACTCAGTTGTGCAAAGTCATTTCGATGGTCCGACCTACGCTCGTGCTTGATTCCCGATGCTATTGCCGTCCTGATACTCGCAGTCTTTGTTTGATCTGCTACATGATGTACAAGTCGGCGATGCCCCGTCGCACTTCGGGAGTGGTTAGCACAAGGATGATGAGATATAGGCGGCATTGCGTTTACGCGTATTTTGCGCTGTTGGCAGCGAAGGCAGGCGGTACGGATGCGCTGCGACCTTCGCGACTGCCGTCTCGCAGCTCGCTCACCAGTAGCCTCCATTCTCGAGCGCGGATTTTCCACTCGGAGGAAGGCGCATGACCGACGGAAGAACGTTTTTGATTCACGCCAAGACCACGAGCTCCATCGGAAATTCCGCCCCCAAGTCCCAATCGACCCATCGACCTTTCCTCCCCTCGACTACCACTACTCGAGTACCACTTGACAACTACACAACCACGAGATATTCCTACGTCGATTCTTCGAGTCTCAAGAGATTGCATTTAGTCTCTGATTCTCTATATGATACTGTGCCTCCAAAATGTCCGTCATACTGTCTTCGCCGCGACCAGAGGCAAGAATCCTAAAATATGTTCATCTGCTTCGTCAACCTCAAAGTCATATCTCATCAAATCCTCTTTGTATGGGAACATATATGTGCTCGTGACACTGGCCGATAGTTGTCAGCTGGGTCTTATGATGTACATCTCCGTGACTTGCCGATGATGTTCGTCGGACCTCTGATATTCTGCAAGCGCGGCCCTGTCCTCGTGGAAGCTCAGAAGAGCAAACTCGAATCCCTTGCTACGCTCGATAGGATCGGTTATTGATGCTCCTCCGACCACTAGTCGCTGCTCCTTGACACATGGCAACGACTTCAGCTTCTTGAGTTCTGTCACAAACTTCTGCTTGTGCTCATCCGTCACTTCCGGGCGGAATTTGAAGAGGACTGTCGAAGAGTCAGAGGAATGTCAACGGGAATATGTCAAGACATACCAATGTGTACGATGGTCATATCTTCTGATTTGCTCTCTGTTGACACGACTTCAGGTTGCTGGCAAACAAAGGTCTACCCGACCTACCTATATACTGGACGCTTACGCGGAGATGATTCCGCCGAACGGAAATTCCATTGAATCGATGGAAAAGCCGCCATCGGGGAGACGCCAGTATTAAAACCATATAACCAGAACGCCAACTTTGAAATAATCATCGCAATCATTTAAATTTCGAATAACCAAATAATATGATTGCTCTATCGATCTCTTTGTAGACAAGAAACCGAAGACATCACCATGGCCGGCTCGGAAACCACCTCCAAACTCTTGGTCTCCGCTCAGGATGCCAACGACTACGTCAAAGCGGTGCTGCAAGCCAATGGTGTATCTGAGCAAGATGCAACAACTGTAGCTCACTGCCTCGTCGCTGCCGACCTCCGTGGCATAGACACCCATGGCGTGAATCGTATACCATCCTACCTCGCCCGTGTCCGCCAAGGAGTCCTGGATCCCACCGCTCAACCCACCATCACAGAAAAGACCCCTGTTGTCGCTCAAGTGGACGGCAAAAATGCCTTTGGCTTCGTTGCAGCGAGATTGGGTATGGAGAAAGCAATCGACATGGCCCAGATCTACGGCATCGGAATGGTCAGCGTGAAGCACAGCAACCACTTCGGCATGAGTGCTTGGCTGGTGCAGCAAGCTCTGGATGCCGGGATGATGAGTCTTGTATTCACAAACTCCTCACCCGCGTTGCCGGTCTGGGGTGGCAAGGAGAAGTTGATGGGGGTCTCACCGATTGCTTGCGGAGCTCCTGGCTCCGAGCATGATTTCATCCTCGATATGGCGCCTTCAGTTGCAGCGAGGGGCAAGATCTACAAAGCTAAACGGAGAGGCGAGAAGATCCCGGTGGATTGGGCTTTGGACAAGGACGGAAACCGGACCGATGATCCCAGTGCTGCCCTCGAAGGTGTCATGTTGCCGATGGGCGGGCCTAAGGGTTCGGCGTTGTCCATCATGATGGATGTGTTCTCTGGCGTTTTGTCTGGATCCGCGTTTGCTGGACATGTTACTAATCCCTACGATCCGTCTAAACCGGCGGATGTGGGTCATTTTCTCATTGCCCTGAAGCCCGATCTTTTTCTCAGCTCGGACGAGTTCAAGCAGAGAATGGAGTATCTTTATAACAGAGTAAGTTTGCATCAGGATGTGACAGACATCATTGAAACTAACATATTTTAGGTCGTCAATTGTGAGAAGATGGCAGGGGTAGACAAAATCTACTTCCCAGGAGAGATTGAACAGTTGACAGAAGCGGAAAGACGGGAGTCTGGTATACCGTATGTGGCAGCTGAGATTGAAGCCTTGAACGCCGAGGCAAGGCGAGTCGGTGTATCGGAGATAGTCGTGTCATAGTCGAAAATCACTCAGGGTGTTAGATTGTTGGAACAAAAAGACAAATAATCATTGAATTCTACACAAATAAACTCGACATGCGCCAACCAGAGATCCTCTCGTCACGAAAAATTTACTCACTCGAATGACATCAGTTTACTCTTCTTCAGAATCAGCTTCGCCAGCTCGATCAGACTAGGGCTGGTGAGTAGCTCCAGGACTTGGACGTTGGCATCCGCCTCTCTTGCAATCCAGTTGCGGACCTCGATAGCAGCGAGCGAGTCAAGACTGTACGAAGCGACAGCTGCTGAAGGCTCCATCTCCTCAACAGACAACATCAGTACGGCAGCCAGCTTGGTCACGAGAGCAGCATACAAGACCTCTAAAGCCTTTTCACTGTCGACAGCGCTCTTCAATGCTTGAGGCAGAGGTACGTTCGCATTGCTGCCCTCCGCAGATGTCTGCGAGACAGCTGCAGCAAGTAGGCCGCTGAACTTGGCATCGTGGCACCAGAAGGGCTCGGAACCAGGATTGATCTTCAGACCGGTGATGACATGGTTGTTGCTGGCAGTAATCTTGCCCGTGATAGCAGCGGTGAGGAGACCCAGGATCTCACTCTCCTCAATGGTTTCTCCACCAAGGTTGCGGAGTACATCAGCTGCTCTTTCGCTGTTGTCGGCCAGGTAGCCAACATCTGAGACGGCGGTTAGATCAAGAGATGTACCCGGAAGTCCTTGAGCATTTCGATGAGCCATGAAAGTGTCCAAGAACACATTGGCAGCTGCATAAGCTGCTTGGCCACGGTTACCAACAACACCAGCAACGGAGGAAAGAGCGATGAAGAAGTCAAGCTCGGCTGTACCAACACTGTTGTGCAGATTGAGAGTGCCGACAACCTTTGGATTGACGACTGCATTGAAGTCATCCAAGGTCATCTGCTCGTAAAGAACATCCTTGAGAACCATAGCACCTTGAATGACACCCCGGATCGGTCCTTCCTTCTGGAGTGCTGCAACCAACGTCTCGACCGACTTGGCGTCGGCAACATCGCAGGCGCGAACCGACACTTTTGTGCCCAATCTAGCAAGATCGCTGATGAGTCCTTCTAGCCTTGTAGTAACGTTGGCTCGTCTGGATGACAAACAGATATTCTTTGCTCCACGAGATGCCATCCATCTGGCAATGCTGCATCCAAGACCACCGGTACCACCAACAATCAAATATGACGCGCTTTCTTTGAACAGGTTTGCAGTCTTTTTCGGCGCGATGGCTTGAACAAGATCTCCAGGTTGAGGAGTGATAACTAACTTGCCCATGCTCTTGCCGCTTTGAAGACTACGGAAGGCAGCTTCGACGTCGTTCATGCCATAGCTAGTAACTGGACCGACTGGTCTGATACTGCCACTGCTCATGAGTTTTTCTACGTCGTTCAACAGTCTCTTCATTAGCTTAGGGCGGTAAGCAGCGACCTTAGTGAGATCGACAGAGGCGAAAGATACATTGTACTCGAATTGAGCCATCTCAAGTCTACTGTTCTTCGTAATGTCTGCCTTGCCGATCTCAATGAATCGTCCGAATGGAGCCAGGCAGTCCCAACTCTCGCGCAAGAAGTCGCCTCCGAGAGAGTTGAGCACAACATCGACACCCCTTCCATCAGTGACTTGGCGGATGGCAGGTCCGAAGGTGGTGTCACGACTGTAGAAAATGTGGTCTTCAGGAATGCCATACTCCTGCATGATGTGCTGCTTCTTATCAACGCTTCCTACAGTGGCAAAGATCTCAGCACCACAAGTCTGTGCCAACATGATGGCAGCTTGACCGACACCACCAGCAGCGGCATGAATGAGCACACTCTCGCCTTCGACAAGACGTCCGAGGTCGAAGAGACCGTAGTAGGCGGTGCAGAATACGACCGGGATGGTCGAGGCCGCAGTGAAGTCCATCTTCTCGGGAAGAGGAGCAACACTAGTCGACAGGCAACGAGCGTATGTGCTATATGCACCTTCCGTCATGGCCATGACAGGTTGTCCGACCTTGACATCTGCTACGTTCTTGCCAACAGCTGCGATGATACCTGCGCACTCAACACCAATATATGGCTGATTGAGCTGACCCATGGACACTACGACGTCCTTGAAGTTCATACCAGTGGCCTTGACTTCAATTTCAACTTCAGTGTCACCAAGAGGCTTGGGCTCGTCGTCAACAAAGTAGAATGAGTCCAGAGAGCCAAGTGTGGCAATGACCATCTTGAGGCGACGATCAGGTTGTGCGAATGGTTGTTGATATACGACCGAGTCTTGGGACTCATTGTGGAGTCGTACGTTCAATTCTTCGTCGTCGACCACCTTAGGCACCAATAGGTTGTCTCCCTTGAGGATGAACTCTTTATCGTCCTTGAATGCGGAGGTCGAGCCGGCACCAGTCTTGGAAAGAATTGTGAAGACGTTCTCAATGGTACTCTTTTCAGTAGCTTCCTGCAGACCAAGAGTGATTATGTTCGCAGAAGTCTCCGAGCGGATAGTACGAGTAAATCCAACGACCATGCTTCCTTCAACGTCAAGATCGGTAGGGCCTTCCTTGTAAACCCAAAGAACATCACGGGCCGAGAGCAACATTTGGCGCAAAGACTCGAACACCATAGAATCGATGCTGCTCAGGATGTTCTTGCCGGTTGTGATAAAAACGATCCGCTTGTCACTGGGCGCGACCTTCGAGAGCGTGAGTAGCTCAGCTTGAGCACCAGATGTCTTCCAAATGTTGTCAGCTAATTCCGCTGCCAAGGTCTTCTCGTTCGCCTCATTGTATACAACGCAAACAGTTTCATCCCTTGCAAAAGGCGTGCTGACAAGAGAGTCGGTTTTGATCGGCGTGTCTGAAACGTCAGAAGTAGACTTGTCCAACTCGGCTTCTTCAGATACTGTCTGCCAGTCGATCTTATAACAAAGCTCGCGAGCTTGTGATCCGGAGCTGCCACTGGACTCACGAAGCGGAGTCATCGTCAGACCATCAAACTGTACAAGTGGCTCATTGGCATTTGAAGAATCCACGACGAAGAAATTGAACTTCGTGGGCTCTGGCGACTCCTTGTTTGGAGTGCCCGAGCCAAACACCTCGAGATGACTGTCGAGCACCGAAGAAAAGTTACGCGAGATGCTGAAGCTCTTTACAAAGGTGGGCATATAGAGCGTATCGAGTCCTTGGCGGCCAGCACCAAATATGGGCCAAACAATCTGGATGATCTGGTCAAGAAGAGTCGGATGCACAATGAGCTCAGTCTCATAGCCTTTAGGCATCAGAGACTTGGTATCCGGTACGATCAGCTGAGCATGAGCGGTGGAATTACTTGCTTTACAAGGCTCCAACCCAGTGAACACAGGTCCGTATCCAGCGCCGATGGCCGTGAGAGTCTCATACATAGCCCCGACATCGACTGTATCAGTGGATGCCTTGACAATGCTTGACTTGCGAGCCTCGAACGCCTTCGAAGTACTCTGAGCCTTGTGTCCGTCAACAGCGTTAGTCGCTGGAGAGTTTCGAACACCGACAAGACCGTGGCAGTGCTGGAGCCAACCACGTTTTGCGTCCCAAGAGCAGATCTTGAAATCGTCCCATATGTCGGATGCTGCACCGCGAAGGCCTTCACTGTAAGGCTTGAGTGTGATAGTCATCTCGACATCAGTGTCTTCATTAAGAACCAATGCGCTGCTGACGACGAACTCGCGGATGTCGAAGCGGTCGAATTGAACGCCGCGAGAACTTGCACGTCTGGCTGCTGCTTCGACCGCCATGCCCATGTAGCCTGCCATAGGGTACACAGGCATGGATTGCATTTTGTGACCACGGAGGAATGGCAAGTCGTCCAGTCGAAGGATGTTTCTCCAGGTAGGCTCGAGGTCATTTGACCAATCAGCGAGTGACCCTAGAATGTCGTTGCGCCCACCCTCTTTGNNGAAACAATGTTTCTGAGAGAGACGAGATTCGTGCCAGTATCTGGTCTCGTGGTTGAATGGATACCTCGGAAGGTCAGTGACAAGTTTCTGGTTGACACTTTTGGTACGAGGGAAATTGATCTCGCCAAAGGTCAGTGGTAGGCCCTTCATATAGAGGGCTCCTGCCATGCGAAGAGCACATTCGCTGGCATTCTGATTTCTGGCAAGCACAGAGACATACTGCAACTTGCCCCTAGCAGCATCGATAGTAGCCAGGGTATCTCTGATAGGACCTTGCAAAGCTGAGTGAGGTCCAAGTTCGACCAGATGGTCGATGACCTTCGATCCAGTCTCATTTGCCATTGCACTGAGAGCATCAGAGAATCTGACGGGTGAAGTCAGATTCTGGACCCAGTACTCCGGGGTAAGCTCAGAAGCCTCCGCGACACGACCAAGCAGGGATGAGTAGAAAGTTGCTGTGGCCGTGGTAGCAGGCTGAATGTTCTTGATCAGGTCGAGATATTCAGCTGCAACGGGTTCGAGATGTGCAGAGTGATATGCAACACCGACCTTCAGCTGTCTGTTGAAGATGCTCTTCTCGGTCAAGATTGGCTGGAGTTCTTCAACAGCTTCGACGTCGCCAGACAAAGTCACCGAAGAAGGGCTGTTAATACAAGCCACGGTGACATAGCCTTTGGTGACAGCATCGAGCAGGGGACGAACGTTCTCGACACTGGTTCCAACAGCCATCATGGTACCTTGTGGTTTGCCTGCGGCTTTCTCCTTGAGACTAAGCATGCATTGTCCTCTGTAGTAAGCGATTTTCATTGCATCTTCTAGATCAATGACGCCAGCAGCGAAGGCACAGCCAATCTCGCCTGACGAGTGGCCGACCACAGCAGCAGGGTGAATACCCCATGAGCTCAGAAGCAAAGTAAGAGCAATCTGGAGCGCGGTACAAGCAGGCTGACTGATGTGAGCAGCGTTGATGAGAGAAGTATCTGCGGGCTTCAGCATCTCCTCTTTCAAAGAGAAGTTAGCTCCAAGGGTCTTCAGTGTTTCGTCTGCAGCATTTAGCGCAGTAGCAAAGATTGGGTAATCGCGAGCAAGCTCGGCACCCATGGTCGCCCACTGGGCTCCTTGACCAGTAAAAACGAAGCCCAGAGTGGGTTTGTTGCGAGCTCTGGAAGTAGGAACCTTTGCAGTTGCAAGACTGTGGCCCAGCTCATCAGACGAAACAGCCCCGATCGCAAGTCTGCAGGGTAGGTGGGAGCGTCTCTCGCCAAGAGTGTAGGCCACGTTGCCTGCCAGTAGCTTCTCGAACACTTCTGGCCGTTGCTCAAGGAAAACGCCGAGATCAGTGATCTTCTTCTGCAAGGCTTGAGAGTCATGGGCAGACAGAACGAACAGCTTGCATTGGGGATCGTCGGGTGCTTCATCGAGGGAGTTGATTGTGGTCATGGTAGTTTTGAGTCCTTTAGGAGCAGCGCCCAATACGACATGAGCGTTTGCACCACCGAAGCCGTAATTGGAGACCGAAACATACTTCTTGCCTCGTGGCCAAGGCCTGGTCGATGTCGGAACCNNTGACAGTCGTTAGAATTATAGTGATCAACAAATCTTAATGCATCCAGAACATACCTTCATATTGTACTGGTCGAGCGGAATGTTCTGGTTCGCTGTCTCGTAGTTTGCGTTAGGCAATATCATTCCCTTCTCCAGCATCATTGCAGCTTTGATGACAGAGACTATGCCACTGGCGCCTTCGAGATGGCCAACATTGCTCTTCACCGAGCCGATGAAGAGTGGGTTCTTCGGCCCACGACCAGCACCGAGTGCTTCATAGATGCCAGCAACCTCGATCGGATCACCAACTTTTGTACCAGTGCCGTGGCATTCACTGAAACCACATTCAACTGGGTCAAGGTTTGCCTTGGCATAAACCTGCTTGATCAGGTCTGATTGAGCACGACCATTTGGCACGGTGATACCATTGGTCTTGCCGTCTTGATTGACGCCAGAGTTGTGGATGACAGCTCGGATAACATCGCCATCACGAATGGCAGCATCGAGCGGCTTCAGGATCATTGAGCCCGCACCTTCGCCACGTGCAAATCCGGAGATTGCTCTGTGATCGAAAGCGAAAGTCTTACCGGCATCATTGAGCAGTNNCTGTGAAGTGTTAGGCTCGTCCAGGCTTCTGGTGCCAAAAACTTACTGTGTGTTCGACATGGTAACGAAAAAGTCTGGTGTCAAATTGAGGTGAGCCGCAGCAACGACTGCAGATGAAGACTCTCCACTGCGGAGACTCTGCATGGCGCTGTGTAATGCCACAAGAGAAGAGGAGCATGCTGTATCAACAGTCATACTCGGCCCCCGAAGGTCAAAGTAGTATGAAAGACGATTGGACTGCATTGCTGGTGCACAACCAGTGGCTTGGTATGTGGGTGCAGTGTCGATGTCTCTGGTATTGTTGACCTCATAGTCTGCGAAGGAACCACCAACAAAGACACCGATGTCCTTGCCTGCGATACCCTCCTTACTCATACCAGAGCTTTCAAAGGCTTCGAAGGTGCATTCGAGAAGAAGTCGTTGTTGAGGATCGAGTGCAGTGGCCTCTTGAACAGTCATGTTGAAGAAAGGGGCATCAAAGCGAGCAGGGTCTTCTTGGAGGAAATAACCGCCCTCTGTGTTGATGCAACCATGCTTGCCGGGCGCAGGATGATAGTACGCATCCTTTGCGTAACGTGTAGAAGGGGTAGGTCCCCAGCCAGTGCGGCCTCGAGAGCACAACTCCCAAAGATCCTCAGGCGATGAGACGTCGCCGGGGAGTCGACAGGCATAGCCTACGATAGCAATAGGTGTGGGTGTAGATGATGCCATGTTTGTGTTGGTGGGATTAATAAAATCCCGAGAAAGGATCAAGTATTAGTCGACAAGATGAATTAAATAGAAAAGCTGAGATATGATGAGAACTATACCAGCATGGTGGGAACTTCGGCGCTTTATCATAATCATGGGAAATTCTATGTCCTTGATGGCTTTGCAGAAGGAGGTCCGATCTTCGGTGAGCGATTTCTTTACCTTGAAGCGTTGAGCAGACACCGCAAAGAGAGTCGAGAAAATATCTCGTGCCACAATACGGCCGTTCATGTTGAGACTCGTCGCTGTGATTGATCCACAAGGGTCATTTCTGCTATCGATCAACTGCCATTAGAGACTGACTCGAGGAAGTGTTGTCTGTCTGATTGTCTGATATTGCACAATCCTTCTGCCGGAAGCGGACAAGAGGCCGGACTAATCTTCGACGAATAAGGTCCTGTCTGGGGTTCCATGCTGGATCCTCAACGCTGATACGGAGCTATCTCGTAAGTGTGGGCTCAGAGCTTGTGGCTACCGGTATATCGAGACTGCACTGCCATGCCCGGTTTTCTCGGCCGAGTAGGGATTTCCCTGAGAACCGCTCAAGACATGTCAACATCAAGGTCCAATTCGAAAAGCCATGGCAACATGTGTCGCAACAGCGACATTAGGCTGGAAGGGTCTACAAGCTTTCACTTTATAGTGCCAGACACCAGCATGCATTGCCGTTCTGCTGATCACCTGTAAAGGGTCGCCGATCATGTTCAACAAGGGAAGAGAAAGCTTTGACATGTGGCATGGAGTCAAGGGACAAAAACGTTCAGAGGGCGGAGGAGGAAGGTTTGAACCGGAGAAACAGCGGGTCGCGGTGCAACCGACCGCTTTGGGGACAGTGCGTTTTGACGTGTCGGATCTATCCACATCTCCCACCAATCGGCAATATATGCCGTCTTATTGACTCACTTTGTACTGCTATCGCCTACAAGGACGAGGATATACGTGCGTAAATGAATAGATTCAATAGACACATGCATGCTTCGAGCAAGACAACGCTATCTAGACAGACACGAACAAAGTTGATCTTATCAACCTTTCTCAACAATCATTAGCTAGTCGTTCTTGCCTAGGGTTCTTGCTAATCAACCATGTGTCTCATCCTTTTGCTGCGGGTACGACAAACGGCCGGAAGGAATGCATTCGACCATTTCTGGAAGAAAAGACACGCACGTCTTTGATACTGCGAGTCAGTCAATGTATTTCATGCTCCCTCGACTACGTTTCCTTCAGACTCGGCATTTTCTTTCATCACAACACAAAGAACAGCAAAGATGAAGTTTCTATGTTTGCATGGAGCCTATGGCAACATTCCCGTGAGTAGCGCACCAACAAGAGTACCTTGATGTGGTGTCTAACATCTGCACAGGNCAGCTAGTGTCCAACTGGGACCCCTAGTAGAACTACTTGAGTCTGCTGGCTCGGCCTCGTTCGAGTTCATACAAGGCCGGGTGCCAGTGACACCACCTCCTGGTAAGGGCGACAAAGTTTGACAATATGATCTGAGCTGACGAAGCTGTANNGGCTTTGAGTCGTACTTCGGTCCAGGACCACATTATCGTTTCTTCAAAGACAAAGGAGAGGCCGAAGCATCAGCAGTTGAAGGAATCAGAGTATTCCCCGAAGCCGACACCCCTGAAGATGCTCTCCGTGCACTCATGCCTAGAGGCGAGACGAAGATTGGCTTCGCTGATGCGAGACAAGCTGCCTTGAAACAGCTTTATGAAGCACTCGATGCTGACCCTGAGATCAACGGAGTCATTGGATACAGCGAGGGCGCCTCTGCTGCGGCCACACTCATCTACGATGAGCAGGAGAGGATGAGATCCGAGGGTTATGTGCCAAGGATCAAAGCAGCTGTCTTCTTCATGGGATGGCCTGCACTCACTAGCGAGAACATTCCTGCCTTGTCGGACGAGGTCGAACACCTTCTTGAGGTCCAGTCTCTGCACATCATTGGTGCCAATGGTATGGTAACACGACATCCTACTCCCTTACGACCACTTTTTAACATTTGCANNGACCCATACAAGGACGGTGCGCTTGCCTTGTACAACCTCTTTGACGACAACATGGCTGTCTTCTTCGATAGTGCGGGCGGCCACACTATTCCTCGTCATGGTAAATTGTTGCAAGAGCTAGCTCAAGCAGTGAAAGACCTGATCGCCGAGATACCTGAAGATGATTCTGCTGAGCTGCCTGGGCCAGTCGTTGTAGCCAAACGTCTAGACTCCGCTGTCGATATCCCTACACTGAGTGCGCTGAAGCTGGCAGGGGTGTAGCGAAAGATAGCGGCAAAGCCTCCATAGAGCAATGTTTCCCCAGTCATTCATCCCACACATAATCTTCCCAGTCCTCAACAGAGTTCGTCTCCCACAAACGAGCTTCTTCAGCCTCGCGTAATTCAAGATCGTCAGAGCCTTTCAGAGTTCATCATCCATCTCCAGTCGTCGTCCATGGAAACCTCAGAAAGGATCGTCTTCAGCTCTCTTTGGACGCTCTGGGGGTCTTTGACCAGGCAAGAACGAAGAATAGTTCTTTGTTCGTAATAATCAGGAACGTTGTTGTACCAAAAGCGAACATCTTCGAATTCGAGATGCTGCGGTGTGATGTTCTTGATGATTTGTGTCAAGATTTTTGGTGGTGAATTGAGAAGTGTCTGAGGCATGGCTACTGAAAAGTGTCCGGACAAAGACCAGAAGAGCTCGGTAACGATATCAGCGATATGAAGTCGTCGAGTTTGACAAGAGTGACAGAACTTTTGGCAATTCAAACATGCGAGGCGTTGTACGCGACTCTCAGAAGCGCGCGTCTGTCTTGACCACAAAATAAACTAGTCTTAATTTAGTAAGCTTAACTCCGGGTCATCCTGGCCTTGTTGTGCGATGCCTTGGACTGCTCAACAGCATACCACTAGCCTTGTTGCTGTGTTCATTGCAGGATCTTTTCAGAGATATCCCAATGAGTAGCCCCTTTTTCCAGTCAGCAGATGGTGCTATAGGACTGCAAAAATGCACAGTTGTTAGCAGATTCAAACGTGTGGCCATAGAAGCAGCCTCGAATGATAGCTCTCCTTGACGACACTTTAGCCTGTAAAGTTTTGGGCATTCCTATAGCGACAGTACAAGCATCTTCAGCAAACAACGGAGAGGAAAAGGCAGGGTATAGCAGGGCATTGCAGTTGACCACATGTTGTTCAAGGGGGTCCCTCATTGCGGTCTCTGATGGCGAGATTTATGTATGGCTTTTTCAATAATCCATGCCACCACCACTCTTCCTCTTGTCTACCCTTCTTTGCTTCTTGTCCGGACAATCTTTCTGCAAGTGCCCCTTCTGGCCACAGACATGACAAGCCATGTTGGCCACGTTTCCTTGTTTGCTCCTGATAGCAGCATTTGAGATTCCACCAACTTTGTTCAGATTAATATCCCTGCTTCTTCGTTGCTCAGCCATTTGTTTTGTCTTTGCCTCTTCCACTTTCCGTTGTGCTTTGCGTTCGGCGCGTAGTTTTGCGGCTGCTTCTTTGCGTTCTGCTTTCAAGAGAAGCTCTGCTTCGTCTAGATCTTCATCGTCCTCCGAATCCGAGTCCGAGTCCGAAGATGCGTCCGAGTCGTGTTCGGACTCTGATGATGAGAGATTTGGGTTGTGTTGACGCTGTGACAGTCAGTGTCTGTTTCGCATCTTGNNAGGGCCACAAGTTCTTACCTCGACAGCCTTGTTGAACTTTCCAAAACTCCTTCGTCCCGCCATACCAGCACTCTGCTCTTCCTCCTCTTCATCATCACTCTCGGGAATCGGCGCACCCGAGTCAATGGCACCATATCCAGCCTCCACGATGCGCAATCCTGACCCAGCAGTCTTTGGCTTGTCGTCACTGACACTCAAGACCCATTTTGTTTCTCCAGCCTCGGCGGCGGCGCGTTCGATAAAGGCGTTCTTCTTTGCTTCTTCGGCGGCGGCGGCTTCCTGGAAGGCGAGGGCGTCGGGAGTGACTGCTGCTTCGGTCTTTTGACGTTTAGAGGGGCGTGTGCCGTCGGGAGTCGTGGGGGTGGTGGGTGTCGAGGCGGATGCGCGTTGCATGAANCTGGTGTCCGTGTTAGATTGTTCTATGAGAGCGGTTCGAGGAGGCAGGTAGCATGCCTTCATGTTCAGCAGTCGCGATGACATGTTTTTGCCTGCCATGTTGTGTTTTGGCGTTGAATGGGTTTGGTGAGTGAAGTTGGGTTGTGATGTCGCAAAGAGCAATTCGCCCAAAGATTTCTTGAATCTCGAACAGGAAGCTGTGACGCGGTCGGACACCCGGCGAGAAGGACGGGAGGCTCGGCCCGCGGTGCTTCGGAATCTTTTCCGCGAGCTCTCCTTCTTTGGTCCATGCTTGGTTGATGTGAGCCCTGTACAAGGTAGTCCATATGATCGGATTCTCTGCATGTCACAAGAGATCCTGACAAGAATCCGAGAGCGTAGGATCAAACCATGTTCCATACCAAGGATTCGGGCATGGGGGTGGATTGCGTTATTTGGCATATTGACATGGTTCTTTGCAGGTAGCTTGAGAGGTGAACAGTCGATGTGGTAGAAGCTAAAGCAAAAACAAAAACAAAAAGGCTGAGAAGAACGAGCAGATGACCAAACAACGCCGACTCCTTCTCCATGCTGCGATGCAAAACCAAGGCATATGTGATGTGTGTATCTCTCGAATCTCATTCCTATTCCAAGCTCGTGTAGGCATCCAGCTCTTTGCCGTTGCGTCTTCTCTTCTCAACAGGATCTGTTCGCATCTCGACACCGGGCCCGACTCGTCTGTGGCTGGGAAAGACCTGCGCTTGCGTTAGTGTCTTTCTCAGTCTTGATCTCACAGCGTGACGCACCTTTGTGTTGGACCAGCCAAAGCGGAAGGCCAGTTCGTTTGCAAATAGCTCACCAAAGCCCAGCATCAGGCCGTTGACAAAAGGTAGAAGCAGGTTGATGGCGGCACCCCGCACCAAGCCCCAGAAGGTGGGTGGGGAGTAGAGGATCAAGGGCGATGCTGAGTCTGAGGATGGTGATGAGGGCGACGACATGTCGGGCTGGTCATATGTCTCGCTGTCTGACTGCATTGTCATCGAGTCGTAAATGTCGCGCTGGTCGGCTGCCGCCATGGTTGTGACTGGTCTTGGTCTTGTAGATGTGGTTCAAGGAAAGTCGCCTTGTTGCGCAGGCTTGTTGATGATGTAGCAGCCGCCTCTCGTATATGGAGAAGATGCGTATATCTATGGCGGTCCGGGCTAGATGGTCAAGATGGTCGAGCGGGCCTCGTCGTCGTGTCTGTCGCAAGCATAACGTGACTCTCGTCCGGCCCTCATGATGGCTGTTGCCCGCATTCCGAAGATGTCCCGCCTCTTCTTGGCAGTGTCATGACGCGTTGCTGTGTCTGCTCCCCGACCTCTCTCGCGCCCATCTCCTTGCATGGGAAGACAAAGAGCGCGACAGGCTAGCTCTACGCTTCCATGAATTGGCCGATACTAGCATCGGCTCTGAAGAGGCAAGCAAGGCTAGAGAACATCTTGACGATTGGAATGAAGGCGAAGAACTGAACCAGACTACCAAGTGGTTTGAGTTTCGTTTGGACGCTTCTTGTGCCATGGGGCACATCTAGCTTATTGATGATTATGGTGCTGTCGAAGTTATGACCAACTCCGTATTCAAGAGCGACATGTTTGACCTGCATGGAGTCGAAAGACTTATGGGTCGTTGATGAAGTCCGCCCGTATGCTTCGGCGTGGTTACATTGTGTTCATGAAATTCTCATAAGGTTTGCTATATACATATTTCTTTCGTAAATATAAAAGGCACAAGCCTGAAAGAGAGTGGAAGATGCGTTTCTCAGAGTGCGTCCTACAGACCTGTATACATTCGTTTATGGTTCGTACTCTTCCTTCACAGATCCAGACAAAGGACTTTGGGCAAGATACCACCTTGGATTTGCACGACCGTGTTGACCTTTGTCGAGTTTGCCAATGCCCTGTTGATGACAAAAGTACCAGAAGTGCCAGCCGGTGCATTGACGACTGCATTGATCTTGCCGTTCGCCACACTCCACTGTACCTTCAGCACACCATATGGTGTTGTCACCTGCGCACTAGCAGACTTGAGATCAAAGCCTGTGTATCCCGGCGCAATGACCCACGTCTTGTATCCGAAAGTCACAGGTCTGATACCAGCAACGTACTCGGTCATGATGTAGGTAGGCGCTCCTCCCCAAGGGTGCGAAAGACTGGTGTAGCGAGAGAGCGCCGGTTGCAGATTCGTGTTTACGTATTCCCAGGATGCACCACTGTGCGTGGAGTCGTTCTTGATCATGGCAGCCCAGAGGTTGTCGAAGAGGTATTTTGTTTCAGCTGTGCGGTTTGATTGCAAGAGGGCGGGAAGAAGAAATCCGTTTGTGTTGGGCGAGATGTCGACGATACCGTTCGATGACACGTCGGTTGTGTCTTTATAGCCAGGAGAGAGCTTCAAGGCAGTCAAAGCGTTCATGCAGGAAGTCGCTTGGGACGCTGATGCAATACCAGAAGTAACGACGAAAGCAAGCCCTTGGGCGGAGAGCTTGGTCATGTTCTGAGGATTGTCGCTGAAATGGCCGAGACTAGGCTGCCAGAACTTGGCTTGGATGGTCGAAGTCAAGTTTCTGGCGACTGCAGTCCAAGCTTGGGCTGAACTACTGTCTCCAACGGCAATAGCAACATCGGCTAGTTCCTTGAAGGCTTGTACGGAAGCAGAGTTGACCGCCAAACCGGCACCATCTCCAAAGAAGGCGAAGCCCACGGTCACGATACCCGTAGACTTGTCGATCTTGCCAATGAGATACTGTACTGCGAGTTTCCACTGCGCCCAGTTCTTCTTGGCAAACTCGATATCGTTGTTATAGCGCATGTGAGAGCCAAAGGCAAGCAAACCGAGAATATGGTAATCCTCGAGGAAATAGAAGTAGCCGCCCTCAGCTTCGTCGAAACCGGCAAAGGTAAGGGTTGCGTTCCCCGGATAACCAATAGGTGTGTTGAGAGGAAGTTGACCAGAAGGTAGCTGCCAATCCAAGAATGTTTGGAGAGTGCCTGCAGAATAGTCCTTGCGATTGGTCGAGGTGCTAATAATTCCGGCAGTGTGGTAGAAGTCGCCGAGCCAGACAAGTCTATCTCGTTTAGCACCATCCATGCAAATGTCAGCCGTGTTCGACTGGACTCCGAATTCGGGCAGAATAGAATCATCGGTCATGGTATTAGTGTAGATGGTAGTGCCGTTGCTCGCCAACACTTTGACATTCTTGACATAGCCAGCTTGATCTTGCCAGCCGCCAAAACCAAAGGAACCTGTTGTAGTCGCAGGGGTAGCTCCGGTATAGTAGTTGTCTAAAGTGACATTGAATACCTTGGCCCCGTTGACTGAGACGGCAAGGTAGTTTCCGTCATACATTCTTGCAGACACAGAGTACCACTGTCCTTCTTTGACCTGGAACGGAACCTTGAAGTTGTCGAGGTAGTATGAAGTAAGCGTAGTCTGGTTGACCAAATTAAAGCCATAGCCCAGAGCGATTGAGTTGGGTGGCAACAGAGTCTTGTTAACGTTGGCGTAAGTAGTGGATTTGGGATAGTTGCCGACTACATTGAGCTGAATACCACCAAATCTGGTGCTAACCGGGTAAGCCATCGACCATCCAAGTCCACCACGCTGGATCTTGGCGGAAAAGGTGAGGTTGTAGTTTGTGAAATCTTCCGCCTTTGTAGTAAGACCAGCGCGAGTCCCTCTGATAAGTACGCCGTTGTCAAGGGAGGTTTCCCATATGGTCTTGTACGCACCCGCTGCAAAACAAGAAGCACCAGCGGCTCTAGCTCCAAGTTTCCAGATCTCGTTATACAGAGGATTCGATGAAGTGAACTGTCCAGGCAGTCTGTTGTAGTCAAGCTTGTCGACGGTTGCTTTGAAACCGACCTTGGAGATGGTTACAGAGCCTGACGTAAGCAAGCGTATCGTTTGCCAGCGCTGACCACCTTGAGCAAGGTAGGATTCCAGTTGACATGCCGAAGTGACCTCGAAAGTTTCTACCCTGTAGCTGTTGGTAAGACCTTGGCCAAAGGAAAACGGTCCGTCAGAGAAAGGCAGGTCTATGTCTCCCAGATCCTCAGTGTACCTGCAGNNAAGGTCAACCGTGAACTAAACAAGGATGTGTTACAGCACAAACCTAAATTCGAGCTGAACCTTTCCCGTGAAGCTGGAAACTCGGAAGAAGGGGTATCCAGCAACCTCATATCCATAGTCCAGAGTCGCCACGGGAGTGTTCTTGTCGAGAGTGAAAGTTGTGAAAGGATGTGTGTTTTCATTGGTGACATTGCCCAAAGCAATAGCAGAAGGGTAGAACTCATTGAGGCTGCTCTGTATCAGTAAATGTTCGGCAAGTGTGATAAACTAGTGCAGCTGGTAAATACTTAGACAGTGGAATAGCCAGAGCCTGCCATAACAGGCCCAAGAGTAGACAGATTGTCCTTTGCATTCTCGACAAGTACCTGGTAGTTGTTGTTGGTCCTCTGAGGCATTATTCTTCATCTTTATACGCTTGCCATCGGTTGCTGTTAACCCGATGACAGTGCAACGGCTCCACAAGTGCATAGCAAGGAGAGAGATCCAACCTTTGACATAGATCCGTGCCTCAAGGCCCAGAAGTCCCAAAGTCGTTGTGGCCCATTTCCCTAGGTGGTCCCCGCACTTTTCGGCTCGGTGCGGTCGAGTAAGCATGGAGCTAGGTTGGACATCAAATTACCATGCGGTATGTTGAATCTTTGACGATGGACGAATTGTCGGTCCCGGCTTTGATCGCGATTTGATGACGGAACGAGTTCTGAATTGGAGACTCATGTGAAGAAGGTCGTTCTTGCCAGACCAAGCAGCTGCACAGACACCATATTTACTGTTGATGACCCTCGGTAGGTGATGCCCCGAACATGAGCATGGCACCATCCACCATGGCGGGGCGTCGCTCCCCACACCTGTGGGGGAGCCGCTTCTGGGGAAGAAGATCTCGGCAAGTGGTGACCTCTGCGAACACGAGCACCTGCATGGCCTCTTGAGTACAGGATATCATCGATACCAAGGCACATCCAGCCCTTGGGTACTTCAGTCGGTGTTGCTGTATCGTATCTTCGGTGTGCAGCTTGTTTGCTGGCGCTTCGTGCAAAGGCGTTCCTGACTAGCAGACTTCCGGTTCAGCTGGCGACAGTCTCGTAGAGATTCCCTAAGTAACAGTTGTCCTTTGCCTTGTGGAATCGAGGATCCAGTCATGTTGTCTGAAGACGCCGGCTGGGTATCGAAACATCCCTGGGTTCTTGTGGAAGAGGCTCGCGCGTTGGTAATGTTCACTGAGCCTCGGTTTTCTGTTGAGTTTGATCAATTCATCTCAAGATATTTCAAGTAAGAGGCTGATTTGGGCAAGTTTTGATCGACTCATCGCCGTTGATGGGGATGCTGATGCCTCAGGATGAGAAGCTTTGAGGCTGAAAAGATCGTTCTGGAAGGATCGTGGAGAGCTCACCCCACATGACGCACTCGATATATAGAATAATGTTTGTCTAAGCACATACAACATTTTGTGCAACAAAGCAAAGAGCTATCGAAGACAACGGCAATCTGTCGATGAAGGTGAGAAATGCTGTCAAGACCACAGAAGCACCGAGAACGTCGTGCAATGCATCGATGATCGCGTGTCTTGGCCGTCAGGAACAGAACAGCTGAGTGACCTCATGATGCAAAGACATCGTCATCTGCAGAAAGGTACAGAGCTCCGCCTTTGAGCTCTGCGTTTTATATTTTCCTCATTGCAAACACTCGAAGCTCTTCTCTTCTCATTCATCAGACTCTGTCCATTGACTCTTCAAACACATCTTTCTACCTCCAAACCACCACCAACACACACATATTAAAATGCCTCGCTCCATGGCCCCTCCCCCATCCGGCGAGTTTCTCGTTCGTCTGGCCGCTCCCTTCAACGGCACCGCCACTAAGACCATCGATATCACTGGCGAGCCCAACCGTTCTGCCAACATCAAGCAGACTCACCACCACGGAAACACTATTGAGGAGAAGGTCGGCACCATGGCCTCGTGAGTCCTCTCGGTTATATTAACACACGTATGGGTTTGCGACTAATGCTTCTGCTTTAGCGACGACGTCCAAGAATTGATGCGCCTCATCTCTCAGCTCCGTGGTTTCCCCTCGCACGAGACCAAGGACGTCTACGGCCTTGACCAGGTCCTTGAACTTCACACCCTCGAGATCAACTGGTGCAACCAGGAGAGCGACCCTGCTGCCAACGAGCTCGCAGATATCTCTTCCGAGACCAAGCAGACCTTCAAGGACGTCGTTGACAGCATCTCTGCTGCTGCTCGTCAGTTCGCCAAGGCTGACAACCCTCTCTAAACGTATAACGATTGATGGTCAACAAATTTCATGAAGAAAAGGATGTTATGTCTATAATTCTATATTCAGACGATACGAAATGAAATGTATCGGGTCCATGTTTACACAAAGTAACCACTCTGTCTCTCCATCTAGTCCACAGTGCAATCATATCGGGCTGCTTGACGTATGGTCACTAGTCGAGTTGACAGGATCGCCGAAGCCTCTATATGTCCTGCTCTGTATGATGTGGAAGATGTTCTTTCCGGTGCTAGAGACTAACTCTACCCTTCTCCCACAAGATTGAAAAGCGATCTGTACATTCCGAAGCAGAAGAACGACCAAGGAGAGTCGATAAGACGTTAGCTCCTAGTGGAGACTGCCATATTCTTGATAGCACTGTGCGTTTCTAGAGCTAAACGCGATCTACACTTTGATGCACTGGAGAGCCGTGATCTTGGTGAAGTCCCTGGTGCTTTGGATCTATTCAGGCCAGTAACAGGTCAACACTACAATCGTTCGAAGAAACGATATAAACCTCATCAAAACTTGTGTCCATGATACATGACACACATGGTCCATTTCATACAGTGTTGTTTCAGTATCAGAAACCTTATCGTTATGTAGAAAACACGACAGAACTATCCAAGTCAGGGTCGTACAAGCAACAGCGATCGGTCTGCGGAGGATATTACCCCGCTTGCCCCTCCTTGTGTCGGATATCTGGTGACGCCTCATGTTTTTCCGCCTGTTAGCGTCGGAAAAGCGTGGTTGAAATCGTCCGTCATGAGCTACATATAACTACCTTAGACCTCATCTTACACCATGAGGCATAACTCTCCAAAGACCGGAAAAACAGCCGCCATGTCTGCAACTACTACTCGAACCAAAATGATGTTCGATCCAGCATCCTTCGGCAAATTGCGGCTAAAGAGCCATGACTCCCTATACACGATGGACGACTTGATCAGATCGCATGCTGCAGAACCTGAAGATTTCACATTGATCGGAGCTCCCGTAGATGGTCTTACAGACTTTGAAGAACATTCTGCTCGCGACGTCGATAGGTTCGCCGATGCGGCAGCAGCTCGACTGCAGGAAATGGGCCTGAAGCCTGCAGTAAGACTTGCACAACATCAGACCAGTTAGAATCGGCATTGACTTGGAACAGNNGACCCTAGCCTGGATGAATCTCCAATCGTTGGCATGTTATGTATTTCAGGACTCGATATGGTTGTTACTCTTCTCGGTCTTTTGCGATTAGGCTACGGCGCGTTGCTGCTTTCAACCAGACTGGCAGCACCAGCATACGTCCGGTTGATGAGCATGGTCAACTGCTCCACGTTGATCTCCACGGATACTTTCAAGTCTGTCCTTGATGATGTTCAGGCTGAGAAGCCTCTTACCTGCTTGTCTCTGCTGCTGCGTTCGGACTACATCGGCGTAAAAGCACCCACTTTCAGACGCCAATACAACCCTGCCCAAGAGACAAAGAAGATTGCAGTAATTATCCATTCCTCTGGATCGACCGGTTTTCCAAAGCCAATCTACCTCCGACATGCACAATGTCTTGCGACCTTCACACAGAACTTTGGCATGCGTGCTTTCCTGGCATCTCCTCTCTTCCACAGTCAAGGCTTTTACGAGATGTTCAGAACTATCTACTCCAAGAAGCCTCTCTACCTTTGCAACTATACAATCCCTCACACACGCCAAGGCTTGATGGCTCAATTGCAGTATTTGAAGCCCGAGATCTTCAACTGCGTACCGTACCTGCTGAAGTTGTTGTGTGAAACCGAGGAAGGCATTAACGAGCTAGCCAAAGTCAGTCTAGTGATGTTCGCCGGTAGCGGGTGCCCAGAAGATGTGGGAGACCTATTGGTGAGTAAGGGAGTCAATCTGGTCCAGAACTACGGATGCACCGAGATTGGTCGCATCATGACTTCGTTCAGATCGGCAGAGGATCCCGAGTGGAACTACTGCAGACTGAACCCGCCAGTGTCTGAGCACGTTCTGATGGACGAGATTGCCCCTGGGGTCTTTGAGTGTGTCGCACTGGAGAGCTTGAAGACAAGAGTTGCAGTCAATTCAGACAACCCTCCGAACTCTTTCCGCTCAAGAGATCTGTTCGCACCTCACCCAACGCGGCCGAATCTGTGGAAGTATCTGAGTAGGCTCGATGATCGCCTGACGCTGGTCAACGGCGAGAAGGTCCTGCCACTGCCAATCGAAGGTCGCATTCGTCAAGACCGCCTGGTTCAGGAAGCTGCGGTATTTGGCATTGGCAGAAGCGTACCTGGAGTCATTATCTTCCGATCTCATGATGCTAAGGACATGTCCGACGATGAGTTTTTCGAAGCTGTGTGGCCCGCTGTCAAGGACGCCAATGCCAGAGCAGAGAGTTTCTCCAGGGTTCCCAAGGAGCTCGTCATTCTTGTTGCTGCAGACACAGAATACCCCAAGACCGATAAGGGCACTTTCATCCGAGCCAAGATCTATGCCCAGCTCAAGGAGGAGATCGAAACTAAATACAGCGATTTTGAGAATGGCTGTCTGGGAGACTTGATCCTCGAAGAACCTGAGCTTGAGAGATGGCTTCTCACCGAATTCAAGAAGGAGCTCGGAGTTTCGCTGGACATTGATGCAGACTTTTACCAAGCTGGAATCGACAGTCTGCAGTCGACTAGAATGTGGTCAAGCATCAAGAAACAAATTGATCTAGGAGGCAATCATGCATCACTAAGTCGGAATGTTCTTTATGAAACAGCGAATGTTCGCGGACTTGCTCAGCATCTTTATTCAATGAGAGTGGGCGAAAAGAAGACGCAAGAGGATGAGATCACTGTGATGGAACAGCTTATCTCAAAATACTCCACCTTCGGGCGACACGAGCCACGCGAGACAATCGCCGACACCAAGGACGTTGTGCTCTTGACAGGAGCCACTGGCACTGTTGGCATACACATACTCGCCAAGCTGGTCAAACAGAGCAACGTATCGGCAGTATGGGCAATGGTGCGAGCTTCGTCAGTCGCTCAAGCAAACGAGCGTATATCAGAAGCTCTAAGTTCACGCGATTTGTGCCTCACCGAAACGGACAAAGCGAAGATCGTGCCCTTCCTCGGCGACTTAAGCAAGTCAGACCTTGGACTCGACGACGAGAACCTCCAGAGGTTGCAGTCGCAGCTCACCCATGTAATACATAGCGCATGGGCTGTCAATTTTAATCTTGGTGTGAGAAGTTTCGAAGATCAGCATATCAGGGGATCGTACAATCTGATCCAGCTATGTCTCTCTACGCGCACACCTATCCCTGCAAAGTTTTTCTTCTGCTCATCAGTGTCATCGGCTGCAGGTACGCCTCTTGATCAAAAAATCGGAGAAGGTCCTGTACCACAACTCGAATTTGCTCAAGGAACCGGCTATGGCAGATCGAAGTTAGTGACCGAGCGTATCGTCCATAGCGCTATGAGAAGCACTGGTATGTATGCCAGAGTATTGCGTCTAGGCCAGATTGCCGGTGATAGCCAACACGGGCAATGGAACACAACCGAGGCGATTGCTTTGATGATTCAAACGGCAACAACCATCAAGGCCCTGCCAACTCACAACGAAGAGCTTTCGTGGCTTCCGGTGGATCTCGCAGCATCGATTGTTGCAGAACTTTCGGGCATCGCCCAAGCAATTCCTGATAATCGGTTGCAAGACAACGATCTCGTATACAACATTCAGAACCCGACAGTATATCACTGGACCCGCGACATACTGCCTGCTCTACACAGAGCAGGCTTGAAGTTTGATGAAGTCCCGCCGAAGGAGTGGGTGCAGAGGTTGCGTGCTGGTGACCAGAATCCAGAGACTAACCCACCGGTCAAACTGGCCGACTTTTTCGCTGAGAGATATGGCAACGTCGTTGAAGACGCTCCGATGAAGAGTGCGGGTCGTTATGAAACTCTCCAGACGTGTAAGGATAGTGCTACAATGGCAGCGATTCCAGATTTGATAGATTCAGGCATGGTGGCTAAATTTGTGATGGCTTGGGCGAAGGAGTGGGGCGTAGAATTGGGTTGATAAGGCGGATGCAATCTCGAACCAATGCAGAACTGTCTGACCTGACTTTTCAAGATGTAGGTATGTGGATCATGTCGCTGTTGTTCTCCGGGAAGAAAAGGGTTGTCGGCAGTCCTTCCGTTGAGAGCAAAGAACGTGTGGGGCCGCGCCTGCCAGAAGATTTCAGGGTCCAGCGCGATTCAAGACGAGGTGCATCTTGCCCGCTTGCCCGCATGCCCGCTTCTGCGAATAACAGTTTAGTAGGAACATGCCTACTCGTGAAGACCTCCACGATTGAATTGGGCGTCTGCTTCGTAAGCAATCGATGCTGGAGATCGAGGCCCGCATAGTAGGGAGGAAACAAATTACAAACAATTGTGGGACCTTGCGTTGCACTGGCCGCTTTCTTGCAAACACGTGCTCATCTTCCGACACGGTCAATAAAGTGAGAATGACATGCCAGACCCTTCACTGCACTCCAAGCGCTGCAAATTCACACGCAGCCTCTCAATCCGAGATCCCGCCTACAGCAATGACCGAAACCAAAAAGACAAAAGTCCTGCTATATGGACTCGGCGCGTGAGTTGTCTTTCCCTCCCTTCCCGGCCGCGGGGTTGTGTCCGGACATGGAGAAGCTGACGGGTGCTTGACATACCAACAGTNNATAGGAGGCTTCTATGCATTCCTTCTCAGCCGCGATCCCAACGTAGAGCTCAGTGTGGTCGCCAGATCAAATTTAGAGGCCGTCAAGAAGAATGTAGGCCCGATGATCGTCCATGCAGCTGGATCAGGGTGACTGTTGTCTGACATGGTCTTAGNNGGCATGATAATACACACATTGAATCATGGATCACATATCGTGCATTTCGATAGAGGTATGTCCATTTATTGAGGTCCAAGGCTGGTGATCAAGAAGACTGAAACTAGTGTGCAGNTATTGAGTTGCCCACATAAGATTGCGATCAAGTACGACTACATCGTCTGCGCTCACAAAGCGATAGCCCCCGGCTTGGATCCAAATGATTTTCGATCTGTAGCTAACATGGACACGACATTCGTGATTTTGCAAAACGGAGTTGGCAATGAAGAGCCTTTCCGACAGTCGTTTCCTTATTCAACAATCATTAGCTGTGTGGTGAGTAACTTCCTGCTATCTATAGTAAAAACTGCCTAGGATCAGTCGTTGATGGAACGAACAGNNATATGGGTTGGCGCTACCCAAGATTCACCCGGTGTGATACGACATACGGCTTCGGAACACACCGATATCGGTCTGTATCCTAATCCAGAAGTCGACGCTGCCTTGGAGAAAGACAGGTTGGACGGGTTCGCAGCTATGTTGAGAGCGGGCGAGACATCATACACAATATCAGACGATATCCAGGTCAAGCGCTGGGAAAAGGTGGTTTGGAATGTGGGTAACACCCTGTACTCGAATCTAGTATGCCGCTGATATTCTAGANTTGCATGGAATCCTCTCACCACCTTAACGCAACAAAACACACAACAATGGCTTTCGTCCTCAAGAGAGAGCGTGTCAATCACAAAACGCTTGATGCGAGAAGTGATCAGTGTGGCGAGAAGAGCCGGAGTCGCCTTGGACTACGGACTTGTAGACATCTTGATGGAGAGGATACAAAGCATGCCAGGAATAGAGAGTAGTATGCAGGTTGACGCGAGAGAGGGTAGGAGGTTAGAAGTGGATGTGATCCTCGGAACACCGATGAGGATGGCGAGAGAGCTTGGTATGGATGTGCCAACGCTGGCGACGGTCTATGCATTGACTGTCGCAGTGGATTTGAGGATCAAGCAGGGACCGAGTGGTTCGGATTGATTGACAGGATCGGAGAGAAACGCTAAAACTGTTGTGCATCGCCAATATCTTCCGGCCGTCCGTATCTCGTAAACTGGTCCTCCACTCAATCGCCCGATGGGTGTAGAGAGAGGCACCCCACGCACTTCAAACCAAAAAGAACAATTAGAGCTCGGCAACCATCTGCATGGCACTAACGCCTTTTCGTATACTGCCAGAGCCTCCTTGGTCGCTTTGAAATACTGCTAACTATAGGTGCACAAAGGATGGACAGTGTCCAGCTGGTCTCCTGTGCCTTGGCTACTTGTATACCTGCACAGATATTTTTGTTGATAAGCTTGTATGGCGTACGAAGCCGGTTTGCCATCCAGTTGCATGAACGATCAGCAAGCGCAGCATCATAAAGGCTCTGCTTCGAACAGGTTAGCACGACACAGCCTTGCATAATGACACCACTACACGGGGTCGGACTGATTAGTGTACGATGGGCTTTCGAGATTTCCAGAGTGTGTTCATAGCCTTATCAACGTCGACGATCGGCCTATTGTAGAGTATGGCGCCGTATCTGAGGTCGCGTGGTAAAAAGATAGGATAGTGTAGGCTCATGCGTTGTCAGCCAGTCTCAGTTGACGTGGGCCTGTTGCTGGAACGAGGATCATGAGGTGGAGTGGTACATCGATGCACCATTGAATCTGATCAAGCCACTTCGAACTACGGGCGTACAGGGAGACGATGACAGAGGCAAGCAAATATCTTGCGGCTCTTCTGGAATCTGGAAGGAGGGATGTTTGAGATGGAGCCAACGGCGTGCGTTGAAGGACTTGTTCGGCTTCCCCGACACACTCCTTGACCTCAGTCCTTGGCGACTTTTAATTCTTCTTTCACCGTCCGCTTCCCATCCATTTTACATACAATGACTTCAATGCGACCTGCCAGGACGGAGGAGAGATTCATGCACTATTGCGATGTGGTAGGAGAGCAAAATTTGTAGCAGAAGTTCAAGCTTCTGTCAAACTAATCGCTTGGATGTCCGGTCAACGATCGCTTCAAGCCGACTGTTGAAGTGTCAACTGCCACTACCGCCTGTCTGATCCTTCGCGCTCAGCTCCTCCATACCTAAACGGTGACTATCGAGTGCCCCCTAACAGCTGACAGGAGATGCTCGGAAAGGTGGACCGGCGAAGATACGACCGTTCCGGCACTGGAAGCAAGCTCAAATATAAGCATACTTGTCTGCACCTCAGCTTTCTCAACGCAGATCTGTCTTAAGCGGGAGAAGCAATCATGTATTCTAGAAAGATCACATATCTCTGGACTCTTCTCGCCATTGGAGTCACCATCGCCTCGGGACTGCCCACTCCTCAACTCGACAATGACGACCTTGACTGTGGGTCATGGGATGATGAGGCCGACCTGGAGCAAAGCACTTCCATCATATCAGCCACAGCGACACATACACCAACGCCTTTGATCGCTCAAGCATCTTTTACATCAAATCCATCTGCTGCGACATTTGCCACTTCAGTGCGCATAGCACAGGCATCGTCAACCAGCGACCCTGCTTCGACGAACCCTTTCTTCGCACCTCCTACCAATTCTTTTGTGCCCGTCACACCGCCAAGCTATGCCTTCTACCTCCAGAGCAGTAGCAGTGGCAGCTCGAACGGGCTCTACGTTGCAGTCAGTGCTGGCACTGGCGGCTTGGCTACCTTTACGGCAAACAAGGGTCTAGCGACAAAGTTCACGATCGATTCTTCTGGAGACCTTGTCGAACAAAGCCCTTCTCAAGGCTATGTAGGCACTTTGAACCCAGAGATGAATGCGCAGAAGCTGGGATTCAAGGTGTACGATGGAAGCAACAGCTACGGACGTCTCAATTGCCAGAGACAGAGCGGAGGTCTTAGCTGCAATGTGGGCGGAGTGGGGTACTCTGCTGCCACGTGTGGGAATGATGGAGCGCTCTACTTTACGAAGACGGCTGCGGCTGGGTGTATGGCGATCAATCTTGTACCAGTCTTTCCTTGATGGAGACAATGATGAGACACGAACATATCACGATAACAATTAATCACTTACTATCCATCTTCTTCTAATGGCCTGTCCAAGATGTGGCTGAGTGTGGCGGTGCAAGTCATCAAGGTGGGACATCCCCACAAAAAGCCGAAACAGGGAGGAGCGTCTGCTCTATCTCTCTCTCTCTCTCTCTCTCTCTCTCTCTCTCTCTCTCTCTCTCTCTCTCTCTCTCTCATCTCTGCCACACGTCGTCGACGTGGAGACTTCATAATCATGATCTCGCCAATCGTCAGTGCCACTGTCCAGGCGACCGTCATCGCTGCAGTCTCCAATGTCATTGCACAGCTCCTCGAACAGCGCAACAAACAGGCATGTCTTTGGTTCTCTCGCACGTTGAAGATACAACCGCTGACATGCCACCCTACAGCAGCAGACACCCTCGAATTTCTCAGCATCAGACTTCCTGCGCTTCCTCATCTTCACCCTACTCACCGCGCCACCCAACTACCTCTGGCAACATGCTCTCGAACGCGCCTTTCCAGGCCACAAACCCCTGGTTCCCAAGAAAGCAATACTGCCGCACTACAGGGTCCGCGAGCATGATGGTCTGCTAGGCGAAGACGGCATACCGCAAGAGGATGAACCAGAGACGAAATTGGACTGGAAAAACACAACGATCAAATGGTTCGTAGACTGCATGACGCTGGGAGCATTGCTCAACGTAGGTGCCTTCATCATCCTCATGGCCATCATGAAAGGAAGATCAATGCATGACATTGCATCTGCATTGCGAACGNGTATGTTTACTCGTCCCTTTCGCCTGCTGTGCATCAACTGCATGGCCGCCTTCACTATTCTGCTGGGACCTGACTACAACCACTTTTCTCCGCAGGATCTTTTCCCCATCATCTATGCTAGTTACAAGATTTGGCCCCTGGCCTCGGTCATCAACTTTGCTTTGGTTCCAGTTGAGAGACGCATCGTTTTCCTAAGTTTGGTTGGCCTTGTCTGGGGCATTTTTCTCAGCTTGACAGCTGCGAAACAGTGATGGAATGGCAGCGGACTTGGATAGAATCAAAACCACGGCTCCTAGACCAATTCTATTCTACCTATCACAGAGATTGTGTGAGCTCGTAGTTACACAAGCTACCGGCTCACGGGTAGGGTCAATCGAGGCGCGTATTATGCTTGGCATGCACGCCGACGTAGAAGGAACAACCACGTTACACAGCCGACGGCGCTTGCCAATTTTACTTGCTTCGTCTGGTACAAAAGACTTGACAAGCTGTCTCGACATCCCGACAACAACCAAACTTCATCTACCCATCATGGCAAACTATGCTGCTCATATTGTCGCGCTCCCACCTGAGATCCTCGACATTATTGTCGCTAATTGTCAAGACGGCGACCTTTCGAATCTGCGCTTGTCCTGCAGAACCCTCAGCAGCCCGTCTACGCGACCCTTCGGCCGTCGTTGTCTGGCACATCTCCGCATTATATTTACCGAGCTCAGTCTTCAGGGCCTTGTCGATATTACTGCTCACCCGGTTTTCGGTACATCCGTCCGTAGCATCAGCTTTGGCACTTATCGTCTGACGGGTTTGAAGTATTTCAAGCTCTCTTCGGTCCCTGGCAATCATGCCTCGGACCTGATTGTGAAGAAGCGACTCGCAAAGAAGCAGCAGGCTTTCAATCGTTCGGGAGACCAGCTTGTCATGCTCACAACTGCTCTCCAAAATCTCAAGCTTCGCGGTGGTCCTAGTATCGGATTGAGGATTCATGATGATTCAATGAGAAGCAAAGAACGAAGACCAATCATAAGAGCTCATGGCTATCACAGGGCGTATGGCAAATTCCTGCCTGAGAAGCATGAGGTCGAGAAAACTTTGCTCACATTGATCGATGCTTCATCCTTGAGTGGATTCATGCCGGCTGCTTTGGACATCGACATGACAAGCGACTTTCAATTGTTGAGAAATTTATTGTGCAACACAACTTTCAAAAACTTCATCACCACAAAAGAGCATTCATTGGATCCCCAGATGGATATTTACATCAAATTCGACGATTCAAAAACTCGCTTCACATGCATGTTTACGAGGAGGACGTGTCTTGAGTTGGAACCCCTTGGTAGCTACTACGGGAACTTCTATCGTGCCTTGCAGCGTACAGCCATTGTGGACCTGAAGATACGAGACGCGACCTACTCGAGCAGTCTACCCCATCTTGTCGAGTGTCTTGTCAGTTGGAAGAAGACAATTCGATATCTAGACCTCTCTCGTGCTGTTGTGTTTGAGCGTCAGATGACCGATTTTGCTGCGACACTCTTCAGATACATGAGAGACGATCTCGAGCTTGAAGTGCTTAAGCTACATGACATAAGGATATATCCTTATAACGGTAGTCATCGGTGGTTATTCAATGAGCCGGCGAAGTGGCATGGCAAGCAAGAGATACGGGAGGGGCTCCATAGAGTCATTAGCGAGTTGAACACCGACACCGTGAGTTAAAGAACGTCGATTCGAGTCGAGTCGAGCCACTACATAGAACTGTTGACTGTGCATGTCGTGTACTCGCTGCTCCGTCGACTTCATCATGTAACTCGGTCACAATTCATTACAGCCATTTTCACGAAATTACCACAACGGATTCACACCATGGTTTGCTTATTTGCACATGCCTCGTCTTGCGTCCATTGGGGAAGATTACACTTCCAAGTTTGAGAAGCAGCCGCGCAAACTCGTCAACAGTCAGCTTTTCGGTCCAGTATTACTGCCTCGACTCTTTGAGTCCACGACTATCAGAGGCCTCGTTTCCTACAACAGCACGTCCTGATCACCTCTGTGTTTCACTCAGTTTGTTCAGCTCGCGCATCGTTGACCAGACACGTCCCGCAACCACCGTTTACACTCATTTTCCGCGCCCACCTTCCAGTCATTTCCTGCAGTCACCCCCACAATCGCCAGTCAGCCTCTGGCACCTATTCCATCGCCTGGATCACGCTCGCTGCTGCCCACACTGTCAGAAAGAAGATCACAATCATCGTGATTGAGAAGCTCACCAGCTCACCTTCCAGCTTCCTTCACTCACTGGAGCACAGCCAACTCGATCTTCGTTTCTTCCCGATCACCAATCTCCTTGACCCGGACTTTGCCTTAATCATCGCTCGCTCTCGCTTAGTCCATCAACCTTTGTCTGCGACCAATCATTTTCTGAACCTGCAGCTGCTTTATCCCGTGCGTACTTCCTCGGATCTATCAAGACCCCCGAGCTACCTCGACATCAGTCATCAAGAGACGCCGGGTCCTTGGAAAGGTCAATCTGTCGTCGTTACTGTCTACTATCACAGCCCAGTCATCTGCTCAAAATCATTTTGGATTAACCCAATCAGTCTTTGAAGACTTATTCAAATTACCTACGGAGGTCCTGACCATGATTCTTGAACTCATTGGTCAAGAGAACCTAGGCACGGTCCGTCGCTCCTGCAAAACTCTATGTATTGTCGCAACTGTACTGTTAGCTCGAAAAGTTTCTACAGCTCAACGTATCCAGTTCATCGAAAAGGATATGGATCGTCTCGTCGGTCTTACTGCCCACCCTATATTCGGTCAAGTTCTAGAGAGTCTTAGCTTCGATACCTCGAGACATGTGGAGTTTGTCGCCGAGAAGCTCGAGAAGAAGATCAGAAATATCTCTCGACGTCTCCAAGGCAGCCAAGATGACCAGTCACTCCTTGATTTGAACGATCTCAAGCGGCATCGGGATGATGTTGGCAAGCAAAATTCAGTCGCGCGAAAGCAGGCAAACTTCGTTGCCCGTGGCACTCACCTCGCAAGATTGGCCCAGGCTTTGCAGAATCTTGTGGCATGCGGCAATACTGACATCGCTATTGGTATCCACGATCATGCAGTGACAGAGCTTCGCGCAAAGCTCAACCATCATGGCTTGGAGAATTGTCGTGCAGAGGAGGAACACGGTGCCACTACTTTGCGTATACTGAGAAACGCTGTCGAGCTCAGCAAATTCANNTCCCTAAAAAGATCGAGTTTCTGGACCATCGTGCCTGCACATGGCTCTCATGAGTATTGTTACTTTGAACTCGTCGAAAGTATTTACAAACAGTAATGTCAGGCGATAGTCTTGGAGACCGAAGACGTGCGATATGACCTACTCCAAAGCTTCCTCAACAGCAATATGCAGCATCCCGAACTACTCGACTCGATCTTTCAGGCAGGCGTCTCCTGTACAAGCATTACGGTTTTCAGGGAGCTGCAGAAGAAGGCAACCCTGGTGAGCTTGGTTCTGGAGGACATTTGAGATGAGATGAACGGCTTTATCGTGAAGTGCGAGGCGCGTTGGAACAATCGAGACGATGTACATGCTGGCCTGGAAGATCTCTTTCAGAAGATGCAGACATGGAGTTAAAGAACCTAGCTGATGAAACACGATCCATGTTTGGTCTCGTTAGCGCAAGACGATGGGACAACAGATGCTGACCGAAGGCAAGAAGTGTAAGCGATGAGAACAAAAAGGGGGCAAAGTTGAGGTAGACAGCCGAATCGGCAGCGGGCTGGCAGGCGGTTGCTATTGTTTTGCGTGAGGTGGATATCCCATCTCCCGGTATGTGCTTTTTAGTAGACGACTCAAGGAAAAGACGTCCAAAAAGAACCACAATGTCCGTACCAAGAGAATCCTTTGGCGTCTGTTGTACGTCCAGCCAGAGCCAATGGCCGAAGGCACGTTGGCAACAGGATAAAAAGCCCCACTCGGGAGGACTCCACCGGGCTTTGTACGGGCGTAAATACAAACCTCGAGCCAGTTCTTGTCTGCTGCTTCCAACTTTCATGACACCGCTTCATGCTGGTCCACGCTCCATCGAACTCTAAAAAAGGCGGCCAATATATGCGTATCACGAATCACGATACGGCTGTTTAACGTAGGATGGAGAAGTGGTACGAAGTGGTGCAGTCTCCACTACCTGACGTAAAATCAGGTTCGGATGTGACTTGGCAGGCGAGCAAGTGTCATGTCAACAAATAGGATGAATACTAAAAGGTAGGGAGAACCTCGTGGCAAAGTCTTTGTTCACCTTCAGCTTTGTACAACAGCCATGTCGAAAACTTTCCGTCCCTGTCATCTTTTGGCTGGCCTTGCTTCGCTTTCTGCAACAGCCTTGTGCGCAAACTCGACCCTGTTCCAAGGCGGAACTATCATCACCTTCGATGAGGCGTCTCAGATTCCTGTAGCGCTCCATGGCTCTTCGCTACTGGTCACAGGGGACTCTATTGCCAGGATCTTCGACAGCTCCGACAATGTCACCATTCCCACTGGTACTGAAATTGTGAACGTCGAAGGCAAGATTGTCTCACCAGGCTTTATCGACACACACCGTCACAGTTGGCAGACCGCATACAAGACTCTTGGATCCAACACCACTCTGGCAGAGTACTTTAGCCGCTACGGCGAGTTCACTCAGGCCGGAACCGTCTTCGGTCCTGATGATATTTACTATGGCACACTGGCTGGATTATATGAACCATTGGACGCTGGAGTCACTACCATTCTCGAGCATGCTCACGGCACCTTCTCCAACGAGACATCCAAAGCATATCTCAATGCTGTTATGGACAGTGGCGTGAGAATGGCCTTCTGCTATGCCTTCCATGAGCTCGGCAACGGCTTCTCGTTTGAGGAACAACTTGCCAACTTTGCCAACCTGATGAAGAACGACAGACTCAACTCCCAAGAATTGGTGCAAATTGGTATCGCCTATGATGCATTCATCCAGGACAACAACAATACTCAAGCGATTGTCGACCTGGTCAACAACAATAACGTTTCAGCGCTCACCATGCACTTCTTGGGTGGTCCTTGGGGTAACACTAACAGCCCATCTAAGCTCGATCAGCTCGGTCTCATGAACGGCACTACACCCATTGTTTTCTCTCATGCCAGTTATGTCACCACGGACGACGCCGAGCTTCTTCGCAAGTACGACCAGTACATCTCCACCACTCCTGAGTCGGAGATGCACTACGGCCACGGTCACCACTACAACTCACTGATCCAAGACCAGAGCGCTCTTGGCGTCGACACACACTTCACCTTCTCGACCGACATCATCGGGCAAGCCCGCATGTGGCTACAGAGCACCCGTCTCCGCTTCTTCTACCAATCACTCGATAATTGGAATGTGCCCCGCAACAGCCCCATGTCTGCCAATCAGGCTTTCACTCTGGCGACGCGCTCCGGGGCTCTTGCCATGCGCCGACCGGATCTCGGTGTGCTAGCCACTGGCAACAAGGCTGACGTAGTCGTCTTCGACGGCGACTCGCCCAACATGCTCGGCTGGTCTGACCCAGTAGCTGCCATCATCCTTCACTCACACGTTGGGGACATCCGTCATGTCATGGTTGGCGGCGAATGGCGTAAGAGAGATGGACAACTCGTTACCAAACAAAACAGAACAGAGGTGCAGAACAAGTTCCTCGAGTCCGCGAAGCGTATCCAGAAGATTTGGTTGGAGACCCCGTTGCCTGACTTGCAGGGCGAGTTTAGTGGCTTGTCGCATGTTGACTACGTTGATGCGTATACTGTTGATGCGGTTCGTGGTAATGGTACGGGTTACTAGATTGCCTCTCATTGTAGTCATAGCCTGGCAATATAACACTGTCCCATGTCATAATATATGTGCTGTGATCCCAGACCGAACCCATACTTAGTGTCTCTTGTACAAAAAATGATTACTATGTAGCTATAACAATGCACGACCCATTCTTGGATATATCACGGTCCAGAGAGAGGTAACGTCTCGAAGCTAGTTCTGTGGAGCACGTTAAGCTTACCCAGTAAGCATTTGCGCATTTTGTATTCTTTGAAGGGCCTCCTGGATCTCGCTACATTGTTGATATTCTTATTTGCTCCAGGAACAATTCTGGAAGTATCGGCTTCTACTCGCAAGACCAAGTCTCCGCTGCATTGACGTCTCCCTTTCCGCTCCACTTTTGCTTCTTCGGCCACATGCATAGTGGTCTCTGTCTCATGACCTTATCTTGAGTGGTATCGTTCACCCATTTGGTAGCAATGATCTCTGTTGGTGCGACGCCCTTCTCCACCCACTCCATCATGGCAAGCAGCACGTCATGCTTAGCATCTCTGAACCCAGGAACTCCCGACACGGCAGACGAGAGTGCCGCTGCTTGATTGGCACCAGCAAAGTACCAAGGAGCATTTACAGTGTTTGCTGTACCGGCACAGTGCTGCATACCAGGAACGAGGAAGAATCGGTAGAACGAGTCGAGATCTACGCCCTCAGGTGCCATTGTTCGCAGGATCTGGGAGTGCAGATAGACGGAGCTACCTGTTGGGATCAAACCGTCACTCATACCGTGGTAATGGAGAAGTTTGCCGCCGCGAGAAAGGAATGGAGACAAGTCGAAAACATCGGCGGTTGCATTGCCAGGGTCTTCGGCATCGGCTTGTTGGATGACTCCGTAGTCGAAGTCCTGCCATTGCCATTGGGGTCCGCGGCCCAAGAAGTACTTGACATAATCGGGACCGAGGGCGTTTGGCTGATTGGTGAGGCCGCCAAGAAGAGGAACCCATTGAGCTTCACTGCCCATCCACAAATGAGGGAATACGAATGTCTGGTTGGTATCGACGTAGTCGCTGTAGATTTGGTGGAGAGTATTGAGTTGAGGAGGAGTGAGGCAGGATGTTGTCTTGTTGGGCGTGCAGAGGAGGAAGTCGGGGTTGAAGTCGCAAGCATTAGGATCAGAGATAATGGTGTCGGTTACGCCATCCGCGGCATCGCATTGACGCATCACTTCGGCACCAATGGCTGGGAAGAGTGTAGGGGGNATGTGGTGAGCGCTTGTGTTGGGAAGGTTGTAGGAGCCGACTTTCGATGTCCAGGGCTGGAGGTGGTTTGTCCACCATGCAGGTGCTCCAGCTACCACGCCATCGAAATCTTCAGGGAAGAGTTGGAGGTTACGAAGACCTTGTNNCCTAGAAGATGTCAATTCTATGATGGTTCAGTGAGAACAACAAGACTTACTGCCACCAGTAGAGCAGCCACTGTAGTAGCTGTAGAGGATGTCGTTGGAGTAGTATGCGGTTGTCAATTGCTTGCCCAAGACGACGCTGCCGTGCATGGCCCTGTAGCCCCAATCCAGTTGAGCACCTTCATTGTGATAAGCCCAGGTACCATTCGCTGATATGCTGTTATGGCCAGTGTCTGTGGATATGACAGCAAAATTATAGTTCAGGCCTGCTCCCATGTCTAGCCAGTTGATACCACCAGCAAACCCACCATTCCCGACAGCNACTATGCCTTTGTCAGTGTTTGACAAGGCCAGGATCAGGCAGCATACTACTCACAGGAAACGGCCGTTCCAATCATCGGGCAAAAAGACTCCAAAACCGTAGTTAGAAGTGCCGTTCTTGACTGACACCTGAACAGCACATGCGGCGCGCAGTTGAGTCGGCGAGACCGGATAGGCAATGTCGGCCTTGGGCACGCCAAGGGTCGAATTGGCAGGCATCCATGTCGCAAAATCAATAGTAGCAACCGACGGGAAAGCAGATTGGAGTGAGTCCTTGTCGCAGATGATTGCAAAGGCGCCTGATGTCAAAGCTGCAACAGCCGCAAGGCGGGTTTGTGTCGTTCTCATCTCGTGTTGTTATGTTAAAGATTGTTCACCACAAGAACTCGTCTCGAGTAGCGGTGAACAGGCTTCTTATACATTCGGCCAGATCGGCAGCTCTCCATGAGAAATTGCCGTCCCAGACTCCCAGCCATGCCGTGAGAGTGATCTGCAGGATGCTTGTCCAGAGGCTTGCGCAGTGGTGGAGACGGCATGTGCGGGGATTGTGGAGAGAAGCGACTTGCTGAGTAGCGCATCGTCTTGGAGCATTCGCCATGATGGTATAGTCACTGACTAGACACCCACTTGTGAAATAGTATTACTTGATGTATACTGCGTGCTGCTCGAGATAGACAATGTGATCTCGAAAATCCTAAATGAGGAGCTCATGGGTTAGGGCTTTCTTGCGGGGTTCATATAACCGAGCTAGGTTCTTGGTCTGCCAGCGAACAGCAAGCAAACCTGTATGTCCGCACTATAACGGACCGCGAATACTAGCAACATGCAGTCGACTCTTGATGTGCAAGCTACACGCCTTCCGATGATGTATGGGCATCCTCCGAATCGGCGGGAAGGTCACGGTCGTAGCCTGGCCTAGCCTGAATGGGCTAGAGTTGCCCTCACGCCTCTCGTTCTGTTCTCGCTCTCTCGCAACTACTCAGGCGCGTGTCGATACATCAGCATATTTTCTCCAAAGTTTTTGGGCTCGAGAAGGGACCTCTGGACGCAGCGCTGCCATAGGGGGATCAAAGACCGTCGTACGGTATTCGTATAAGCTCAAGTGATGACCGTCGAAGGCGAGCGATGACTTGCCATTGAGATTGCACGGCAAATTTGTGCTCTGCTTCTCGACACTCAACCGTGGTGTAGACTTAGGCCTCCGTAAAGACGATGGACGTGTGTCATCCTAGTACATAGCATCATTCTGGCATCAGCAAGAGATATCTCGGGAATGGCTCTGCTGTAGGAGCGTGCAGGAATTTTCGTTTCGTCACTTGTGCCTGGGTAGCGCTCGAGCGGGAACCATTGTCAAGTACAATCTGAAGTTTGAGCCAACATTTGGGACGCTCTCTTTGGCTACTCTTCTGATTCGAAAAAGCATCGTGCCTTGCTAAACTGTATATGTCTCGCTCCACTGCATCAAGTCTAGCCGTCACGATCAAGGCTCGTCGTTGTAATTCGAAGGCATTGTCTTACCCCCGCCGCAGCCTCACTGCCTCAAGGAGATGTCGTGTTTGCAGCGCCAGTACCGTTGCCAGAGAAAGAGCCATTACCCATACCCTCACCGCCACTGCCACCACCAACAAAGGAGCTCGAAGAAGCATGTCCACCCTCGGCATCCAGATAAGCAGCGACGGAATAGTATTCATCGTCAATGTAGTTAGCTGTGGGATCGATGTCGATCTGGATCCAAGCGAAGAGACCGTCGGACACATCATCACCAAGATAGATGTATTCAGGAAATGGGTCGAATGTCGTGCCGGCAGCGACGATGTCCCACATGTCATCTGCATTGCTAGTAATAGCTTGAGTGTTGGTGTTGTAAGGATAGACTTGTTCGACTGCCTCACGTAGCTCGGAGTTCCAAAAGAGTTGGCCGATGTGGGTGATGTTGTTGTTGGCAGAGATGGTGTTGTTGCGGAAGCGAGTGACGTTCATGTGGGAGAGTAAGTGGGTGTGAGTGGCCCGACCTGAGGGCATAGCGTCAGCTGAGTGCATGTGTACNAAACAACGGATGAACTTACCATCATAATGTCCGGGGAAGATGGTTTCGAAATGGACGACACCGTCACGGTCAGTCGGCTGAATACCNACTGCAATAGAGTCAGAACATTGATCATGAAGCTGAAGCGCGAAGACTAAGTACCGAAGATAAGTAGAGTTATAGCCACCGGATGCATAGTTGCCAGAGGTCGAGATGCCGGAATATACACCCGAGCTGTTGGCCTGCCAAAGGTCAACCCAAACGTCGGGAACAGGCTGACAAGTGTGGATATTGATGTATTGAATTTCAAGGAAGAGATCAACACCATCACAGTAGAGCTCCTCCTTGACGTTGCTACGAATCTGCTCGCCAGTGACGTAGTAAGGACCATCGGTAACTTCTGGGCTCAAAACACAACTTGTGTTGGCAGCGAAGACAATGTGTTCGGGAGTATTCATGTCGTAGTGGAAGTCGCCAGTACGGTTGTGGTCCAGAGCGTCAAATTTCTCAAGAGTGGCCAGGTCACGCTTGAATTTTTGGGGTGAAGCAGTGATGGCACGCTTTTCACGAAGGTCTTTAACAACCTTGGAGCGACGAGCAGCAGAACGGGCAGATACTTCAAGATGCTCGCTGCTTTCGCTACAGGCATCGACGGAGCGTCTGACTCTAGCAGCAAGTCGCTCGCGGGCTTGGACCTGAGCCTTTCCGGCATGGTGATCGTGATGTTCGCCAGGGTGGGCAAGAGAAGGGCCAATCAGAGCAGCTGCAACAATAGTGCCGATGAACTTGACGAATGGAACCATGATGATGCGGTGTATAAAGCGTATAAGTAAGGCAATAGAATGATTGAATGGATGATGTGCCGGCGGTAGCACAATTGACCTTATATAGACTTACAAAACTGTACGGTCATAATGAAATCGATTTTGGATAGGACGACTTACGACAGGTGAAGTTCAGATCAAGTTGTTCGACCTACCGAGCAGTAGGCATCAAAAGCTCAGACAGTGTTGGGATAGGGCTCGCGAGAGGAGTGTCTGTCTTCTTGACATGTACTCACCGCTAGGGACGAGAGGTTTCGGCAATGACCAAAGTCGAGCCAATGATAGAGATTGCATTTACAACGACGCTGGGGCTGTGGAAGGATCGACAAATGTCATAGGCCAGAAAGCGGTATAAAACACACGGCGTGCATGCTGGTGACGACTACGCTAATGCTTGGACTTGGCATAGGAGGTCAGGGATGGTGAAGGATCCATATATTCAAGGATGGTGTACTCGTCCGCGTGGTCGTATGACCTGGCGGGTACAGATGCAGGCGCAGACAGACCAGTGGTATCGATATGAAGAAGCTGGCTGGGTGTACTTCAGTGATCCTCTGGCAGAAGGCAAGTAATCAGATGCGAGTGAGACGCGCGCTTGGATGCGTTGTTGGAGAAGAAAAAGGGTGATAAGAGATAAGAGTGAAAAGAGGGTCATGCCAAGCAAAAGTCAACAATCTTTTGTCGCGCTCCTTTCCTGGCTTTCTAAGCCTCGTTTTCTGCCACGAAACACACCACAACCACAATGCCTATTTCCAAGAAAGACCGTATCCACCGCGAGCACAAAAAGGCCGAGGCCGCTGGCACTCGTATTCCCGTCAACCCCAATGGCACTCCGGTGAAACCCAAAAAGGCAACTTCTATCTGCGTCTTCTGCAAGAAGGAATTGGTAAGTCTACACTTGTGCACGATGATCGCAGAAGACAATCAACTGATGCCATGGTGCAGANCTAGCTCCAACCTCGCCGTCCTCGAGCAGCACGCCGGTAAGTCCAAGCTCACTCTCGACACGCCATGGTCAAACATGATCCATCTCTGACGCTCTAACTAGNGTACCCATCCCGATGCTTGGACCAAGGAGAAGTGCTGGCCCAACGAGTTCAAGTGAGCCCTTGACTCCAACACGTCATCAGACGACCACACCACTCGCCCGAACGAACCCTCATCTCGAATGACCCATCGATCAGCCCATGAGCCTCGAGCATGAGCAGACGAGAAGAACGAAGGCAGCATCCCCCTACACATGCGCATTAGCAGACACGTATCCTGCAATGCCCTGCCGCTGTTCAATCGGGCCGAGACGTACACTCCCTTCTTGGACTGGGGCTGCAGAACAAACACTGCCCCTGAACACTTTTTTTCATGATACCCAAAACAATACAAGAACTTTCCATCCCCTTCGTTCCTTCACACACTACTGCGCTCTTGAATGAACTGTTCAGGGCCCAAAGTATACGGATCTGATGTTCTGTTGACACCACACGCTGCTCACCACCTCCCCATGTGCAAAAGACAGTCACAGCCTACAATAATCGGCCTCTCTCCCTCACTAACCCATTATCCCGTCATAAGCTATAGAAGTGCACTATTGAATTTCAAACTAGGGGTGCCACCATGGAGATGCCTGAACACAACCATCTCTCTGTAAACCTCGCTCTGCCATGCAAAATATCGTGCAGTTTTACAGCTACACTGTGACAGTCCATGGCACATGGGGAGGCAGGCAGCTTGGAAGACGCTCGATTCTCGCGTGTTGACTGAGTAGCTGAGGAGGGAGAAACACTGCTCAATCGCTCGAGAGGTAAGGTCTCTCATCTGAGGTTAAAAACATCACTAGAATGCTCCATGCATTGCTTTGTCATAAGTCGCACGTCTCTGTTGCTATCTGCCCAAGGATCTCCAACACTCTGCAAGGCAGCCAATGACACTATTGGCATAGCGTGTCGTTCCACATCTCAGCTTCTCCAAGTCGGGACGGAAACATCGTTCTGTTTTGAATTACCTACTAACCTTGCGCTTCTAGAATCTCTTACGCTTTCAACAGAATCCGCAGCACTACATCTCAATGACGCAGTCGCATCGCATTTCTACTCTCGTACGACTGCTCTAAGCGAGGCCTTGGACTTCGCGGACAGCTCCATAGAAGTGGGAAGCGTCGATGTTGTTATTCTCTCACCCCACGTCTCAGCCACCGCCATGTTTTCTTGGGAGCTGCAATACGAAAGGTTGATTTATTGTTTCAACAGCACGACCGAATGGACTCTACGACACTCAGCTCTCCTGAGCTTTGGTATCGAGTTGTACGAGCAGTGTGTGTAGATGCATCGCATGCCATTATGGATTTTTGCGCCATATCAATTCGACACTGCCAGACGGTCTGGATTGGCCACGCACGCCCCTTCCCCGGATTCAGTCAGCGGTACTAAAAGAAGCTTAAACGAGGTGCGACCTCAATTGGCTGCTCTCAGGTCCGATGAACGATCTACGACTTTGTGTATAAACTTCACTACTAGACGTTTGACTGCCGACCAAAAAGCATGAACTCACCTGATGATTCATACCCGACCAATCAAGCATCAACGCTGACCCTCGATTAAATAAGCCCGTTGTCGTTCATCTCTTGCGCATCACCACCTTTTGGGTGACAGTACGAGTGTCATGTCTTACCAACGTGCGGCTCGAAGACGCGTGGGCAGGGCGAAGCTTTCTAAACAAGAAGCGATAAGAAGAACCACCCTCGCTGATGCTTTCATCTTCCCATCCGTCCTCCATCTGCATATTTGTTCTTTCAGCTGAGTGAGGCGCTCGACTCGGTAACTTGGTACCACGGCGACGCGTGTATCTTACATTGGCAAAGCCTTGTCCGGATTCGAACAACATATAACAAAGGGAATCTGCTCAATCGTCTCCCTGCAATCCCAATCACATCTAGTGTTCCGACGACTACGATTGCTACAAGAGTATTTGTCTATATTGAAAGTGGTCCAAGATGGCTTTGGGATTCTTCTACAGTATGCAACCCCGTTCCTGCCTGACACTTGGCGCATATTATGCAGGTACAGTCGCTGATCATTATATGTACAGCACTTCTGTTCGCGTTCTTCGCAGTCGCATTCGCAGCCAATGGATCCTCTACCTACACATATCAGCACCAAGGCTCCAATGCATTCTCTCTAGCCGTTAGTCTCAACACAACTGGCAATGACCTATACTTCAACATGTCTGCTCCATCAACTTATTCATGGTTCGCGTTTGGTATTGGAGGTCAGATGAAGAACTCACTCATGTTTATTGGATATCCCAGCTCGAACGGCACAGGTAAGAAGATCCTCATCAAATGACCAATTCCATCCAAGGCTGAGCGGTTCTATCTTANNGGTGTGACTCTGAGCCCACGACTCTCCACAGGACACCAACAACCCCAGTACACGTCCTCCAAGAGCGTCCAAGTTAGATCTAGCTCCATCACTAACGGAGCATATCAACTCATGGGCGTATGTTACAACTGCACGACCTGGTCTCTTGGAACAATGGACACAACGTCAACACAGCAGCCCTTCATCTTCGCCCTCGGACCTACAGGTGAAACTATCTCTAGTGACTCGGCGTCTCAGAACATCGATCAACACACCTTGTACAACTCTTTTACAATGGACATGACACAAGCTGCCTTTTCCGGCTCCAGTACGCCCGCGTTAAACTCTGGCAGTAGTGCTGCTTCATCAACTAGTGCAAATGGCTCTTCTTCTAGCGCATCTACTGGTGCATCTACTGGAGGAGGCGACAACACATACAACCGTGTTCACGGTATCTTTATGGCTATCGCGTTTGTCATCCTCTTCCCCTTGGGTGTTTTGGTGCTTCGTCTCGGCCACAGCGTCATTGGCCATGGTATCGTCCAAGCCACGGCCTACTGCTTCGTGATTGTGGGTCTGGGAACTGGCATCTACTTGTCCCAACAAGACAAATCCGTAAGCTCAATCCCATATGTCCTTCACTCCAGAGCGGGGTACACTCTGGTTGTTATGGATTCGCTAACAAGACACAAACAGACGAGTGGATTCAACACCGCTCACCAAATCATCGGACTCGTTCTCTTCTCCCTCCTTGCTATCCAAGCCCTGGGCGGCCTCGTACACCACCTTCTCTTCCGCCGCGGCCACAAAACCATCATCGGAAAGGTACACATGTTCCTTGGTATCGGCTTGATCATCTTGGGAATCGTCAACGTACCTTTGGGTCTCAACCTCGCAGGCGACAGCAACTACAACAAATACTATATCATTGTTGTCTGCATTCTCGGTGCTCTATTCTTGGCCCTCCGATTCTGGGCGCTATGGAGGGACAGAAAGTCGGCAAAGAGGGAAGGAAGCGAGAAGGGTGTTCTGAGAAGAGGCTCTAGCAGCGAAGAAGCTGTCATGTGAAAGGTTTCATGGTCATGGTACTGATCTCGAGTCCGCATCATGAGTGCGTTTGACGGATGTTTACGATCTATCTGTCTGTTTTCTTTTTCCTGGAAGTTCTAATTGTATCGTCCAATCTACATATCATTAATCTTGCAGCTCGTACAAACTTAAAGTCGCGATTCCTACTTGCTTTTTTTTGGCAATTGCACATGCTCAGATGGTCTGCTATCTTATCATTATTACTGCGAAGCTTAGTGAGCATGAAAGTTGTTCCGAAAACAAGAGGCTCTTTGGGAGAAACATGTTGTGCATCGTCTATGGCAATCCAAAGCGGGACAATAAGCTTTCTGCTACCCCGGCATGTCACTGCTGAGACACCACTTGACAGCGTAGATCCATGACCTCATGTTGGCCATGCGAGAGATTTGTTCTTGAGATCTCATCTCGCACTATTCGCTTCTTTCCAATCGCACGGAAAGCTGAGCCGGTGAAGCGATCTCTAGAAGCGGGTGGAGGACGCGTAATGGAGCACGAGATGCCTTTACCTTCCTTTGGAGGTTTGGCGTAAAGAAATGGTCATCCAGAAGCACAATACCGCTAGAGTCACATGCCGGAGATAAGAATCTTGGGTACCTTCCTTAGGAGGTCTGGTGCTGGGTGACGTTCATTTGACGACGAACACCATGTGAGCCAGATCGAGTGATATATCGACGTTGGATAGGGGGACGGTTATCCCGCCGGGCGTTCAGTCCAAGCAAGATCGAAACTATGCCTCCCGATGCCAAATCTCGGTCTCGGTCTCGTGTCTGTAGGATGTAGGTATTGCGTGGGGGAACAAGATCAATGATAGACTCGAACCTTGTTACACAGTGCACTATGTGAAACTCTTGATGCCCTGGAATCATCGGCGCAAGCATTATTCATCATCTTCTCAAGCATGAACGCGCTTGCGACACAAGGCAATTGGTCAGTACGTACTTTCGGGCTTGCGTTTCGTTATGTTTTATGCATTGAGAGATATTCAAGTATGCCTCATGATTTGCTAGGTTTCCTGACCATGAGATGCTGTCTCCCAAGTCCATATCGTGCAGGTCACCAGAAAGAAGACACACTGCGAAAGCCAAACTTCGTTTCCCGATATACGTCACATCCTTCCGGAGCCATGAGGCTTCGTGCTGTGGAGATTGTACATCTCACTGGAACTGATCAATGGACATGCCGACGCCTGTGCGAACAGGTTCATGCCGGATGGTCCGTTTTGGTCCATTCTGATTCTAAGTCGACGCGAAGGTCATGAACTGGCCAGCCAGTGCGATTTTGAGATTGGGCAATAATTTCTAGAATGGCACCTCTCTTGATCGGGTCTTGTGTATGTAGACCAGCAGCAAAGATACACTGCGTGGATATAACCATGGCCGCATCGTCCTCGGTAGCAAGAGCGATGCCGCATATCACGTCGATCGATTCGTTGAGGGCACGCTCTCTCGACACGTATTCCTTGAGTCCGCCAGCTGCAGGAGTCCATATCTGTAGGAGAATCTTTGCGATATGATAGAGCTGCAGGCCAGCTGCGAATACAGGAGGATGTATCCATATAGGTTTGAATGGCCCGTGAGAGGTGTTGAGACAAGGCAAGGGGTTGAAATGGCTTGTCAGATGTTGATACCAATCTTCTAACTTTGTTGACAGTTCGTCAGCTTTGGCCAATCGCATGATCAGGTCATTCTTGCCAGCTTCAACCTCCTGCTCTGAGCTGTAGTTGACGCACTGTGCCACCAAGTAGACACATCTTGCGGCGATATCCCAGTGATCCATGGCGTAATATGGCTTGGTAGGCTTAAAGAAGCTCAAGACTTTACGGCCTTCTCGAAAGGCGGCCCAGACATCCTGACGCAACCATGCCCACCATATAGCCTGATTGAGACCTCCGGATTCGCCATTGATCTCACGAGACCTTTGCACCCAGAAGATGCCTCTTAGATGTCGTTCCCAGCTTTGACCTTCCCCATCAATCATCTCGTAGGTACTAATGATCAAGCATGTGACCAGGAGCTCTTCGCTACGGAGATATGCTTCGCTTTTCATGGCCTGCTGAAGATATTGAAGTGTTTCATAGTAATATTGCACTGCAAGTGTACGTTCAGGAGCTAAGTCCGGTAGCGGCTTGATTGACAGGTGCCTTGCGCAGAGAGCCAGTATCGCTTTCATCAGACCTTGATTTCGCAAGGCAAGATGAGGTACCATGACTGAGAAGTGACGATTAGGGTCTGTCAGATCGATCCAGCGGCTGAAGCGTGTAACGAAAAATTTGAACAGAGAAACTTCCAGATCCGAGAGAGCGACTACTTCGTGTGGAATGATTGAAGGCGTATATGATCCTTGAATGAGTCCAGAAGGCCGAGCAAACGAACTTGCACTGGTGTACTGAGCTACATTGTTAGAGACGTTGCTTTGGGTTGTGATGAGGTTCGGCGAGATGGGATTGAAATTCCAGTCTGCATTTGTTGCATCTCCAGCGAGTAACCCAAACCATCTGAGAGGTGCGATATCGGCAGCGTAAGTGCTCCCGCTTAGAGTCGATCGAGGGCTTGAGGTTTGGTTGTCTTCAAGCTGCTTGACAAAGTCAGGAGCATGAATACTGGGAGGCACAGGGTGAAGAGGTGTGTCAATGTTTTCTCGGTAAGGTGATGCGTGCGGAGCGGGCAGCTGGTGCCTAATAGCACCAGGCTCTGCATCTTCTGAGGTATCAGCAAGACATGGTCCATGGGGTACAGCGGGTGAACTGGTAGAGCTCGGAGCTGTCGCGATAGAGCCTTGTCTGTCCTGAGGATCCTGCTTGCTCCATCAGATACGCGCTCGCACATGGTTGGAGGTTGCGAACGTGAATCAAGATGCGACGAAAATGACTGTTGCTAGCCAAATATATAAAACGCGAGACTTACACGAGTGGCTNGTGGCATATATGCATTGGCGCTTGCTCTTGAGGCAAGCCGAACAAATTGGTCTCTTCTCGTCGCATTTCATATGACGAGTCCGGCATACAACACTNGCGAAACGCCGAGTCAGCAGCGTGTCAGTGGTCGGGACGCGACATGGAGCGAACCATCCAGTCGTTGTTCGGAGACCTTTGCCCCGACTTGGACGAGGTTTGCGACGTCTTACAGGCGTCGGCGCAGGTTGCGACTCGTCTCGTGGTGAAGCGTACTCCCCAGACATGCGCTCGGCAAGGTAGACTGATTCACGAACGACCAACAAGACGCGGACTCATGCTCATGCGGTTTTGACACTGCCAAGGCCGCATCAGAAGAGAAATCCCCGGCTCGAGGCGCGCCTTTGTTGCCAACAGATTGCTACTTGAGTTACTCTCGTCTTTGGCCATGGCCCACTCCTTCCTGATATGAAAAGTTCAATGTGCAAGTTTAGGTCACTTTTGAGTGTTCGGTGCATACGACAGGGAAAAGTGGTGGTTCACGCATCTGAGGACGTGGACACCAAATGGGTTGCTAAGATTCAAGATACCTAAGACGCCATATCTTCTAAAAAAATTGTCTGAGGTGAAAACCAGGGCGCCTCGCTGGAGAGCTCCTAGAACATTACGGACTGTGGTGGGAATGCTTTTGCAGAATCTCGTGAGTATCTGAATTGCATCGTGGATGTTGTTGGTGACGCAAAGCTGGCGTGGAGACTCGCTGAGGATCGCTGCGTTTGATGGTCTGTTGTAGATAGCCGTATGTGCTGACCAGATCTGCGTGTAGACATGGCGACGGTCCATCACCGTTGAACGGTAACTTCGACTCAGGAGTGTCAGAGTTCTTAGAAAATATCAAAAACGTAGAAGTTGTCGTCAACACAGCTCTTCATCCTTCGAGCCAAGTGCGAGTCGACCAATCAGCAGGCAATGCGAGATGCCCGTGCTCCTTCTTCGGACCGCAGCCCTGTCATCCTGCTGTGTTGGACAGCTCTCATCTTGGTAACCGTCGCGAGCGAGCCAATCATCTCCAAGCCCGACGATGCGCAGTGTACGTTGCAGGATGTTTCAACACGCTGTATACCGAATGGGAAGTCTTTGCGACTCGTTTGTGGCCATGCTGGTAGAGATCCGACAGGACTGAGGAGGCTGAGTTGCGGCAGCTGCGTGCCCAAAACCCTCTCATTGTTCCTCAAGTATGGTAAATCTGAGGATATAAACAGAAGCTTGACCTTCTGCGATCTGTTTCCTACTTCATCTCACACCATCCTACTTCGTCATCTCCATACATATACACATCCACATCAACGAACCTTCTAGGCTCCCCACACACTTCACAATGGCAACAATTGTCAACGGAACTGTGCTCATACCGGCATTGAATGGCACTCTTATCAACAAGGACGACTGCGCAATCGGTATCTGTTCTATGGACTATGCACAAATCGAATATGTTCCGACATACGGCGGCAATCTGGCATACTGCCTCATATTCAGCTTTCTCCTCCTAGCTCAGATGGGGCTTGTCTGGAGATACCGCACCTGGGGGTACTTTGTGGGCATGTTTTGCGGCCTTCTCCTCGAGGTACTCGGCTACGCTGGTCGTATCAGTCTAAGCGGGAATCCTTTCAACTTCGACCAATTCGTCCTGTAAGCGGGATTCTTCTCTGAGCCATTTGAGCTTTTGTCTGACAAACGCAGATACCTTGTGTGCCTTACCATCGGTCCGGCCTTCCTCACGGCCTCTATCTACCTCTGTCTCGGCCGCATTGTCATCGTCTACGGCCAAAACATCTCTCGCTTCTCGCCCAAGTTCTACACTCTTACCTTCATGATTTGCGACTTCATTAGTCTCTTGCTCCAAGCTGTTGGAGGAGCTTTAGCCGCTACACAAGACGCTTCGGATCCGTCTCGTACAGGTGTCAATATCATGATTGCCGGTCTCGCTTTCCAAGTCGTCAGTCTGACGATTTTCATCGCGCTCAGCGTGGAATTTGTTTACAGAGCGTACAGAGCAAGAGAGAGCGATCTAAACTTCGGCTTCTTCGATCTAAGAAAGCGCACCATGTTTCGCGTTTTCCCGTACGCTATCGCCGTTGCAACAATCACAATCTACATCCGTTGCGTGTTTCGTGTCGCGGAACTCAAGGATGGTTTTGGAGGAAAGCTAGCCAACGACCAAACCGCATTCATGATTCTGGAAGGTCCGATGATCATCATCGCAACGATTGCGCTCACTGTGTGTCACCCCGGCATTGCCTTTGGCAGTGCGTCGTCTTGGGCAGCTGCAAATTGGACCTTCAAGAAGAGTACCAAAAGCGACAACAGCCATATCAGGATGGTTAGCCAGGAGACTGCAACACCTTCGCTGGCAGGAAGCGAGGTACACGATCCGAAGGCCCGCGTCTGAAGAGTTTCGATTTAGAGAGAGACAGAGATGCAGCCGAGATCTTGTATCTCGGAGCGTAAACGACGAGAACATTCGTGATATAGTTGATAGTTAGATCTGTGCAATTGCAGGAAATCCATAGGAGTATTCAATTTCTGTGAGGATTCTTCTGCATCAGGTACAAAGTCATTAGAGGCTCGATATGAGCAAGCCAAACCGGGGAAACCTTGCGTAGCAATCGGCTGTACTTGCCTAGTATGGACACAAATAGAAACACGCCCAGGCAGCTGTTTATACTCACCGGTTTCGCAACGAACGACATGCAGACTCTCATTCATCTCCATCTTCTCGCGCCACTCTGTCTGCCATGATAAGCACATATCATCGATCAGTCAGCGTGTGTATCACTACACAGTCCATCGCGTGAACTGCCCGTTGTCGATGTCTGCGACTCCACCTGACGGCAGTCGACCAAGTCGGAAACTCAAAGTCCGCACTGGCTGCATCACCTGTANNAAGTATGCGACTGATATCATTGACACGCCGAAAGCCACGGCTGATACGATTCAATAGATACGCAAAGTTAAATGTGACGAGGGAAAACCATTCTGCAAACGCTGCACAGATACCGGGCGCACTTGCGACGGCTATGCCACACAGCCAGAAAAGAAATGTATCAAATTTGGCACAGTTGCACAACCACCCGCCACTACCTCAATACAGAAAAGACCATCACCTCCGACTGCTATATCAGGCCGAGCTGTCCGACGGCTAGCGCCAGCTACATTGATTGTTGATGCTGCCTTTTTATCACCAGAAATCTCCAGCGAGGCCAGCCAATTCATTGAGTACTTCAGCATGCGGACCGGTCCTGCACTTTCCAATGTCTTGAGTCATTCGTTTTGGTCCTATACTCTGCCTCAGTTGGGTGTGTCGGAGCCGGCCATTCGACACGCCCTGGTCGCATTGGGTTCCGCCCATGCACGCTTTGAAGCCGATGCTACCAACAATCAATCTGTCCAAGACGCGATACCCCAAAATTTTGTACTGCGCCACTACAATGAGGCCATCAAACAATTGAAGTTATATCTCAGCAGAGGATCTCAATCGCTTGACATCGCTCTGTTGTGTTGTCTGCTGTTCATCTCACTGGAATGCATCTACGGTAATCGATTGCTGGTCATTGATCACCTACAAAACGGACTGAACATGCTCAGATCTTCGTTGATAGAAGACAGGCAGACAGAAGCATCATCGAACACCGTTGCCAAATCCATTAAGCAAGAGGTTCGGCCACTGTTCCATCGACTGGATTCCCAAACAACCTTGATGGGCTTCTCAGGGTCTAGTCTGTTCAATCACATGGATAAATTGTTTTTATTGTCCATACCAAGGTCATTCGACAGCTTTGACCATGCCAAACGCTCGCTCGACTCGCTTGTTGCTTCAAGTCTTGGTTTCATTCGCACGATCCACGATGGAAAGCATGCGGAAAACGGTTCCATATCTCTCTCGGGACGGACACTGCAAATCCATCTACTGAGCGAATTCTCTATCTGGAAGAACAGCATGGCCAACTTTGTAAAATCGTGCGGTGTGTTTACAGACGAAGACAACAAAATAGAGAAAGCTCTCCGGGTACAGCATACAGCTACCTTTATATGGCTAGCGCGATGCACCGAGGTCGAAGAGACTGGCTTCGATCCTTACCTCCCCGAGTTCGCGACCATTGTCAAATGGTCACGAATCCTAACCACACCAAAACGAGAGCCAAAGGAATATTGCTTGCATTCGAAGCTGGCCTCGCTCTCAGTATCTAACGTGCCGAGGTTCTCACTCAACATGAATTACATACCCNCTTTGTACCTCGTGGCCATCAAATGCCGCGATCCAATCACAAGGCGCGAAGCCATATCTATTCTCGAAGAAACCAACGGCCGCGAAGGCCTTTGGGACGCTCGCCTGCACGCAAGAGCTGCCAGAAGATTGGTAGAAGTAGAAGAAGCCGGTGTGTTGATATTCGAGGGCGCAAAATCTGCATACATGGAACCAGGGCCATTGATGCGGATGATCGCGGATGGAGAGGTGAGGATGCCTCGGCAGAATCCCATTCAAGAGTGTTTTCGCGTCCACGACATGGACCTTAGGAATGTCACCGAAGGGGTGACTGGTACAGTCGATGTCACCTGGCGTATCTATCCAAACGGCCGCCACGAGGAGAAGATGCAGTGGACAGAGGTACTCGAATTCTGAGCAATTTCCTCAAGTCGAGATTGGCTCTAAAAAATCTGGAAACAATGCAAAGAGGCATAGAACAATATTATGAAATTAGATATCTGATCAGATGACATACGAAATAGGTACAAGCAGAATCGCAGTACTAGTGTTACAATAATATCTCTGGGCCATCATCGTGGCTGGACAGATCTAAGCAAGCTGACCACGAACAGCACCGGGAACAGCCAAGCTTGAGTGAGTGTCGGCAAAGAAGCCAGCAGGGTTCTTCTCGATCTGGCTAATGTGGAAGCCATCCGCAGAATCCTTTCCGTTGGCCATAACGCCAGTCTTGAATGGTCCCTGCAGACAGCCCAAAGAGCGGCGAACACCATTACCCACATCGACAGGGTTGGGAAAAGCAATTCTGGGGGGACCAGAAGCGCCCTTTGCAGCTTCGTGAATGTGAGTGGCTGTCAGGGCGGGAGATTGGTACTCGCCGCGGAAGTTATAGATTTCGATGTTATAGCAGATCAGGTTCGTTTCGCTGTTGATGCCGATCTTGAAGAGACCAGAGGCACCGGCAAGACCACCAGTTGGGGTTGTGCCGTTAACGACTTCTCCGGGGACAGCCTTGACTTCATAGTAGGAGGTGAAGGTGAAGGGAGAGCCTGCCATCTTCGGTGCTTCGGGGCATTTGACTGGTGCTGCAGCGCCGCCCTTGGTGTAGTCGACGGACTCCCAACCGCCGGCAGGAGGAGGGTACTCGTGAAGGTTCTCACCAGTGCCCTTGGGATATTCGTGGAGGTTTGCGCCAGTACCCTTGGGGTAATCGATGGACTCCCAACCACCTATCAGGAGGGTAAGATCAGTCAAGTATTCTTGTGTGTCAGTGCGAAGATCTCACAACTTACCCTTAGGAGCCTCGTAATGAATATCCGTGGGCAGCGCAGAGACGGCAACTGCAAGGACAGCAATGGTAGCAGCAGTGAACTTCATGTTGGAGGATGTGATTCTTTGTTGATGTATAGTGTTGATTGTTCTGTTGTTTGATCGCTGGTCGTATTAGATTGTTGTCAAGTTGATGTGATGATGAATTCTCTTTTCCAACAGGCAGACAGCTATACTTATAGCATTCCACTCTCTCTTCTCAAAGAACTGCATCTTTGCACTGCCAACATGGCTACCGTTCTTGTTTACTCTGGCCGAGCTTTCCAAGCATCCAAGAACCAAGCACCGGTGAGATGGCTTCACAGAGATGGATGTTCACCCAAGACATGCCCAAGGCACACGTCAGAATATGGTTATGCCATATGATAATATGTTTGCCAAGCGTCACTGGTCTACGAAAAGAGCTTTGGCCCTCGGGATCTGGTTTGGAGGCGTATCTTTGCTGGGCGGGATGTTTTTTTGGCATCTGGATCAAGGTCGCCAAGGTCGCTAACTCTGCTTGTCAGTCACGGGGAGGTATGCTCAGCACTCGAACAAGATATTCTGATGTTACCCGATCGCGCGTCTGTCTGTGTTTGCTGTCGCTGGCTCCTGGGTCAACCAATTGACCGCCTTAAAACTCGACATCGGTCTCGTGTTGCTCTTCCATCATCACCACCGAGTCAAGAGTGAGGTTGAATCTTTTTCATCACCAAACAATCAATATCTTCAGATAAACCTTGGCAAGTATGCTGGGCATGCTATTTTAAACCTCAATCAGTCTACTGGGCTACCTTCCGCGAATGTCGTGGGTGAGAAGTCAAGATCAGTAGCAAAGCTCCGAGGGTGGTAAGACATCCAAGCACCAAGCAGGAGAGGTCCACGTCTAGGAGCAGCCAAGCCTATATCGATGGACCAAGAGATCATCATCGCAGGCGCAGGACAGATGTCTCCAGAGAAACGGCCTAGATCGACGAGAAATCGACGAGGAGCAGAGGTATAGCAAGGGAAGCAGGGCAAACACCAAGGTGTTTGTCTTGGCGACGGTTGAAACCATCGAGAAGATCCTGTAGGGTGTGTTCTCGAGGATTTCAAATCTTTGCTCTTCATCGCTCCCCAGTTTGGTTCTGGTCCTGTTGATGTCGTGGGCGGCTCATTTCTAGGGAAGAACAAGACAAGATAAGAATACCAAGGAAGATCGACCCTTGACGTGTGACCCTTGCTGCGCCCGAGCCCTTTCCTTCTTTGGGATGTTGGCTCGGCTTGGCGACCTTCTTTCTCTCGCATGCGAGTTGCTCTCCAACTTCCGGATGGAGCTTTTGCTCGAACAAGAGGCGCTCGGAATTATCGGCGGCGTCATTGATTGCGAAGCGCATAACTGGTTGTGTCTTGGCAACATAGCATGGAATCTCACGGACACTTATGTGCACGAGGTGTGGTATGCCGAGGCTGCTGGCAGCTGAAGGCTTGGTATGCCTCATGTTTTTTCTCATGAAGGCAGAAAAGTCATAAGCTTGCTGGCTTGGTAGACTATACTGATCCTCTCAGGCTTGCTGGGTATTGGTGTAAAAGACATCGGCACCTAAGGAGTAAATGGTTACTGGAATGCAGGTCTCAATCCTCTCCTTCCATCACGCCTTCCTCGCCAACTCTACCAAAGAACGTCACTGTCCTGCTCTGAATCTTCCAAATACCACTCGCTCCTGCTTCCATGTCTGTATCCATCGCTTCCGCCTCTGACACACAGATCAATTCATCGACATACTTTCCGTATGCGGTCACTTGCTGACCTGCCCATTTTCCTCTACCCAAATGGACGCCAGTAAAATAGGTGGTTGTCTTTGCGGTAGCTGTATCGAGGAGTAGATGTTGAGTGGTTAATGCGTGCTGGGTGGTTACTGGCTTTAGTCTGNNTATTTGATCCAGCATCAGTCTCAAGTCTCCTTCTACGCCCAAAATGCAAACCCACCGTTGCTGTATCCTTTTGCTCAAAGCGTCAACTCCTAGGATAGGTTCATCGTTGAATGGATACTTTGCAACAACGTCTTTTGCAAAGACTCGTTCGAGCAGAGACCAATCTTTGTTATCTAGAGCGATGCAGTAGAGTGATGTGACATTTCTGATGGCATTGTAGTCATGAGGGTTGATTTGGGCTGGCATTGCCGAGAAAGCGAAGGACGACTGGCTTTCAACAAGACTGAAAGAGCGGTTGGAAAATGTGTTTGCGTGTATACAGTTGACAGTGCTGTCAAATTGCGTCTTCCAGTTTGGTGTTAGGAAGTTGAAGTTCTTGGATGAGGTATAGATGCTTGGTTGGGAGAAGCGGTAGGACGTAGTGATCAGCTCTGAGACAGGATAATGGATTACAAGTAGTACAAGATTATGGGGTTCCCTTAGGTAAAACTAGTGATTTCGGCATCCCCGCCCGGCTTCGCAGCTTTCGGAGTTGAAAATGATGATATCCAAGCAAGAATGTTGTATACCTCGTAGGGCTGGAGTATGGACTTTTTCGTGATTGCGGATCGGTGCGTGGGAGAAGGAGCAGTGAGCAGTGATTTCGTTCATATACGATAAATATACAAAAGCCTGAGCTTTCTCTCTATCGTTCGAATTCGGAATCCAACACGATCTACTCCTTGGTAGTAGAGGCACTGCCCTGATAAGTCCAATTGGGCTGTTGAGTAGTGTTTTGCTCTGAATTCGAGACAGGCAGTTGGCCATTAGCGGGCAACTCAAAGACACGCATCCTCGAAGTGATTCTGTCATCGACAACAACGCCGTCCAACCACAATCTCTCCTTCTTTTCCTGTTGAGCAGCACCTTCTTCTGACTCGGGGTCGGCTTTGGGCTTTCTGACGCTCTTGTGCCATTCTTTTTCTTCGTGCGATAGGTAATCGATATCGGAGGCTTGGAACTCGCGATGAGATGCAAGAACAGCGGCTGCAGTGCGAGAGAAGACCTCCTCGGCGACATAGCGACGGGTGACAAAGCGGTAGATGCGGATGGGGAAGTTCCAGAAGCCCAGCAGGTGAGGGAAGGGGATGGCGATAGCTGGACCTAGGGATGCCGGTGTTGATGATGGCAAGAGAGCATTGGTGTAGGCAGAGGCGGGGATATAGGGATCGGGCTTTGTGAGTTTCGGTTTTGCGGTTTCTTCTTCCTTTGGTGGTTCTGGAAGAGATTCGGGAGTTGTGTTTGCAGTGTCGTCGGCGTTTGAGTCGAAGACAATCGAGTTCGAGTCGGTGGTTGTGGACGAGCCTGATGAAGCGGTAGGGGGCGTGTCCTTCATGGTCAAGTCGGTAGCTGCTTTGACAGCGGCATCGTCTATCGAAGGCGCGCCGTCAATGTGCTGCTTGACCTCGTTGAGCTCTTCTTCGACCTGGACGGGCTCTTTCAATGGACCCAACCAACCCTCGTGTGTACCACGCAGATATTCCTTCCACGCGTGTCTGCCAATCACGACATCTCCTTTGACGCCCTCTTCATCCACACAGCCGACTCTTNNTTCTCTCTGCTCAGCGACAACCTGCTCCTTGGTGGGCTCGACGGCGTCATCCTGGACGCCTTCAGCTTTCCGCCTGTATCTTCTGATCTTCTCGGCAGCTCCAAAGCGCAAATCTCCCTCTCTTCTGCCTTCGACAACATCCCAATCCATGGCTCCTGCCACCAGGACGGGCTTCACATATTCGTAAAAATGTTCTCTCGCGCTTCTCAGACCGTCTGCCGGTGGTGCTTGTAGGTAGATGGTCATTTTCCTGGGCATTGTCGTCGTAGGGAGTATCTTCTCGGAGAGAGGAGCGACCATGTCGCAGTATTTTTGTTGGAGACGGGCAGTTTCGCGTTTGTCGTAGTAGACTGCTGCTGCGAAGGATCCAGTAACGGAAAGGAAGATCATCCAGTTTCGCGACGGGAGTTTGGCTTTGATGTTGGGAAGGCCTGTATTTCTCCTTGATCAGCGACCGCTCTTTTGGCTCTGTCTCTGCGTCTCCTCGTCACATGTACAGGTGTCGTATCCTAGGGAAAGGTCATCTTCTTCACATACCCATCATGCGAAAGGCGGGATTGCCCTCTGCTGCCTTGGGCGCAGCCTTTGCGCCATTGTTGACAGTCTGCTCTGCCGTCTTGCCCAAGGGTACACCAGCTACTTTGTCCGCCATGCTCGAGTTGTTTTGTCAAACCAAATCTTGTACAATCATCACATGCTGCTGTCGCTCGAGAATTTCCCCAGCGTCTTCGGCCTTTGTCGGTCCTTGGCGCTTGTCATGCTCCGATGTTTGTTCAGAACAGGGTCACTCAGTAGACATACTTTCTCATGCCATGCCAATCTGGCATTACCCTAACATCGGTTTGGACCATCTCTCGGCAGAGACATCTCAATGTCTTGCACAAAGCCTGCTCGCTATTTCAGTTTTACCATCGTGGATTCGTGGTTGAGTCGATGTTCTGTTGTCAACACTATATTCTTAACCCGCGGCTGGCATCCAGGGCTGACATACGCCAGACACACTGCATTGTCGTGTTCTGAAAGCACAGTTATATGAATATTACCACCATAACCAGCCATAATTGGCACCAGTGCGTCGAACAACGAGCTAGAGACCTATTTCTGGGCGGTCACAGCTCGAATCGCCTTTGCCAACTCGACTCCCTTCTCCCACACCTCATCATGCAGGCAATCAATGACAATCTTCGACACTTGTTTGCTCTCGTTTCCTGCCACAGTTGTTGTCGTTTTGGTGAATCCTTGCATGACCAACTTGTCGACCATCAAGTCAGTTTGCTGCATATCTACCAATTCATCGCTGACAGATTGTATGAGCAAGACATTGCCTTGCCACTTTTGCAATCTGCAGCACAGTTGGCTTGCCGTGGCCCATATCTTCTCATCTTCACCAAAAGCAGCCGTGACAAACTCTCGATAGGCTGGATGGGTGTGTGTAGCAACTAAAGCAGCTAAGTCGTAGATACCTTCCATGCACAGCAATGATACTGGAGGCCGTACGGCGCCAGACCCGTTGCTCAGGAGAGCGGTGGCTTGCATTGCGAGTGTTGCGCCGCAGCTGTGGCCGCATAAGACATAACGACCTGCCATGATAGACCAAGTGTCTGGCAAGCGAACAGTCCCGCCACTTTGGAGATGGACTTCCTCACCAGTATTGGCACCAAGGAAGAACAAAGCGGCGAGGATATCGTTTAGATGTTCTGGGTGTTGTACATTGCGACTATCATCACCTGGAGACGATGGAGAAGTCGGATGCGAGGGATATGGCGATAGGCGATAGTCAAGTGACACGAACCCGGCAACATTGTATGGTTGATCGGCCTCGAGAATCATGTCCAGAGCAGCATTGAGACTCTTGCGATCAATCATGGGGTCTCTCCAAGCCCCTCCATGGATATAGNNCTAGTCGTGAATCAGCCAATCCAAGCCACGATTGATTTACCACTACGATGTTCGCCATGAGATGAGGGGGATTGGTGCTTTCAACGAGAGGATTGTTACGTGACAAAGCTTTGTAGAGTACGAAAGAGTTCCAGAGACGGAAGGTTTGAAATGAATCAAAGAAAAGGGTGTCACCTACACAAGCCATATTGCCTGTTGGGGGTTTTCAGGCTGTCTCTTGGGTACGCATATGTCGAGCAGATTCAGGCGAGTACGTTCATAAGGCACACCAGTCCAGTATCTAGCATGTGCGGACTCATGATATTCGGCGCTCCGAGAGCTGAAGAGATGCCCAGACAAGGTTGTTGTCATGGTGTTGATCTGGTGCTTGCAAAGAGTGACCAGTCAGAAGGACAGCAGGGTTGCAGCCTGGTGGGGTCACGGTAAAATAATAAGGTTGACCCTGACAGGAACGGGTGTTTGGCAACGGCTCTTTCCACAAAATGGAACAAGGGTGGGTTCAACGAGTATACCAAACTTATCCTCACAGCTTACCAGGAACCTGATGGTTCCAGACAGATGTCGCGAGTGATTGATGCCAATGAATGTCTGAATGTACAAGCAAAAGGCAGACGTGGACTGGGCTGCGAGAGGCAGGCTCGACGTCATGGTGCATCTGGTGTGGCTGCTGCTTTGGCGGTCGCGCCTGCCACGTCTTATTGAAACCTGAAGTTGCGACTTGCACTGAGAATTGGTTGGTCGAAGCCGCCGCGCTTTCCCTTTTGTTTCCATCTTCACTTGCCTCCCTCCTTCACTCCTTCCTGCCCCGTTGCGCATCGAAACAAGACCTGTGAACCTGCAACTTTCGAAACACAACGCAATCCCTATCTTATTCTTCTCCTCGAATTTGAAAAACATTCTGGGAACGAACGCCCGGTCAAGGCGCTTGACACCCCAAACCCCACCACACGATCCACAAGCCAAGGCCAACTGCTAGCCACCCTTGTCGAGCTTGTGACGCCTGCCACGCCTATCATCTTGACCGAGCGCTGCCTGACGAGCCTCTCTCTTTCTTCCTCGACCGACCCTTGACCACCTACCACATCATGTCCGACTACGGTGCATATGACGACCGCCGCCGCTACCGCGAAACTCGAACCCGACCCCGCGAGCGTGGTGATCCGGAGTTCGTCCAGGAAACAACATACATTGAGCGCGGCAAGGGCCCTCCCCCTCGCGATCTGGTCTACCGCCCTCGCGAAGAAAGCGTCGAAGACATTACAAGAGACTTCCCACCTCCGTCCAGCGATCGACACGCCCCCCGTGGAGGAAGAAGAGAATACGACAACTACCCTCCACCCCGCCGTGCCCGCAGCCAGGTCGGCCGCAGAGACTATGATGATTACGACGATGACTACGATGTCCCGGTTGCCGCTGCAGCTGCTGCAGGTGCCGGATATGCCGCTGGTCGCGCAAAGGACCGCCGCCGTCATCGTGATCGTCATGACCGCGACTACGACTCGGAAGAATACTCACCTCCCCGCCGTCGTCATGCTGAACGCCGCAAGTCTGGTGTCGGTGAAATCCTGGAAGGCCTTGGGCTTGGTGGAGTCGCTGCTGCTATAACAGGGCGTTCTCGCAGTCGAAGCAGATCCAGAGATCGTGACTCCCGTCGTGACAGAGATGGCCGAGCCAGATCACGCCACGGTGGCCGCTATGACTCAGACGAGGACAGCCGCAGTCGCAGCAGATCTAAGGGACGCACCGAACGCAAGTGGGCTCAGGCTGCTCAAGCCGCTCTGGTTGCTGGTGCTGTCGAGGCCTTCCGGTCTCGCAAGGATCCTGGACCATGGACTGGAGAGAAGGGCCGTCGCATTGCCACCGCCGCCATTGGTGCTGGTGGTATCGATGGTCTCGTTGACCGCAACCCTGACAAGAAGACGAAGCGTCATCTGGCTGAAGCCGTCATTGGAGGTCTAGCAGCCAATCGTCTTGCCAATGGCCCTCGCAGTAGAAGTAGAGGTCCTGCTGGCGCCAGGGACGACCCATATGGCCGCTCTCGCAGTCGCTCTCGATCCATCTTTGGCGGGGGCGGTAGAAGCCAGTCGCGTGGTCGTAATGGCCAGGGCGGCGGTGGTGGTGGTGGGCTTGAGAAGCTCGCAGCTGGAGGAGCTCTGGCAGCAGCTGGCAAGGCCATCTACGACCGTGTGCGATCGAAATCACGTCGTAGGCGCTCTCCTTCGTCCAGCTCTGCAGACTCGTATGTCCCTTCCCGCAATCGCCGTCGCAACAAGGAGCGTAGCTCACCTGCTCAATCAGATACAGGCAGCCGCGCCGTCGCCCAGCGCGGTCGTGATCGAAACCTCGGCCCTGCCGCTGGTGCAGGTGCAGGTGCAGGTGCCGGCGCCCTCGCTGCTTCGAAAAACAACCGCGGCGCACGCAGCGAGAGTTCGTCAAGCAGCAGCACCGATGTCGATGTTCGTCGTAAGCGTATGCGAGGCAAGGAGCTACTCACCGCCGGCCTTGCCACAGTCGCTACCATACACGCTGCTCACGGTGTTTACTCCAGTATGGAAGCTCACGAGAAGCGTCACAGACTCGTCCAAGAAGGCGAAATGTCTCCCAACGAAGCCCGTAAGAAGCAGACCAAGGCTTGGGTACAAGATGCAGCCGCTGTCGGTATTGCTGCCCTGGGTATCAAGGGTGCTTTCAGCGAGTGGAAGGAAATGAATGAGCACAGGTTTGTCGATCTAGCTGCATTGCCAACGAATCTGACTAACGGTTTTTGACAGACGTGAGATTCACGAGTTGGAGAAGAGAAAGGCCTTCAAACAAAAGCGTCGCGAGAAACAGGACAGAGAAGCACGTCGTGCACAAGAGGAGAGCCTCTATCGTATGCTTCCCCTGTTGCAGCAACAACAACAACAGCAACAGCAACAGCAGGCTGGAGCAATGCCCATGCAGCCTGGAAACCAGATGATGTACTCCAGTAACCTTCCACCTCCACCGCCTGGACCCCCTCCTGCTGCGAGGTATTAGGAGCGACCTCCCGCGATACGAGGGATCCTGAAACCCACATCCGAGGACCGACAGATAACGAAACTCCGTTGAGTGGAGGAAGCACGCATCTTGCACAGTCCGATCCTCTGAATTGTCACCTTTTCATTCTCGGCCTTTCTACGTCCTTGCTCCGGAAGTCTGCTCTTTTCGCTTTTCACGACCTTTGACGAACTCGACAAAGTGAAAGCCTTTGCACTTGATTACAATTTCTGGCGAGCACAAACACGAATGGAGTGGCAACGAGTCGAAAGACAGCAGGCAGATTCCCACATTTTCTTTTTTTCTTTTCCTTTGCACACTACGATGTCTACGATTAGCACGAGGAAGCAGAAAAGCTCCGACACATGATTCCCCCTGTCTTCCTGAGCAGCGAGAGCATAGTTATGAATCAACGAAATCAAATGCCATAGAAAGCTTGTCCCTATCCATATCGATGTTGCGCGTGTGATTTATGTGGAAAGAGCCTAGTAGGAGAGGACACGGTGGCAGAGGGACGAGGACGAATGAACGACGTCAAGACCACGCAGAGGAATGGCTGGTCGAGAGAGCATCGAAGCTTACCCCCACTCAGGCAGCTCGTTGTGGTTGAGAGATCTGAACTCTCTAAACCTCACTACTCACCACTTTTGGAAAAACGAAGGACGAACAATACGGACACTGACCACCGGGCGAGACGTGCTTGAGCTGGCGAGCGTGTTGAAGCTGGGGGACAGAAAGATTGGAGGCGGTGAAAATCTGACCTTCTCGACGGCAATTGAGAGATTGGGAGAGGGGTGGGGCCACTTTTTGTTGGCTGCTTGGACTTTACATACTCCGTACACTCTGCTCTCCTTCCTTCCTTCCTCCCTCACCTCTCTCTCTCTCTCTCTCTCCCAACACATCTCCCATCCCCTCTTTTCCATACCATCAACATGAGTGCTCCCGCCCAGAAGTTCAAGGTCGCCGACCTCAGCTTGGCCGCTTTCGGTCGTCGCGAGATTGAACTCGCCGAACACGAGATGCCCGGTCTCATGGCCACCCGCGAGAAGTACGCCCAGGAGCAGCCCCTCAAGGGCGCCCGCATCGCCGGTTGCTTGCACATGAGTATGTCGTTCGCTTGAAGAGAAGGCCGGATTGAAGCTGACCCGCGCCTCCACAGCCNNATCCAGACTGCCGTCCTCATCGAGACCCTCAAGGCCCTCGGTGCCGAGCTCACCTGGTCATCCTGCAACATTTTCTCCACCCAGGACCACGCCGCCGCCGCCATCGCCGCCGGCGGTACCCCCGTCTTCGCCTGGAAGGGTGAGACCGAGGAGGAGTACGAATGGTGCCTCGAGCAGCAGCTCACCTCTTTCCCCTCGGGCAAGTCTCTCAACTTGATCCTCGACGACGGTGGTGACCTTACTGCCCTTGTCCACAAGAAGTACCCCGAGATGCTCAAGGACTGCTACGGTGTCTCCGAGGAGACCACCACCGGTGTCCACCACCTCTACAAGATGCTCAAGAACAAGGGCCTCCTTGTCCCCGCCATCAACGTCAACGACTCCGTCACCAAGTCCAAGTTCGACAACCTTTACGGCTGCCGCGAGTCGCTTGTCGACGGTATCAAGCGTGCCACCGATGTCATGATCGCTGGTAAGGTCGCCGTTGTCGCTGGTTTCGGTGATGTCGGTAAGGGTTGCGCCCAGGCTCTCCACGCCATGGGTGCCCGCGTTCTCGTTACCGAGATCGACCCCATCAACGCCCTCCAGGCCGCCGTCTCCGGCTATCAGGTCACCACCATGGAGAAGGCCGCTTCCGTCGGTCAGATCTTCGTCACCACCACCGGCTGCCGTGACATTCTCGTTGGCAAGCACTTCGAGGCCATGCCCGAGAACGCCATTGTCTGCAACATTGGTCACTTCGACATTGAGATTGACGTTGCCTGGTTGAAGAAGAACGCCACCTCGGTCCAGAACATCAAGCCCCAGGTTGACCGTTTCCTCATGCCTTCCGGCCGTCACATCATCCTCCTCGCCGAGGGTCGTCTCGTCAACCTTGGCTGTGCCACCGGCCACTCTTCCTTCGTCATGTCCTGCTCCTTCGCCAACCAGGTCCTTGCCCAGATCATGCTGTTCAAGGCTGGTGACGAGGCCTTCGGCAAGAAGTACGTCGAGTTCGCCCGCGCTGGCGAGGGTGAGGGTGTTGGTGAGCTCAAGAACGGCGTCATGCCCGTCGGTGTCTACGTCCTGCCCAAGATCCTCGACGAGCAGGTCGCTCTTCTCCACCTCGAGCACGTCAACGCCGAGCTCTCCACCCTCACCGACGTCCAGGCCGAGTACCTCGGTCTCCCCGTCGAGGGTCCCTTCAAGAGCGACATGTACAGATACTAGATGCCTTTCTAGTGCTGTCTGCCGCTGCCGCCTCTTCTTTTTTCTCTCCACAGCATTTCCCGTTTCACAACTTTTCTGCATAGCATGGAGGGCACTGCCTGCCACAGCAGTCGCCCCTCTCTGATATTCTTCTTTGGTCTTTTCTCTCAACACGACAAGGGGTGCTTATGATGATTCAACATGTGCAATGATACCAGGCGGGACAAAGTAACAAGACAAAAAGGGGGACTTTTGATGTGATGGATATCTCTTCTTTACAAGTTCACGACTCCATTTTCAACTTCTCTCCTCCCCCCCTTTTTAGAAGGATGGAACCCGCATTTCAACTGCGTGGTCAAAAGTAAAATTCGATACAGATTACAATAGAATCAAAACTTCTTGCATCTGACAACGCTGTTCCTGCTCTGCTTCTTGTTTCCCCGTGCTGTTCCTGTCTCCTTGGCGCACCTTCGAAGGTGATACAGACTGGCTGTTGCTCTACCGTTGCTCTGGCACATGCTCGTCAAGAAGAAATGAACAACAGAGTGTGAGGTCTAGAGGCCATCTTCGCAGCGTCACGACACCCCGGACGACGAGCGAAGACATAGGATGGAGATACATAAAGAATGCTTCGATTGATGAATTATTTCTTAAGTACGTATCGAGGGTCTCGTTGGTGTCCAGTAAAAAGGGAAATACAAGAAAAGAAGATACAAATCATGGAAAAAGGTCCACAGCGGCCGCAGCCCTTCTGCCTTTGTGGGCCATCCATTAATGCCGGTTTGAACAAAAAGAGTGTGATCCAAAGAAGAGATAACTGATAGTCGTCGGCCGTTCTGCGTGCAGTCTTGTCGACGCTTGTGTTGATTGATAAGGATATGTCGTGATAGGTCGTATAATTCGTGAGAGGTCGCGCTCCGATTCTTGCCGGCTGATGATGGCAACTGTAGAGCATGACTGACGATTGACGACGTTAGTCACTGGCAGACATGCTTGCGTCGACATTCCAGAATATGAAAGGGCCGGAGTATTCGTCTTCGTCACCAGATGGGTGCCACCAGCGTCCAAGCATGACCATGCCTCCAGGCAGTACGACGCCTTCGTAGGCCCACAAGGAGTTGAAGTCCATGTCGCCATGCTCATCCTTCCAATACTTCATCATGGTCATGCGATGCCAGCCTGGGATGCCATGTTGAGGCGGCAGGGGGTTAAAGTAGCCAGATGCCAGGAAGCCTTCGCTAGCGTCTTCGCCTCTACCTTTGAAGCAGAAGGATACTGGTTCGCCCTCTGGCAGAACGTGAGGGCCGGTGACTCGTCTTTGAGCTCGTGTGGTGGCTGTACGATACTGGATCTTGGTGCGAGACTTTAGGATTTGTTCAAAGATTACGGGCCAGTGATCAAGGTCCTCCTTAGGAAAGTCAAGGCATAGGTCCTGAAANTTATGTTAGTAGTGTTGACTGATGGACCGCAGGATGTAATTCACCTGAAAAGGTTGACCAGTACCATCGCCACTCATGTGGTCTGGAATTGGATAGTCCTCGTTCTGTCCGTCGCGTATGGAAACAATCTCATCGTGGTCGACGTAGGCATAACTGCCCTTCCAGTGCTTGCCGAGTTTCAAAGGTGTGGTTGACAAGGGCTTTTTCCAGCACTGTGGGCGCTCTGCCACAGCCAGATCGTCGTAGCGAAGATGCGTTAATTCGTGCTGGTTCAGCAGGTGGTTCTTGAAGAAGTTCGCGACATGCAAAGTCCACTCGATATCGATCTCTTGACAGTTAGGACCTTTGAAGATGGGACGTAACGAGTTCTGGGCGTACACCAAGGTTTGCGAGTCGGAGAAGCCCCATGCTTTAGCGATCCTTGAGGTGGGTGAAGCAGTCAGGGACAGGTGAGTCAGGATGAGTTGTATCGTGAGTAAAACAGGATTGGGAATCGACTTCTTGCCCCTGACGTATGGACGACGAAAGACGCATTCAAGCAGACCAGTGGCTTTGATAATGACTTCGAGACGATCCATGTTGTGGGAGTAGGTTGGGACTTGCTTGGGCGTGTGAGGATTGATGTTGAATGACTCTAGAGATTGTGTCAGCGAGATGGTCGATATGTGGGAGTGGATACACGTACCGTTGATCAGATGTCTCATCATGGATAGACATTCCATCTCCTTCTGGCTGTTCCCAGCTTGGAAATCAAACCTTTGACGTTCGATGCACTTACGACACTGGTACTGTTTCTTGAACCACTCGTTGACGACAGAGCGTTCGCCAGTAGGGAAATTCTGAGGAGGGTCGTACCTGTCAAGGTACCGAGTGCGCCAGAAGGATCCTTCATCTTCATCGAGAGCATACTTCGTCGATCTGCAGATGAGTCGGTAGGTTGCTATTGACTTGTCGTCGACATAGCTAGCGATAGACTGTCGGATCTGGAGTTCACGATCAGTATATGAAAGCTTGACATCGGAACAACGATGTTTGCAATCAAAAATTACAAAACAAAAGGCATACCTCGACTGGCAGGATTTCAAAAGCACCTGAAGATTTGGATGGGACTTTCTGCTTTCTGACATGAATATGTGATCGCGACTTGCGTGTTGGAGGAGACATTGTCGGTATGCTATGGTGGGTAATGTATGAGTAGCGAAGGTGTCGAAAGTCCTTGAAGGTCGGATCGTGTTGAAGTATTGTGATCTGATAGAAGAAGGAAAGGAGAAAGGAAGCTGATGTTGAAGAAGGAAAGAAGAGACAGGAGGCTGTCTTTGAACAAGGGAACAGCTGCTGCGACCGTTGCCAGGGAGTGAAGGTGAATATGATGGTCGACGAGAGTGAAACGTGCCTTCCGAATTCTCGATTCGTTTTCGAGGGAAGTGACCACCACTCTCAGAATTCGGAAAAGTTGCGACGATCACGACGATGATGCCGAGATGACAGTAGTGACGTCCGGTTTTGGAAGGGATGAAGGATGGATGCTCGGTCTTTGGCTCGTAGCAGTATTGCGATCCTATCTTGGGCCAAAGAGACAAGTCAAGTGATAGGGTGTAAAAAGTTGTGGGCAGAGAATTCAGCATCGAAGAGAGAGAAGCCTAGAATAGAGTCGGGAGATGACGGTTGATGTATAAGGAGGGAAAAGAGAACACTGCTGGGTATACTTGAGAGATACATAGCGAACAACAACATGAAAAGATATGCCTACACTCATTTGCTCAGCTTCTCGAGCAGAATTTTTGCACCTGCGTTGCCCTTTGGCCCATCATTCGTCTTCTTCTTCTTTTTGCCTTGTTGGTCGTCTGACTCGACGGGTGCCTTCTTCGAAGGGGCGTTCTCGCCCTTGGCTGCCTTCTCCAAAGTCTTCTTGCCTTTCGAAAGCTCATCGCGAACAACCTTCTTGTTGGCATCGCTGACGTCTTCACTCTCGAGCAATTGTACAACGACAAAGCTTGAAGGGCTCGTTGCCCATTCGACGAACTTGCCCTTGAGCGACTTGAACAGCATATCGCCGAAACCAAGACGAGGCTCAACCAACTTGACCGTCTTTGTTTGGGGATCGAACTTGCCACCACTGACCAATGCTCTCAACATCTTGCCACCAGCAGCATTTTGTGCAATGTGCCCTTCTGATGTCACGTCACCTTCGGTCAAAGCCACAACAGCCTCGCAAGCTGCCTTCTTGTCGCCTTGAGCCTCTAGGAGGACCTCACTAATGTATTGACAACCAAATCCAACACTTGCGAGATCGGCGGCGCGGCTTTGAATGATAGGAAGCAGGTAGGGTGACATGTATGCAATGAGTTCTGAACGACGGATCTCAGGGTTCTTCTTGGAGGTGACCTCGCGGACGGAGTGCACCTCGGAAATGATGTTCTTCTGAACGTCAGAGACCAACCACTTGGCTTGTCCAGCAAGAGGGTAAAGTAGCGGGATACGGGCGGTCAGATGCGAGATGAGGTCGACAAGACGATTCTCGCGTTCGGCTTCATCCTTGATGTTTTCTCCCAGCAACTCTGGGAACAGAGCCTTGGCGGTCATCTTTGTGTCGTCGACAGTGTCCATGGCGGCAAGCAGAACAGTGTGTGCGTTGGGGTCCAGAGCCATCATCTCGACGGCATCCTTGTAAACACGTAGAATGAGCTTGCGGTCCTTTGCGGTTCCGTAACCAAGAGCCAGACACACGACACGGCTGCCATTCTTTGTGAAAGCCAAGTTCTTGAGTAGGTCACCACCGTTCTCCTCGTCCAGATCTGATTTGAGCAGTTCGAGGAATTCGGCGGCCTCAGGAGTGCCAGGGGTTGTGTTGAGGAAGTATTGGAGCATGGCGTCGTGCAGCATGGTGAAACCAGTCATCTTCTTTTGCACAAGCTGGTTGATGAGTTGTTGGAGGTATTGCATCATGGGCTTCTTCTTCTCGGGGCTTTCCTCCAAGATGGCCTTGAGATCGGCCGTGACCTTCTCGTCGGTCTGGCCTTGTGCGGCCTTGGTCTTGCCAAAGATGGCGTACTCTGCACCGTACCACTCGCGGAGCATGAGGGCCTTTTGTGAAGAGGTAGCGACCTGGCGGTAGATGTCGTCGACGATCCAGGCGGCTTCAGGGTGGTTGATCAAGCGACGAACGTGACCGTAGAACTGAGGAACGACCATGTTGCGGATTTCGGCATCTCTGCAAGGTCATGTTAGTGCAGAAAGATGTGAGGAAAGAGGACCACACAAACCCNNTTCGACGACCATCTTGGCGACCAAGAACTTTCCGTACTTGGACTCGGCCAGCTCGCGCATGTCGGCACGGAGCTCAGTAACGATTTGCTTCCTTTGTTGCATGTTGGCGTATTTGAGGGCGCATTGGATGACGCGCACGCTGTCGTGCTTGAAGACAAAGTCGCGCACTCTGCCAGTGATGATTTCGAACAGCTCGCCGACCAGAGCCTTGCGCTCCTCGGTAGGCACATGTGACTTTCTGCGCAGTCTCTCCCAGATCTTCTTGCTGCGGCCGATGATGTCTGCGTTGGGTTTGGCGGCTTTGCGCTCCTTTGCCAGAGCACGCTGAGCAGCATGTGCTTCTGCTGACGATTGACCANNGCTGCGGGTTGTGTCAGCCGAGTGTCTTTGTCTGCTCGCTCTTGTCCCCGACGTACTTCTGATCTTCTTGTCGTCCGACTCGCTGTTTCCGCCCTCTAGTTCCACACCAGACATGGCATCGTCCTCTCCGTCCAGCTCATCGTCGTCGTCGTCGTCGTCGCTCGACTCGTCGGATTCGGGCGTGGCTTCTTGAATTGGGGCGGCCTTCTTCTTGATCGAGCCTGTCGAGGCCAGTTTCTGCTTCTTTTCTACGGCAGCGACAGCCTTGGGTGCTTCCTTGCGTTTGATTCCGGCCATTGTGTTGGAACAATTGTGTATTGCAAATGACTTTGGTGAGCGTCTCTAGACCCTCGCAAAAAATCATGCAAGTGATGGCGCATTTGCGGCAGAATTCAAAGCTCCCGTCACCGCCTTGGGTCACAAACTCCGTTTCTCCGCCGTTCCTATCCCTCTCCACCTGTGCTCGACCATCTCCAACACCTGCTCTACGCTCTTGGGAGAACAGAGTAGAGTCACTATACAGACTTCAGCACACGTCGTGGCTCGAAACATTACGGACATCGAGAGTAGCGAGCAAACAGTCGATCCCCTACTAACACGTGGTGCCTTGATCACCAGATTGTCATGTCCCACCTCGTCAAATTCCTGCTGTCGATCCTCTGAGCTACCTACATGACTATGAGTACATCTGCTGAGACTCCTTGAGGCGTTGGAACTCGAGTTGGACCTTGTCTTCGATCGATAGACGTTCGAGGACACGCTGTCTGAGCATAAAGATACGCTTCTCATCCAGGTCATACTTGCCCTGCTTGCCATACACGATGTCTTCAGGCTGACATTCCTCATGAAACTCCTTGGTCAATTGATAGAACATCGTCTCCAGGGTCATTCTGTGTGCCTGCAAGATATCGTCCATAAGGTCACGCATCTTGGCTTGATCCTTCTGTACAGCATGTATCAGTCCGGGACTTGTCATTGTCACGCCTTGATGACTTACCAGGTCTTTCTCGATAGTGCTAGTCTTGTTGCGAATTTTACCTAGCTGCTTGACCAAATCCTCGACATCAACGGCGCTGCTGGATCTGTTGCCCGTGGAACTCTCCGCATTTCTGCTTCCGTAGTGGACGTCCTCCGCCAGGCAATCGATCTTGCTTTGGAGCTTGAAGATGGCGTCGGTAGTTGGGTCCATCTTGAAAAGACTGGTCTTTGGTCCCGAATTCTCATTGCTACGAAGTCCAGCATTGATAGTGCTCAGACTTTCCAGCTTGCAGCGAAGCTCATTCATGGTATTGGTCATGGTATCCATGTGGGTCTGATGGGCGACCAGAGTTTCTCCAATCTTCTGTAGGTACGACTTGTGCGACTTTTGAGTTTTCTCGAGTTTCTCAATGCTAAGCTTGAGTTGCGGAACTGGGAAAGTCNNAGCAAGGGCTTAGTCAAATCAGGTATGCGGCGACTTGCCTCCTGGGCCAACCCCGCCCTGCTGCAAGTGCAAGCCACTCGTGGCAGTGCTACCGCCAGATGCTTGCTCGAACTGGTCGATGCGATCCTCGCCGTCACCTAGCTGCGCGGCATGCTGCTTGATCTGGCTTCCGGCAACACGTACGAGGCCCTCAACCTTGTCGATACGGGTCATGTAGTGCTGGAAACGAGGCTCGAATTTTCCTGTCATCTCCTTGAAGCGCTGCTCCAGGGCTTGAGCGTCTTTNGCGTTGTCATCGACGCCACGCTTGCAGACTTCAAGCTTGTTGTGATGCTGCCCGACCAGAGCCTTGAGTTGGGTGACATCGCGACGAAGGTCATTGATTGTCTGATCGCCCTCGGCCTTCTCCTTCTCAAGAGCTGCACGCTGGGACATCAACTCACTGACCTGGTCAGTCAAGCGGAGGAGCTTAGTGTGCATTGCTAGCTGATTCTGTTCCAGCTGTTCGTTGCGTGCGCGCTCGAGCAGCCGCTCATCCTGCGCAAGTCAGCGAAGCTTAAAGAGTTATATACATGGCAAGCACTCACATCAGATCTCTTCTTTNGATTCGTACTTAACAAGCGAATGACTGTGAGTGGAGAGTTCGCGTGTATTGTCACTCAAGGCAGGAGCTAGGTCACCGTATGTGCCGCTCATGGTAGGAGGAGAGACAGAAGCGGGTACGAAGTTGTTGCGCAGACTTCCGTAGATGCTCTCTAGATCCTTGCCATTGCTGTTGGAGGCAGACTGGAACTTGTAGTGAGGGGCGCGAGGGTTCATCTTCGCTAGCGTCCACCTCTGGGAGTTGATTTCACGAGTTCAGGATCAAATTGTTGTTGGAGGTGGAAATTTGAGGGCAGAGCGTGCGTGTTGACTCTAGTTCGTGGCAGTGACGCGCCTTCGCGTGGACAAAAGTCTGTAATCTTGCCTGCTCCCGCTTGAAAAAGAGCGGCACTTTTGGATTGTAGCAAAACACAGTGTGGTCTAACATCGAAGGTATAGCCACAGAAAGCTAAATAAATCTTGTCTCTCAGTGGGTGTAGCGCTGCTTCTTAAGACTATTGTGCATCTCCATAGCTATACGCGTCACATGCTTTAGTCCACGGCTCGATAGCTTGTAAAGTGGTATCATTATGTTTCTATCATCGTGTAATTGCTTCAGGGAACACGGTTCCTATCAGCTCATCCAGCAGTGTGAACACCAGATGTGTACTGTATCAACATTAGTAACTCGTCTTTCTAGACAAAAAGATATCAGGCGAGAAAGGGACAGCGGGAACTTACTTCAACCGCTGGTTATTCAGCATTGCAAACACTTTTCTGCTCGCCGCCTGAGCATTTTGTCTTCCGACCACACTTCCTGCCAAATCCGGCACCAACGTCGCCAGCAGGAGCCCTGCTTCTTTCTGACTAGCCGCTTTTTGCACCGCTGTTCGTGGAACACCGCCTTGTTTCATTTGACCGTCTGGCCACATGATATTCTTGACGAGATCTAGATAGCGAAGTATCGAGTCTTCCTGTCCGAACCCTTTCGCTGCATCACGGACTTTGCGCTCGATGGTCCCACCGAGGAGCTGATGCAACACAACAACTACGGCACGTCCTCGCAGCCAGCTGGTGCCTTTTTGAAGTTCGAAGATCTCTAAGAAGATGTCGCAGATCGGCTTGACGAACGGTTCTGCTTCTCGGTCTTCGAAAGCATTGATTTCCGCTTCGGCTTCTGCAGCGTGGGCTGGATCCGATGAGAACTCAGGGGCGTTGGGGTTTAATGGTACTCCGCTCATCTGCGCCGTCGCTGCTGAGATTAGATTCTGACCGGCGACCGAGAGTTGATCAAGGACTGGAATGTTGCCCAAAAATTCCTCCATGCCGTCTGTAACCGAGTTATATATCCTTGTCACGAAGTCTTTCTCATCGATTTGACTGCCAATAGCATTTGTTGTGATTCGCGATTGAGACAAGAAAGCGCGAAGTTCTCTACTACGGCAGATGGCCGGGATTAGAAGCAGCGCCTACAATTCGTTAGCAGCTATCGGGTTTATCATGTTTCAGCAACCACTTGCCTTGAGGTATTTCTCAAGGATGACCCTTCGCTTTTGCAAAAAGTCCTTTTGTAACGTGAACAGTGTTTGTCGCCGTGGAAACTCAAGGTTTCTGACAGCAGGGAACCTCTCTCGAAGACGCTTGTTCAACTCGTGGAACTCGCTGTATCGTCTAGTCACCATCCACACTGCAGCAGGCATCTGGTCACCTGCTTGACGTCGAACTTCGATGACATCTTGATCCAGTCAGCAATGCTCCCATGGGGAAGGAACAAAACAACACTTACAAAGCGCAAACTCGTGACCGTCCTCTTCTCTCCCTACCATGATCGACTTGATGTTGACGGCAGCTCTTCCGTACAAGCTATTGTCGCTTTCCTGGATAGTATACTGTTGTTTCTGCATCTCTTTGCGGTGTATTTCTCTTGCTAAACTCTGCTTCGACTTGCGCAGGATGCGCAGTTCAGCTGCGTTATTCGTCAACTCAGCCTTCTTTGTTAACGAATCTAGAATGGCATCTTGAGCCGTCAATCGATCAATGTCTGCATTGAGAGTGCTAATAGCCTCTGTGAGTCCAAGATCACCAGGTGCGGCCTCATGAATGTCATCATCAACCAGTTTGTCTGCTAAGTCAGAATCCTCTTTTTCATCCTCAGCAAACTTCTCCTCTTCACCAAACAGGTCATCCTCAAAGACTCCTTTACTTGATACTGCTCCCACTAAACCTAGAGAAGCAATGCTAGGTTTGGATCTTGTTTGGGCTAGAGTAGGTCTTGCACCGTCTAGGGAGGTTCTTGGCGATTCAATACTCACGCCTAGATTCTCCGAAGAAAGGATCGAACCGTTGTCTGGTTCGTCCATGATTTCGTTCAGAGCAGCTTGCATAGCATCAACAACTTGGGCGGAATCATCCTGATGTTGGTCGCCCTCGATCTCTAAATCCATACTACTAAGTGCAGAGACAGATCGAGTCAAACGTTCATCTTCGACATCGTCATCAAATAACGGTCGAGGTCTCTCACCATCTATTGACTGCCGTACAGGGCTGGCGACAACACTGGGTTTGATGAAGCTCTTCAGATCGCTAGACGACATAGCCGGCCTTCGGAGCTCGGGCGCCCGAGGCGACTTAGGAGAAAGTATAGCCGCTGGTCGGGCTTCTCGGTGCAGCGGTCTATCTCTTTCTCCACCAACCGACAATGATCTCGACAGCTCCGGATAACCTTCAAAGTTGGCTGACATGATCGAGCTCTCTTCCGTGGCAAGCCATTTGTAGAACAAGTCTGACTTTCTGAAGTTGTCGAAATGCTGTTCTTTCATCTCTTCGAAGACGGACGCTTGCGCGCGAAGGACGGCACGTCGAGCAGAAACATAAAGGCGAGCATCTGCTGACTTACCAGCTCTTAGAAAGTCTCGAACTGTCTGCCTGTCGTGATCCGGAACATTGAGCTCGGGTTTTGTGAGATAGGCTTCATACATCTGCTCCAGATCCATCCTGTCTGAGGGGCTCCAAGGGGTGTCTCGGAGCTCCTGCTCTGGCTCATCGTTATCTGCCTCGAGTGGGTTACGGAAACCGTCCACCACGATCCAAAACTGCACGAGACGCATGCGACCTTTCCTATCCATAAACTCCATAAAGTACGAAAGGCCGGATGCATTGTGCAGAACTTCATCTAGAGAGGCTTGACTCAACCTCGACCTTTGCTCAACACTGGACGTAGAAGCTTTTACAGTCAGTTTGGGTCTAGAAGTACCTCCGGCAGTAAAGTGAGCGATCTTCTGATCCAGAATGCGACGTCCAGATTCCAGGCGACGGAGATAGACAGGATCTTGCTCAGGGCCAGAAGTAGCCTTTCGAACTTGACTGGAGATTTCACTGCGAAAGCGCCTAGCGTCGGACAGGGTGGCACAATTGCGGGTCGCACGAATAAACCTCTCGAATTGTCTTTCGTTGTCGTTTGGCCTGAGGCGAGGGAACTGACCGGCTTTGGGATTCTGAGGGGTGGGCACAGCATGCTCGTCTAGTGCAGCTCGTAGTTTGCGAACAGACTTGCGGTCTTGAAGCATGGTACGTCCAGAGTTTTCAATGAGCTGATTGAAGAAATCGGGGTCGGATAGCATCAGAACGATAGGGGCGAGGACAGCACAGGCGACAATTTCCTTGACCAGTGTGGATACAGCTGCACTGGTCTTCATATACTCGGGCATGACCAGGGGTAGTATCTTAGAAACCAGGCGACGCAGATGAGTCTGCTGCAGAAGTTTGGTATCGGAAAAGGCAAGAGCTGCGGCTGGATGAAGCTTGCCGTCTCTGAACTTGGCAGCGATAGCAAGATCCAACTCTTCAGACTCGGTCATGTCGCGAGACAGGTTCTTGCCTCTGACGGTTCGCTCGGCATTGTAGAAGTCGCGCATATGGTTTGTCAAGATTGGGACGATCCTGGCGACAGCGAGTTCGACCATGTCGAGTTGTTGGGTCCTCCTGCGCACATTGTCCAGGACTTGTCTGATGGCACGATCCACCTCGTTCTGGAAGAGCGGTCGAAGACTGATGTTCTTGTACCATACGGTGATGAAGTCGCGGAGGACATAGTCCAGTAAGCCGTCGATGCTCAGCGAGACGTTTGCCGACGAAGGGTAGATTGGCGTCTTGTCGTATCGTGAGCGCGTCTTGAGGGCAGCCTTCTCTTGCTTCCAGAGCGCAGGGGTGACGAAGGCCGGTGGTTTGATGGTAGTCGCATGGTTGTAGCGGAAGTTGACACCTTTGGACGAGGTTACGAGGAGGAATGCCAGGCCGGCGAGGGTTACGAGACAACCAGTGACAAAGGCGTAGGGGATCCAGCGGAACGACGGCACCCAGTGCGTGAGCAGCAACCACGAGACGAGAGCGGCCAGACCTGCCGTGATCACATCCTTCTTCTCCAGGCCCATGGCGCTACCAATTCATGCTGCAGTGCATGTCAATTGTCGTCTGTTTACAATTCCCACACCCGCACGCACCGATTCATCCAGCACCCCAAGCCCCGGATCTGCAACGTGCCGCACACCGTCATGGCGCAGTGCGGGTCAAAGTCTATTTATCGACTATAACAACATATTCTCCTGCAGGCACCCACATGTTACACGATGGTTGACCGAGAGTGACAGGCCCTGCACAGAGGGCAACAGAATGGTATAACTAATGCTGAATCTACATGTCCTCGTCGTCTGCTCCCAGCAGCTTGGCATAATCGTCCATCGACGCAAATGTCGGCAGGTGCTTGAGCTTTCTCTTCTTTTTCTTCTTCTCGTCCGATTTCTCCTTCTTTCCGTCCTTCGCTTCCGTATCGTCTCCCAGGCCTTCAAAGTCAGATGGCAGATCTTCGTCGTCGCCAAGCATGGCGTCTTCGTCACCGCTCTCCAGTCCTTCGAAGCCGTCATCTTCCAGATCCTCGTCCATTTCATCTCCCAAGTCTGCCTCATCCATGTCATCTTCGGCAAACTCGCCAATCTCAACACCAGCGTCGCCCTCCTCGCTGTCTGAGTAACCTTCTTCGAGGTCTTCCATATCGAGGTCGTCATCATCGTCGTCCTCGTCTCCCTCGATCTCGGGCCTTGACTCGACAAGAGCTTTCCAGATCTCATCCTCGTCAGCATCACTCTCGGCGTCACTGTCAGCGGCATCCTTCTGCTTCTTCTTGTCCTTCTTGGTAGGCTTGGCGTTGTTGACCTTGGTGAAGTAGTCGTGGAAGAAGACCTCGTCGGCTGCGACGTCTTCGACCTTCTTTTTCCAGAAGGCGTCCGAGTTGAGCGGAATGCGGTGAGTGGGGTCGGCACGGTCCTTGATAAGCACGTCTGCTGCATTTGATCCCGACATAGGTTGCATGATGGATGCTCCGCGTGTCGTTGTGGCTCCCTTTGTCTTTGCGTTGCGGTAAACAAAGCGGTCCAGGAAGTGCATCATTGTGTGCTTGGTAGGGTCGGGCTTGGGTGGTAATGTTGTTTGGTTCACCAATGCTTCGGCAAAAATTGCGACCGATGGATGGAAGTGAGAAAGTAGAGGCAAGATTTCCCACAGTGCACTGCGGTCGGCGTTGCTGTGTTCTGGGTTTCTCTTGCGTGCATCGTAGCGTACTGCAGGAGCCGTCTGTTCCCGTGTCGACTCCTCGGGTTTGGCCTCCCCATCTTCAGGTGCGTCGACAAAGTGTTCCTCTTCGTCCTCAGGATCGGCTTCAGGCTCGCGGATCATGTTCCTGATGGTGGGGAACGTAACCTCGAGCTCGCTAATCAAGTACAGAACACCGCAGACGAACGGCGCTTCGTGAAGGGTGATTGTCTGTAATAAGCGCTTGACGAAAGCTTGTACGCGCTTGACGTTGACATCGGATTTAAGCGACTTGAATAGAAGGTTGAGGTACATGATTTGCTTGGAGGAAGTGATGAGGCGGGGGTCGAGAAGGGACTCGTAGAGAGTACGGTAGAATCTGTCGGCGGAGAAGTGTTTCGTAGCAGAGATTTGTTGGATCAGCATCAAGGCCTGGATACTGGTGTTGAAGTTGGACGAGTGGGTGACGCGGAAAATGGTGTCGAGATGCTGCTCGAAGGTGGGGTCGTCTGTTTTGGCGAAGGGGAAAGCACGGTTGACACCAGTCAAGACTGCAGTAACCATCTTCTCGTTGAGCTCGCTGTCGGCAGCGTCGGCCTGTTCCAAAGCCTTTGCCTTCTTTGCAGCCATCTTTCCACCCTTTGCACCACCGCCTTGCACCTTCTGGGCCTTGGCCTTGGCGTGTGACCTAGGCTTCAAGAATTGAATGAATAGTCCAAAGTAGATATCGAGTAGCTTGTTGGCTACTTCGGGCTCCTTGACGCTGAGAATGGTTTGGTTGAGGGTGATGATGGAGTAGTACTTTGCGTGTGCAGCTTGTCCAGGACGGAAAAGCGACTCGGTCTCGATGGCATTGACAATGATAATCTTCATGGCCGGGTGGGTGTTTTCCAGCTGGAGCAAGAGATAAGAGGTGCGAGAGGCGATCTTCTTGTCCTTGTCACCGAGCTTGTTCACCAGCAACCTCAAAAGATTCTCTTCCTGTTCGGGCTTGTCTCTCAACAACTCCCAGACATATGTGATTGCTCTGCTCCTCGCGTATTCGACCTCATCGCTGCACCAGCTTTCCAGGATCTTCAGAAGTTCAAAGTATTGCTTCTTCAACCAGTCCTCGAATGCCCAGTAGATGAGATGAATCTTCTCGAGGCCCTTTGGCAAGGGACTGCCAACTCTCCAAACGGTGTGATGCTCCTCGACTATCTTGGCCAGAGCGGGCTGTTTCGTGAAAGCGCGCAGTTTGCGGTCGCCAGGAAGGACATCACCCTGGCCCAGCAAATCCTTGATGGCAGCGACAGCCATGAGGGCTTGGTTCCTGCTCTTTTTCTTTGCCAAGCCGAGCAACGTCTCGAAGGCCTTTGTGTTGTGTAGCGGCGACTCCTGTACCAGCAGAGTCAGGGCGGAAATCTTATCCTCGAGGGTACCGGAAGCCATGATGGTGGACAAGAACTTGTGCGACGACGAGGCCGAGTTGTTGTTGGCGGCATAGCTTGTGTTCTCGGACTCGAGCAGGGTGTAGGCATAATCGTGAATCTCCTCGACCAGTCTCTGCGACGGTGGTTGGGCGGATGTGGATACAGGCAATTCGGACAATGCAGCGGCATACCAGTCGGGTCTAGGTTCGAAAATCTAGATTCTAGTCAGAAGGTAATCTCAGAGCGGCGAGTTGGCAGATCGCATACCAGAGGAGTCTTCGTCGCCTTTCGGTCACCTTCCTTCTTAGAGTACTCCTTTTCGGGTATTCCTTCTTTGGGAACGTCCTCTCCGGGCGCGAACCTCCAGCGCGAGCCTCATCGGCAGAGCGCTTCCTAGTCACACCCATGTTTGTGGTGTTTTGTATGCGAAAATGTGTTGTCGGAGAAAAACACGATTGGGGAAAAAAGTCACTGCACACCACCTGGGCAAACTCCGCATCTTAAATCCGGCCACGTCCAGCTTGCGCTATCCTTCCTACTCTGACAACTGACTATCCACTCCCCGGCACCGGCACTCAACTACGCAGCAGGCAGGTTACGAATGTACTCTCAAGTTGGACTTTTGAGACGCGCGTCGTCGTCTCGAGTCGCTACACAAGTTATACACCAATGGCCTCAAAACGTGTCAAGGACATATTTGAGGTCAATATCATCGAGCCGCAGCATCCAACGTCTTTCTCGCTTCTGGATTCCTACTGTCGGCGCCGAGAGATCTAGAGATGCCAGGGATGAATCTCATGAGTTGCTCATCAGAGCAGGCTATGTGCGACAAGCCCACGCTGGTATTTTCCACATGCTGCCACTTGGCAATCGCGTGCAACACAAGCTCGAAGCCCTGATTGACAAGCACATGGAGAGTATAGGTATGCAACAAGTGTGACCAAGAGGTAGGTGCCATTGGCTGAGATACATGTAGNGTGCTGCCAAAGTATCCTTGTCTACCATCTCCTCAGAGGAGCTTTGGAAAAAGACTGGCAGATTCGTAGGCCATGGCGGCGAAGTAAGTACATTTTTCTCGTTGTCGAATTCCTCCCATCTATGGTTTTCCCCTCGAAGTTTTCTCCCAATTCCGAAACACATTGCTTATTGTCTAAGTNTGTTCGGTTTCCATGACAGAAAAGATGCAAAATTCTTGCTATCTCCAACCCATGAGGAGGAAATCACTTCTCTGGTCGCAAGCACCGTTCAATCATACAAGGATCTTCCGCTCCGTTTATACCAAATCGGACGCAAATTTAGAGACGAAGCGCGTCCACGACAAGGTCTTTTACGTGGTCGCGAGTTTACCATGAAAGATCTCTACACCTTTGACATTACAGAACATCAAGCACGACGGACCTATGAGGAAGTGCGACAAGCATACAGAGCTTTCCTCGATGAGCTCAAACTACCCTATCTGGTAGCTGAGGCAGATTCTGGCAACATCGGTGGCACATTGAGTCACGAGTACCATTTTGTATCTGCCAAAGGTGAGGACAATGTCATCAGCTGTGGCTCGTGCGGCCATACCATAAACGATGAACTCGCCATCACATCGATCGACCAACCAGACCAAGTATCTATCGAGCACAAAAGGGACCTTTCTCGTTGGGTTGGCATCACCAAAGACCGAAACAGCCTGGTCGTAGCCTGGTTTCCAACTACTACACAACAACTCTCTGCCAGCGACAACATCAAGAATGAGATCAACCCTAACGTCATCAAAGCCCTTGTTCCAGACATTGATCTCTCGGTAGAGAACCCGCTAGAGATCTGGGATAAAACCAATCCACGTCAAGAAACAGGCTCCCGTCCCTCTTCGGCCCAAATCATCGAGATCAACGACGAACGCCTTCCTCTCGCTAATCCGGCTTGCGCCGGTATCCAACACAGACTCCAACCACGCGAGCTCCTCCTTTCTTCTGGCAAATTCAACAGCGTGCAATTTCAACTACGCCCTAGAAAGGATGGAAACTCTATGCAACTGACCCGTACTCTGACCGGTGACCCCTGTCAAAGATGCGGCGATGGAAAAGTCACAGTCAACCGGGCGATAGAAGTGGGCCATACATTCCACCTCGGCACGCGATACTCTCTGCCTCTCTCGGCAACATTCGTCGACAGCAACGACGTGCGCAAGACAATCGAGATGGGATGCCACGGTATTGGTGTCTCGAGACTGGTGGGCGCCATCGCGAGTATGCTGTCTGATGCCAAAGGATTGAACTGGCCTGCTGTCATTGCACCTTTCTCTGCTGTTGTTGTTCCCGCAAACGGAAATGAAGACGCTGCTGAGGATGTGACAGAGAAGCTTTTGTCCAGTGGTTTTGATGCTGTGCTGGATGATCGCAATAAGCCGATGGGCTGGAAATTGAATGATGCAGACTTGGTGGGTTATCCGCTGATCGTTGTGCTGGGTAGGGCGTGGAAAACGGATGGCAAGGTCGAGGTACAGTGTAGACGGTTGGGTATCAAGGAGGAGGTACAATGTGGTGGCGATGCCTCGAGTGCTCTTGAACAGAGACTTCAAAATCTGCTGACGCAGCTGTAGATTTCTTCTGCAACTTCTCAAGATTGGGGTATATAGCGATTTCTTTTTCTGTGCAACGATGGCACGCGAACAAGTTGTGTCAGATATTCTTCTTACTCCATGCCATCCATCAGCTCGACTCGATCGAGCATCAATCCTCTCAAACCACAGAACTCCTTGAGAAAGTCCCACTCTTCGCCCTCTTCCTCTCCCCACTTTTCGGTGCTCGCGAAACCCCAAGCTTGGGATAGTTTGTCAAGCGCGGCTCGTTCTTCCTCACGTACCCAGCGTTCCCATAAGGGCACACCGGGGGCCCAAGTGACTCTGACCATTTGGTCATTGGCAGTGGTCAGGGCAACGTAGCCGATACTACCGACACACACAGTGTATGTCATCATGGCGGCCATGGCGATGTTGGTGGCCATTGCGGGGTCCATGGTGTTCTGGTAGTCACTGAAGCGTGTTGCGAGGGTATAGGCAGCAGGCGGGGCACACAAGAAGCCAGTCAAAGGGAAGAGAGCACTCCGCAGGAACTTGGAGCGTTTGTAAGCCGTTGTGCAGTAAGTAGCCTCGATAGTAGCTAGAGCGAGAGCCAAATCACGACTGGCAATTGCAGCGTCGATGGCCATGTCAGCCACGGCAGGCTGTACGGCAGTGGCAGGCTTGTCAGGGTTGGGATTATCATATGCGATGAGGCCTGCTTCGCTGGATGGGCGCGGTACAGGCTTCTCACGGTATAGGGTGAAGACGGCTGGGAAGGACTCTGGACGCTTCAAGAGACACTGCAGGTCGATGTAGAGTTGAAGGATGCGGGGAGTAATGAAGACAGGGCCATAGAGGAGCATGTCGAAAGCCTTTGCGGTCAGAGACTCGATGAGACGTAACCTCGTGACGGAAGGCTTTGAAGGAGCGTCAAGGTTACTGAGTAGAGCAGAAGTAGCAGTCTTTTCGGGTGGGGTTGTGGTTCGCTTCTGCTGACCATGTTTTGTATTGACGAGTCTTTGGGCCATGAGGTTATAGTCGGTCAAGACGTTGACAAGATGATCCTCTGTAGGAACACCGGGATGGTCGAGGATGGTTTTGGCCAATTTATGGACGCGTGCATTGTAATCGGCCAGGTCTTGTTGCGAGATGTCCGATGGCGGAAGGTCAGTGGGCGTGGTGGATGTGTCTTCGATGGGGACAGCAGATGATGCGAGCCATCTGCGTGATTGCCGATTCAAAGCAGCAGTCGACCGAGTGCTCTTAGAGTGGGCTCCTGTGCGTGTAGATGTGGATGAAACGGGACGAGATTGTTGGAACAGACGACTTGGAGAGGTCCATGGTGCAGCAGCTTGTCGCGTGCTAGTCTGACGGCAAGACTGACATATCGTGCGAGGGGCAGCGAAGGCTTTCATGTTTGGTGTGCGTGTGTGTCGACAGCGGGTCAATGCCTAACCTTCTCCATGAACGCAGTCCTTGATACCAGATAGTCTCCGCCCAGGCTTCAGCTTGCGAATGACGAATGCCCACCACTCAGCCACGCCGACATTCGTCTGAACGACAACTCAATCACAACTACCACCATCACCTGTCTCACGCCCGCCACGCCCGCCACGCCCTCGACCATCAACTGTTACTCGACACGTCTCTCCGACCTGGTCCGATCCCTTCACCTCGCCGGCGCATACCTACCCACTGCCTCCAGCGACGCGCCGCCTTGTCTAACGCGCACAACTGGACTTCGATCATACCGAAAAATGCCACCGCCACCGCCTCCGCCCCCACCTCCAATGCCAGGAATGTCAGGGGGTAAGCAAGAGTTCACCCTGATATTCTGTGTCACTCGCGCTAATTGTCATCTTCCAGGACCACCACCACCCCCACCTCCTCCAGGCGGTTTGCCCAGTAGACCACCTGCTGCTGCTGCTGCTGCCAAGGGCAGAGTGCGTACGATGACTCATATCTATCTCGGTACTAGCTAATCCATACTAGGGTGCCTTGTTAGGAGACATCACAAAAGGCGCCAAACTCAAGAAGGTCACCCAGGTCAACGATCGTTCTGCCCCCATAATCGGAAATGAGAAGAAGTCGTCAGGGCCCGCCGCTATGGGTGCCCCTCCAGTACCGGGAATGCTAAAATCAGCAGGAGCTTCTGCTCCTCCGCCTCCTTCGGGCGGTAACAGAGACCGTGCCTCGAGCGACGTGGGAGCCGCACCACCTCAACTAGGAGGCCTTTTCGCGGGCGGTATGCCCAAGCTGCGCAAGTCTGGCGGAGTCAAGACGGGTGCGGATGAGGATTCGTCATATTTGGGAGCCTCAGGTGCTCCGTCTCGTCCTGTGTCGTCTGCTCCCAAACCCCCAGGCGCACCTCCTCGTCCCATGAGTTCTGCTCCGCCGGTCCCACCACCCGCTCCTCCCATGGCACCACCTCCCAACCCTGCCGTATCCGCCCTCAGAAACAGCGTGCGACCCACACCACACACCNAGCAGCTCCTCGCCTGCTGCTCCTTCCAAGCCCAAGCCTCCTCCGATTGGCAAGAAGCCTCCAATGCCACCTCCGTCTTCGCGCAAACCTTCGGGCAATATTCCACCCCTCCGCCCTCTGCTTCCCCAGCTCCTCCGGCCGCTCCTCCATTGCCTCCTTCTTCTGCTCCCAGACCACCACCGCCTCCTCCTTCAATCAGCGCGCCACCACCACCTATGAGCAGTGCCCCATCCTTGGCCGAGACAGCTGCGCGCAACGCCTTTGGTCGAGCCTCGCCTGCCGCCCCACCACCACCTCCACCTCCAGGCGGTTTCAATGCTACTCCTCCCAGATCTCCAGCACCCGCACCACCACCACCGCCGCCTGCAGTCGCGCCTTCACCACCACGACAGTCATTTGCAGCACCCAGCCCTCCACTAGCAGCGCCATCTCCACCCCCTTCAGCGGCTCCGACACGGCCTCACGCAGGGTCCATCTCACGTTCGACTATGGACGCGTCATCTTACACATTAAACGGAGGGTCTCTCAAGTCACCCAGTCTGTCACAAGGACCAAGTGGGGGCAGGATGNGTGGTGGGCGCATCACGATCGAAGATACGCGATTCAAGTTTCAGTCGGATGATACGCTACCAAAACCACGGGAGTTTTCGGGAGCCACCAAGATGTACCGAGCGGGTAGAGGCAGTACAGTGCCGCTAGATCTTGCGGCTTTCGAATAGTTCTGGAGGAGGATGCGTGTGTCTGCGCAATCAAACTAAGGACCGTTGTAGAGGATATCGTACACGAGGAGAAATGCGACTTGAGACGTTTGCTTTAGAGATGGAGACCTTCATCTTCCTGGTCGTCTTGTGTGTCCTGGGCCAATGTTGCATCGAGTCGTGCTCTCAACTGTTCGTCGGTCAAGCTTCCGCTCTGGGATTGTGATGATTGTGTTGTAATTGTAGATGGAGAGACGCCATTGACCATTCTTTCGCTGACCTGACGATCTTCGACTTCGGCTTCTGACCATCTCATGCCTCTCTTTTCCACCTCGGCGCGCAGCAAGTTGATGCGTTCATTCATGCGGCTGATGACAACGAGGTTTTCGTACATGGCGTCTTTGCAATCTTCGATCTATGTTAGACGTAGTCTCAAAGAACCGTGTATTATTGTCACACCTTGGTCGCCTTCGTCAGCGAAAGGAACCATTTGCTCGTTCGAATATCTCAGATGATCCATGTTATTGCGCAGCTCGGCAACCTTGGAGTGCAGGGCGTCAAGAGGCAGCGATTCGAGAGCTTCAGCAAACCTCACTCGATCGATGGGTAACGCTTCGTGCGACATGATGGCAGGTTGAAGGTGGGATGTAGTATGTAATGAGAATAGAATACCAAAGGTCATCGACACACATGACGCCGCTTCGACATGGTCCGAGCACTGCCGAGCTCCGCAACTTATCATGGTCCATTCGTCGACGACGACATTATCTTCCCATCTCGCCCATACCAAGTTCCGTCGCTTGCTACGTGTCCCGCTTCTCTGCGTGGCTGCTGTGAATGACCAAGACGCCATGAACCATGCTCGTCCGGTAGTGATGCGGGCTTCATGCTCGACTTTCCCATCACCCTTTGCGCCATCCTACCTAGCATCTTTTGCCGCCCATATTGAATCTCGGAGCCTCTCACAATCGCTTCTACGCTCTAGGATAGCTCTAGTGACTGGTTCGCGCAATTTCTCGGCCTGTACAGCTGTCTCGGCCAGGAATCGCTTCATCCCGAAGCCGTCTCCAGATGTCCAGAAAACAGGACATGGACAAAGACTAGCTCGTAGACGTAGGGAGCTCCCCACCTGGAGAGACTACGATCCAGAAATCGGCATACCTCTCCCCTCAGGAGAACTCGATCAAGCCACCATAACCGAAATTTTCGGCCCGGATATGCACTGCGACGATGGAAACCACGTCCTGAGGTTGATGCATTATCGGAGACTCTCAGGCAGTCTCATCGACATCGGCGTCGACTTTCCGAAAGAATCGGGAATCTCCTCTGAAATGGCTACCAAGGCTCTGGAATACATCAGAACACTGGATCCAGCCTTTGATGAGAACGAGGCTGGTGCTGCTTGGGCAGATTCTGAGATCATGAAAGTGGAGCAACAGTATATGGCTCGCGCAGAGAGACTGGGCATCTACAAGCGTGCCGACGATAGCCTGCCAGAGGAACCACAACAATCCGCTGGCACGTCCGACATATACGGGGAAAGTGCTTTGGATAAATTGAGAAAAGCAAACAAAGCAAGATGGATGGAAGAGGATCGAAAGAAGGAAGAAGCGAAGAAACAACAGGAAGCAGAACGAGTCACCGCTCTCAAGGCTGAGGCTAAGGACAACTCACCCGAAGTCGAATCGAAAGAGGAGTCAGGAAAGATCTTCAGTCCATTCGACGAGATTGCTCTAGCACAGCCTACCCAGAAGGCATGGTTGGAACCTGTTGAACGCAAGCCTTGGGTCAAGTACTACGAAGAACAGGCAACCATCATCAAGGACAACAAGATTCCTAACCTCTCCACTCTTCGCCGACTGGGCCCCTCTGCTTTGGTTCTCTTGACTGTCCTCGCTGGTTGCTGGATGCTTGACGAGACGTACAACCCGCCTCCCCGATCGGCGAGGATGTTCCCTGATGTACCGCCTGCTATCGCTACACTTGGGGCTATCACAGCCATCAACCTTGCTGTATTCGTTGCTTGGAGGGTCCCGCCTCTGTGGAGAACCATGAACAAGACCTTCCAGGTCACAGCTGCATATCCTTTCGCTATCGGAACCCTTGGCTCACAGTTCAGTCACCAGAGCTTCCGTCACCTATTCGTCAACATGGCTATGCTGTGGCCTTTTGGATGGATCCGTAAGTATCGAGTCATGCACCCCAACGTCTGATTGACACTGATTTATGATATGCAGNTACATGACGATGTAGGAAGAGGCACATTCTTGGCTGTGTACCTTGCTTGTGGTACCGTAGGCACTTATGGCTCCTTAGCCTTCAATGTACTCGCCAAACGTTGGATGAATTACAGCTTCGGCTCATCTACTGCCGTCATCGGCACCATGGCTGCCGCCTGTCTGGTCAGAGCAAAGTAAGTGATCTTCCAATCCCTATGTCATTTCGATCATCCGCTGACCGTCCGTACCACANGCAACAATGTGACAGTGCTCGGGTACGAGATCCCTGACATAACTGGTCTGACTGTCCTGGGCATCATCGCTGGATTCGAGGTCCTGAGAGCCTGGCGCGGCAAGAACACCAGGACAGATTATCCTGGACATCTTTCCGGGCTTGCAGCAGGCGTGTTTACGGGCTTCTACGTCCGTTACAAGACTGCCGCCACCTTGATGACTCGCAGAGAGTCCACACCCGTGCAATTTGAGGATTCCACCAACTAGCAAGACTGCTTGTATGTTTATTACAGAACGCAGGTATCAGGATGTCATCACTTCCGACCCCTCCTCTCTTGCAGCAATGCAGAGTGGGGTACAAGCTACGATATCAGAATGCGCAGTCATCCTCAAATCAGGTAGTTATGAATCCGAAAGAGTGTTGATCGGCTGTACTGCGCAGCCGAGACGCTCAACCATGGAGGTAAGAAACATGTACGAATACTTGACGAGGACACATACCAACCATTTTCCGTTGCCCAGACAGTGCATGTAGTCAGACTTTCTCTGCCTGGGCAGCAAACTCGGAAGTTGAGCCTCATCTATCGGCTATGCCACTATGGGCATTTGTGGATCCTTTCATCTCTAAAACATAATGACCGCCGACTGTCATCTCTAGCCGACGGCCACCTTGGTCCGGCACCGACGAATGTGAAAGAACCCATGACGGAGTTCACTGCCTAAACCGATATGCTTTGTGGTTAATGTCTTGGCGTCGAATGGTCGTTAGCCAAAACAGAGTTTGCTCAAGCATCAAGTCGTGGAAAATCGAGGTTCGGAAGAATAGATTCGATGTTGAAATGATTTCGTTGTATCGCAATCAGCCTTTGACATAGCCTCTTCTCCAAAAGTGCTTTCGGAGGAATCGAATCCAAGTCTTGTACGACTGTACCTTATGCTTGGCGTTCGAACAAGTCTGATAGCGCGGCGAGATGTCAAATATGGGAAGAAGGCCGCCGAATCTTTTGCTGCCCCACAAGCAAACGGGCGGGCCTGTGCGCCCCATTTCATCACTTCGCGAGGCGCAAAAGGATAATCATCAGAGGATAAATACACCCTTGCATGGCTTCACTCACTCCGACCATGCTTTGGCCGTCATATACTCCATTTCTGTGATCACATATTTTTGTTGCGACCCAAGTCGGGCATATTATCATTTCTTAATACTCTTGCCTCTGTGGACTGTACTTCGAATTGAAGGGAAAACAAAGGTTGACCCTGGATTGGGACACACAGCACACACGACCTCGGTAAAGATATTCCATCCTCAATACTTCGCGAGGGCCTTGGAAGAAGGCAAATCGGTAGTCTTCTCGCTCACAATCCTTTCACCCCTCGAGAGACGACTGGATGGGAGAGTCAACACAGCTTCCTGCCATGGACGCTAAACAGGATCCCTACACCTGGGAAGGTGTAACTGGATGGCGACAATATCGAATGTTAAGACCGGGTCGTGGCATGTACTACGATGTCAAAAGACGATTGCCATATTACTGGAGCGATATCAGAGACGCTGTCACCTATAGAACGTTTGCCGCCACAGTTCGCATGTATTTTGTCAAGTAAGTCTCGGGCAAGAATCAAGAACATAAGAAGGAAAGGTATACTAACAAGCAATCTGTANGCTTGTTACCAGCGCTAGCATTCTTACTAGACATGGAACGTCACACTGATGGCTTTTTTGGTGTGAACGAGGCATTGTTCTCTTCCGCTCTTGCCGCGATTGTGTTCAGTACTTTGGCTGCTCAACCACTGACCATTGTCGGCATCACTGGTCTGATCTCTCTATTCAACTACACCATCTATGATATCGCGGTAAAACAGGGTATTCGCGATCTTTATCCGGAGTTCCTGGCATGGGTCTCTATCTGGGCTGCTATCACACATTGGATCGCATCGTTTGGAAACCTTTGTGACTACATGCGATTCATCACCGACTTCTCAAGTAATGCTTTCGGCATGTATGTTGGTATCATTTATATGAGTAAGTTCTATCATCTACATATTCAACGAGACTAGCCAATGCTGACACTTTTGCAGNTCAAGGGTGTGCAAGAACTCATCGCTCAATTTACTGAGAGCACACACGAGGCCGGCTTCTTGAGCGTTGTTGTTGCACTATGCTATTGGGCTACAGTGTATGCACTGGAGATGCTTCCTCACACCGTGGTCTTCAGCCCGGTCACCCGCAAACTGCTGTCCGATTATGCGTATCCGGTAAGTGACTCGCCTGCATGTATTATCTCCATACGAGACTGACGAATATTCTCTAGANTTGCCACCTTGTTCTGGACTGGCTTCGTTCACATCCCTGGAACCATCAAGCAGGCAGATGTGCTCACGTTACCTCGAACCAGAGCCTTCTATCCCTCTGTGGACCGCAGCTGGTTGATTCATTTCTGGGACCTGCCTGTCAAATGGGTCTTCGTCGCTTTGCCCATTGGTATACTCGTAACCTTGTTGTTCTACTATGACCACAACGTCAGCAGTATCGGCGCTCAAGCAAGACAATACCCCCTCAAGAAGCCCGCAGGATTCCACTGGGACTTTGCCCTCCTCGGAGCCACATGTTTCATCGCTGGCATCGTCGGCATTCCTCTCCCCAACGGGTTAGTCCCTCAAGCTCCTGTACACACAGACTCCTTGACCGAGTACAAAGATAAACTCGTCGTCAGCCATGAAACCGAGCATGACCACGGTCGACCTATGGAACGCAGAAAGAAGGTCTTCGAAGCCGAGATGGTGGTCGAGCAACGCGTCAACCATTTCCTCATGGGCCTCGCCATCGTAGGCACAATGACCGGCCCCCTACTCATCGTTCTGTCAACAATGCCTCGTTGTCTTTTCTGTGGTGTCTTCTTCGTCGTCGGCTGGGGCTCTATCGAAGGGAACGGCATGACACAAAAAGTCATCTTCCTCATCAAAGAACACCGCTTCATCGATCCATCCGAACCACTCTTGCAGGTTCCGAGAAAGAAGATTATGCTTTTCCTCCTCTTCCAGATCCTAGGAGTCGGCTTCAGTGTCGCTATCTCGCAGACTATCGGCGCTATTGGGTTTCCTGTCATCATTCTATCGCTCATCCCTCTGCGTTGGTCGGTCATGCCACACTTGTTCGCTCGCAGAGAACTCGAGATCATGGACGCACTCACTGCAGACTCTGATGTTGTGCTGTGCAGTCTAGGCGGCAAACCCGTCATGCCCGAAGTCGCGCTGGAGCGAAAGAAACGAGGTTTCACTGCAGAGGAAGAGGGAGATAGCGCACACATGAGTGACAAGGAGAAAGAAAATTCCACCTCGGGAGAAGAGAGTCCTGAGACGAGAAGAATGCTGGACTTGGAGCAATCTGGTCGCGGAAATGGGCCGTACACTGCTGGTAAACATGATTAGGGAACTGCATTTTGGAATTTCTCGCACGGGAAAATAATCTAATATAAGGTGGAAGTGGTGTATATACACATAGTCGTTGGCGTCAAGCACAACATTGAACATATCATTTCTGGATTTATAAGCCCAATCATCTTCCCGAAGTTATCCTTAGAAACTCGAGCTCTTCGCTGTACCTCCTCAGGTGACAGTGCCTATTGGAGCGTTAGAAGGTCGACACGTACGTCTGGTGAAGCCACGTCCTCTGTAGTGTTCCCCAAAGATCGTACTTCAGTATGCGCAGTTTCCGCCAGGCAAGATCGATGTCTCGGTACAAGACGGTGTGGTGGACGCATGCCAGCCCCGAGGAAATAGCGGGAGCACCTGTAGGCATCTTTTCGGGTTGTAGGACAATATCTGTTGGAGACCAGCATCGCAAATGTATACGCTGCCAGAATTTGGCCTGGCGGGCAATGTTGAATTGATGTTCTGTCATGAAAGAAAGTGTGTTTGGACCAAGGACATTGCAAGAAGCTCTGGCTATCACGCCCAAAACTTGACACTGCTCAACCAAACTCGCTGCTTCCGCAGCACGAGTCTTCGGGAGAAACTTATGTATGAAGCCGAGACAAAGTTCTTACAACTAAGAGTTTCCGACAGTGATTCAAGCGATCTTGGACGCGTTGCCAGAGATGAGACCCGAGCAGGGTTACCTGAGCAGTAAGACTGATGTCAGCATATTTCGAGGTTCACATTGATACCATGCAAGTATTCGGTGGGCAAGTCGTTGCCATCACAAGTGTGGCATTGACGGTAGTAAAATGAGGAAGGAGTGATCAAGTGTTGCGCCGAACAAGGAAACAACCTCGGTCAGTGCCAAGCCGCCACTTCCCCAACTTCACTCCATATCGACGAGCATCGGCCTGACACCAGTCCGATCGATCTTGAGATAAACGTCCAAAAAAACATTGTATCAAGAAGAAGCCATTTCTAAGATGTCTGGCAAATTTGAGCCAAAGCAGAAGGTCGAGCTCGACCCACCAAAGGATGATCCCATCAGCTTGGACTACCTGTCCAAATGCGACGGTATGTGATTGATAAGGTTATGGCTGTTGAGCATTTCACTGATAGATCGTGTGAAGNGAACACACGAGGACTATCCGACATATGTGGCCATCAAAGTGAGTTTGGCACATCTCTCGGTTTGTCATCGAGAGACGAAATTGACATGTGAANAGGGCACTGTTTTCGACGTGACTGGCAACAAGGCATATGAACCAGGAGCTTCGTACTCGGGTAATTTCACTAGAACGATAATCAAACACAACACCTGCTGATTTATCCTCGCAGTCTTTGCCGGCAAAGACGCATCCAGAGCTCTCGCCCAGTCTTCCTTGAAGAAGGAGGAATGCCGACCAGAATGGGAAGATCTTAAACCTGAACACATAAAGGTTCTTGATGACTGGTTTACTTTCTTCAGCAAGCGCTACAACATCAAGGGCAAGGTAGCCACTGGCAACGCGAACTTGTGATTTGCGCAAAATGACTGATCATATCTCAACACACAAAAAGCTGCTTCATATGACATTCCCCTTCCAGAAAATCTTCTCGTTGACCAAGACGTGCTTCGAAATTGGGAATCAGAAAATGCTTAACCTCCTGACTGCTCACGAACCAAAACAGGACCATTTGTGTCAAACAACAATCGGGCCTCTGACTCCTCCCCAAATGCACACAAGCCTCACATTTCCTTCCGAACCTGAATCATCGCCTATTCGCACAGTCAGCATGTGTTCGCCACAGAAAACCAGAGCAGTTGGACTCACGATCAACACTGACGGCACCAAGATGCCACTCTGCCGGAGCAGTTCGGACAACTCCTCCTCATCCTAAGATGCTTTCCAACGCGCCTGATCAGCTTGCATTCTGCATATGCAGCCCATCTGCACGCATGCTCTAGTTTCTTTGCATCGTGTCCGCAGCTGTAGTGGACTGCGTTCCAGGTACACATTGCTTCAACAAGGTGCTTGCTTATATAAAGCTTCGTGGACGTATGTTCTTTTCAGGATATCGCAACTGGTTCGACTTGACTTTGGTTTATGATGTTCTCTGTCGCAAATTAGGAGAGCAGAGTCGTTGCTTTTCTTTCTGATTGTGGATATGTCAAGAAGAGAAAGAGAATGGGAACCACGGGGCAATATTATATACCAAAGAAAAGGAAGATACGGAATCGAAATTGAACTACAGGTATCGGTCTTTATCGGACAGTAGTAAAACTTGCAGGCCTGTGGCGATAATCACAGATTCAGGTTCTACAACCTCTCCTGCTTGAAGGACTGACGTTTACAGAAAGGAATTTGTTGCTGCAAGCCGTGCGATGCTGGCAACACCGAATTTGCATCCTCTCACAAGGAAAGGGATTGGCTTCGCTCGCGACACACAACGCACACGGGTGTAACCTCCTGACTGGAGGATACGCTTGCATTTAAACAAGCACCCAATGAAAGGAGACAACGCATTCGAATCTCGAGTGCAGCGAAGGATCATTTCTTGGAACAAAAAAACCAGGTTGGTGAACCAAAAGACTTCTTGCGGCAAGAATACTAATCACATACCATCAGACACCGACTCCATGGATGACAAGACTTTTTGTCCAATCCAACCAACCAAACTCCTCTCTTGAACCTCTGTGCGCCTTTTCCTCTTTGCCCCGGTGCCGAACACAACACCAAAATTTGTCCGTGAGAACCCTTCCTCTTCCACAACCCCAAGAGCCGCCCACCCACATCCCGGAACTTTCAACGAGCATGAGCAAAGGTTCTTTGTCTGGCATAGTACGCACAGTTGCGGCAGTACTCGGTGGGATTCGACCATTCTCTCTTGACGGACCAGGCACCGAAGCATTGATGGTTTGGGTCATTGCGAGCAAAGTGGCAGTGCTTGATGAGACGGCGGACAGCATGACCGCAGCCATAGTGGATGTTTTCGTATTGGCACATCTTGAGTGTTGCTGTTCCTGAATTAGTGAATGCTTGGAAGGACAACTGAGAAGGTGGACAGCGTACTTGAAAAGTTTGACTGACGAAAGATTGGTGGTACGTGGTAGATTGAGACGGAAATGCTGTGGTCCTACGGGATTGTTGTTGACAGCGGGAGGTTGATTGTGTAGGTTGATGAGCTCTGGTAGCTGTGTTTAAGAAGTATGAGAAGATGGATGTTGGTTTTCGATGCTCAATGGAAGAGGCAATGTCTTGGTTTGGTGGTATGGTCATGATGTCGAGGTTCTACCCCCTTTATGTATCTTGAGCAGTTGCTCCTTCTGCATTTTGCTCGAGGCTCTTGCTGCTCTGTTTACTCAACCATCACGCTTCGTCTTGCTTGAATTACTGCTGCTATCTCATGACGCAAAAGCATGTGAGAGACCTGTCATCACAAAAAGTGACGGATAGGACAACCTGAACACGAGAGACGAAAGACTCATGCACGTCAATTGATCCATGACTTGCAGCTAACAAAGAAAAAAGATGGTATACCAATGAATTTTATGACAGGCGGGAGCAGCAAAGGCTATCGACATGAGATATGCAGGGTCATCGGTTGGCAACAGGAAAGATGTATTATCCGAAAAAGAATGACAAGTTCGAGAGATCGTTGACATGAAAGAGCCCTCGGTGCACAAGAACCCAGATGCGGATGTTTGCTGAAATGTGGAGCTTGTGGACGTTCATGGTTCCTGCCTTTCCGTATGCTGTATACACTTCCTGATTGGGCATGGGTCACGTCTCAGTTTCTCGATCCGACGAACTGACAGACATCAAAGCAAGGGGACGGTCCTTGCACGATACTCGCACGCGTACGCTGCACAGAGATGAGTGGAAGAGAAACATTCTAGACTTCGAGATGCACAAGGACCCGTGACGATGGGGGACTACCCGACGGCAGCGATGACCCGAAGGTAACACAAGTGCAGAGTTGGGTCTACAAACAAAACCGGGTTTTCTCTTGCAAATCATCCGTTGCCAGTAAACTTGGTTGAGAGCGAATATCGAGCTGGTTTAGAACCTGCGCTCAACAATCTGGTTATTTGCCGCATTTGTTGAAGTTGTGTTATGACACTTACTCGAGGTCGATACTTATACCATCACTTGATAGAGTATCTGCAACCACATCTCCATATACAACACGGGAGAGATCAAGGAAGAGAACAAGATAGAGGATGAATTAAGAATGCTCGCTTTTGATTACAATGATGACGAGGTAAGAAAAATGTTAGCCAGTCGACACTTTGTCGGCAGTACTCAATCAACGCCTATGCAGTATTCTGTCCCACTAAAACTTCCTCCTATCAACAGGAAGCACCCGGACATCGCGTAAGACAGACAATTCCTCTGACCGAGCGTTCAGCATGAATCCACAAGATCGACTACGACAGAGAAAGAGACTCAGGAGTCGCACAGACTACATGCCGTGTCAACGGGTATGAACCTTGACACTTCCTTAAGCACCTCCCTGCTTGCGGGCACGGCGAGCCATACGCTTCTTCTGAATGATTTGCTGACGCTTCGCCAACTTCTCATCAGCAGGGGCCTTCTTGTTCTTCTCCTCCTCGACAGGAGCCTCGTCCTTTCCGTCTCGCTTGCGCTTGCGGTCGAACTTGCCTCCTTTGCCGCGGTCGCCAGCGCCGAATTTGGTGTCACGACCCGAAGGCNNTGTCCTCTTGCCGTCGGCAGTGGGTGCGGTAGCAGCATATGAACGCTCGCGAGACTTTTCCTCAATCTCCTTTCTTCGCTTGACGACCTGTGCGTTCTCGATGGCGAACTCGACGATCAATCGCTTCTTGCGCTCGGCGATCATTTCTTGCGACATCTTGCCCTTGCCCTTCTGTTCTTGTGCTTGGTAGCCGATGGCGTGACCGTTCAACCAACGGAGACCCATCAGCGCCGAACGATGTGTGTAGTACTCGATGAAACCATATCCGCGACTGCGGCCCGCGCCACTCTTCTCGTCTACCTTGGCGCCCTCGCGACCTTCAAAGACGATCTTTGCTTGCTTGACGATACCCTTGGCACGCTTCTTGCGATCGGCCTCGGCCTTTGTGTCCTCTTCACCACCTCTGCTGAGCTCTTCTCTGTTGAGACGCTGGCGCTTGCCCTCCTTGACGTCGGTAGCAAAACCAACAACACCTTCTCTGGCAAGCTGCTTCAAGTCCTTGGATGTGATGGATCTGGGAATGTTACGGACGGAGAGACGGGTCAGACTCAAGTGCAGAGAGGGGTTGCTCTCGATGAGGGTCTTTCTCTGCTTGGCACTGGCTTCTCTCATGGTTCTCTCTGAAGGAGGGAGCTGCTCGTACAATGGTGAGTTGGAAGGAATGGTTCCCTCGGACAGCAGGTACAGGCGTCTTCTGTCTGTGTCACGCTTGAAGCGGTTGGCGGCACCCTCCTCTGTCAGGCGGTTGGCCTCGTTCTTGTTGACGGCACGGGACACTTGCAGGACGCGTCCGTCCAGAGTGAACTTGCCAGTGGGGTCGGCGTCCTCATTTTGCAAAACCGAGTGGGTCATCTGAATGGAACCATCCTTGGCCTTGGGGTCGTTCACGCGGGGGAGCTGGTGTCTGGGTGCGTTCTTGAGAACATTGTCGGCGTCGTCAAGCTCGTAGAAGCAGACGAAACCAGTACCTCTGGGGCGCTCGGTTTCTTGGTCGACGACAATTCTTGCGTAGCGGACTGAGCCGAATTGGGTAAAGTGGTCCTCGAGATCCTCATCGGTACATGAGAAAGGCAGGTTGCGAATGAAGAGGGTGGACGAGTTATCCTCTGTTCTCGGCTTGACATCGTCCTCGTCCTCATCATCCATATCGTCCATGTCCTGGTCCTCGTCATCGTCGTCAGAACCAGACTCGTCGTCATCCTCGTCCATAATGTGTTCGTTGGCACCATCGGCGGCATCGTCCTCAGTGACGTCTTCCATGGTGGCGTCCTTCTCTTTGGTGTCCTCTTGGGGNGTGTTGTCCCAAGTCTCCTTGTCGACAGCCCAGTCAACAGCCAGCTGTCTTCCATCGATCTCCTTTCCGTTGACACCTTCGATGGCCTTCTCAGCGTTGGGTCTGCCACGCATGATGACAAACCCAAAACCACGGAGGAGTCCAGTTTTGCCCTTGGGGAGGACGGTGTGCTTGACCTTTCCGTAGCTCTGGAAAAGCTTGGCCAGTTGGTCCGGGTACTTGATGCTCCAGGGAAGGTTGCGAACGATAAGTCTCGGGACTTGAGCAGCAGCGCGCTCTTTGGCCTGGCCTTCTCTGAACTTCTCGCCGGCCGAAGGAACGGCAGCGGCGCCCTTCTCACGGTGTCTGGGTTCGGCGACCTCGCAGCGCAACTTCTTTCCGTCGACAGCAAAGCCGTTGAACTCCTCCTTTGCCTTCTGACAGTCCTCGGCATCGGCGAAAGTGACGAAACCATAACCCTTGCACTTCTTGGACTCCTTGTCGGTAACGGCGACGGCGTGCTTGATGGGGAAGGAGGCGGAGAAGATTTCGGTCAAGGACTCGGAGGTGGCAGATTCGGGCAGCGAGCGCACGAAGAGCGAACGGCGCTGAGCGGCGGCTTCGATTTCGCTTTCCTTGTCGGAGACAACCTTGGTGACAGCATTGCTCTCGACGGCGGCCTCGGTGGCGCTTTCGACTGCGGCCTTGACCTCTGCGGCGTCCAGAGACATTCTTTGCTTCTTGCGTGGGGGCGTCATGATTGTATATGTTGTATTGTATGGCTTTGAGAAAAAAGTGCAGCAGCAGCAAACAGGGCTCAACTTTTTGGCAACTGAGACTTTCTTCCGAGGCAGATCGGCAGGCCTGTGCTTGCAGCCTCCCGCCTCCACACACCGCCTTTGACATGACCAAACCTTCTACCAAAATACACCAAATTCATCAAGCTATATCTACTCTGCCTTGACGGGTTGGTCCACCATCAACTGCAACAGAGACATGACTACCTCTGCTGCTGCCAATGTGGTTGGCTCCCCGGCATTATCGTAAATCGGCGCCACCTCCACAACGTCCCCGCCAACAATGTCCAACCCAGACAATCCGTCGAGAATCGTGAGGAGTTCTCGGGTCGTCCATCCTCCAACCTCTGCTGTGCCTGTAGCCGGCGCGAAAGCGGGATCAAGAACGTCAATGTCGACACTGATGTAAACCTTGGTTCCAGCAACGCGACGCTTGATCTTCTCAATCACTCCTTGAGGCGTGACTCTGTCAATGTCTCTGGCAGTAATCATTTCGAACCCGCACTTGCGATCGTTCTTGAGGTCGTGCTTCTTGTTGGCAACCGGAGCTCTGATTCCCGCGTGGATCGATGTGTTTCTGACCAGCCCTTCTTCGTGGGCAATGTGTAGAAAGGTGCCGTGGTTCACTCCTGCGTAATGCGATACGCCTCCTCCAAGTATTTCAGGATCCCAAGTGTCGATGTGACTGNNCATTTGTGTTAATTCCTGACCACACTACTCGTTATGAGACTATTCTGACCTATCAAAGTGTATGACACTGACAGGACCCCAATGCTTGAATGTCGATCTCAAAGCAGAGAGTGTCGTGGTGTGGTCACCGCCCAGCGTGACGATTCTTGGTACAGCGTAATCAGTCGAGTTGGTGGCTCGGCTCGAAGTAATCTTGTGTGCCATATCGAGCTGCTTCAGGGCAACTGTGTTGTCCAACACGGTCAGAGGAGCATCTCCACAGTCAACGATAGTGGCCCATTCCTTGNNTCCCGAAGTCAGCCTATAGTCGAAAGTCATTGCCTCGTCTATCTTCATTACCTTGAACAAGTTTCTTCCATTGTATATACTCCACGAAAAGTCGGGGTGGATGCGACGAGATCCTGCTCTAATCCCATTGGGTCCAAATCTAGCACCTGGCCTTGCAGTCACACCAGTATCGAACGGAGCCCCCAGAATAGCAATGTCGTACTTCTCAGAGCCTGCCGTGTCAAGACAGTGGACATATGGA